TGGATGGAGGAAAAGAGTGCTTGAGATTCCCACATTCCCCTTTCCCCTTCTCGAGAGAGCCTTTAGGCCGTACTAATTCCTCCGATCAGCTCCATCTTTTTCTTCTAACTTCTTTCTTCTTTCTTTTCTTTTCTTGTTTCATTTTTTTAGTACATAGATTAATCCCCATTCGTATTTGTGCATCTGATCAATGTTCTGCTTCCGCTAGCTGTCGTTTTTGATCACACTTCTTTCCTAGAGTCATTTTTTTTCCTTAAAGCCATTTGAGCATACGAGAAAAGATTCCGAAGATTGGAGACTCCGGTTTGCTTCATTTTGGAATATTCAACCAATTCTCAACTGCCACAATGGAAATGTAAACTAGAATTAAAACTAAAATAGTTTTAACACTAGAAATCATGATGTTGGGCTTTTTTTTGGATTCAATATTATAAAGCTTTTGCGTAAAGCTTACAGAATATGCTTTTACAAATCATTTTCCAGGGTGTAAGTAATATATGAAAACCTTTGTGAAACAAACTGAAGCCTCGAATCTTCAGAGCCTGTACTCAATTTTATCATTTCCATCAAGTTGTCCATCTTAATCTGAAACAAAACTGACAAGAAAACGCTAAATGGAAGAGATTTCGTTGAATCTCTGATAGAGATGTTGAGCGAAAAATTCTCTTTTCCTTTTCTTCCTTGAGTATGCAAATTTCCAGAGAAGCGTGTCGTTTGCAGGGAAAAGAAAGAAAGAAAGAAAGAAGAAGGAAAGAAGACAATGTTGCTTTGGGAAAGAAGAATGAGTCAGAGTGTCACTTTGGTGGGGAAACACAAGGGGTGTTCCTAGGGAAAAGTAGGATCTCTGACCGCGTGAGAGAAGTCGTTTTGTTTCAAAATGGGTGGAAAGGGGATTGGTGTGCACCATTTGTGTCTCCCTTCCTGTTTTCTCCTTCTCTTCCCAGTGTCATCTTCTCATTGTCAGACTCCATTCTTTTCTCTTTTTACTATATCCAAAAAATGAATGTATTTTCTGAGAACATAGCCGGCAAAGTATCTAATCTTTCATTAGCACAACTCATGAAAAGCACAACTCACAACTTCTAAAAGGAACCTTCTAAAAGGAACCATCTAAAAGGAGCCTTATAAAAGAAACCTTCTAAAAGAAACCTTCTAAAAGTTATCAACAGATTTTTTTGTACTCAAGCAATGTACTCAAGTACTCAAGCTTTTTATTGTACTCATAATTGATTAGCATTTCCTCCATAATCTCTTTTTCAAAGAGAACACTTTTTATTCTTTCTTCTAAAAACAATGTATTTTTTTTTTATGATATCAAATTGATTTAAGTCAGGAATCTCGTCTCATCTCTTTTTTTGTTTTCCAAAAATGGCCTCAATTTATGCGAGAGTATGGAAAGAGGCTCTTTAAAAAGGAATAAAAAGAGGAATCATAGTAGAAAAGAGAAATATTTTCAATTTTCAATTTTCAATCATTTTATGAACTCTTTTTGAACCCAATTTTACTTGTGCCCAGAATCAATGAGAATCTAGGTTTCAAGAATCCCAGAATCTAGGTTTCAAGTGTTGATTCTCAACCTAGCCCATCAATTCTCTAACTTAAGCATTTTCTATGAATCTCAAGTCAAAACTGAACAAGAAAAGATAATTCGAGATAGACTTCACTTAGAAAAATCAAAGTGAGACCTTATTGAGACACAATTTCTATCGATTATTTCCACTAATTTGATAATTCGATGATTTGCTCAACTTTTAGCATTCGGTAGATTCAATCCTTTACTTTTGAGGCTTTTGACTCTCACTTTTGAGGCTTTTGACTACTCGATCTCGAAGATCTCTGACTACTTAAGCCAAATCTATTACAAGTGACTAGTATTTTCTATTTTCAACTAACCATAAGAGCTGAGGGGTCATCTCTCAAATAGAACTACTCAAAAAAGAATCAGAAAAGAATCAGAAAAGAAAAGGATTGAAAGGAGAAGGAAGAGAGGAAGAAAGAGGGGAAGAAAGAGAGGAAGTGGGTCTAAGCTATGTGTTGGGATGGAGGGATTGACTAGTGAGGGGCTAACGGGCGACTCTCAAACCAAGAAAAGAAGCCGAGATTTGAGTGTGCAAAAAGGGGAAAAGCTGCCATTGAAAAGAAAGAAAGAACCCAAGAATATAGAAGCAAAAAGAATATAAGAGATTCCCTTCTTTCACGTTTTTTTCTCTTTTTTTTTGAATTGCCCGTTTCAGAAGGAAAAACATTTTTTTTTTCATCAAATGTTTTGTCTTCTCTTTCTTTGATTTCTTTTCTTTGATTTCTTTTTCTTTTTAATATGTCTCATCACTATTTTTTCCTTTTTCACGAATCACAGCTTTACATTTTTCTGTTTTAGAGTTTTTAAAATCATTTAGATTTTAAGAGTACAAGGGAGCTTGTTTCTGAAAAATAAAACGGACTAAAACATCTTTTTTTAAAGTTTTATAAGCAATTTTTCATTGTCTATTCATTTTTCTATGTTTTTCTATTTATATTTCTATTTCTATTTCTATTTCTGTTTCTATTTCATTCTATTCATTTTTCACCCATTCCAGAATCAGTTTCGAGTTTTTTTAACGTCAAAAATCCTCCTCTAAGCAAAAGCGCTTTCTAGAATGAATGAAACAAAAAAATGAAGAAATCGACTGATCAAATTCCTAAATTCCTTTCATTTCTTTCATTTCTTTCATTTCTTTCATGTTTTTGTGAATAGACTGAGATCGATGAAAGATATTAAATCTTTAGAGAAAACAGACTAAAATAGAGACAAAAAGTCGCAGCGCTGAAAATAAAACGCTCTTTAGCCAGCTCACAGCGTCATTCAAGCTTTGGTCTCATCGGTTTTACTATATTCTAACTTATGAATTGAATACATTAACTCAGTTACAGTGTTTACAGTACATCCATGGACAGTTAGACATTCATGGACAGTTGGACCTCCATGGACAGTTGGACATCCATGAACAGTTGAACATCCATGGACAGTTGGACATCCATGGACAATACCTTCTCATCACTGAAAAGCTTTAGCCAAAATGGAATCAAAATTTAAAACGACTTTGACTCTACTTTGTCTTAGATCTTCAAAATCTTCAAAAACGACTCCTGTTTTTCGGATTTTTTTGATCAAATTGTTGGAAGATCCAAGTTTTTCACTCATTTTTTTTTTCTGACCGAAAAACAGTGAGTGAATGGGGGTGTTTGGTGGGGAGAAAGGGGTAGATCTGCCTTTCAAAAAGAGACACGATGAGAGGATGAGAGATGGTTGTTGCCAGCTGTTTCCCATCTCATTTCCCTCCATTCCCCCAATTCTCTTTCACTCACTCACTTCCAACCAAATCTTCTCCTCGAAATCTCTGCATTTCTCTCTGCATTCATCCCATTCTCTTCCCTTCTTCCCTTCTTCCCTCCTTCCCTTCTTCCCTTTCTTCCCCTTCTTCCCTATGACCCTTAGTTCTTTCTCGTTAGACTCTTCTTTGACTCAAAAGAATGCCAACAGTTTGTTGCTTACCACCAAACAAAATTTGATTGAGATCCTGGTTTGATTTGATTCAAAGCAATCAAAGTTTGCTTTAATTAAGTTTGCTTTAAGAATTTGTTATATTCTGTCATTTAAATATCTCTTTCTTTTGAAGTATTTTAGGAAAATGATTAGAAATGTTGAAGATATCCAACAATTCCAGTACTCTGGAATGATCTCATTCCAGAGTACTGAAATTGTTGGATTTTAAGGCATTTACTTACACTGAACTTAATTCTATCAATTTACTGATGATTTTTATTGTATTTGTCCAAATGCAATCTTTAAAATACAATCAAAACCCCAAAAAATCACTTTGGTAACTTACAAAATATGGATACACCCGGATCTTTCATTACTTTCCTTGATCTTCTTGATCTTCTTGATCTATTTAATCATTCATAGCTTTGTTTTCTTTTCTATTCTTATTCTTTAACTGTTCAATGTTGATCAATCTGTCTATTTATATTATTTTATTACAATTCTCCTTCTGTCAAAAAACAAAAATGAAATAAAAAGACAATTGAGACAATTGAAAGAGATATTCAGTTAATTAGTTGTCTCATTTTTTGACTATTCCCATTTCTCCCCTTTTTTCCCTTTTCGTTTTTATGATTCATCTTCAATATCAAATCGTGTCCCGATCGGCCCTTTTTCGGCAAAAAGCGAAAATCGTAGTCTTTACGGAAAACGAGGAAATTCTTAAAGCAAAGCAAAGCAAAGCAAAACGGCACTTTACTATTAGAATTCAGAACTTTTAAAATGATTGCGAGTCATTCAATTTGATCAATTTCTTCAATAATGATATTCTATGATGATAAATTATATAAATGAATGATGATAAATTATATAAATGAATGATGATAAATTAGATAAATGAATGATACAAATTATATAAATGAATGATATAAATTATATAATTTATGATCATAGAATATCATTATTGAAGAAATTGATCAAATTGAATGATATAAATTATATAAATTATATAAATTTCACTGATTTATTCTATAATAATCTTATTGAAAAGCTAAAAACATTAGCTATATTTCAATTTCATAAACTCAATCAAACTCAATCAAAATTTTTCGATAATTTCAACCGGCTAAATGATTTGAACCTTGATTTAAAGAGATATTCAGTTAATTAACTGAATATCTCTTTAAATCTAAATTCGATACTAAATCTTGTGATCAGATCTTGCTTTCAACATTCCTTACATATTCTTTTCAAAACTTTCACTCAATTGACTGAATAGCATTCCCTTTTTCAGATCTTTTCCGATCTCCGAGGGGCAACTCGGCCGTCTCTTCTCTTTTTCTTTTCTTCTTCGGGACGAAGCCGAAATGATCTGAGAAGAAAAGAAAGAAGGATAGAATAGACAAAAGAAAGCAAATCTTCAATATTTTATTCGATTTCTACATTTATTCTCCTTTTTCTCTAAATTCTTTTCTCCAAGATGCCTGTCTTCCACACGAAGACAATCGAGAATATCCTCGAGCCAGTCGCACAACAGGTTAGTTATTCGGAAAACATTTCAATCAAATAGACTTAAAATTGAAAAAGATTTATAAAAATTACTTAAATGTTTATCAGTAACAGCACACGGTTTTGTTTTAAGCGTTGTGTTCTTTGAATGTTGCTTTGAATCTAATTTCTTTCCTAACTCCCTGGGTTGAATAGATTTTTAACCTTTGCAATGTTTGCTGTTGAGAAAACGAAGATGGAATTAGGTTTGGGTTGGAATTTTCCGATGTCTAGAGACAGGCCTGGGTCAGGGGTCGGATTCTGGTCTGGCTTCTAGCCCGGGAAATTGTTTGGAACCTGATCCCGATCTCATTCAAGGTATATCTTAAGATCTTTAGTACCAATATCAACTCTTATTATGCTCAATTACATTTTCTATTTATCCAGAAAATATGAGATCAAAAGCAGGGCCAGGTTCGAAGAAATCGTCTTTCGTCCAGGTCCAGGTCCAGGTCCAGGTCCGAAGAAGTCGTCTTTCGAAGAGTCCCCGATCTAATTTGAGGTTTATCTTAAGCTAACTATAAGCGTACTTCCACTATACTAGATTTTCATATAATTAATTTTCTTATAAGATCTATTTATCCCATAGCTACACCGGTAGCTAATCGAGGATGAACGTGGTTGATCGAGAGATGCCGAGTGTCAGTCGATCTCCTCCCCATCCCTTTCCCTTCCTTTCCCCTCCTTTCCCCAAGGCAGTGTAGGTGGGTGGGATGGAATGGGTCTCCCTCCTTTTCCCTTCCACTTTACAATCTCTCCTCTTTTCATTCTTTGTCTCTTTTTACAAAAGATTTGAAAGAGGCCACCGATTGTGAGCAAAGAAGTGAGCAACGATTTTTGCCCGCTTTGAGACACAAAAAAATACGGGACATTTCGGAAATGTGGAGAGATTGGAGGAGAAGGGAATGAAAGAGAAGGGGATCGTTTGGGGGACTTTCAATTCTTTTTGGATTTTGGATCAGGTTTTGGGGAGGCTTGGATCAGATATTGAGTTACTGTTATAAAAGTTACTGTTGTTTTCATCTTTGACGATCTCATAGCTAGACTAGCTGTTATACTAGAGCCAATAAGTTCACAGTGGATTTGAATGATGAAGAAAGTGTAATGAGAGAGCCAGGAATCTTCTTAACCCAAATTTTCAAGGCCAGTTTAGGGCAGAAGCCTTAACAACACAAAACTAACTCTTTTCTAACTTTAGAGCTCAACTTTAGTTATAACGTTTTAACTCAGCTTGCAGCATGTTCTCAGGGTTGTCCAAAACCAATTTCTCAGGGCCAAGTTAGACCAAGGTCAGGGCCAGGTTTGGACCTGACTTTAGACTTAAACTTGATCTAGACTGCTTTACAGATTCTATGGGGTAGGAAGAATCTTGGCTCTGAAATTGTGCTAGAATCTAATAGCTTGTTCTTGTCATTCTCAAGTGTTGCCCTGATGAGGGTTTTTCCAAGATTAGAAGCAGGGATAGGACCTGTTTCTACTCTTGCTTACAAGGATTGGAACCACCTTAGAAGGATTGGAACAACCATGAACTTGATGTTGTGCAAGAATTTGATCGCTTTGCTAGTGTGCACTCTCTATCACTAACCAATCCCAATGTTCTCAATGTATTCTTTGTTTTTCACAGTCTCGTCCCATTTAGTTGCACTATGTGGTGGCGGTGGCTGAGGCGAGTGCAAGAAGAGAACCTCCACCGCCACTTCCATCCACCGATCCACCATTACCTTCTCTATCTCGTGCTTCATCAAAAAGATCGCTTCGATCAGAGATGATCTCCGCGGACACACTTCAAACAAAAGTGACCGAAGATGATTGTCCCGTTTGTCAGTTGATGTTACCACAGAAAATCGCCGGGCAACGGTTTGGATGTGTATGTTTTGTCGCTTTGTTGTCCGACTAAGAGATCATTTGGATAGCTTTAATCTGGTTTGACTCTGGGTCAGGATTCTGCTTAAGATTAACTTTAGATCTTTAAGAGCTCAAAATTGAGCTCTTTATTATATTTGAAAGTAAAGCTAAAGGTAGACAAATGATCTCTAAACTGTTTAGTTGCTTTTTGCACAGAAAATGGGTTCTACTTTATGTGGCTTTAGTTGAATATTATGTATCAAAAAGTGATAAATTTATTCTATGGATAGTTCTATGAATAATAACTTTAAAAAAGCGCTTGATCTACCACTATATAGATCTGTTCATTTGTTTGTGTAATTGTAAATAGGTGTACAACGGATAAACGAGGTCAACAACTACTTTTTCAAAGGTTTTAGACAAAAAGAGAGCTTAGTGAGTTACCAAAAGAGAGCCTTCAAAATAAACCTTCAAAAGAAATCCTAAAAAATGTTGCCGTTGAATCTCCCGTTTTTCCGTTGTACACCTATTGACAGATGAGACATTTGATATGTCCCCCCTTTGCCATTCGCAATCTAACTTTAAGCTCAAATTTCTTGGTGTTGGGCTGTTCAATTTAAATAATTTTTGTACCAATCGATAGATAAAGACTTGGCGCATCGAATGATACCAAGAATATTTCAATTGAACAGCCCAAAGCCAAGATATTTGAGCTCAAAGTTAGATTGCCAATGGCAAAGGAGGCAGGGTGTGTATCAAATGCTCGATCAACAGCCTCATCTACCACAATAAACAGTAACGAAACTTTGAGCATAGAATGAAAAAGTTTATAGATTTTAAGCTATAGAAAAGCTTTAATAACATCTATTCTAACTACATCAAATGTGATATCATAAAAATTTCTATAAATGAATGCTTTAGGTTTCCCGCTTGGTGATCCTTCACGAGGAGGCTGAAGATGGAGGAGCGATGCCCGATTTGACCCGACCTGTGTCCCTTGTTTCACACGCTGTCGATAATCTCATCAAGGTTTCATTTAGAAAATAATTCCCCTAAGTTTCTAAGATCTGAGAACTTATCCCTTTTCTCATTTTCCCTTCCATTTGCTTTCAATTGTGCTTTCAAATGTCTGTCGAATTGTTCTCTTTTGATCGCTTCTTTAAGCATAAATCTCAGACAAACAGTTTTTTCATTTCAAATGAGATTTTTTGATTGGAAAAGAAAAGCTCCGATCTTTTTGTTGGCAATGCTGATTTATTAGATGTTCTTGAAAGAATTGAGTGTCTTTTGATGTCATTCCAAGACTCCGAAAACGTCTTGGGTGGTTGAAGAATATATACTATTCGAAGAATCTATACTATTCGAAGAATATATACTATTCGAAGAATATATACTATTCGAAGAATATATACTATTCTAGGATATACTAGAATACTATACTCTACTAGACTACTATACTCTACTAGACTACTATACTCTACTAGAATACTAAAAACTAATATATATAACTCTAAATTGAATAGAATTACAGTACTTGAGACTTTTTTGGTTATCTACTTATGCCAGTAGCGTTAAATCCAAAATTTCACTGTATTTATCCAATGACAAGTGCAAGTAAAATAGATCAAAGCCAGAATTTTTGCTAACCAAACCGAACTGTCCACCTCTGCTTCTTGTCCCGCAAGAGATAGATCAAAAAATCAATAGATCAAAAATCAATCATTTTACTATATTCTATTTCTGGTGCTGAATCGAAAATCTTTAAGGAATTTGATCGAAAGATTGAAAGAAAAGGGATGAAATGATTCTGATTCAAGAGAATGCCTCAAGGGAAAGGCCAAGAAAAAGGAGGGAGTGGAATGGAATGGATTGGAATGGAATGGAAGAACAAGAAGGGGAAACAGAAGGAGAATCAAAAGCATAAGCCTAAACTCTAACATTGAATTTGGAAAGGATGAGGAGGAGGGGTTGGGAAAAGAAAAAGAAAGCGACAAAAAGAGACAAGCCTTCACTCATTCATTCATCTCTTTTCTCTCCTATTTGTCCTTCTGAGAGTTCACCGATTTGCATACATCTTTATTATTCAATTGATATTCAGCTAGTGACTCTAAAAAGAATCACTTTACCCATTTACTATCACCTACATCAATACAGTATCCATCTTGATCATTGACTGGTAGTTTGGCAGCTGGATTTTATTATATTTATCCTAGATATTCAATAGATATTCAATAGACAATCAGCTAGATACGATCAGTGGTTGAAAAGTGTCTTCTTTTTCTACAATACTCATTCCTATAGCACCTTCTGTACTATTTAATCCTTCTTAACTTTATTAAGAGATGAGCCATCCTATTTGATTCAAGAGCCCCAAACTTTCCCAATCCAGTCAAACACCTATTCATTTGCATATCGAAGCTGTAAATCTGTGTTATTATCGGCATTTGATCAACCAATCAATCCCCATCCTTGCAAAATGGAGTACCGAGAGATGTCAAGACGAAAATTCTTGTCCCTCAACCGTTCTTCTCACTCTTCTCACCCTTCTCATTCACAATTTTCTCATTCTTCGTCTTCTCATTCATCCCATACAGCTTATGCATCAATTGCTCGCACTTCGACCCAAAGATTTGAGCATAGAAATTGCTCGACAAGTGCTAGATATCAGAGAATGGTCTTTTTCTTTTTCAATCTTTTATCCAATACCTTTCAGGTCGGTTATGATACGTGTGATCATTCGGATGATCGAATTCTTCAACAAGATATGCCACCAGCACTCCAAAGAGTTGAGGGATCGAGTCGACTTTTGGAGGGTTTGTTCGTTTGTAAAATTGGCTAAAGCTAAATTAAGGCCGATTCTCACTAGAGCTAAAAGTTTAGACCAATTAAACCTGAATCTAATCGGTAGCCTCAAATAAAATTAATAGCTTCAATCGATCAATTTCTTTCTAGATGCTTGCCGTCACCTCAAAGGCGATCCCTACAGTGCGCCGGGAAGACAAAAGTTGATCGAAGGCGCTAGAGGAATTCTCCAAGGAACATCCGCGCTTTTGTTATGTTTTGATGAGAGTGAAGTGAGGAAAATCATTCGCGGATGCCGAAAAGTTCTCGACTATTTGGCCGTGTCGGAAGTGATCGAGAGTTTGGATGATCTCACGCAGTTTGTGAAGGTTCGGGGAAATATCAATTCGATCACCGTTTAACCATTTAAAACCATTTGAACTATAGTTTGTTTTATTAGAAAGATCAATTATTGCTTATTGCTTAATGCTTATTGCTTCCAGGATATCACCCCTTGGCTATCACGGGTATCTCAAGATGTCAACTTGCGTCAACAGGAACTCACTCATCAGGTAAAGATTGCAGCTATTCAAGCTTCAATATTCAAGCAATATATTAAGCTGTGTAGAAAGTCTTTTCATTCTTTACTTCTAAACCAATTGAACAATGGGTTTTTTTTTCATTAGAAAGATCAATTATTGGATTTGCTTGGATTTGCTTAAAAATGAACTAAAAAGATTGGAAATTGAGCAATAAAGATTTTATTTAGCTTAAACTTTAGTTTAATTGGGTTCTTTTTTCAATAGAAGTAAGAAAAGGAACGAAAAATCAAATAATATTGTTTCTAGGTTCATCGCGAGATCCTCCTTCGATGCATTGATCAGATCAAAACACTCTCACCGATTCTCATCTGCTCAATGAAAATATTTATTCAACTCGGACAGAGCCCAGGATCGAGAGTCAGTGTTGAGGGTTATCAGACTTCAAACTTGAGACTTGATTTTATCTAGCTACCGTAAATACTGTGATAGTACCCCACCCCCATAATGACGGCGCGGAGTGTTACGTAGTCGAGCTTTTGAACGAGTTTTTCTCGACACTGGTTTATGCTACAATGCGCGCTTAGGTATCAAAAAATAGCCCTGAAATTCAGGGCTATTTTTTGATACCAAAGACGCATTTTTTGAAAGTATGGGCGCTTTGAAAAAAATGAAATACTAAAAAACTTTTGCGACTACGCTTCCCTATAATGACGGTCGGAGCGTCGCGTAGTCTAACTTTAAACACATTTTTCTCGCCGCTCTTTTATGCTACAGTGTGTGTTTAAGTATCAAATGAAACTGAAATTCAGGGCTATTTTTTGATACCAAAGACGCATTTTTTGAAAGTACGGGCGCTTTGAAAAGAAATTAAATACTAAAAAACTTTTGCCACTCCGCGACTGTACGAGGGGGATGGGGTATTATTACAGTATTTACGGTATATATTATTATTTGTTCCTAAACTCTACTTATATCTTTAGCATATTGTAAAACTTTTTTAACAAAGTTTGACTAATTTTAAAGAATTTCATTTTTTATCTTATCAAAGCAAAACTTTTTTTTTTCAGGGACAAGCTGAAGCGGCCGAGAATCGAAACTATCTCTCACAACGGATGACCGATGAAATGAATGAAATCATTCGCGTTCTTCAGGTAATCAATATTCTCTTTCATTCAAATATAAACCCTAAGCATTGAATGATATTCAGGCTTTCCCAAATACTATTGACACCCCAGGACGAGTAGGTTTCCCCCAGGAATCCTTTTTTTCTTGAGCGTAGCGTGCTTGTACTTCTGTCGCCTGAATTTAGCAATACAGCAAAAGAAAAGAAATTTTCAGTTGACAACCTACGATGAAGATGAATGGGATGCAGACAATGTGACCGTTATGAGGAAAGCTTTGTCGGCGGCGAAATCTCTTCTTGCAGCCGCATTGGAGTGGTTGGCTGATCCACGGGGTGTGCCTGGATCGGTCGGGGAAAAGGTTTGAGTGTTGCACATTTGATACATAAAGCTAATAAGCATTTGATACATAAAGCTTAAACTACGCTTAACCACCGTAATACTTTCTATCATTTCTATCATTTTATCAGCTTCGATCATTTTGCGTATTCCAGGCAATTCGTCGTATTTGTGAGTACGCGGAGCGCATCGCCACCCGAGCACTCCCGGAAGACGCCTACGTCATTCAACGTGCCACTTCCGAAATTCATTCGCTTACTAACGCGATTTGTGAACAAAGAAATCATGGTTTAAAGCTCATTCTTTCTCTTCACCGAAAGAATTTTACAGGTCGTTACGATAATGAGGGTTTGGCTCAAACATGTGCTCAAAAGCTGAAAGATCTCGTGGGCACGAAACAATCCACCGGTCTTTTACCCGATGCGCTCACGAATGCACACAAAGCTGGTATTGGACATCCTGCGCATACGGCAGCTGGAAGACTTGAGCAAGCGTTGAGGTGACGAGTTGGCTTTGTACTTTGTGCTCTAGATGTGTAAACGCACCTCTTCTACAGTAGTTTGGCGTATTCTTTAGCGAATCACTGCTAGAAAAAGGGGGAATTCAGTGCGCTAGGAAGGATATGGTTACACTATCAAGCACAAAGCACAAGCACACTTAAAAGCATCATAGTCACTGATAAACTTCACTGCTATATTATAATAGCTATTATATTATAAGATTATAATAACTATAACTATAATAACTAATTATAATAACTAACTATAATAACTAACTATTAATAACCTTAAATCATCATTTCAATTCGAATTCAGATGGTTGGACAATCCGGGAGTTGACGATGGTGGAGTGGGTCTTCGTGCGATCAAAATGATGACTGATGATGCAAGGAAATTGGCTGATCAACTCAATCCACAAGATAGAAATCGGTAAGGAAAAAAAAAGCCTTTACCTCAATGTTTTCCCTCAACCTCAACTTTCAGCCTTTTGGGCATTTGTTCGGACATTGACCGCCTCGCCAACCAATTAGCCGACTTGGAGAGAAGAGGACTCGGAAATAGGTAAAGAACGAAAAGACATTTCTGAGGACCCTTTCAGTCTTTTTTTTCTCACTCCTTCAAACATTCATTAACAATTTTTTTTTGGTTCACATGCATTAGTTTTCGAATTTTCGAAGAGTCCAATAGAGCTTAAGTCTTTTTTTTTCTAGATTTTCCTTATTTGAGCTCTGATTTCTGACGTTTAGGATAGTTCTTTTTGTCTAATGTCTGTAAAGTACTGTAGCTTGTACTTTAGCTAGTGTTGTAGACATAGTACTACAGTATCTTTTTCGTCAGTATACCAAAAAGTATCCAGAGAAAAGCCTAATATCTCATTTATTCATTGAAGTCTTGCCAAATGAACACTTCCAGCAGACTCAGATAAAACTTTTCTAGAACTTGACAACATCTTTAACTTCTTTTTTACATCATTAACTTTTTTTTACATACTTTGTTTCATCTTGGAATTCCCATATCCATTCAAGAACCCCAACTTGCAGCCCCGAAGCGCACGCGATTCGCCAACAACTCCGCGACAAATTGAGAGAACTGGCCGATTTCATGAGAAGAGTTCTGACGGATCGTGTTGTTGAGCATTATGCTGACATCACGACCCCGTTGAAACAATTCGTCGAGGCGTCGAGAGCCGATTTCTCTGTGCCGAATCGGGAACACAATTTCCATGTAAGTGAATTGGGGAAATCTAAAAGTAATCTTTATGGAAAAGGAGGGAAATCTAAAAGTAATCTTTATCTATTGATCTGTTCAGAACATTGGTAGATCTATAAGTAGATCAAAAAATTTGTTGCTTAGGATAAATCGTCAAACATGCGCGAGCACTCCAGTCGCATGACGTCGACGGCTCGTCTGGTCGCCTCGTGTGGTCCGTGCAAGAATAAGAAAATCGTTGAAGCGATCGTTGACTCAGCTGAGAAGGTAAGAGATTGGAAAATGGATCGATCGATCGATTCTTTTTGAATAGATCGATCAAATGACACCACAATTGGTGAACGCCGGAAAGATTCGACTCCACAACAACACCGATGCTGTCGATCAACATTTCGAGAATTTGCACAGGTTTGAGAAGAGATCTTATCGTTAGGGGTCAAGAATTCGTTCTCATAAAGATATTGTAGTGACTGGACTGCGGTATCATGTTAGTGTCCCTGAAAAATCCGACAAGACAAGACAAGACAAGATTCAAAGTTTTTTTCAAGCAAAACAACGATGATCTGACTTTGACTGACTTTTTGATTACTTTTAAGTAATCATATTGCAGTAATCATATTGCAGTAATCATATTGCAGACAATCTATTGACCTTTTACAAGTCTACAAACTTTCAGACAATACGCCGATGCCCTTCACCGTCTCCGATCGCATGTCGATGACGCGATCGATACGGGAGAATTCGTGAGAGCATCTGAAGGAGTAAGCAATCTATAAAATCAGCTACATTTCTTAGTTTTGTTTATTAGCAATCTATAAAATCAGCTACATTTCATAAGTTTTGCAAATTGAGCAAGATAAAAAACATGGTACGATTCTAGGCAATGCGTCGATACACCCATCACTGCGAGGAGGCCATCTCCACCGCTCATCCACAGAGTATGGTCGATAATACTAGCCAGGTAGCTGAATAGCTTTTAAATATTATTGCATGTTTATAGATTGCTCGTCTTGGTAACCGTGTGCTGATGACGGCGAAGAATGAGGCGGACAATAGTGAAGATCAGCACTTTGTTCGTCGGGTCAATGATGCCGCTTCAGGACTTCATTCGGGTACGGTAACTCACTATAAAAAGCACTTGCTTTAAAAAAAACTACCGTAATCCATTCCGTTTACATTCGATCAGCTGAATTTTCGTGTCATTCAACAAAAGGTTTTAAGGGAAGTGAGCGAAACGAAAATTTAGCTGATCAAATGTAAACTGATATTACAATTGATTACGATTACGATTACGGATTATGATTATGATTATGGTTACGGTTAATTACGGTAGTTAGATGTCTTTTAGAAAATTCATTAGCAGCATTTAAGCAGCAGTAAACATTGATTAGCTTACCAACTTGTAATCGGATCTGTAAATGATCAAATATATCGTCCAACTGCACAGATTGACCCCTCGGAAATGTGGTCCTAGCTTTTCATCAAAATTTTAAAGAAAAAAGAATTGTGTTTGTCGTTGAGTGGAGGGGAAGAGTTGAAGCGAAGAGTTGAAGAGAGAGCCCCTTCTTGCGTCAACATGCAACATGCCCTCCTTTCCCCTTTTTCCCCCTCTTTTCCGCTCTTTTCTTTCATTTACCCCCACCCCCATCATCGGTCGGTCGATCCGCATAGAGTGGAAAAAATGACTCGGAAAACAGAAATCGGGAAGCAAGAGGTATTCGGGGTAAAGGGGAGTACAGGGTCTCAAGGGTCACGCGGGCCTTCCTTCCCCTCCCCTTCCCATCTCCTTTCCACCCACCAACCGATCTGACCCGATAATCGGCTTCTGCCGAACAACCCCCTCCTCTAACTCTAAATTCTCATCCTTTTTTTTTTCCTTTTCATTCAAATGCCCCCCACTTTTGCTTCTGCTCCATTCGCTTCCGGACCTGGAGCTATCTGTCGCCCTGAAGACTTTCGCTTTCCTCGCTCCGAACCGAATCTCACTTTTGATGGAATGAAAGGAGAACTCTTTCAACGAACTGAGGAAAGAAGAAAACAAGAGGAACAACGAGAGGAAAGACTTTTCGAGCAAAGAAGAGTCAATTATGAGCAGAGGAAAAGTCAACTCGATCTTTACCAATTGAGAGATTTTAGTCCTTCAAGGACACCACCGAAATATTATTCGTATACGGTGTCGAGGGGAAACTCGAGATCGGTTTCCCCGGAAAAGGCGAGATTCCCGGTGTCAAGAGATGGGTCACATTCGAGACATTCGTCACCGGGAAGGGTTCAACAATATGAGAGAAGATCGCTCAATTATGATTATCATGAGAATCGGATGAATCAAATGAGACCGAGATCGTTGGCTTTTGAAGTGGAGAGAGAAATGGGAAGGGGGCACTCATCGAGAAAGGATTATGGGACATGGGGATCGAGGATGTCAGCATCGAGATCAAGAGAAAGAGAGGGAGGATCGAGATCGAGATGCACGTCCAAAGAGAGAAGTCTCTCGAGATCACGACAATCGGTTTTTGAGTTCTCGACTCCTTGCTCGAGATGGGATTACACTCGAATGAAGTATCGATCCTCGTATGATAGTGAAGAACCGGTGTCCGATTATGAAAATGACGAGGGAGCTGAGAGGAGATGTTTGTAACTTGGGATAGTTAAAATATTCTGTAAAGCTCAGGGAAAAGATATTCAGTTTTAGTCATTGAATAGCTTTTATTTTTTTTAATAGCTAGCTAGGCTGTAGCTGGCTGTAGCTGGCTCTTACAGTTGACCTTTTACAATTGACAGTAGAGTCTAGACCAATAATCTAATCATTAAGCTAGCCAAACATTTCTTCTTTCAGCAATCCCACCAATGGTCAACCACGCCAAGTCTGTGGCGATGAACCCGCGTGATGGAGGAGCGGCCGGGGCATGGAGGGGAGCAAACGATCATCTACTTGATAGTGTACGAGCTGTCGGTGATGCCATCACTGGACTCCCGCAACCGAGGTTTGGAAAAAGAAACGAATGAAATCTATCACAGATTTCAGGGAAACCCGGTCATACCATCAAGAAACGATGCGTTCCACTCAACCGTCCCCTGCACGACATGAATCATCGCAACATCTCCATTCGATGTCCGCTCAAGCACCAAGTGCACCAACCATTCATCATAAGGTAGAGTTGGGAATAGAAAGGAATTAACGGCCTAACCAGAATTAGTAAAAAAGCCAAATTGCAAAGGTAGACCAACTCCAACAGTAAGGTTGAAATTTCAAGCCAAGGTCAATTGAAAGTCATTGGCTTTAAGTCATTGGCTTTTGGGTTTTAGCTTCTTTTACCAACCCTTTAACCGGTTGTGATTTTGGCAATATTGGCTTGTTCAATAGCCTTGACTTACCTACTTCACCTTAAGATTGAACCATGCAGTTCAAACACAACCCATATTCGTTTTAGACTACCGTATGCTAAGGATATAACTGGATATTATCCAGATATGGCTTTCAAATAAGGATTTGTCATCTAAATGATCTAAATGAAACTTTTCTTGTAGATGATTGTCCGAGAAGAGATCCCACCGCCACCCCGTCCACCACCACCAGTCGAGATCTCTCCACCACCCAGGTAAAAAAGATTTGGGTTATTTATAAATACCGCATTCTCTCTATTAGTACACCAGGCTTGAAGAGAATTGAAAAAAGTACACCAGCGTACTACTAGAGAAAACACAAGTACTAGAGAAAATACGGTAGCTACCTATATTTTTATATTTTAAACATTTGCCAGTTTGATTACTTGATCTGATCCTTTTCTTGTGAGCTTTGTCTGATGCTTTTCTTGTGGGCTTTGATGTGACCGCCCACTCGAACACCTTAGAAATGAGAGATTAGATGATAGAATAGAAAAAAGGAAAGAAAAAGAAAAATATCTTCAACTCTTTCTCTTTTTGACTTGAAAAAAGCTGAAAAGCTGAAACGGCTTCTATTTACGCTTGAAATCGAGGGGGAATGGGCATAGAATGGGAAAAAAGAAGAGAAATCCTTTAGAAAAGAGTAGAAAGTAAGCAGTAAGCAATTACTCGAGTAAAATTTGCATCGTTTAATCGACTTTTGGTCGAGTAACTACGAGTAATCCTCTTTACACGTCGAGTAAATTGAATATCTTTACATTTGAAGGGAATTCCCCATCACATCATTTAAACGGCTGAATATCTTTAAAAGGGGGAATATATAACGCGACGCTCGTGATTTTTTTCGCCAATTTTTTTTGCAATAATTTTTCTCAAGTTTGCGTTTTAAGAAAACGCATTACTCGCGAGGAACACACTCTAATAAAAATGATGATTACCGTATTTCTTCGAATAGAAGACCGGGTAGAAGACCTTTGAATTTTTGACGAGTTTGTTCGCTTGCTCGCATCGATTGCTTTTCTGGAAATGCTGCTATATATTTGATGATTATCAAGAGTGATTAGGGCTCTATTATACAAAATAGTAAGCCGTTAATAGTTACCGTATTTCTTCGAATAGAAGACCGGGTAAAGAGTATCATCGCGTACTCCTGCGTAGCAGCCCTTTTTAAAATTTCTTTTCTGCATAAAAGCTTTCAATCAAGTGCTATAGAGCTGGAAAATGGCTCAAAAATCTGTTAGCTCATGTGGTATTTTTGAGCCATTTTCCAGCGCTATAGCACTTGATTGAAAGCTTTTATGCAGAAAAGAAATTTTAAAAAGGGCTGCTACGCAGGAGTACGCGATGATACTCTTTACCCGGTCTTCTATTCGAAGAAATACGGTATATGGGATATAAAGAAAACAAAAAAGCAATGCTTTTGAAGAAAGATAGAAGTGTTATAGTAAAGTACTGCTTGAGTTGGTAACCTTTGAAATTTGAATTAAATTCAGACCACCACCACCGCCTGTTGATGAAGAGGAGGAAGAGACTCGAGCTTTCTGGGAAAGGTTATTTTTTGACTTTAAATACAGTAACTGAATGTCAAACTGAATATTGAATGTAAATCTAATATCTAATATCTAATTTCCTTTAGATACCCACTACCCGGTGCTCAGAGTCAACCCATTCTCTCGGCTGCTCACAATTTGCACAATGTAAGTGAAAGGTTGAAGAATAGATCCATTAATGATTGTTAAACAAAAATTTGCATATATATTTATTGGATATATATTGCATATATAGGAATTGAAACAATGGTCCTCACACGAGAACGAGATTGTGGCTGCGGCAAAGAGAATGGCTATTTTGATGGCCAGACTTTCACAGCTTGTACGCGGAGAAGGAGGAACAAAGAAGGTAAGAAAGGATGATCAGATCGAAGCAATATTAACTAAATTCTTGAATTTGATAGCAATGACAATAAAATTTTCAGGATTTGATCGATTGTGCGAAGGCAATTGCTGATTCATCCGAGGAAGTCACTCGTTTTGCTGTACAACTTGCACGACAATGCACTGATATTAAGATGAGAATGGTGAGGGAATAAAGAAAGATTTGGAAGTAGGATACTGTAATATAATACGGTAAAATAGGATCCTCTAGTCTAAAGTACACCAGAATAAAAAGTGTTAAGACGCCAAGCGGAATAACCTTACAATTTCTTTAAATCATTTAAAGCTAAAGATGTTCAGCTTTAAATGCTTTACATTTTGGCATACTGTAGCGAGACAGACAGACAGAGAGAGACAGACAGACAGACAGACAGACAGTACTCTGTCATTTACAATAGTGTCACGTCGTACTGTAGCTAGGATATAGAACTCTTACAGTACTCTTAAGTCGCTTTTTCACAATAATCGATATTCAATCTTTAAAAAATATCTTTTCCAGACTTTGTTGCAAGTTTGCGAGAGAATCCCCACAATCGCCACTCAATTGAAAATCCTTTCAACTGTGAAAGCGACAATGCTTGGATCAGCTGGTGAGTTTTCTTTCCTTACAGTACCTTCTTCTCAATTCTCTTTACAATCAAAAATATTCAGTCACTATTGGACCATATGGCCAGCCTATTGATGGTAATTATTGAAAAAGGAACTAATCGTTTGAAATAAGATAACTGCATGAAAAATGAAAACTCTAATAAGGATTCTTTTTTTTTTCATGAAAAAGCATGAGGGTGGAGAAAATGAAAGAAGAGAAGTTAAGAAAGAAATTTCAGGATCAGACGAGGATGAACAGGCCATGGAACAGCTTGTGCTTAACGCTCAAAATCTTATGCAATCGGTGAAGGTGAGTGGGAAAAGGGAAAGTAGTTGAAACATTGTACCACTGTAATCAAAGCCGATTCGATCTGGTACTAGCGACCTATTACCGGATCTGTACTGGATCCATATTACCGGATTTTTACGTACTGGATCTGGTAATAGTTGACTGAATCTGATACTAGGCCATTTATTGACCATCACATTGAAAAACCTTGATCATATCTGATCTCCAGAGAAACTTTTTTACCGTAATCAGTCTATACCGTAATCAGTCTGTACCTACCGTAATCAGTCTGTACCTACCGTAATCAGTCTAGATCTACCGTAATCAGTCTATAAAGTAATCAGGGTAAACAGAATAAAAAGAATATGTCTACATTGAACTACTTACCTACCAAATACAATTGTAAACAAATTGCAGGACACCGTCCGAGCAGCCGAAGCCGCTTCGATCAAAATTCGCACAAACTCCGGTCTCCGTCTTCGCTGGATCCGAAAGCCGATGTGGAGCAATTTCTAAAAAAGCTCAATTTCCATTTTTTTTTGTTTGCCACTGTAGAATCGGACTTTGTGGCTTCGTGCTTTAAAAGTCCTTTTCCTTCAAATCTTCTTTTCTTTTTCCCCTCTGCTCATCCTAAACCCATTCATTTCTTTTGTGAATTGGGACCTCCATTCGGAAATTTTGCCATATCTTTACAAAGCCTTTTTTCAAAAAAAAAATCTGTTCCCCGTGCAATTTTTGTCGTAGCTGAAATTTTTAAGCAAGTCACAACTCCGTTTTTTTTTCTCCTTCTTTTTCCCCAAAAAACAGTTCAGTTCATCGCTAGTCGCTCTTTGAATTCCGTTCTTTTTCGTTTTATTTTTAAAGTCAATCATATTTTGTCAAAGCTAAATACTGCCTATTTTCCTATTTTGTCATTTTGCTCCTCGATATGAATTGTGCCTTTTCCATTTCTTTTTTGAGAACAAATAGCAGTTATATCCATCATTTTTTTTTATGCTACCAGCAATTTTGAAGTGTCATAATCTCAAATCTACAGCAAATTTACGATTTGTTTTTTTATCTTTTTTTTCCTTTGGTGCTCAACATAATATCTAAATTCTAAGGGATCTTCGATTTTTCTCTTTAAAATGAATCGAAAATCGAGATTGCCTTCGGCACTTTATTGTATTCTATATTAACAAAATTTTAATGATTTTTTTTTTCTGTTTGAATATAAATTTATAAGTTTTAACCGCTCAACCCTCAAATGCAATGCAATGCAAGCAAGCAAGCAAAAAAAAAACAGGGGGGGGAAATTCGACAAATTGAAAAAGATTAAAAAGGAAAAAAAGGAAAAGTTGGGTCCAAGAACCACAACAAATTAAAAATAATTTGCATTTTTCAAGAGAAATTTGCAAGTAATCTTTATTTCTATTCGTTAGTCGCCCGCAACACTCGGTGAGCATTTACCCATCTTTCGTTTTTTAAACTTTATGTTGATAGGGTTTCCTAAGAATGCGACACTACTCGAAAAATAGCGCCAATCGCTCGGTAAACACTTTTTGTCTAGATTTGGAAACTTTAGATTAACTAGTTTTGATAGAATCCGATTCGTCACTATTTGCTTTTTGTATATTCTTTTGCTTATCATATGTATGTATCATTTTTCTTTCAGCAATCGAGTGTGTCAAAAACGGGGCCCAGGGCGAGTGATGCTGCATTTCGGCACATGTCTCGCGAGAAGAAACGCATTCAGCGTGTTAGACAGTAAGTTATTGGAATGTTAACTTTTAATGCATTATCCCTTAGGAAGAGACACCATCGTCAGAATGACATCCCCGAGATCGCTGAAAGCAATGAGATCATCGGGGTTAATGGGGCGACTTCGATGAATGACGAGAACACCGATGATTCTGTGTTCGTTTCTTCTTTAGTAAAATGTTATTCTGATTCTTTTAGCTATTTGGAGGCGCTGCTCAATGGACAAGCCGATGAGGATCAACAAATGGCAAAGTCTCCCGACCAATTCAGCTGCAGGGTGTACATTTTTCTTATTAACGCTAAATTAAATTAAATTGAATCCTTTTTATCTAAACTTTTTAGCCGTATCACTCCCTATGGAAGCGATTCCGCTGACGCAGCTCTGAGTGCCGAAAGGACGAGTCTTGCACCTGTTTATGGAGTCTATCCTGAGTACGTTTGTCTTCTTGCTAAACTTGTACATGTTGGATTTTAGTGACCACGCTCTTTACAACCAATCCAACATGGAATATTACGACCCCGAGCAACGGCCAATTGAGTAATTCATATTTTTTTGTAGTTTTGTTAAGGGTATTTTTAGGCGTCGTCCATCGATCCTTCAAAATCCTCATGTGTTCATGCTGACTCGTTCAATTGGTTTCTACTGCGGCGAGAAGGCAAAATGGATTGCTGAGTTCCTTGCCGCTCGACCGGTGGGTATTACTCAAGCCATTTTTCGATTTTGAGTTATTTATTTATATTTAGTCTCTTCTCATGGTGATTCTCGTAATCGTCACTATCTACTTCTTGCTTTCCCTTATGGAGGTAAGCGTGACTACATTATTACTATAACGTTCTTTTACGTTACAGATGTCGCTTGTGCTTTTGTTGGATCCAGTTGTTCGTTTCTTGTGGACTCATCTGCATTGGTTGTTGGTGATGTGTGGTCAAGGTTTTCGCTCGGTTTCCAATTGGTTCTACACGGCAGATCATATTTCTGATGTAGCTTTCTTATGGCTTACATTTTCACAACGAATACGCTTCAGGCTTGGTTCTGTGATTTTGCCGACGCGTGGTGTTCTCGCTTCAACATTTTGTGTGATCGCCGTTGTTCACATGTCGATCGGGCTTTGGAACGACTTCGTCCCCATGATTGATCGCAAAAAGGCATTTGTTTCCTCTACTTCCCTCATCAGCACATTGATCTCAATTCTTTCTTTTCAAATTTCGATTCTTATTAGGAAAAATAAATTGATTATGCGTAGTTCTGACATCTGAAATAAAGCTATCACCTCGCAGTTCTTGGTAATTACACGCAAATGTTTATCAGTTAAGACAATTTGGTCAAACCCGAAGCAGTACCGAAATCAAGTACGTAATACATCACAATACATACAGTATTTGCAAAATAAATATTCACCCATTAAGTATCAGCAAAATATTGAACAAAAATAACGTTTTTTTTAAAGAAGTTACTTATGACGATTTCCTCTTCGACGAGATCCAGATTCTTTAGTCGATCCAGCTACACCCAATTGTCCTTCCTCGATTTCCTGAAAAGTAATTTTCGATATGAAGTTTATGGGGATTTTTACGTCTTTTTGGAAAAAAACCGATAGCATACAGGAGGTAGCCAACCTGTGTTGTTATCGTATTGTCTTCAAGTTGCTTTTGGATTTTCGTTTGAGCTTCAAAATGCATCAATAAGTCGTTGATTTGATCTTTCAATTCAGCAATCTCCTAATTTATCATGGATGAGTATGCGAAAATAAGCACCTTTGAGCTTCCTTGTTTTTCTTTTTCAAGATCCACAATTTTGGAAACCCATTTGTGATGATCATCACGTAATGCCTTATTCAAAGATCGTTCTTCTTCCAAATCGGATTGTAACTAAAATTTTATTTTAAAAGAGTTGCCTTTGAAAATTATAAAAACCTTGTTTAATTTCGATTGCGTAGACTGTTGCTTTTTATCAGTCGAGGCTTTTGAAGTTTGGCATTGCGTGAGTTGATCTCGAAGATTATTGCATTCTGTTACTGCACGCTTCAATTGATCTTCTAAGTCGTCCATCTAAACTTTATTACCTGGATTAAAAGCACAAAACGTAAACTAACCTGTGCTATAGCCATTTTCTCGAAATTTGAATGATTCCGTTGTTCTTCTGCTATTCGAGACTAAAATTTCATTCAATACGTCATAGCTCAGCAAAAATATAACAAACCTCAAAAAATTCCCGTTGAGCCTCGAGTTGAGAAGTGAGCAATACGGTATACTCGATTTTTAAGGAATCCAACTTTCCATCTTTCTCGAAGTCCGACTAAATCAATTTCATATTAGAATCAAAATATGCATGTTCTACCGCTCCATTACGCTGATATTCGACCATTTTCTGTGAGTCGTCCGTTTGAATTAGTCGATGAACATAATTGTCCCCAACATAATCCCAAACACGTTCACCACCGACTTGAAGACAAAATGTATGCGACGTAGCTTCAAAATGCCTACAATATAAATGTTTACACAGTATCACTTCAAAACAAACTACCTGTACGCATGAGCCTCTGCATATCGACCGCATCCAATATTCCCACAAATTAAACAAATCCATAAGTCCGTCGATTGTCCGCAATCACTACATCGTTGATCAGCCACAAGTTCGGGAGTCTGTGTGTAACGACAAACTGGACACCTGAAAAAAATTAAGCGTTTTTATTATCACTGGATAAAGTTACGTCGTGTCGGCCCATTTTTGCAAACAATCTGCATGAAAGGTGTGATTGCAAAGAATTGACAGAACACCATCGTCCATTCTTTCGAGACATACCTACAAATACGTGAGCAAATCTTTGAAAACTACTAATGCACTTACCGCGCAAGTAGGAAGTTCTGTCAACTTTTCATTTTGTTCACGCATATCGTATTCCTCAACCTAAAGCATCATTGAATAGCCAATTCAAATCAATTTTGCGCTTGCCGTTTCAATTTTATCCACAAAAAGCAGCGAGCATTTGTACGGCTCCATTGAGTTGAAATGTTGCCCGTTGTACTCTTCGTAAAAGATCACGCAATCATGCTAAAATAGCTATTTTTAAAATAAAAAGCAAAACTCACATGTGTTTTAAACCTCAATATAATCATGTATTGATTGGGTGTGGAATCACGAACAATTCTCATCTTTTCAATAGATGCAATCGAGGGTTTGATAAAAGCAACCTTAAAAATTTTATTATGTTTAATGTAACACAAAACAAACAATTTCTCGTGCCGTTATTTCACTTGATACAGCCAACATACAGAGCATCCTCGATTGTGATTCCTTGCTTAGAGATTCATCACTGTAAATTGAAAATTTGCCTTTCAAAAAAAAATGTAACAAACTTGTATTTGAAGAAATGCAAAATTCCTTCCGTTTTTTCGACAAACGGGTTTCCAGAATAGTAGGAAAGCTTCTCAATATCTAAAAACAATTAAGTTAAACAAAATAAATTGCAACTTTACTTAGTGGCTCGCTGTTGCTCCTGGAAGATTCTTTGGTTTCCTGACTCATTTCGTGTAATCCATCGGTTTCAAATGTTTCCACAACCACCTCCGAGTAGGTTCGTTTCCCTTTGAAATTTACCGGCGAAGAGCGGACACCGGATTGCTAAAAAAATAAATAAAAGTCGTTTTAATAAAAGAAAATCTCTAACAAAAACCTCTTGAGAAGATTTTATGGTAGGTGGTGCCAAAGGCGCATCACTTGCATGTGAAGATGCCTAAAATCATAAAAATAAAAAAAAAAAAACTTTCTACCTGTGGACTACGTTTTTTCATCTCATTAACTACCCGTCGAGATGAGTTACTTCTTGAATCTAAAAACAAAAAGATATATATGTAAGTTCATCCATAGCTTAATTTTTAAAGACCCCACCTTTATCTCCTTCGTTTACCGACTCTTCTTGGAAATCGACCTTTTTTGAGCCTTTTTGAATTTCCAGCCGTATAAGAAGACACGAATTATCACTGTTCATTCAGTAATTCTGGAAAAAAAGTCCATTGTCAATACACCTGAACTGAACACCGAATTAGCAAAAAAAAGACGATATAAAAAGTGTTCCAGTAAACAGCTGCTTCAATATTTTGTTTGACGGGAAAAGGGGCCCGAATAAACTCTTTTCTTTGGCCGCCTATTTTGCCTTTTGGGCTCATTCCGTGGAAAATCGATGCCGCGCAAGCAGTCCTTTTTCTCGAGGCGTTTTCTACCCCTTCCCATTTTTAGCTCTCGTCAAATCCTTTCAATTCATTTTCTATTCGCTCAAAACTAATGCTCAAGTAATGTTCGTATTAGCGTCTTTCATTTCGTCGGTGATCGATTTTCAAAGAAGACGTCGACTGAAGGTTTCACCCCAGTTAACCCCGATAAACTGAAAATTTCAGCTAGTTCTTGAAGCATTTTTCAATGACATCAATAAACAGCACATGAGTTTATTGTGTAAAAGGACGGATGAAGCGTAACTTTATATTGGGAACTAAATAGTACCTATTTAGCTCGACATCCGGCTATAACAATGGAATGGGTCTGCGAAAGCAAGTCTCGGCTCATTTATCCGATCCAGAACTGAACATAGAAAAAGTGAATAGAAAACTTAAAAAGCGGTTATAAATGCAAATTTAGGATCGAGATTTTGTACTCTATTTTAATGAGTGTCGAGAGATTATCGTTGTACCCGCACAAGTCAGTGAAAACTATTACCGTAATACATGTAGCGCCTCCCGTACAGTCGCTTAGTCTAACACACAATTTTGCGACGCTCCGTTCTCCGCGCTGCTTCGACGGAAAATGTACGATATCAAATAGATATCAAAAGAAAACGCTTAAAGCGAAAAATTTTTGTTACTAACAGTTTATTTTAGAAAAATGCATTCAAAAAATGATTTACTTTAGCGACTACGCGACTGTACGTCATTATGCCCCTCATAATGGCGCTACTATTACAGGTATTAAGGTAGAAATGAACACCGAATTTAGGAACTGAATGAATTGGACTGGAGGTTTTGTCAATCTCCGAGTTCATCGATGGAATCTCTATATTCAACAAAGTTGCCTTCAGAGAATATTTGATAAGCAAGAATTTTAGGATTTATTTCGTCGCTATGGCCGCTTGCACACGTAAAAGTCGTGTTGATGAAACAAGGAAAGAAGAGAAAGAATCTTATTTATGTTCGATCTTCCCCTCAATGATAAAAGATACAATATTTAGTTGAACTCATTTTGCTCTCGAGTTGGTTTTTCATCTAGGAAAACGATGGAAGGACTGTATTCATGCTCATTAGAAGATTTTCTGGAAGTGAGTCTTGAAAAAGGAAAACATAAAGAATGGTTTACAGATAGTTTATGCTTGGAGTGTCGATTCTCTTTATGAAAGCTCTACAGGACCTGCGATTGAAATGATACAGAGTACTGGAGATGTTGATGAACTTTTGAACTCATTTTTCAGCTTATATGATCGAAGATGCCTTATCAAGAACAATGTCCAGTTCATCGTGTATAGCAACAACTTCAAGTCGGGATAATAGCATCTTTGCCCTTTATTCATTCTCCAAACAAAAAGCTCTGCCAATGCTCGAACAATTATTCTGGGGCGATCAACTTGGACTCACACAATCGATTAGACAAAAGTGGGCGCAAATGTTTTGGCGAGTTCAAAAAGTGTTTTAGATTTTTCTCTGAAAGTGCCTTAAACATTGAACTACCATTTTTCCGGTTAGTCCACCTAGATATTTGATTGTAAAATCGAAAAATTCTAGTCAACAATCATTTCGATTGCCTACACAACCGAAGATGAAATGCTCAACAGCTCGTTCATCTCTACGATATCGAGCACCTAGTCCTAGTCCAATGGCAATTGAATTTAGAAAAAACGAAGGTTAGTGTAAAAAGTGATCCTCACAAACATCAATTTTAGTTTCGTCTACTGATTTCCGTAGAGCCAACAATGGTAGCCCGGCAAACTTTGGAAGTCTGCCGTCTAGTTATCGAAATCATTCCGTTCCTCCCTATTTACGACTTATCCTTGAAAAGGAACAAGCGAAAAAAGAGGTAATGAATCAAAATAGAACCTGATTTGAATATTCAATTGTAGATTCAAAATAAACAACAATCCAGTGAAGAAAAGGATACAAAAGTGCCTGAGGTAGTCCCCCAAAGAGCTTGTCCTTTGGTGGAATTCAGCTCGGACGTTCAAAAAGTGAAAAATTCAACTTCAACTAAAGAAATAGGTACTTGAAGTGAGTTATATGATGAAAAAAGAAACATTTAGGGTCTTCAGTCGAAACTTTCGATGATCTTGCTCAATACGATGAAAATCGAATAAAGATTAGGTAAGGCAAGTTATCGAACTATCAACGAAAACCTTTAGATTACTTGATGAGAACGTACCCTACATTGACTCCCAAACAACGAGTGGAAATTCGGCTGAAGACACGCCGAGAAGCGAAGTATTGGTAGTGATTACATGGCGAACAACTTGTAACTACGGCTTTTCAGACAACTCCAACAAACACACCAAGGGCCGAATTATCCGCAACTTTTGAGTTTGATCCAGAAAGGCAAATGGTGTAAGTGATACAAGTAAAAGTTGTCTGATAGAGTGGGTTTCAATTTCAAAACAAGATCTTTCTGCAACATGATTTTCTAGAGTTGCCAACTCGAGTAGAGAAAGCAGAAAAGTCGAGCGGACAAACGGAAGACCGCACGCCAATTTTGAGGTTGATGAAGAAGTAAGCAAAAAAATGTGCGCTTTTATGTAGGTGACAAAGAGCTCGCTTAATCCGTTGAGACGATCTATCGTTGAAGTCCGAAAAGATGGTGGTTCGATGAATGATTAAGTAACTAGATACGAGAAAATTTCAGATTTCTCGGACAACAGCTCGTCCGAAATTCAACAAAAATTCGAAAATGGATTGAATGAATTTCGAAGGCAAAGTTTGGTGACAAGAAGAGGTAAAGTGAGGAAAAAGAAAACGAGATTACAGAGAGAACCTCTATTGGAGGATTACGAAGCTGCAAAATGATACCAAAAACAGAGATCTAATCAATATATCAAATTGACAATATATCAAAAGTTGCGGTTTTTGGGCCATCCCATTTTTTTCCTTAAATCGATCCCTGAATTTAAAAATTTTCTTTCTCAACTAAACGTCTACTATTTTTCAAAACTAAAGATTTTCTAAAGATTTCGCTTTTCCTAAAAAGAATGCGTTAATTTTCTTTCTCAACAAAACGTCTCAACAATCTTATTTTTGCGCATTCATTTATCTTGGGCTTCGATCGCTCCTCTCCCCCCATCCTTACCATCTTCTTTGCACTAATTGCATTTATTTCCCATTACCTCAATATAGTGCTCACTAAAATGATCTGTTTAAAAATAACCCAAAAAAATGACTTTCGAAAGAAAAAAATGACTTTGTTTTCGAAATAAGATGCCGATTTCCGCGGACAATAGTCAACCCATCAAAAACACACCAACGATCAATACTAAAGCCGCCATTTCCCTGGCGTGTTGTTTTCAATTTTCCCCTAGTTCCCAGTTAAATGTTGTTTTTAAGTATTTCAAAAGCCTGTTTACTGTTGTTTTCAACAAACATTGAAAGGAAAATATGAGTGAGTGATATGACTTTTTACTTCTTCAGTCTCGTGAACGGGCTTTTGATATCAGTCGATACTGTTAGAAAATCAATCGTTACATTTGTATCGTATTTTCTAGCACTTGAAAATTAATCCAGTTGTATTTTTAAGGTTTGACTATCTTTGGTGGATTGCGAGCCTCGATTCGGAAACATCTTTTTGAGCCAAGACGGAGAATGAGCCTTTCTCGATCAAGGGATCCAAGCCAAGAACGACCACCACAAAAACCCCCATCGGTAAGTCAATTTAAGTTTTTTTTCTGGAATTGATATGTTTGATTGAATTTCTTTTTTAGATTTTGGTATATTCGGGGAACAGTTCTTCTCTGTATCGAAAGATTCGAGACTGTTTATCATTTTGTCTTCCCGCTGATATCTACACTGTTTTCAATCTCTCCAACGATGCCATTCGTAGCGCGGCATGGATTGATCCTTCTTCGGTATTTTTTTGCAATTAATAGCAAATTTATTTTTTTCTAGTATTGCCTGCTCATAGCGGACACTGTTGGATTGGATGATCCGGCATGGCATCGGTTGCATCAATTCTTCAATCAAGTAATGCTTAGCTGAATAACACATAAAAATGTGTTTAGTCTGGAAAAATCATCTTTATCTGCCAAAATCGTTTACTCGCAAGTTTTACAAACGCTGATTCAACGAAGAAACAAGAGGGACTTTTAAAAGTAAACTTTTCTTTTACCATTTTTTTTATTATTTATCTAGTTGGCATTTGGCGATCGATCGAACTTTTTTGGAAAAGAGTTTGAGACGTTTCTCAAGAAAGCATTGAAATCTTTAGCTAAACACAATAAGGTGGGTAATTTGTATTTTTTTTACTTGGTTTTAATCTCCTTTAATAGGTCCACGAAACCTATCATTCAAAGGATATTGTGGATGGAGCTCAATTTACTGTTCTTCTTTCAAAAATGCCCGGTTAGAACACTACACCAAATAGTTATCTGGTATAACTTCGTTTAGAAACTCCACTGTTGCTCTATATGGAAAACAGTGTCCATCGAGCTTCTGCTGTATTTTCTGATGCGACAACAGATGAAATGCTTTCCCCCGAATCATCAGTATATGCTTATTTTGTTCATTAAAGTTTACCGAAAGCTTTGCATAGGTAGTCCGAGATGCTTTATCGAGAATTGGAGTGCGCGTAATGGAGACGCAAAATGGACCTCCACCTTTAACTCAAGGATATCTTCAGATGAGCCCCACAAAAGATTGGGATCAATTTGAAAGCGTAAACAAATTTTATGGTTTCTCTCTAAAAAGACTGGTTTTAGCGAATTTTGCTGGGCGAAGCAGTGGGGACATCTCCTCGAATCTTTTTACGTAAATCCGACAAACTATCTGATTTGCCCATACCTGAAGCGACGTCTGAACTACTTCCAATTGAGATTACTCCAAGGTTTTGTTTTCATTGATATTTTAAACAATAATGTTAGCGGTTCACTTTTTCCTTCCTTTGATGCCTCAAAATACTTTGAAATTCTGCAAGCAAAGACTTTGGGGCGGTGCTTGATTTTTGTTCCTGTTTGCACGACCACTATGGATGTTTGTTCAAGGTATTTATTTTATTTGAATATTCCAAATTAATTATTTCTTTAGTATATCATCTTCATGGGCAGGATTTGAAGGTGTGATTGTGATTGCACGCCAACAAACACATGGCAGAGGTAATATAAAATGTCATTGTGGAGTACATTTTTATGCTTAAGGACGTGGTGGAAACGAGTTCATTTCGTTGCCCGGAACTGCAATGTTCACAATGAACTGCACTGTTAGACAAAACAGCGCTCTCGCAGAACGTCCGTCCCTTATTCAACATATCATGGCTACAGCCGTCGCTCAAGCTGTATCGAAGTTATCGGGTGTTGAGGTATTTTTAAGATTTTTGTTTTTGAACGACGTCTCATTTTAGGAATTTCCTTTTCGTATCAAGTGGCCAAATGATTTTTACTTCAGTCGATCTCATAAAGTTGGAGGGTTACTGGTTACCGCAAAGCACCGAGACAACTGCATCGAATTTATCATTGGTAAACTACATTTTTTTCTCTTTTTTGTGGAAAATAAATTTAGGCGTCGGTGTCAATGTTGAAAACAGTAAACCAACGGTGTGTCTTAATGACATGTTGCCCGAAGAATCGACAACAGAGTTCTCAGTCGAAAGTGTGATCGCCGAGACAGTGACTCAATTTGAAAGTAATTTTCAAGTTTTTAAACGAAGTAACTCGTTATAGATCTGTTATTTGAATTCGAAATGCAAGGCTTTGAGGTATTCAAAGAGCGATACGAAAGCTTTTGGTTGCACAAGTATGTACAGCTCTTTATATTTTGACACTAATTTTTATTTAGTCGTGAAGAAGTTACTCTCGAAGATGGCGATAAAGTGGTCATTAGAGGAATCGATAAAAACGGCTATTTGAGTGTAAAAAGTAGACGAACTGCTAAGGTAAACTTAAATTTTTGTGCGATACGTATTATTTGTTTAGGAGTTTACAATCGGCGATGACGGAAATACGTTCGATATGATGAGAGGACTTATTCGACATAAGTTAGTCTAGTTGTTAATATAGCCTTGCAATTGTTAAGTTTTTACGTTTTTCAAAGTTTATAAAGATTTTTATTACTTGGTTTCTATGAAAAACACAACATACAAGAAAAAAACAGATTTTTGGTCCTTTGAGCAACGAATAGACATGGGTTCTCAATTTTTCTTCGAACTGCTTAGATTTGCAAATGTGAAGGGGAAATGGGACATCCTGGGACATCCTGGAACACGAGAAAATCCTGCAACCCCAGTTCATTCTGCGTCAGGAATCATTGAAGTGGATCCTTTATCCAATTTACTCTTCAGCAATTTTGAAGTGCTTGGCGTCAGTTGGCTCAAATCTTGGAAATCACCTACCTATCTTTGTTATCTATATTAATCTTTTGAAGTCTCTTCTGAAATAGGAAGTTATAAATTTAGAACTCATGCTGGGAAAGCAATTGTTCTTTTGCTCATTCTTGCTGTCGATGGCTTTTGGGTACTTTTTGCCACAGCAGCTGAGTTGGATTGAAAGGTGAGAGATGTTAAAAGCACCATGCTGTTTACTATAGGTAACTTTCAATATGAAAGTACATCTTATTGAAATCAAAGCTGTTTACAGAGTCTATCCGAAGCAGTACCCATCCAATCCTTCTCGTCTCATCAAGCATCTCCGAGTTGGGAAACGATACGATCGGAATTGTTTCTTCTCGCCGGTTCAATGCAATTTGAGGTTTGTGTGAAGTATCAAAATAAAACTTTACAAAATCTCTAGAAATTTTGCCTCACATAGGATGCGAGCTGGATTCAAATAAATATTGTATGTTCTATTACAATAAAGTTGTTTGTTTGAAATTGTTGACAAGTTTTAAAATTTGCAACATTCAATCCGTTTCAAATTTTATCACAATGTTATCACTTTGAAATCTCTAATTGGGTGAGAATCTTCTCATACAGAAATCTCCCCAAAAGAACGAGATTAAAATGATAATTTTGAGCAAATCGTACAGTGAAAAGGGGTGAAAAATGTGTCAGAGCTCGGAGAAATGAAAAAGGAAAAAAGAGAAGAGGGGAAAGTCTTCTAGCCGAAAGGGGGAAAGACTAATCATCACACATTTTTCTCGCTTTATGCTTGATCGATACAAGACATCGCCACACACAAACACAAACAATCCATCCATTCAATCTTGAATTCATTATTTGCTTATTCAAATTTCCATCATCTCTTGAATCGCAAGATTAAACTGTTTATCGGAGATTTTCAAAGGTACTGTAAGTTTTAATGCTTTACAGTAAACCGGCAATAAACATATTCACTGCTTAGTCTTGACCCCTGAATACCGTTTATTCCAGGCATACTGTAGAGACAGGGTACTGAAACTTTACAGTATCTTTCCCGCCCTGTAATTTGTATTTCTGAGTAATTTCACTGAAAAACGATTCTTCCCCAAGATTTCAAGAGAAGATATATATACTTTTCCATTTCAATTCATGCCGATCTTTGCAAAAACCCGTCAATAAATTTTAATGGGAAGAGTAAGCTGCGTCTCAGAAAGATCAAGCAGGAGGAGGGGTGCTCAATCGAGTGAAATGGAGGAACGGATGAGAAGGACCGATGAGAGGGGTGAAGGGGATGGGTGGAGGGGCTGGTTGTGCCCGTCCTCTTTCTTTTGCTCTTTCCTTCTCCACCACCAAATTCGTCGCCAACTCTCAGATGCTCGGTTGAATGGAATTCATTTCATGGTCTGACGACGGCTCTTCTTCTCTTTCTTCTCCCCATCTACCCATCCTTTCGAAGAGTGAGTGAGACAGCGCCAAAAAAATACAACTACTGGATTCGTTTGAGTCTTTTTTGAATCCCCATCAAAATCTACTTTCAACTTTCACTGGGGATTTACTTTGGAAGCAAAACTTAGTAAATATCTACAGCAATGTATATCTACAGTAATGATCAACCTCCCTCTTTTTCTGGATACCAGTAGATTGAAGATACGGTCGTTATGTCCCTGGAAAATTTCTCTGAACCGAGAATCTTCATTAGACAGCTGGCCGTAAATCGAAATGGAACCCTACAAATCGCAGCTTCTCAAAATCGGGTTTCAAAATGCAAATCGTCATTGAAGACGAGTTGGTGAGGATGGGTGAAGGGATAAATTGGTGGCATGTTTCTCGCTTGAATTTCTCCCATCTGCGCCATCTGGCCTCATCTCTTCGAGCGGTCCGTCCGCGTTTTAGAGACAGCCGGCCCTCGTTCACCACGCGCACAATTGTTGGCGGGAAAAGAGAGTGAAAACGATAAAGAGAAAGGGAAAGAGGCTAACTTTTGCGCATTTGTGGACATATTGTGGACGCGGGACCGCGTGCGGTTGTTCCGCGTCGCTGCTCGCACAATGTGCGTGTTTGCCGGCCGCATTGTACGCGCCCGTCTTTCTCTCTCTTTTTTCCATTTCACAAGAGCATTTCTTGTCTTCATTTCCCTTCTCTTTTCCTATCTCTTGACCGCCTTGTGGGCGATGCTCCTGTGCATCCTGTGCATCTATCCGACCATCCGTTGGTCCGTTTCTCTTTCTCATTCTTTCTCTTCTTCTTCCCTTTTATCGCCTTTTTCACTTTCTGATGCGAGAATGATGCCTTTCTTCTGTTCCCCCATCACCGCATAGACACACACAAAAATCTCATTCACATATGAGCTCATTTCTCGTAGCAATTTTCACTCAAATCATCCCCCCCCTCGTTGAGTGATAGGTTCTAATTGGTTTGAGTGAAATTCCCCCCCTCGATTGTTGTCATCTCGAGCGCTACAAAAAGATCGGCCTCATTTCCTCCCCTACCGTCAATCCAATGATCTACTTGAAAGCGAAGATTTTTCTGCATGATAGCGGAATGGCCGGACTGTTTTTGATCCTCTTTTTTCACAGATTACATTTTTGAACAAAAAAAGATCCTTATTTCAAATTATAAGGGAATTGAAGTTCCAGATTCGTAATTCGTGAGTCATGAACAGTTTCTAATCGATTTGCAGTAATTTAGAAAGACTTTAACACTTTTTTTTGAAAAACCCCATTTTATAAATGAAACGAAATGGCAGGATATGGCAGGATATGGCAGAATAAGTTTCAATTCAAATCAAAACGCTTTGATTTGTAATGCCATTTAAGGATATTCAGTTAATTGACTGAAATGTTTAAAAACAATTTTGCCTATTTATTTCTGAAAAATTCTTCTTGTTCAGAAAATTCATTATATTCCCTAGAAATTGTTCTCTGGTTTTTTAGAAAAAGCGTTTGGCAGAAAGATTTGTGTGTTTCAAAGCCTTTTATCAACTCCTCGACTTTATAAAAGTTTGTTTTTTAGGCTTGCTGTAGTGACGGAAAGTGCAACAGCTTGATGCCAGAAATTTTGGTGAGCAGCCTTACGAGTTTTTGCTAAATGTTTCTTTCTTTAGAATGGCAGCAATTGCATCCGTTATTAATCGGGGTGGTCGGTACAATCAGCAGCAGCCTTTGGATATTTCAAAGGGAATCGACACAAACACCCAAGCTAAGGGCGATTTTTCGTGAGTGTTTCCTTGGTTGAACATATTGCTTTTGAAAGTAAATTTGAGTCATTCTTTTTTGAAACTCTCGATGCTTTGGCAGCTAGACAACGCATGACCTTTAAAAGAAAACAAGAGGAGCTCCCATATTGATTCCCTGACATTTTTCTTTGTTGATCCATCTGGGGCGAACCTTCTATTGATAACCTTTTTTCGGAGGTGAGAAATAACAGAAGAACTGTGCCTTTAAAACCGTTTATTTCCCAAGGATTCATTTGCGGGGAGAAAGTTCACAAAAGGGGGCCGAATGTGCGCCAAATGTTTTAGCCGACTTTTCCCTTTTACGTTCAATATGACATATCATTGTATTGATGGATTTGAGGGAGCGAAATTTGTCCGCAGCTCACTTTAAAACCGGGTTTTCACCACACAGTGCACAGTTTTCCCAGTTTGCTAGGGACGGCCGAGTCTACCTCCCCCCTCCGCCACCACACACTTCGATCTCTTCTCGTTCTCTCTGTTCTTTCACCTCGCTTTCCCATCCCAACAATGTGATTATTTGCAATTGACCTGGTCGATATGCTTGTCACCAACTAGTTGTATTATCCATTCTTTATACGTTTACCCACCGTTTCTCACTAATTGTTCGCAAAAAAGCTACCTCAACCTTCAGTTCAGTAAAAAAATTTTGCCATGACAAAGTTGCCAAACACTTATTGACATTTTTTTATCTATCATATAGGTTGATAGAAAAATCTTTAAAATCTCAAGTCACCTTGAAAGAATTTGATTACCTACTTTAACTAGTGCACACTAGTTGATAAAAAGGAGGAGAGTTTTTCAAAAGATAGGGAAGATCCTATCTTGTTACTCAAGAAACGATCCATTTGCAATCGTGCCAGTGCAAAGGGAGTCAGTTGGTTTTCTCTCTCCTTTTTTCCACACAGCCATAGAAAGATCTCTCTGAAACCCAGTTCTTTTTTGAGCTGATTGATCAGATTTTTTTTCTTCCTTATAGCGGTAAAAAGTCTTTTCTAAAGCATTTCTTTTTTGCAAAGAAAAACATTTTGTTTTTTGACATTTTGATTTTTAGGAAGAAAACCAGTTTGGCGGAATGGTATTTAGGCGGGGAATTAAGTTGAGATCAATAGGTTCACGGGATTTTTATTCCTTTTGCCGTTTGTAGTCGGAAATTTTATTCGTTGTTAATCCTGCGAATTCCTTTTAAATCAATAGTTTAGTTGAACCTTTATTAATAAATCTCTTCTTGGATAGGATAATATTGAAAAATAGGGCTGAAAAGAAGAGACCTTTTTTATTTGCCTGAAAAGATTTTATGATCCTGTTTTATTTTTCACACTTTGTCTGCACTATTCTTATCACAGCTCACCTACCTAGTGACTGTTTTCGTCGCTTTACATATGGGGAAATTCTCTTTTGCGTCGTAAAGCAGCCAATTTTAAAAATATTTTTTTTAATTTTTGCGATTTTAGCAAATAAACGCATTATAATTGAAAGCTTTATTGTAATTATTTTTTTTCTTTTTCAGAGTACCATCAGCCCCCGCTCTTGTGCGTCAATACACGTCCTCCAAAATCGCTCAGCCTCAGACAATTCCTTCAATATACCAACCGCTTCCTGCAGCATATCAGCCAATTCCTTCATCTTATCAGCCAAGTTATCAAAATTATCATCAGCAACCTTCAAGAGGAGGACTATATCAACATTCTGGCTCAACTCAGATTCTTTGGCAGGTAAATGAAATCTTTTGTTAGTCCATTTAACTTCAACTAAATTTAGAGCAATCCGTATCAATTTGGGGATACACCAAGTGGTCATTATTATCCGTCAATTTCTAACAATTGGTCATACGGAAGCTTACAGCGTGGAGATATAGGTGCGTTTTGTCTTCACCGTTTTTCTTTGGACTAAACTCGTGTTTTTGAAAAGTGAAATGTGAAGAATATTCACCATTTTTCCCGTTTGAGGGCCTCTCGAGGGGGTTTTTGAACGATTTGCTTTTGAATATGCTTTGGGTGAGCGGAGGCTCCCGCTGAATTCACTTTGCGCTACTTTGCTTCGTCGGAGGGGAAGGGGGAGCGTTTTTCCACACAGACATGCATTTTTCCCTCCTTTTCCCTTGAGGGCAACGTTCTCTCTAGACACTTCACGTTTTCATCCTTTTTGATTGCGCGTTATTTTATTTCCGATACTGTGGGCAATTTAAAAAACTTTGCTCCCTATTGTTGAACGATTTATTGAATTTTTAGGTCTTTATCGTACGTTTCTTTATAGAGTTATGAAATAGAAAAGCGCACCTCTTTTTGAGTGGGAATCAAATGAGGGTGCTTATTGAGGCTAGTCGGGGATGGGTGGGGGTGAGAAGAGAATGAAGAAGGGGAGGGGTGGTTGTGGATCGCGCAAGGTCAAGCGACTGAGGGCAGCAGGACAGTCGGGGCACCCCAGCCACCAGCCAACACCGAAGAGACACCCCATCGATTGGTCGACAGCCAATCCCCTTGGGCATATTCGCGCGGTCTATTTCCCTCCATTCAACTGTGTCCTTTTGCTCAAAAAGTCGATACGAATAATTGATCCACCAACCATTTATTCTCTCTAGTATTAGTGTTTCTCTTGACAAAAGTATGGACGAATGTCGTCGAGAAGAATATTTTACTACTCCTTCACAATCCTATTCATTTCGGCCTATAATCCGTAATCCATTCCAAGCCCCAGGTAAAAATATACGACTTTTAATCATGAACCAAGCAGATTGTGATCTATTTACAATATCAAAGTTATCCTTTTTTTTCCACTAGAGGGGACACCCCAACTTCGTGCACTCTTTTGTATATTTGTTTACACCATCCGTTCCAAGACGTTCCCGACTTATGCAAATTTGCAATTGCCTCTCTTTTCAACAAAGATTTCTCTTTCATTGTGTCTTCTATGATACATTTCGCGAGATCTGGTTTCTCGGGTCACATACGAAGAAGCTTTTTTTCTTATCTAAAGTTCTTCAAAGATAGTTTACTTGAGCCTGGGTTAGATTCAGAAGACTTACAAGCTGATTTAACTATCTTTTAGGATTGCCATCATCTTTGTCTACAACCCAACTTCCTTCATTAATCAACTCTAACCGAAAAATGATTGATGTCCTGGCTCCGGGTCGAGGAGGTGAAGTTTTTTTTGTCGTAAAATATTGTAAATTTATAAACTCACAGTCGAAACATTATATATTAGAAATAGAGTATTATCACAAATTTGTTTAGGCCAGCCTTCGATCGATGCACAAACAAGTTCATTGACATCAGCTTCATCGGTCACTACACTTGGTGGGTTTTGATAATTCTCCAAAATTGGTAAATTTTCCCCGATTGGATTATCCTCGTTTCCTGCCTAAGTTGTTTAAATTTCGTAAGCCCTTCGTTTCTCACGATCGACTTTTTCACTATCCTCTTTCCTCTTCCGCTCTCTCGATTTCCCAAAAAAGCACCCGCTTACGCACAAGTCCCTCTTTAAGACTCTCTTCCGCGTTTTGATTTGCAGAATTTCACAACTTACCATACTTATAAAATAGGTTTTCTAGGGAAATTTTGAAAATCGAACACTGCTATATTAAAGAGAAGCGCAGTTTTATTCTGTTCGGATTTGCTTTCCCTGCCTTTAATGGTGTTCGTTAGTCATATACATCAAATCTAACAACATTACCGTCAAAGACTTGGATAACTCTTATACGGGGGTGGATTTATTACTTTTTTTTCGGGTTCATGTATTTTGTAACGCTGATAGTCTGGCAATCAACATTTGTCATCTGCCATTTTCTTCAGTTTTACCTCGTTCTTGTTTTGAGTCACGACGGTGTGGTGGATAGATGCAATAGTTTCTTTATTAGTCCGCTTCCGCGAACCGTGTCTGTTTGTTTGTGTCTCTTCCCTCGTGTGGACCGGTTTGCAACGGCGGCCCGCTTACGCTTCCTGGTTGCGCCGAGAGGGAGTCCCCTTCCCCCTTCATTCCCTTTCTTCCTGTCCCTTTTCCTTCCATCCTATGACCATTCATGGGCGATCTCTCACTGTAACACATCCTTCTTCTTTTTTCATACTTCTTCCATTTGATAATTTATCCTTTATCACAGTCATCACAGTCAAGCCTACTCGATTCTGACTTATCTTCACATATTTCTTGGCTAATTTCGGCTTCGGTTTCATTGATTTTATTCACTTCCTCTTTTGAAATCGAATCATTTGCAGGGAATCGCCTTTTCTAGAAATAGAACCAAAATTTGACCTCAAAACAGGTAACGATGTTTTCGAGAATCAATTGGAATTGGAAGTCATAAAACATGTTCCCATTTTGATCTCTTCTCCTCACCCTTTTCCCTCACTCACATCAATGATTTGAATGAAAGAGGGCATGCTAGTGGTGGTGCAGTAAGAGAATAGAGAAAGGAGAGGTTCGGGCGCTGTCCATATGGGTGACCTTTCTCTCCTACATGTCCCAACAAGCCGGAAAGGAATATCGATTGTTTTCCATTATGCACCTCGGCCGATAATTTGCCAATTTACATTTTCCCTTTAATTTTAGCTTTGCTCTGATACTAAGATGCGTACTTAAACGTAAATTTTACTACCCAAAAGTTATGAATAAGACTTTTGTGGGTCTTTAATGCGCAATAATCAATTCTTGGACATGCCTCGTTGCCACTGGCTACTAAGAAGCACTTTGCTACACCAAGGACCAAGTATGGAAGTCAAAGAGCCTAGAAACCGAATTTTTAATGGTATTTTGTAAACGTGACTGATTATTTTTGTTTATTTTGTAGAGATGCTGTGGCTAGATTATGCATTTAGGCAATGAGAAGTAAGGCTGTTTGAGCGGATGCGGGTGGGCGGAGTGGCGAGGGAAAAAAGGAAAGGAAAGGAGGGAGGGGAGAAGGGAAGAGTATTGGGGAATGGAGGCCAATGGGCATCGATTGGGCCGCATCCGGCCCTATGAGGGGCTCCCCACCACCCTCAGCTTTCTCACGCCAGTCAGACTTATTATTGAAATCTTTTTCCGAATCAGATTTTCTCATCAAATAATGGAATCTTTCCACCAACTCATGAGTTTATCGATCTGAAACATTAGTTAATTCCTGCTCCTCACCTTCCTTTTGCTGGTATCTCCGAGTTCTTTCTCCAACTTTCTTCTTCATATTTCTCTGTTCTACTTATGGGCTATGAAGACGATTTAAGCGGTGCTATTAATTTGGGAAATTTGTAATCATGTTTATAGTTTTAGGCGGTAGCGTGTTGGTGGGTGGTCAGCCAATTACAGGAGCATCCGGAGGTGGGGCTCGTGGGGCCTCACTGGCTGGTTCTGTATCGCTTGCGACGCTTCCCGTTACTTCAACTTCACAACACACATCTCAACAACGAGACAAGATGGCTAAATCGCCTTCTGATGAATCACTCAGGTACTAAATACATGCGTGTTTATCACCCAGCAGAAATTACGAGCAACAGAAGCATTGTTTAATCGAATGTTTGGTGTTTTTGTAAAAGTTTTTTTTAGATCTCACACATCGTCTTCCGGAGGAAGTGGTGGAGCAAACGGGGGTACGGGAGGCAGCAGTGCCGGATCAGGCAAGTCTGGAATTTGTCTGCTGAGCTGTTTTTTTTGTTATTGAATTGATATTGTTATGCTAGTGCTAGAATCAAGATATTTTGTTTGTCGTTCATATTTAAGAAACTTCAGGCAACAAAGGGTTCCTACCTGAAGAAGCGGTTGCCACTTTTGGATCAAAACTTGCCCCATATGAACAAAACGAAATCTTTCAATATGTGAGGGTTTATTTTGTCGGCTCACAGGCGAAAAAACGAGGCGGAATAATTGGAGGTTTGAACCGATTTGGCCTTTACAAATAAACCATTCGTTTCCTAGGAGCTCAAAACTCGGGTTATGACGATGAAAATGGATCCTATCTCCTGGTGGCTCACGATCATGTTGCTTATCGGTATGAAGTCTTAAAAGTGATTGGAAAAGGATCATTTGGACAAGTGAGTAAAGTTTGAATAATAGCACAAAAGTACATTAGTTGATGCGCAAAAATCCAATTCGAAACAACATTACGTTTTTGTGCAATAAGCGTTAAAGAGCATAACTGATCTGGAGACAATTGTTTGTTTTGCTCAGCAATGTAAACAAACAGTTGGTCGATCCAAAATAGAAAAAGATGCCAAATATAATGCTGGCTCTGTCTTGTTAATTGGATAAACAAAGACTTTAAAAAGACGTTGTTAACATGTTTTTTAGGTTATCAAAGCCTACGATCACAAATATCAACAGTACGTTGCTTTGAAGTTGGTTCGCAATGAAAAGCGTTTTCACAGACAAGCTGACGAAGAAATACGGATACTGGTAAGGGATTTTGTCTTGTTTTAGATAAACGCTCTTTTTAAATACCTAAATTACCGATTCTAGGATCACTTACGTCGACAAGACACGGATGGTTCACACAACATTATTCACATGCTTGATTACTTTAATTTTCGGAATCACAAGGTTGGTGAAATAAAATCTGCTTGATGAAACCTAAATTCAGTGCATTACCTTCGAATTGCTGAACATCAACCTCTATGAACTGATTAAAAAGAATAAATTTCAAGGATTCAGCTTACATGTGAGTAGAATTTTTTAAACTCTTTAAATTTTAACTTTAGTTGGTTCGGAAGTTTGCCTATAGTATGCTTCAATGCCTCGATTTGCTAAACAAAAATCGTTTGATACATTGTGACTTGAAGCCGGAAAACGTTTTACTGAAGCAACAAGGACGGAGTGGAATCAAAGTAAATATTTCGAGAAAAAGACCTGTAATAAGTGTACTTTTAGGTGATCGATTTTGGCTCATCATGCTTTGATGATCAGCGAATATATACTTACATCCAATCCCGTTTTTACCGAGCACCAGAAGGTATCAGTTAGTTGGAAAAACTTATTCCTATTTTACTTTAGTGATCCTTGGATCAAAATATGGAATGCCAATTGATATGTGGTCACTTGGATGTATTTTGTGCGAGCTACTCACCGGGTATCCACTTCTTCCCGGTAAGTGCGTGTGTTTGTATTAGTTGTAACACCTTTAGTGATTGTTTTTCTTTGTGTCTTTTTTATTAACCGATAAAATTTAGGTGAAGATGAAAATGATCAACTTGCGTTGATCATTGAACTGCTTGGAATGCCTCCACCAAAAGTTTTGGAAAATGCAAAGCGATCGAGAACATTTATCTCATCAAAGGTATTTTGCGATCATACTTTAAAATGAACTGCTTTAGGGTTATCCTCGATATTGCAATGTTACGCTTTCTCCGGAGGGACAAGTCGTGCTCTCTGGTGCTAGGAGTAAGAGAGGCAAAATGAGAGGTCCACCTGCAACAAGAACATGGACACAAGCTCTGAAGAATCAGGTTTTTCACTTCGAATTTTATGTATGGACGTAAAATTAGGGTGACGAGCTGTTCATCGATTTTGTGAAACGGTGCCTTGATTGGGATCCAGACGCACGATTGTCTCCATCGCAAGCACTCAAACATCAATGGCTGCGCCGAAGATTGCCGAATCCACCAAATCCACTCAAGGATCAAGGAAACGATGGTTCGGATCCTAACAATAATGCACACGATAGGCATCATCACAAAAGCAAATAGGAGCTCCGCCCATAATTCCCTTGTTCTTTCATTCTTTTTACTGCTCGTAGAATTCTTTATGTCGTAATTTGTGGTGCTCGTCTCTCGCACGTCTGAATGTTGTGAGAAACGTTCGCTTGACCACACTTGATGAATCTTCTTTTCATGAAGATCCCGAAGTATCTCTTTTTAAATTGTGATTTTGTAAAGAGCAGTAGATTCCTCCTCATTCTCTCGTCCAATCGCTCATTCTTTTTGCTCCTTGGTGAATTAGTAATGGAAGCCCCAATCCCTGCCAACAACGGCTGCACGCGAGTTGTTTCTCCATCTCTTGAAAACGTCCATGGAGATCTCATCGGCCTGCATGAAAACGGTAAATGTTGTTTGTTGCACGCACCAAAGTATGTTCGCTTTTTGCACCACTAATTTCGATGTTTTGTTTTTGTTGCGTTACACACTTTTGTTGATTCCATTTTTCTAACTGTTTCTAGTTTCACCCGCCAACTCTCATCACGTCCCTTTAAAGATCACCTAATTCAGAAAAAGTAAACGTGAGCCCATTCTTTCTGCATCTTTTCTTCATATAATGGTTTAAACTAACCGCATGCTCATTGGAGGGTGGTCAAAGATGATAAGGAATCTTGGAATTTAAGTATGACGAATCCTTGATGATATTTGCTTTTGGGTTGAATGTTGGTGGCTGAATGATAGACGACATAATCCTTGCTTTTTGTCACTAAAACCTATTGGGAGATCTATAACGATTGTGCGCTTTATCACCTAACCTTAGTTTTTAACAAAGTTTAAATTGTTATAAAATTTTTATTTTTAGCTGCAATCAGCATGTCATCAACGTTCTCAGCAAACGCAAGTCTTCTATCCGGCTCTACTTCAACTCTTCGTTCGAACTCGACTTTTGCGCCCAAACCTTCACAAACCATGTTGGGCAACTAAAAGAATGAGTAAGATTTTTGTGCTGTTTTCATCCAATTACAAAAGTTAGGTTCACGTTGATGATTGATGATCTTCCCCATGACGAGCTTCCATTTCTTTAATTCTTTCATAAGGTTGACTGCATCGAGCATTCATTTGATTTGTCCCCTTGCAGTACCTTCAATTTCTGCGCGGGTTCGTTTTTCCATGTCGAGTACCTTACACTCCATTTGTTATTATATTTTTATTCGGTCATTATTTTCTTCCCCAATATCTGTCTCTTTTAATTTATTTTCTGTGGCTTTTTACACTGAACTAATTGTACATAGTTCAAAGTTTTAGTCTTTGTTTCCCATTACTTATTCCATTCTTTGTTTTTAGGTATGTTCAACACAGTGATTACCTATGTGCTATATTAGTTTGACTTCCGAATTTGTGTATTATTGCTTTAATAACTCTCTTGAGCGAGGAGTATTTATATCTAAAGCCTCATTATTCGTATGTTCAGAATTTCTGTTACCCCATATGTAATGAACTTATGTTGAGAACCCCCGTACTACTCGGGTCACTTCGTTTCACATTCAATAACCATCATTTCCTCCACATCGTCCAAAGAATTTACTTCCAAGTCTCCATTGTTATCTATCTTTATTCCGTTTATTTACATGTCATTCTCTGAGCAAATAAACGATTTTTGCAAACAAAATGATAAATTCACATTATCTTGTGAATGCAAAAAGTTTTAGCCTGATGGCTTTAACAGAAGATCAAGAAGCTACAGTAATCAAAAAGACACGTAAACATTAGATTTTTAAAAGCGCCAATACTATGCCCAATAGCAAGACGATTAGTTGCCTCGAAAAATCCGAATGACTAGTCAGTCCAGCATCCAGCACAAATTCGTATGCTTGTTTTGAAGAATCGGTGAACTTTGTCACGTTTTATCAAATGATGTCGAGAGATGGCATACTGATCTGATAAGCAACTGATTTTCCGTTCTCTCGCTCAATTTGGAGTACTCTCGCCATCAGTTCTCGATATACCTCGCTTGGGGGTAGGCTACTTTCCGCCATTTTATTTGCGCAACAGGGTCATTTGCGCAAGTACGTTTGCGCAACAAGGGTCATTTGCGCAACTTTTTTTTTGCACAAAAAGGGTCATTTGCGCAACTTTATTTGCGCAACTGGGTCATTTGCGCAACTTTAACACTGTATTAAGCACTCGAATTTTTAATCATTATTTTCATTTTTGAGCTTTTTTTTTATTGTTTTTTATTTTCTTCTATTTTTATGAAATCTTCCAATTTTTTTGCATAATCTTCCAATATTTATCTAAATTAGTCCTTTCTAAGAGCTAATAACCATTAGTAAAATATTTTATCGCTTTAACAAAAAAGTGCAACCGATAACAATGAAAGTTAGGACAACAATAGCAATGAAATCTAGGACAACAATAAAAATCAAATTTTTTTAATATAAGTCAAAAGCTGAGAAAGATGTTGCACAAAATCGCAACCGGGCAAGCGACCATTAGAAATAGCAGTAAAACGTTGCTTTTGTCGAGCCAATACAGTTTTCTTCCGTGTGTAGTTTTGTCCAACAGTGAGATTGATAGCCGATGAAAGCTTGAAACGGTTGATTATTTGCGTCATTTCTTCGTAAAGTCTGACCGCAGTATACGATGGATGCGGATTCTTGGGAAAATGCGGAAAATTAGTTAACAATGGTTTTTAAGAATAAACAAAACCGTACTAGAATTTAAAACAACAAAAAAAAACGTCAAAAACTCCCTTAAAAAAAAACGTCCCTTAAAAACGTCAAAAAAGTTGCGCAAATGACCCTGTTGCGCAAATAAAAAGTTGCGCAAACGTACTTGCGCAAATGACCCTGTTGCGCAAATAAAATGGCGGAAAGTAGCCTACCCCCTCGCTTGTTCTCATATCCATCTAATATTGTTCTATCTACTTTCCCCGATTATCTTTTCCCCCTTTCTTTTCGTTGTTCATTCACTCTCCTTTCCATTTACTGTGTGTTCAAAAATGCTCACTCTCTATCGTCGAAGGTCATCCGAGAGAGCTCACACAAGTTGAGTTGATTATGGAGAGAGGAAGAATATGATTGACTTGTGCGTTTGCAAATTTTCCCTCTCGATGGGAACCTTTTTTCCTTATAATCTCTGTAATGAATAAAATCCATGCAATTTTATCTTTTCAGGTTTATTTTATGGAATTCCCGCTCCCCCAATTGTCCTTGCCACCTCGGAAAAACTCCTATCACACATTGATCAGCTATCCGACCGGCAATTATACGGAACAATCAAATAATTGGTGGGTTGATGATTAAATCAAGATTAAATTTTAAGTTTTTAAATGTTGATGTTTTAGGATTAATCCGTCTCCCGTTTCGATTCAAACCGAGGTCAACCTAACATCCGAAGAGTCGTTTGCGATTAGGTAGCCTTTTTATAATATCTTTTTGTTTATCTATTTAAAAAGAACACAAAACGGTTGCTACATTGTTTTTATTGGTTACATATCTCATGGTGCAAATACATAGTTTAAGAGAATCTTGCCTGGATGAAGTTTATTCCGCATACTTAGGCGGCGTTGCGTGCACGTGACGGCCGGTATCTTAAATTTTTGTAGTCGCTTTTCTCAACTTTGTCGGTAGTTTGTAGCATTTTTCATATAAATATTAAGTTATTAGGTTATTTATTGGCTTTGCCTCGACAAATTTCCACTTAAATAGTTGCTTAAAACATTGAAAAAGCAACCGTTTCTAATACGCTCAATAAATTAATGATTTCAGTAAAAAACTGGAAGGTTACGCTGCTCGTCCGCACCTTCGTGCACCATCGATTGACCACGATGAACAAATTATCGTTGATGACGACGATTCGGTACATTTCTGAGCTACTCATTTGTTAATTTTTTGCTTTTAGTTGCCATTTGGAGACTATGTGACTCATTCCGGGAACGGAATCAAAATCTACACGGTAGCTGTTTTTTTCTAAATTTGATTCCTAAATGATTTTTAGAGAGGTAATCAAAATGTGATTGTTCGCTCTCCATCGCCAGTTGCTGTAAGACCACCAATAAGGCGGGATCGATCGGAAATTGGCAGAAAGCAGAGATGCTTGGTAAAAGTTTTAGATATCTAGCAGCAATAATAACTTTTTAGGTTTGTGATACTGTTACATCCGGCTTTCATTTTGGTGCCGTTTCTTGTGCAGCATGTAGTGCATTTTTCAGGAGGTACTTGTGGTAAGATCATCATGTTTAAATGAGTTTTAGAACAATTGCTGAGCGTCGGGAATATACTTGCCGAGCAGAAGGATCAGCCCATTTAAAATGTGAAATAAGCGCAGGTATATTAAAATTTTTTAAAAAATCATCTTATTTAGAACAACGTTGTTATTGTCGTGCTTGTCGTCTACAAAAGTGCATTGATGTCGGCATGGATCCTATAGGTGTGTTTTAAAGAGCGCTTGAATAATAATAGGCTAACATTTCAGCCGTTCAACCACATCGTGATCAAATTGGTGCCAAACGCAAACACGATGGACAGCGGCGTTCAATGGAATCGGTACATCTATGAGTTTTGAGGATCATAATGGTAAAATTTAGCCAGTCCCAAGCGCCGATGGTTCCTTGTATCTGAATCCGTAAGCCATTTCTTTTTTTGAAAACTAAGTATTTGTTTTAGGCGTATTGAAGAAGTACTTTCTGGTCGGCTGGCTCGGTCAATCGGCGGATCACCTCCACTCAAAAGAGGAAAAGCCACCACAGCACTTTTAGCTTCGAATACTGCATATGCCGAACAGGCAAGAGGAAATTCTTTAGTTAAACACTTACAATTTTAGTTGATTGCTCTTTCGCGACAACCTGTGATTTCTGAGCGAAAAGCGGCAACTTTAACGACTCGCCATGCTCAATCATCGTCTCCAACAGTCAGCGAGGAAAACGACAATGTTGTTCAGGTTATTGATTATTGTAGTTAATACTCAATTTTTAAATTTATAGAGAGAATCCGCTGATTCTGACTCGAAGAAGCCCCCAACTTTAGAAGAAAAACTTCCTAGTGTTAACAATGTAAGCATGCTTTTGCTTTTTCCTACTTACGGAAGAAATTTAGGAATCTAATGACGAGGGGAAGTTTATTGTGTATGAGTATGAAATTTATCCTGGCGACGAAGGAAGCGCTGAATCAGGATCGAAACCACGCAGCTGGCCATCTGAGGGTAAACACCGAATATCTTTGATGCCTCAAGATAAAAACGAAACTGGTTGGCACATTTTTAATTAGGAAATTTTTCATCAATTGCTTTAGATACTAGCAATTTACCCGATCCAAGCGAGAATGTGATCGAGACCCGGTAAATGTTGTTTGTTGCACGCACCAAAGTATGTTCGCTTTTTGCACCACTAATTTCGATGTTTTGTTTTTGTTGCGTTACATACTTTTGTTGATTCCATTTTTCTAACTGTTTCTAGTTTCACCCGCCAACTCTCATCACGTCCCTTTAAAGATCACCTAATTCAGAAAAAGTAAACGTGAGCCCATTCTTTCTGCATCTTTTCTTCATATAATGGTTTAAACTAACCGCATGTCCATTGGGGAGTTGTCAAAGATGATAAGGGATCTTGGAATTTAAGTATGACGAATCCTTGATGATGTTTGCTTTTGGGTTGAATGTTGGTGGCTGAATGATAGACGACATAATTCTTGCTTTTTGTCACTAAAACCTATTGGGAGATCTATAACGATTGTGCGCTTTATCACCTAACCTTAGTTTTTAACAAAGTTTAAATTGTTATAAAATTTTTATTTTTAGCTGCAATCAGCATGTCATCAACGTTCTCAGCAAACGCAAGTCTTCTATCCGGCTCTACTTCAACTCTTCGTTCGAACTCGACTTTTGCACCCAAACCTTCACAAACCATGTTGGGCAACTAAAAGAATGAGTAAGATTTTTGTGCTGCTTTCATTCAATTACAAAGTTAGGTTCACGTTGATGATTGATGATCTTCCCCATGACGAGCTTCCATTTCTTTAATTCTTTCATAAGGTTGACTGCATCGAGCATTCATTTGATTTGTCCCCTTGCAGTACCTTCAATATCTGCGCGGGTTCGTTTTTCCATGTCGAGTACCTTACACTCCATTTGTTATTATATTTTTTTTCGGTCATTATTTTCTTCCCCAATATCTGTCTTTTAATTTATTTTCTGTGGCTTTTTACACTGAACTAATTGTACATAGTTCAAATTTTTAGTCTTTGTTTCCCATTACTTATTTCATTCTTTGTTTTTAGGTATGTTCAACACAGTGATTACCTATGTGCTATATTAGTTTGACTTTCGAATTTGTGTATTATTGCTTTAATAACTCTCTTGAGCGAGGAGTATTTATATCTAAAGCCTCATTATTCGTATGTTCAGAATTTCTGTTACCCCATATGTAATGAACTTATGTTGAGAACCCCCGTACTACTCGGGCCACTTCGTTTCACATTCAATAACCATCATTTCCTCCACATCGTCCAAAGAATTTACTTCCAAGTCTCCATTGTTATCTATCTTTATTCCGTTTATTTACATGTCATTCTCTGAGCAAATAAACGATTTTTGCAAACAAAATGATAAATTCACATTATCTTGTGAATGCCAAAAAGTTTTAGCCTGATGGCTTTAACAGAAGATCAAGAAGCTACAGTAATCAAAAAGACACGTAAACATTAATTTTTAAAAGCGCCAATACTATGCCCAATAGCAAGACGATTAGTTGCCTCGAAAAATCCGAATGACTAGTCAGTCCAGCATCCAGCACAAATTCGTATGCTTGTTTTGAAGAATCGGTGAACTTTGTCACGTTTTATCAAATGGTGTCGAGAGATGGCATACTGATCTGATAAGCAACTGATTTTCCGTTCTCTCGCTCAATTTGGAGTACTCTCGCCATCAGTTCTCGATATACCTCGCTTGTTCTCATATCCATCCAATATTGTTCTATCTACTTTCCACCGATTATCTTTTTCCCCTTTCTTTTCGTTGTTCATTCACTCTCCTTTTCATTTACTGTGTGTTCAAAAATGCTCACTCTCTATCGTCGAAGGTCATCCGAGAGAGCTCACACAAGTTGAGTTGATTATGGAGAGAGGAAGAATATGATTGACTTGTGTATTTGCAAATTTTCCCTCTCGATGGGAACCTTTTTTCTTTATAATCTCTGTAATGAATAAAATCCATACAATTTTATCTTTTTAGGTTTATTTTATGGAATTCCCGCTCCCCCAGTTGTCCTTGCCACCTCGGAAAAACTCCTATCACACATTGATCAGCTATCCGACCGGCAATTATACGGAACAATCAAATAATTGGTGAGTTGATGATTAAATCAAGATTAAATTTTAAGTTTTTAAATGTTTATGTTTTAGGATTAATCCGTCTCCCGTTTCGATTCAAACCGAGGTCAACCTAACATCCGAAGAGTCGTTTGCGATTAGGTAGCCTTTTTATAATATCTTTTTGTTTATCTATTTAAAAAGAACACAAAACGGTTGCTACATTGTTTTTATTGGTTACATATCTCATGGTGCAAATACATAGTTTAAGAGAATCTTGCCTGGATGAAGTTTATTCCGCATACTTAGGCGGCGTTGCGTGCACGTGACGGCCGGTATCTTAAATTTTTGTAGTCGCTTTTCTCAACTTTGTCGGTAGTTTGTAGCATTTTTCATATAAATATTAAGTTATTAGGTTATTTATTGGCTTTGCCTCGACAAATTTCCACTTAAATAGTTGCTTAAAACATCAAAAAAGCAAACGTTTCTAATAAGCTCAATAAATTAATGATTTCAGTAAAAAACTGGAAGGTTACGCTGCTCGTCCGCACCTTCGTGCACCATCGATTGACCACGATGAACAAATTATCGTTGATGACGACGATTCGGTACATTTCTGAGCTACTCATTTGTTAATTTTTGCTTTTAGTTGCCATTTGGAGACTATGTGACTCATTCCGGGAACGGAATCAAGAATCTACACGGTAGCTGTTTTTTTCTAAATTTGATTCCTAAATGATTTTTAGAGAGGTAATCAAAATGTGATTGTTCGCTCTCCATCGCCAGTTGCTGTAAGACCACCAATAAGGCGGGATCGATCGGAAATTGGCAGAAAGCAGAGATGCTTGGTAAAAGTTTTAGATATCTAGCAGCAATAATAACTTTTTAGGTTTGTGATACTGTTACATCCGGCTTTCATTTTGGTGCCGTTTCTTGTGCAGCATGTAGTGCATTTTTCAGGAGGTACTTGTGGCTATCATCATCTTCAAATGAGTTTTAGAACAATTGCTGAGCGTCGGGAATATACTTGCCGAGCAGAAGGATCAGCCCATTTAAAATGTGAAATAAGCGCAGGTATATTAAAAAATAAAAAAAAAAAAATCTTATTTAGAACAACGTTGTTATTGTCGTGCTTGTCGTCTACAAAAGTGCATTGATGTCGGCATGGATCCTATGGGTGTGTTTTAAAGAGCGCTTGAATAATAATAGGCTAACATTTCAGCCGTTCAACCACATCGTGATCAAATTGGTGCCAAACGCAAACACGATGGACAGCGGCATTCAATGGAATCGGTACATCTATGGGTTTTGAGGATTATAATGGTAAAATTTAGCCAGTCCCAAGCGCCGATGGTTCCTTGTATTTGAATCCGTAAGCCATTTCTTTTTTTGAAAACTAAGTATTTTTTTAGGCGTATTGAAGAAGTACTTTCTGGTCGGCTGGCTCGGTCAATCGGCGGATCACCTCCACTCAAAAGAGGAAAAGCCACCACAGCACTTTTAGCTTCGAATACTGCATATGCCGAACAGGCAAGAGGAAATTCTTTAGCTAAACACTTACGTTTTTAGTTGATTGCTCTTTCGCGACAACCTGTGATTTCTGAGCGAAAAGCGGCAACTTTAACGACTCGCCATGCTCAATCATCGTCTCCAACAGTCAGCGAGGAAAACGACAATGTTGTTCAGGTTATTGATTCTTGTAGTTAATACTAACTTTTTAAATTTATAGAGAGAATCCGCTGATTCTGACGCCAAGAAGCCCCCAACTTTAGAAGAAAAACTTCCAAGTGTTAACAATGTAAGCATGCTTTTGCTTTTCCTACTTACGGAAGAAATTTAGGAATCTAATGACGAGGGGAAGTTTATTGTGTATGAGTATGAACTTTATTCTGGCGACGAAGGAAGCGCTGAATCGGGATCGAAACCACGTAGCTGGCCATCTGAGGGTAAACACCGAATATCTTTGATGCCTCAAGATAAAAACGAAACTGGTTAGCACATTTTTAATTAGGAAATTTTTCATTAATTGCTTTAGATACTAGCAATTTACCCGATCCAAGCGAGAATGTGATCGAGACCCTCGTCTCTGCATATGAAAGACTTCGGGAGCGAAGGCGTCTTTTATATTGCCCGGATACGATTCGAGACATCTTGGGTGGAAATCAACCGGTTAGTCAGCTGCATGTTTTTGACACTTTTTTGAATCTCAGGTTTCACGTCCGGCTGATTGTGGAGCTCGTATGCAAAAGCAACGTCTTCGTCAAGAAGTCGGTCTTGTTGCCGAATTTCTATCCGTTTTAACACCATTTACAAACTTGGATTTGGATGATAAAGTGGGCCCCTTCTAAATTTTATTCGTTTAAATAATGCTCTAGATTGCCTTGTTCAAAGCACTATCTTGTCCATATTCAATTCTCGAAAAACACTATGTGACGATGAGGGGTGGTGGTCTGCAACAAAATCGAATTATTCACAACGACAACTCATACACGGATTTAACTGATGCTGCACTTGACCGCTTACAATTAGAAGGAGGAAAAGCTGATCATCCATTTACCGACAAAGCCATGCTCAAACGGTACTCGTTTTTGTTTATCAAAATTCTAACTTTTTTCAGAGTATTTATTGACCCTCTTCGTGATTCTCTACAAGAAGTTACGGGAGCAATGTACAACATGAAGATGACAGATGTCGAGTTCTGCGCACTTATCGCCGTTATTCTTTTTGATCCTTGTATGTACTTTTCCGATACACTAAAAAAATTTCTTTAGCTACTGCCGGGTTATCGGACGCAACTCGAGCACATGTTCGTGCGGCGCGAGAAAGGATTTACGAGGTAATATTGAGTAGCCGTTTAAGGCAGTGCTATATGAAAAAAATTTTATCTACAATTTAGGATTGGTTCCTCTATTATCGATCGCGTAATGTTCTTGATTCTAGCCAACGTGTTGGTAATACCATGTTGCTTCTTCCAGCGGTTCAGGTAAGTTTCTACAAAAGTTATGAATTTCCACTTTCTTCCATTTTTCATATATTTACAAGTTTTTAGGCAACAGCTGAGAAATCCCATGAAAACTATCACATGGTTCGTGTGTTTGACCTGTTTGCCTACGATAAAATACTGGACGAGATCATGCTGCAAGCCTAGAAAAATATTTACCTCATGAAATCTCTTATTTGTCATTTTTTCTTTAATATGTAAAATGTTTTATATAATGTACGCGTTGATGGCAAATGTAAAGCTTATTATTATGTGTGAAAATTTTACTTTGTAGTTGATTGCTAGAAATAATAAAATGCTTTTTTAAAACGATTGAAATTTTAAATGCTTCCTAAATCATCAAGGTACTTTTTAAGATCTCATTTGATATTTTTGAAACTTTAAAATGAACAAATAAGTTTTTGTTTGTTGTTAAGGTTTTGTAAAAGGTGAATGAGCAAAAAATTTTTCAATAGCTCTGTTAGCTTTTTTTACAATAGTTTAACGGGATTATTTAGCTTTTCTGCTCATGGAAGATGGTCCCTCCGTTATCCAGCAAGTTTGTTTTAAAACATAAATTTAAAGGACCGGCCAAATTTTAAGAAAGCATGCTATTTTGGTGTTTAATTTAGGGTTTTCTATGCCCATTTTGTATGACGGACCTTGGGAGCTATATAGCCTTAGCGAACCATGTAGAATCAGCTCACCCAGAAGATGCCGATACTCCTGCTTTCGAACAAATAAGAGGTTCGGTAATTCTTACAACTGTAGAATATTTTATCCTAGGTTTCATTGATAAAGCCAAAAGAAGCTTTAAACGCTTTGAACCGGGGATTGACATCGAGAATCTTCGAGAAAAAGTTGGAAACATTGCAACGAGTGCATCCGCTGGCAATATTCTTCAGAGTGAAAGCTTACAAAGAAGCGTCGAACCACTTCGAAAAACTCGAAGCAAGTTGGTTGAAACGGTTAATTCTGAAGATTGTTTCTATAATTTAGATCTCGTGAACGTGAAGTTAAGCCAACCAAAGTGAAACCAATTGAGATTATTCATGTTCGACCGGAGATTGGTTATTTATTTTATTATTTGTAAATCTTTTGAGTCTTTTTAGGAGTCAAACGATCGCACACGGATTATTTTTTACGTTGTCGAGAAGCCTCTGTGAACGATATAGCAGTTAGGACCAATACTTTGATCATTCGAATGGACAAACTAATTAATGAAGCCCCACAAGAACACAGTAAACGGAAAGGTAAACTTTGAATGCTCTGCCATAATATTTTTATTAAGATTTTGAACGGTTCGTTGTTCCTTGGTCAGAAGATTCAGAGAGTTCCGCATGTCCTGGTTGCAACCAAAAATTCAGTTTAACGAGGTAGTTTACCGTTTATAGCATAATGACATACTTTGTTCAGGAGGAGGCACCATTGCAGACTTTGTGGTAAAGTGCTCTGCGAAAAATGTAGTCGGTTTCTTTCATTTCTCACTGCAAGTAAGTTAGTTAGTATACTCAATTACTTACTTTGTTTAAGGAAAACTGACAAATCCTGCCCTTGCCGCTGCAATGACCGAAGAAAAACAAAATGCTTCAACTCAAAAGGTAAAGTTTGACTTTAAAACTATTAGTCATTTATTACCAAAACATTTGCGTTTAGGCAGAAGTGCGTTCGTTGGATAAACTGGCTGATTTGGCACAACGAACTGGTGGCCATTTACGAGGCCTAATTGGTGGTTCAAAGAGTAACGATGGCTCAGAAGTCAGTATCTCAACTCTTCTTCGCCAGGTCGTCTCCCCTACCAACACTTTTTTTTTGTTGTTACTTTGTTTTTCAACTATCCTTGCATCCCTCTTTTTTATAGTTGTGGTGATGGTGGTGGAGACTCGATGTTTATTTTTCCCTTTTTATTGGTGTTTAGGATGCGGCTGAACATCTACGTGTTTGTGTGCCTTGTCTTACATTGCTGGAAAGGCGAGAACAACAAATGGAAGCCCGAAATCCGCCTGCCATGGTGTCACTGTATGAAAGATTGGTTGGACTTTTGAGTGAAATGTCGAAATTGACACCAAGCTACTCGAGGATGGCGCTGAGTATCAAGTAGAATAATCTAAATATTGTTTTCCAAATGCAAATTTTAGTAACGGGGAAGCAATTTATACTTTGCAAGCGGCTGAAGAGTTGAGACGACGCATTGCCGAACGACAACGAGAAGTTGATGTGCTAAGGTTGACTGGGTTTCTTGTATTTTTAAAGTCCTGATTTAGCAAGACGATTGAAAATGAAGGAGGAGAGGGGCTTCCGTTTCGCGAACAACAACTACGCAAAAATATTCGCTTTGTGTCTGTTCAAACTTTGCACGTATTTTTTTACATGAATTATAGGCGACCGGAATTTTTTTTAGAATTTCATAAGCAATATGCCTAACTTGCCATCTTCTGAAAAATATGCCGAGCTTGCCGAGGAACATAGGAACAAAGTTGCTAAACAGGTATTATTCGTTAAATAAATTTTTAGATAGACCTATTTTAGGTTGAAGAAGCTCGCCTGCAAGCCCAACGGGCCGTCTCAAATATCAAAGTAAAATAGGAAAGGCTCCTAAGCTATTACTTTTTATTCAGATTCCATCGGTACCAATTGTTGAAACTAAACCAAGTTCTTCATTTATGGGACGAGTTGTTGAGGATGGGTAGACTCTCCGTTTAATAACTAAATTTTTTGTTATTTAGTTGGACTCCTGATTTTTCACCAATAACAAACCCGTTTGCTGAGGAAGAAGATCGACAACATCCTTTACAAGAACAACGAGGAATTCTTCGCGGGTATGGATTAAATTGTTTGCTTTGCCCTAAAACAAGACCAGAGGGCTATGTAATTCCTATACTTTTAGATATTTATCTCAAGCAGCGGCGGTTGGTCGATTGGAAGAAGTGGAGATATTAGAACGAAATCTCCGCGATCTTGAAGCCGAAATGAGGCAACTTGGCCTCAACTTTGATTAAATTTGACGCTTTTGCCTCTGTCTTCACATATTTTCGGATCTTTTTTTGCATATCCTAAAACTACTTGTGTGCTGCATTTTTTCTGGTCTTTCAGAGTATGAAATTTATTCTGTTAAGATGTTATTTATTGTTTACTTTATCTAAATATTTTTTATGCACAATTTTCTCAAATATCTGGTCATGAAAGTTTTGTGATTTTTTGCTATTTTCCAGTGAAACTTTTTGCCTTTTGTGGATGTTTAAAATATTAACAATTTGTCATAATCTTTGAGCTTGCAATGTGATAGCGAAATGATAAACATTTAATTTATGAGAGAGTTGAAACGGGAGGTCCGATTGGGTTTCTCCATTGAAAGTATCGTACGCAGTTTTTCAGATTTATTTGATTTTGATTGTTTAGTTAAATCTACAAATAAATCGTCACTATGGCACCTCCGGTAAGTGCTGTATTGAAGGTTTTAATTTTATTCTTCGAATTCAGGAAAAAGATGATGGCGGCCGCAAAAAGAAAGAATCGATCGTCGATTTGTCTCGCTTCATCGACAAGAAAGTTCGCGTCAAATTTCAAGGTGGTCGCGAAGGTGAGACTATTTTGTAAAAAAATATGAAAAACCTTTGATTTAGCTATGGGTGTTTTGAAGGGATACGATGCATTGTTAAATCTCGTGCTCGATAACGCTGTCGAATATTTACGAGAGTCTACCGATAGTGAAAAGTAGGTTTTTAAGTAAAACTTCCAAATGGCGGTCACTTATGTTTTTTAGGATTGGTGAGGAAACTCGATCGTTGGGATTGATTGTGGGACGAGGAACAGCGATAACGATTATAGCCCCTGCTGACGGTGTCGAACAAATCGCGAATCCTTTTGCAAATCCCGATGAATGAGACTTCCCTTTTGGATGTAATTAAAGTTTGTCGAATCTTCGAAGTTTTTCATATTGTTGCCGAATTTTTATAAACCCGTGTTGTTATTTTTGATCTCTTCTTTTATTTTTGGTAATTTATTCTTGGGCTGCGTTTTGTTGTACTTCTTCACCGGTAATTTTCAGGAACTCAAATGAAACTTTATATACACATCGATAAGTTTACAGAGGAAATTGAGTGAAACCAGGGGAAATCCGAAAAAAACATGACCTGAATGAGTGTGTTATGTAGGAGAGAATGATTGAATGAAGGGGAGGGGTCAATTTGAATTGAAAGACCCAACAATCATCTCTAAAGGGCACTATGATGTGTGGAAAAGGGAAAAAAGAGAATTCACATCTATTCAAAAAAAGAGAATTGGGACGACAATCAATTCTTGGCAACTATACAATTGGAAAAGATTTTCCGGAGGATAAGTTGGATTGTGAGGAGATGAAAATTTCGATATTTATAAGGAGGAATTCAGTGAATCAAAAAGCCTGTGTAAATACAGCTGAGAGATTTTTTAGGACAAATGTTTTCTATCCGAAAGCTGGTTGACTGGTGTAGACGACATAAAGGAAACCATCCGAATCTTGTTCTTTCTGAAAAATTGAGAAATGTTCATGAGAAAGTGTCAAGAGCTCAATACTTGAAAAAATATTGTGAACTGGCTTGACTCTAGGGTTATCAGTGTTTCAATTTCACCTGATACAATTCGGACATTGTCATCGAGTTCGAGACAACCGATTTCTCGTTGACGAGCAAGAAAAATGCTTGTTCTGGATGCAATTGAAGCCTGAAATTTTGGTCATTGAACATTCCTATTTATAAAACTGAAGGCAAACAGTCAAAGCTTAACTCTAGACTTGTTTAAAATCGATTTGCTGACCTGCGTCGAACGATATGCATCAATTCGGCAACAGTGATGTGATCGGGAACGAGGAACTTGCATCGATCCATCAACGGAAGACTTCGCTCACCTGGAATTAGCACCGTTAAAGATACCGCCTTTTACCCTCAGCCTTTTACAGTCCACTGGAAGATTATGGGATCTTTTGGATCAGTAAAGATTGTTTTAATCTTAATCCTTTTTTCATGCACAAACCTTCAAATCGCTCAATAATCACAGGCACTTTATTGGGCTGTTGGCGTTTAATTTCTTGAACATCTTTCTCTCGAGCATCTGAAATGATTTGTAAATAAAAAGATTGAGAAAGCGATCACTGACGGAATGGTCTCCTCTCTTTGAATGTGGGAATGTGTCCTGTATTGAGTGCCATTCGATGATTCGACGCCGGGCGGTGCAGTTGAGAAACGGCGGACAAAGCCGACGACAACTGAATGGGGAATGGATAAGCACTTGAAAACTTGTATATCAGTTCAATCGGCACTTTTCTCATATCTAGCGTGATTGGACGTGGATTATTTGGATCTTGCGAAAGAAAAGTGTGAAAGGTCGGGAAATTTGAAATGGGAATCGATTAAGGCATCAAAATCTAGTTGTTCCCATTTTTAATCGATTTTCTCACCTGATTCTGCACCGCCGACGAGGCCGCTTCCCAGGATAGAGACTCCACCTGAAAATTGGATGTACTATAGAAGGGAAAAGTTTGAAAAATCATTGAATGATGGAAATTTAAATAAATCTTTGATATAAGTAAAGAATTACTTGAATCATTTGAGAAATATGCGAAATCAGAGTTTCGAGTAGGGAAGGAGTGGATTTCACAAGTAATGACCACAAAGGGACAGATAAGGATCCAAGGGAATTGCACAAGGAAAAGATCTTATGAAATTATTGGGAAAATTGAAGATGGGAAGAGATTTAGACAAAAAAGTGATCGATCGATTAATTGATGGGGGAATGGCCAAGGGAAAGGGAAATCAGAGAATTTCGATTGTAAACGGGGAAATTGAAAAGTTAAATAAATTTAACGGCCTTATACTTTTAAGATATTCAGTTAATGTTGAGAAATTCGATTAATTGATGCAAAGGATCGGAGTTCAACAAGAAAAGAAGGGAAATTGAGGTTGAAAGCAGGGAAATTAACAATCTTTAGTTATTTAAGTTATCCTATATTTTGAAGATATATTCAGTTAATAATTGTCTTGAGAAAGTGTTGGAAATCGGGATTATTCAACGCTTTGTACAAGTTTTGGTCTTATGATCAGAAATGTTTGAGTGAAATGACCAGCAGAAAGACAAGCTTTGTTATTCCCTTCCTTTTTCCCTTCTTTCCCTATTCCCCTTTGCCCGCTTTCCTTTCGATTTCTCTGTGTTTCTCTTTTGCGATCAGCTGCTCTCACCCACATGATCACCGCTGAAAGGAAATCCCTTCGAGACACTGAAAAGATATGAAATAAACGAGAACAAATACTCAATGCGTTTTTCAGATTCAGAATTAAAATCGTGTTTTTTGTATGATGAAAAAAAAAGAGAGAGATGAGGCGACGAGAACTATCGTTTATTCGACGATTATCGGAACACTCGACTTTGATGGAGCAAAATGCACAAACGACAACGATAACCACGTCAATCTCATGGATACGGCTCATTTTCTTGTGTTTTGGGGTATCCCTAGTGACACAGGTGGGCAGATTTTTTTGAAAAAGTATCAGAAATGAAATGAAAATGATAGATTTAACTTAAGAAAGCGATTAGGAAGGAAATAACGGAGTTATTAAAAAAATCGTCTAAAAAACGTCTCAAGTGTATCAGACGGTTTTGGGTACTGTAGTCGGTAGATATATTTAAAGATAGCCATCAAAGAGATATAAATAATGAATGAATATTAGTATTGTACCTCTGTATCGAAACGAAATACACAAAAATCCATCCAGCTTCTCAAAGCTTAAGAATGAGCCTTATCCGGTGAAATACCATAGTCAAACCGTTAGTTTTCTTTCCATCAGCTCAATTTAAATCATTCAATCATAAGGCTCAGTCAATGATCCAAAAATTGGGCTGATTGGATGAAAAGTGGCAGCTGGATTACAATAGTTTTCTCAATTTCTCAAAGAGGTGTCTTTTAGAGCTTTCCAATCATTTAACATTTCCAGCTCATTAGCATCATGAACATTTCTAGCTATTCCTCGGTCGTATCAGTGATTTCCTTCGTGATGTCTCTTGTCGTGTCGATTTTTTGGCGCCCCTTTGCCCGATTATTTACGAAGACTCTTCTGTATCCACTCAACAAACCCAAACCCGGAAATTTCTCCCGCAAGGTACTCTTTGAACTAATAAACTTGCAATACCTGAATAATGCAATTCTGAATAATGCAATTCAGAACTTCAAGCACGAATCTCGCACATCGAGGATCCTCTCCCGATCGAACCATGGACAGATCAAGAGAAATGGGGAATTGTGAGAAGTGACAAAGAAGAAAAGGAGGAAAAGGAATGCAAAGAACCGGCAAAAGAACAAGAAGCCATAGCTGCACTGAATCAAGCGAGAAGTAACAGGAATAGTGGGAATCATAAAAAGGTTTGTGGGGGGGGAGGGGGGACGATGAAATGTATCCAATTGCAGGCAGGAGTGATCATTGAACACGCACTTGCATTGCTGCCATCACATCCAGATATTCTTGTCGAATACGGTTTACATTTGGAAACGAATGATCGGATCGTTGAGGCGGACGGGTATTGCGTGAGGGCACTGCACGTTGATCCACAAAATAGTCAAGCCATTGCGTGAGTTGAAGAAAAGACTTCAAAGTGGTGTAGTGATGACAACAGTACTACAGTTTCAAAACTAGACTTGCGAACTATTCGATTCATTTATGCCATCTTCAATTTCAGTTGTCGTGCTCGAACCGAATCCATCGTGGCGGAAATCGACGAGAAAATGCTTCGGGATATTCGACGCAAAAAGTATAAAAGTCAAAAAGACAAAAGAAAAATCAAATCCCATTTCAGGGATAATTTCATGGATTTACCCCGAAATTCAGCGCTGAAACGAGCAATGAGAGAGAGCTATTTCTCTCATATCTATCACACGGTGGCTATTGAGGGAAATACACTGACACTCGGGGAAACAAGGTGAGATTAAGGGCTATGAAAAGGGAGTATTAAATATTCAGATCAATTCTGGAATCAGGAATGCCGGTGCCAGGGAAAAGTCTCCGTGAACACAACGAAGTATTGGGAATGGACTCGGCGTTGCGATTTCTCAATCGATCGCTCATTCATTTAGCTGATATTACGCTTGAGGTTTAAAATGAGTCCAATAATAAAAGAAAATGCGACTATTTAGGATGTTCTGGAGATGCATCGCCGTGTTTTGGGTCATGCACAACCGATAGATGCCGGTCGATTGAGGGATACACAAGTGTATGTCGGAAGGTTTGTGCGAAAATTTGACATTCGACTCGAAAGCGTTGAGAGACTTGAACGATTACTGTATCGGCGTGTAGATTCCGTTGAGTAAAGCGTTTTCTAAGAGATGCGGTTTGGGGGCAAGCTACCGTATTCTCTGGAAAACTGCCGTACACCGTAATCGTAACCATAGAATGAGTTCAACCCTTGGTAAAGGCTGTATCGACAAGTAGCTTTATAAAAGTATTGTTGAAACGAAACAGGGCTACGATAGCTTTTTCGGAGCGCACCTTTTAGAGAACCAAAAGACACAACTTTAGTAAGAAAGTCTATCAAAAGAACTCTCACAATTGTCAGATTCACGCCAGTCGCTCCAAAATACGTGAAAGAGCAAATGTTAGAATTGATCGATTGGCTAAACGATCCATCAACAAATGCTATTGATCCAGTGCAACGAGCAGCTATAGCACACTATAAGCTGGTAAGTAAATGAAGAAAATGATCGACATGAGATTTTCAGGTTGTCGTTCATCCATTCATTGATGGCAATGGTCGAACAGCTCGTTTACTTCTAAATCTCGTGCTCATGAAAGCCGGCTTTCCGCCTGTAATTCTTCCCGTATCCACTCGAGCTGAATACTATGCAACATTAAATACAGCGAATCTCGGTGATCTTCGTCCTTTTGTGAGATATGTGGCACATCATGTTGACAGAACATTACAGGTATCACATATAGGCTTGAAGCTTGAACCTCAACAAATTTCAGACCTACATTAACTTGGTTTCCACATGTGCTGATGAAAAGTGCTCGGTGCCGGATGAAATTTTAGATGAGGAATCTCCACTCATAAAGAGCCTTCACCAATCTGTTTAAATTCATTAGCTAAGTTATACATAGCCTCAATTACGGAAGCTTTACCAGGGGTTCCTAACTGTTTCCCTTTATCAAAATTCCGAACAAATCTTGGATAATTATTTTTTTTCAACGATTTCCACTCTATTCTGCTACGGGTTCTTGTCTGTGATAAAATTTTTATTACTTTGGAACAATAAAATTAACAAATAAGAATTGAGTCCCCCGATATGCTGACTAACAAGTACAGGGAAACTATTTCACGTTACCCCCAATTTATCTAAATTCCCGGATCTTAAATAACAAATATAAATTAAAGCAAACATAGAAACAAACTGATAAACAACAAATTTGTAATCGGCAACACAAATTAAGGTCTAACAAACTCACAAGGTGATTTCCTTATTTTCCGCCTTTCTTTTTGCTTTCCTTGGCCTTTTCCTCGTCGATCGGCGCTTTGCGAACGAATGGAATTAGCTAAAACGTCCAGCAGTTGAATCAAAGATTAAATGTTCACACCGTTTTGTATTGAGACGGCATGTATGGACTAAGCACTTCAGGAACCATGATCCCTTCCTCTGTTTGATAGTTTTCCAATAAAGCACAAAGAACTCTGGTAGTTGCGCACATCGTTGCATTAAGCATATGAACATAGGAAACCTAAAATAAACGTTGCTTTTAATTTAAGACTCAAAAATGCGAACCTCTCCGTCGAGTTTTTTTGTTTGCCCGTAGCGAACCTAAAATAAAATTGAATTTAATAAAGAAAGAAGGAATAGTGCCTCCTTTTAATTTAAAGTCGAAATCCGAACCTTGAGACGACGAGACTGATAGTCCAGGCAATTCGAGCAAGAGACAAGCTCACGGAAAGTCCCTGATCCAGGGAACCACGCTTCAAGATCAAGCCTAAGATACAGTTTCACTGATGCAGACTAAAAGGTATTTACTTTTTAGCTGCAGCATTGTTCAATTCTCCAGAAACGATACAAACCACGTGATATGGAATTCCCAAAAGTTGGCAATATTCCTCAGCATTTCCAATCATCTAAAGACTATAAAGTTGACATTTAAAACTTTTTATACCTCATCAAAAGTTTTCCATGACTCGTCATCCAACGGAGATGTAAGAACAAATTGTTCCACCTTTTCAAACTGATGAACTCTATAATTCTAAATTATCGAGAGATGTAGGTTTACATTCAAACCGGAAGATTCCCCGAGTATCCCTTCCATGGCTGCCCACTTCTTGACGGAAGCAAGTCGATAGTCCAGCATATTTTATCGGCAAAGAGTCTTCCTGAAAAGAAAAAAGCTAAATTAAAATGCCCACAAAATTACTTTAATCCATTCATCTCGATGGAAAGCAGCAATTGGTTGCTCTGAAGTTGCGATCAAATATTTCTCTTCGACGGTATTGTCACCAGCAACCTCACTTCCTTTGCCAGAGACCTAATATTTTTCGTTAAAGATCCTAACATACGAAAGTTTACCTTGTATAATTCTTCATCAAATTGATTGAGCTGTGCGACCTCTTGCATAATTTCCTTTCGCATAAAGAATGGAGTGTACAAAGGGGTGAAACCTTTCTTAGACAGTCTATAAAAAAATCAGAATGAAAATTTCCTGAAATTTCTTACGTTTGGAGTGCAACTTGAATAACAGCCTGTTCCAAAAACACGAGTGGTCCCTTCAAAAAGTATCCTCTTCCTCCAGCAATAGTCGTACCTCGTTCTCCGTCAAATCCATCGATCATTACGACAAGGTCAATCTAAAAAGAATACACATCATTAAAAGCTATCAAAAAATAAGACTAACGTGACTGTATTTCCTGCGACCAGAAATATCTCCAAAAGTTCTCTCAACGCGATTATTGTCTTCATTGTCAGATACCGGCACCGACTCGTGGACCAAGTTCCCAATCTAAAACAAGAACTAAATTTAAAATAGAAGAACTGTAAAACACTTATTCCATGCCACCAAATTGCACCTGAACAAGAGCTTCCTGTCGTTGTTGGTCCAATTGTACCATGCTTGCTTCTGTGGTCTTCATCTTCTCTTCGACCAAAACTTGTACCTTCTTGAGCTGCGAAATGGTAAGACCCTAAGTAAATACATTATGCAATAAATTAGCATGACAAACGGTGATTTCATCGGCTTTCACTTCTTCCAATCCGGCCGCAATATTTGGTGGAACTTCGGCACCCGCATCACCCGGAGCCTCTTTTTTCTAAAACAATGTTTTAAACAATAAAACTATTAAAAACCTTCATCCTTTCTCCAACCGCTTTGCTGATCCTATTCTTCGAGCGGTTCAATTGATCGGCAGTAAACCGCTCTAAATTTCAATCAGTTTTAGTAAAAGCCAAATATATAAACCTTTCCTCCATTTCTGATCAAAATCGACCACTTGATCAACTAGCGCCGGATCCTTATATCTAAACACCAATAGAAAAAAAATCTGTAAATCAAACCTGTCGCGTTGCGATTTACGGATTTGCTCAGGATTTCCGCCCTTTTCTTCACGAAATCGATCAATGTCGAGAACCATGTTGTTAACTAAAAGTAATCATTTTGTTTAAAAAATAAAAAATTAGATCCAAAGAAAAAGTCGCGAGTAAAATGAGTAAAAATTAAAAAAGGTAGGGAAGTGGGCCATTTGTAGGGGAAATTCTAAAGTAAGCCGGCGTTTCGTTGCGTACTTTTATAGGGGCAAAGAAAATATAAAAATAACGGAGCATCATTTTTGCGACTGATTGCGTCAAAATGTTTCTCATCCACCCCTGTTTTTGTTCGGTTTTCAAGAATTTCTATTTTTATTGCATAACAATATGTCATTACATTTCTTTTTTTAGAATGCCACTCCCACCGGCTCTGTTGGCGAAACTCCAGCAACGGGGGATCGTTCGATCAAGTATGGTTTTAGCTTTTTTTACAAAATTGTTGAAAGCATGTGAGTAAATCCACCCTTAGCAATATTTTATCAAGATTCTAGTTCTTCTTTTTAGATGCAAACGAGGAAGTTATTGCCGAGGATTACGAATCGCCTGAAACCAAAGAAAAACCGGCCACCGTTGAAGATCGTGAGTTCGCCACTGGATGTCCAAACAAGTTCGATTTTTATTTTAATTAGTTTAGCTGTTTTTGTAGAAATAACCCCTATCATGTGTGCGTCGACTTTTGCTATGATCATTGGATGGATGGATATCCTGAAGAAAGGTAGTAGCTGTTCTTTTTTATGTCAAAATTGTCATTTAGGTTAAACGAGGACTACTTATATCGTAAAAGACGAATGCTGATGCACTATCCGCTTCCAGAAGGCTGGTTAGAGGTAGGTACCAGCTAAAAGTTTTTTTATTTAAAATTCTCGTAAGGTTTACGATGCGGGTCTCCGAAGGCACTATTATTGGAACCCTGATACCGATGAAGTAAGGCTTTTATAGTGTCAAGAAATATTTTTTGATGTTTAGGTCTCTTGGTTATCCCCGCGCCACCCCCATGCTGTGATTGGAGAAGCTGCCCCGAAGCTTGCACGAGAGATGCATTCACAAATGAGGGACACCGACAAAGATTTTGATCCAGCTAGGGATAATTATCGAGCTAGGGTACATTTAAAAGGAAATTTTATAATTAGGTATTTTTAGGGAGGTGATGCTGATCGGGATCGCTATAGAGAACGTGATCGAGACCGAGAAAGGGATAGGGGAAGAGATGAACGTGGCAGGGATCGTGGAAGAGATGATCGAATGGACAGGGATAGGGATCGTGATAGAGACCGTCGCCGCCGCAAGGTTGGTTTATTTGAAATTCACTTGTAAACTGAATATTCAGAGTCCTGGGCAAAGCGATTCAGACAGTGATGAAGCTGCTGCTAAACTCGATGTTACGGACCGTGATCGATTAAGTGAGCTTTCAACTTTTTATAATTATAACATCTTTTGTTTTTTCAGAGCGTGCTAATCGCAAAGGAATTGATCCAATGGATCCTGCAGCTTACAGTGACATTAAAGTGTTGGTTATTTGCCAGTAATTCATTTAATAATTTGATTTTAGGGGCAAATGGGCATCTGGACTTACTGAAGACACAAAAACTGGTATGTTTAGAACGTTTTTATCATGTTTTTTATCAATTTTGATATGATATGCTATGAAATAATTGATTATAGGTGTGGACGTTACTGCTGGAGGACCTCTCTTTCAACAACGACCATACCCAGCTCCGGGTGCTATTTTACGAGCCAGAGGAGGACGACCCGATAACGAAGATGAGCAATAATTTGCGGGATTTACGTTTATTATAACTTTTTTGTTATTATTTCGTTCTTGAAAAATGATCTCTGTTTTTTATGAGAGTAAATAAAATGTGCGCAATAATTTCGTTTTGCATCGACACGTTGCACAGTTAGATATACGTACATTTTTACACGTTGATGAAATCTTTGGAGATTTTTTTGGAGCTGGTTTCGTGTAGTTCAAAGTCTGCGGTGACCTTATCTTCGTTTCTTTTGGTTAGATACGGGGTGGTTCGATTCTAGCAAGAGTCAATAGGAATTGTTTTTAGTTTGTTTTTTCCGTAATACTTTTTTATGCTTAATTTTAAGATCATTTCAAAAAGCTTCTTTAAAAAAATTATTTTCAGAGCATGTTATCCGAGGGGGTGAAAATTGTCAAGGAACATGCCGTAGTAGTACACGAGTCGGTGACAAATCAACTGAAAAAGGTAGCTTTATCATTTTGTTAAGGATTATGCAAAATTTAGGTCGATCCCGTGTTGTTAGTGATTGGGACTATTGCAGGAACCCTCGTCTATCTAAAAACAGTTCATCTGTATACGAGATCTGATCAGCCCTTGCACAAGAGGTTTTTATTTTGTTGTTTGGCTATTTATTCATTTTTGCTTTTTAGATTAATGGCATGGGGTTTCCAGAAGTTTCGACGATTGCCAGCTGTTAAACGAAAAATCGAAAAGGAATTGGAGAAGCCCAAACTAGAAATTCTCGAAAGCATTCACAAAGATGACGTTGATCGACAATTTATTGCAGGTTTCAAAAAAAAAAAGGCTTTTTGTAGATTAATTTTAGCTATTCCCGAAGAATCGATGTCTCAGGAAGATTTATTGCAGTTGGCAGAGAAGTAAGGACTTTTTGATTTTTGTTTAAGGCAGACGCCTATGTTTAGATATGATAACTATGGAAAATTTGATGTAGCCAACGGAAAAGTCAGCGGTGGATTTGATTAGGTTAAATGTTTACAAATGAAGTTTAGGAACCGTATATACGGATCGAACCGAGAACCACATGGATCTTATGGAAAAGGTTTGGTGTTTTTAATAAATAGCGTCTCAACAAAAAAGCACAAGAAGTTATCCATTATATCTAATTACGAAATAAAACAAAACTCCATAATTTTAGATTTATCGAAGATACGCCTACAGTAATCCTCTTCATCCCGACGTTTTCCCAGGAGTTCGAAAAATGGAGGCTGAAGTAATCAAAATGGTAGCGTTTGTTTCTCATAAACTTTTGTATTGAATTGTATTTTAGGTGATCAGTTTGTACCATGGGCCATCGGAAAGCTCTGGCTCAATGACTACTGGGGGAACTGAAAGCATTATTATGGCTTGTTTTGCATACAGGTGTACGACTAGTTCTTTTGGACGTCTTCCTTTTTTTTAGAAATCGTGCACACTCACTCGGTATTTCCGATCCTGTGATAGTCTGTCCAGTTACTGCTCATGCAGCTTTTGATAAAGTAGGTGTTATTAATATAGTGTTTATGTATCAATCATGCAAAGCAGATATTGACTTTTTAGGCGGCTCATCTTTGCGGAATGAGAATCAGACATGTTTCGGTGGACAAGGACAACCGAGTGAATTTGCGAGAGTTGGAAAGATCTATTGACGGAAATACCTGCATGGTTGGTGACTTTATATACCTTGAAAAATTCATTTTAGCTTGTTGGGTCGGCTCCAAATTTTCCGTCAGGAACGGTTGATCCAATTCCCGAGATTTCAAAGGTAAATCTTATGCTTTTCCGTGATAGAAATAAGCTTATTTTTAGCTTGGTCTCAAATACAATATTCCCGTGCATGTTGATGCGTGCCTGGGTGGCTTTTTAATTCCCTTCATGAAAGAAGCCGGTTTTCCGTTGCCAGTTTTTGATTTCGGAAATCCTGGAGTAATGAGCATTTCGTGTGATACGCACAAGGTAATCTTAAATAAGCAGTAAATACGCTAAATTCGATTTAGTATGGTTGCACCCCAAAAGGCTCTTCGATCGTCATGTACCGGAATCACGAGCTTCATCACTATCAATATTTCTCAATTCCCGAATGGACTGGTGGAATCTATGCTACACCAACAATTTGCGGTTATTTGTTTAATAATTTTTGTAGTACCAATGTATTTTAGGTAGTCGAGCCGGAGCAAATGCTGCTGTAGCTTGGGCAACTTTGTTATCCTTTGGCCGTCAAGAGTATGTGATGAGATGCCGGAGAATTGTTGAAAGTGCAAAACGACTTGCCGATGGAATCAGTAAAATTCCAGGACTCCAAGTTTGAATTTCGGATCGATATATACTTTAGTACTTTAGCTCATGGGGATACCCGATGTATCCGTGGTAGCATTTCACTCCACATCTTTTAACATCTACGCGGTTGGTGATCGAATGACGAAAAAAGGCTATTCATTGAATGCTCTTCAAAACCCTGATGCGTAAGTCTTTTTCTGTAACTTTAATTCACGACCATATAGTATCCACGTGTGCCTCACTTACAATCACGCGAAGAATGACATTATCGATGGGCTCGTTGCCGATTTGAGATCTGTTTGCCAAGAAGTCGAAAGCCTACCAGACAAAGGAAACAAGAGTTCAACGGTTTCTCATTGGATTCAAAACTTGATAATCATTTTATTAGGCTGCATTGTATGGACTGGCGGCTGGCATTCCGGATAAGACGCTTGTTGACGAAATGACTGCAGCATATATGGACGCGTGCTATGCTGCACCACCACCACATCATTAAAATACGTACTTTGAGGTTATATTAAAATTTTGCAAATTTAATAATTCGGATTGTGATTTTTAGATTTTCGTTTAAGTTGCTCACATTTATTTTTAACTGCATACAGTCGTGGAAAAAAATTGCACCTTGCGAAAAAAACGTTTCTTGCTAGAATTTTGGCAATATACATGTGCTGTCGGTTCAAGTTTGTTAAAATAATTTTTTCATGAGCTAGTGTTTTTGAAAAAATAAGAGACACTTTATTCTCAGGCTCCACCAATTTTTATAAGGAAATTTTGTTAAAAAGAGGGTGGAAATAAAAATAATGAAAAGCAGCTTTTTTAGTATTTTGTTGAGCCTCCATGCACTTTAATGAACTTGTGCAGCCTTTTCAGCATATTTACAACATATTTCTCAAGCACACGAAAAAACATTATTGATGCAAAACGACACGGAAAGAGGGCCAAAACGGTACCCCTCGTCATAAAATTGGTGGAGCCTAAGAATAAAGTGTCTCTTATTTTTTCAAAAACACTAGCTCATGAAAAAATTATTTTAACAAACTTTAACCGACAGCACATGTATTATTGCCAAAATTCTAGCAAGAAACATTTTTTCGCAGGGTGCAATTTTTTCCACCACTACATATTAATATTTGTTGCGTTTGATTAACTCAAAGGTGATCATTAAGTGCCGTATTTGCTTTGTGATTAGATCTGTGATTCTAGTGATAAATATTTGCTTTAGTTTGAACCTTTTGTAGATATGGAGGAGGTTACTCCAACAAATTAACACACACTTTCACTTTTTTTTGCGATCGCGATTTAATGGTGTTTTCAATGCAAAAAAAATAATGATGGTTGCGAGGGTTTGGTTAGAGCTCGTCCCGTTTAATATGGGATAAAAGGGGAAAAGAATGAAAGAGGGGATAGAGAGCAGATGTGAAAAAAGGACAAACAACGAGAGAGACCTCGCTTCGCGTCGCAGCCTCACGTATTGATGGGAAACCCCCAACTAGTGGAGCTTTTTCTCTTCTTTTCTCTTCTTGTTTTGCCACATTCACCTTTTGTTTTTCTTTCATTACATTTAAACTTTAGTAAATTAAATGTAATTTAGAGATGCGGTTGCAGAATGGGCCTCGATCGAGGGGGAACATCGCTGATAAGGTATTTTTAGCGTCATACTTTTTAAGAACCAATTATTTTATTTAGGTCTCCGTTAAAAAAGCGCGAGATGAAGAGCCAAAGTTCAAAGGGAAAAATGTAAAGCGACGAGCAAGATGTAAGACACTTTTTTGTTGGATTTCTAAGAAAACTTTCTTTCAGTGGAGACTTCATCATCAGAAGATGAAACACCGACCGCAAAACCGGATCCCGTTGAATATCTTCCTTTTGATGCCAAGGTTGGAAAAATGACGTACGTTCTTTTAAAAACATTTTATAGAACAAGTGCCACTCGTTAACGCATTTTATCTCGACCTATGAACGACACCCGGAAAAGGCGGACTTGGATGTTGACAATTTGGTAAAGTAAATTCTAATTATTTATTTAAATTTTAATTAGGTTGGTCTTCAACACGAGCTCGAAGCAATGGCCTCACATGCTGCCGACTTTGCTCGTCACGTTCAACGCGAGATTGCTTTCATTCAACGAGGTTTTCGAACTATATGTTTTATTATACTAAACTAAATATTAGGAGTGTACCCGTTAAAGGATTTATCACAACAGCCGATGCCAATATTTCACTACAAGAGCAATTCGATTGAATATTCGGATGATGAAATCGATCTGTAAGTTCTTTTTAATTTAGGAGCTAAAAATATTAGAACAAAAACAGTGTTTTTAATAAGATTTTTAGGTTTGCTGCAGCTCCCGTGGTGCCAAAAGAACCCGAGGATAAACTCGATGATTGGCCGCCAGAACATGTAGCTAAAAGGTAACCATTAAAAAATGACACGTACCTACGGTCTTCTTTTAGATTTTGGACATGGTGTAAACACGATTTCCTGAAGCCGATTGATGCCGACTTCTTGAGCGAATATAGCTCAACTTTTGTTGAACCATTCAACGAAGAGAGTTGCTCAAAAATGCTTATAAATGGTCAGTTTTCATATTATTGCAAACGTACAGCTTTGAGCGGCAAACTGTTTTAGAACCATGGCGCTACCGAACTCGCTCGAAAAAAGAAGCAACAAAGTCTAAAAAGCACGCAAAACGTAAGACTTTAAAGTTTTTAAATATTTAATTTCTGACTTTGGACAAGTACATACCTAGTTGTTTTAGTAAATCGAAGACGATCTTCCCTTGCTTCTCAAAATGGATATAAAGATTCGAAGAAAGAGGAAGATGATGAACACGAGGAAAGTCCGAACAAAAGAAGGTAAATCTATTGTTTTATATTTTCAATGGTGTACGGAAATTCTTCCGATAAAGTCTATTTTCTCTTTAAATCTATCCATCAATGTTTCCTCCTTTATCCTCCATTTATCTTTCCGCGATTTCCCCAAACAAAACATAGACCTTTCAAAACATTTAGCACTCAACATTAAACCCTCCGGTGCTTTAATAAATATTCTACCTTGAACCAAGGGATATGGACACAACCTAACCCCAACAAATGGTTTTCTTTTTAGGTTGAGTTGTACTGCCACCGAAAACAGCCGTCAATTAGTCACAAATGTGTTGAAAGCGTATGCCGAAGAATGCAGTTAGTTCATAATTAAAACGGTTATAAAAGAAATAACATTTAGAAATGATCGGAGAGTTCAACGAGGAAAAATTGAAAGTATATGTGAATCGGAGGAAAAGTTCGTCAAGTGAAGATCTTCCTACAACATTCGAAATGATTTCGCCAAAGGTGGGCAGTTGATAACTAAATCCCGTTAAACTTACTTTGTTAGACAAATGGTAACCATTCAAATGGACACAGTAATGGAAATGGTTCAAGCAATGGATTTGTGAATGGAGGACTCGATTCAAGTGAGAGTGAAGGAGAAAATGATGAGGTAAAACGGTTTGATCAAATGTTTCCATAATTGCTTATAGCCAACAACTTTATCAAAATGGTCACATAATGGAGATGGAAATTCGGGACAACGATGTGACAAGGGGCAAATGAATGGAAGTAGAATTATGTGAGTTTTTAACTTTGGGTTTTTTATCCGTAAGAATTTAGGAAACGCAGAGACACCATGGAAGAGTGTGTTCAAGAAATCGAGGCCGAAACTGTAAAAGAAACGGGTCGATCGATTATTGCACACCTTACACAACTAGGTATGTTAGACTAATCTGAAGCAAAGAAATATCTTTAGGAGTTACCCAAAAAGAAGCCCCGGAGATTTTCGACATGAGTTTGCGAGCAGCTGGTATCAGTTGTGATGATGAGGAACCGCGAGTTGGACAAAAGGGTCGTCGAGATGGTGAGCCAATGGTTTGTTTAGATATTAGCAAATGTTTGATTTATTTCTTTTAAAGGACGAGATCTCTGTTCGTCTCATGCTGGCTCAGAAGCAATTAGTCGAAGCTGTTAGTGAGGTAAATCAATGTGAGAATTACGAAGAAATCGAATATTTTAGTATCGCAAGACGTCGAATGAAACCTACGAAATTTTGGAGAGCGAATTTGTATATCGAGAGTTGAAAAAGGATTTGGACAAGGCGGACGATGAGGTAAATGGTGGAGGATAAACTTGTTCACTGGGTATGTAATTTTAGTTGATAAGACTGGGCTCGATGTGTTATCGAGAACCGCCGTTACCACGAAGAGTTGCAAATCAAACGGATATGGCTTTTCTTAAACCGGCTGTCAAAGCGCGGTGAGTTTTATATTTTAGTCTTTGTTGACAAACGATGTAGAAATCGAGCGGCATCCTTGTTATATGGGTCGACTTATCGAGAAGTACACTGGCAACATGTGGAACGGCTAAAACCAAAGGTTTTGATGCTTTTTTGGCTTTTTCAATCACTAATACTTTTAGAATCGACCTTTGAGGGATTTGCTTTCGCTGACTAGTCCGAAGCCTTCCGTATCCAGGGTATTTGATTAATCTTCTATTCAAATAAAAAATTATTTTTTAGGTTCCGAAGGGAGACACATATGAAATCACGGATCAAGATTATTCACTTCCAAGCAAAGTAATTTTTCACTATTTATTTTGAAAAATTAAATTTTAGAATCCGGAAGATGATGAACTAAACGACTCAATGAAAACAAGTACGAAAAAAGGTTAGTTCTAAAGATTAACTTTGATACCGCGATTTCTAGGTCCGAGAAAAGTGATAGAATCGGAATCAGAGTCCGACGAAGAGGTCGATGAAGTTCCCATAAAAATGGAAGTCGACGAGGATGAAACGTATTTAGAGGAAGAAGAAATGACACCACGATCATCCAGACGGCATAAGGTATCATTAGTCTAATCTATGGCTTATAACTTTTCTTTAGAAAGCACCATCGCCAAAACGAAACACCTCAAGTACGAAGAACACGCCCAGAACGCACTTGGTTTGTAAACTTTAAAATGCTTAGAGTATTGCTTAGTTCAGGATCAATTCACTCCAGATGATTCTGGTGAAGAATAAAGTATAAAGTGAGTAAAAGACGAAACTTTTAACCTAATCGACGAGGTGGCGGTATTTTCAGTTTTTTCACTAACCCCCCACCTAACTCAATAATTGATTTCACCAAAAGGTTACATGAACTCAAAAAGCAATGTGTGTGCTTATCATTCCATTCAACGGAGAGTCTCCGCTCTAAAGTTGTTTGCTGAATTTTCTTTGGAAAACCAAAATGATAAGGACTCGAAATTCTTCACACTCCCACACTCACTCCTTTGAATTAAATTTTGAACCTCTAAAACGAAGTTTTTCTTTCTAGAGACGCCGATGATGACATCCTTCGTAAAAAGAAATCGAGGCTGAAACTCATTCATCTGCATATCACTTAGAATTTGTTGATTGTTTTTATGTTATCTCTGATGAAATGATCTTCTTTTTATCGTCTATGATGTTCAATTTTTATTTCTTATTGTTAATTATTATTTCTTGCTGACATTTTGCTCGATACTTGTGTGCAAATTGAAACCGGGGCTTTTTCTTCTGTGTGAAAATGTTACTTTGTTATGATTGATCTGCCGTTTTCCTCGTTTATAGGCACTGGTTGCCAATTTTTGCTATTTATTGTCGATAATGGTACAATCTTTCGTGGGTAAGGGTATTTATTGAATTCTTTTTTCTTTCCAAATTCTTCTTTTTACAAGAGCTTTCATCTCATTTCCTCTTCTCCTTTTGTGTTCTTCCTAATAAATCATTCATTGTGTCTCTCTTCGTGTAAAATCTTTTGAAGTGGTCACAGCACAACGAATTCTTCACAAAATAAACAACTATAGGAATTTACCGTCGTTTGAAGTTTCAAATTTGATCCGGAACATTGTCTCTAGGCATTGAAGATGGCCAGCGGAGTCCGATTATCGATATTTATCGTTGTCACTGTGTTAATAGGCCAGATAGGTGAGTTGAGATGAAGTAAAGGAGATATTTAATGAATACTCCAAAATTTCAGCCGCTGATGGTGAGCTCTCAAAAGATAGCCGGCTGGGGCCGAAGAAAGAAAAAGAAGAGAATCCCTCAAATGTGACAATTCCGGTAAGCCAGAACAAGCAAGGTCATAAAGATAATCAAATTTTAAGACCAAATCCCAATCAGGTCACAAAACAGTGGAACAAAATGGAATGCTAATAAGCCAAGGTGAAATATCCATTCAAATTTCCATTCTTACCAATGATTTCAGCGGAAAAACCACCACCGAAAATGGATTCGATTGTTTCATCGAAATTTGAGGTAGTTCATTAAACATTTATCGTTTTCTAAGGGTATTGTAAACGCCTATTAATCTATAATAGCCCGGAAAAAAAAGTATTTTTAAATACGCGTTGATTACCTTTTCTTCCAGTGCACTGTAGTGTGGCAAGAAACTTACAATTAGATCTTTACATTATCTTCAACAAATTTACATAAATTCTCATTTTCAGACGACAAAAACGTCAATCATCGAGGAGAAAACCGAAGCTGTGAGCAAGAATGAATCGAAAGTAGAGACAACAACACCTACAGCACAGGTAAAGAAAAGAAAGACGGTAATGTAAGCAAAAAAAAATTTAGACAACCGGCGTCCAGGAAACAACAATGATCCCTAAACCAGATGTTGATGTTAAAGAAGATGAACTGGCAAAAGATGGAGTGAGAACTTAAGATTTTAAGGTTAAAAAGAAAACTGAATCTTCTAGGTACTTCCTCCCTCTGAAGGGAACGAAAATGAAAAGGATCAAACAAAAATTGAAGATAAAGTAAAAAAATTAGACTCAAAAACTGATGAGTTCAATGTTTTAGGAGATTCCCGAATATGAAGATACAGGAGAAAAAGAGAAAAACAAAGGAGAAGTGAAACAACCAGTGCAGCCGGTGAAGGAGGTGAGTTTGGGGGGATTTGGAGGAGAGTCGCTGAGCCAGATTCAGAACAAGTATGACAAGTATGACGCGGAAAGCGAGGATGGACATTTCTTTCAATGGATGCTCTTCCTTTTGATCCTTGTTGTCATTGGGTATTTGGCCGTGCATAATAAAAGAAGACTACTTGGTAAGTGACTGGGGGGATTTGAAAGGGGACCCGTCGGATTCGTCGTCGGATTACAGTAGTCCTAAAGACTACCATAATTCGGTACCCAGTTAGATGTTATCGGTAAATTTAGGGCTGTGATAAGCAAAAAAAGATACCGTAACATTAACTTGTTGAGTACAGTAATCTCTAAAGATAAAGATTAAGGGGTTACGGTATCCAGATCACGAAAGCCTACTTGACTCGTTCGCAAAGCTAAATTTGTACTAACCAAAAGATATTTAACAAACAGAACAAACAGAACCAATTTCATTTCCAGCTTTGGTTTTGGAGGGTCGATCGGGTCGTCGAGGATCAATAAGTCGAGGCGGAAATGCACGATATAGACGATTGAGTCAGAATGAACATGATGTTATTTATTAACAAAACAAAAACAGTTGCTTTTTCCGAATTACTCTTTCATTGCCTAGTCACAAAAAACGTTTTGCCTTATTCCTAATTACTTGTAGAGACTCCATTTTGTCAGTGAAATGCATCGAATTACCGTAACTAAAAGTGTTTGATACTTTAATTGATTATTGGATAGACTGTGGGGTATATTAGTACAGGTTTTTAGTCTAATAGCTGATTCAGCTACGGCTGAACAGAACCAGATCTAGTTACAGTCCTATACCTGGTAGCAATCTAAGATTTAGACATTTGGATTTGGTCCTTGAGTCTATAGTTAGACAAAGAAAGCCTATAGTTAGGCAAAGAAAAGGTTTACTAACGAACTTCCAGATTCTAAGACTATTCTCTTTTTTCATTGATTGAAATAGTTACGGTATTCAACGCGTTTCACTTTCCATTCCTTCACAATCCTTTCTCAAATCTTATCTCAAAACTGACAGCATTCCGCGCAATATTCCCCTCATTTCTCCCGCTTTTTCCTGTAGCAATTCCCTCGATTTATTCTCAAAATCTGTGTTTATTTTATTCTGTGCCTTTATCAATTCCTCTCTCTCTCTGTTATTTAATTTCCGGGTATGCAAAACTATTCCTTGCGATAATTTCTCTCTTTTAGATTTATCTGGTGAATTTTGAAAAGTTGAAAGAATAAAGCATCTTGTAAGAATAATTCAAAAACTTTAAAGATAAAGATAACAATTTCATAATTGTCCATCTTGCCAATAAAAAGAAACTCGAGTAATTGCTCTCAAAAAGTGCAAATGAGATGGACAGATGGATAATCTACCGTAATTTCCGTGGAAAGGTCGCCAAAAGACGGATCAATTTGTAGTTTAGAACCTTTCTCCCACGAGAACCGAATTTCTTTAGTTAACGGAAGATTCGTGACATTCCGTAAACAAAGTCATCTTTTTTACAGTTAGCCTAAATTTCATTATTATATCTTTTCGTTTTTATTGAATTTCCTTAATTCTTTATATTTTTATCTCTTCAGTACAATGAATTTTGAGAGAAGATTAGCTTTAGACTCAAAACTGACAGCCTATCCTTTCAGTTATTTCATTTAACATTTAAATCTAATCAACAATAACAATTCGTTTCATTTTAGAACATATTGTACATATCTATAAAATACGCAACAAAAGATGAAAGTCGACGTTAGTTCTTCGAAAGCTTTTACAACGGATTTGGTGAGTTTCTCTATGTCTTTCTTAACAAAATGGTCATTTCCAGAATCCGGCATGCGCAAAGGCGATCTCTGAGTTTCAAGCCCCGAGCAGCGAAGAAGAATTTATAAAGAAATTGACCTCGATGAATGAATGGAGCTCAGTCGTGGGAAAGGTAACATAAAATGAATGGAAACTCGTCCAGTGCCTTTTGTAAAACGTTTCAACTTTTGAAAGCTATTGTAATCTTGTCTATAGTTATTTGATTATGTTTGGATTTCTATAGGGGTTTATGAAGAAGGCGAAAATTACATTGATTGGTTAAAAAATTGATTGGTATCATTGAAATCGATACCTTTTAGAAAACTCTGTACTCGTTACTTCTCATAGCCATCTATTAGCTTAAAACTTTAGTATAATCCAAACCAATTAAGCAGCTTATCATTGTACCATAACATGTATCATATTTAGACAGAAATGATTCGTTGGGTCGAGGTGTTGGACCGAATGGATTCGATTTTGGAAAGAGCGACGACACTCGATGAAAACAACAGATATCTCGTCGACGTTGACATGGTTTGTTCAACAATTTTCTAATTTCTCATCAATTTTCTAATTCAGACTCTGAAAAACTCGGTGATGGTCATACTGAAGTTCACGAGTCTCCTCTTCGAAAACACCTCTACAAGAAGCGTTTACGCAAGCACTGATGTAAAAAATCTCTATTCCATTTCCATTTCAAAAACCTTTCAGAGATTACTTCACTTGCTAAACAGTGATTCGATGGTTATGGTCATTCAAGTACTTCAATTATTTCAGTGTATCTCAAAACGGTATTTTTCTATCAGTTTTTCTCATGAATTCAAATTTAGCTCACACTTTTTGCGAACCAAAATGCCTACTCATCAACAAACTCGTTTTCAGAGCATTTTGACCGCAATCTCACAGGTAAATCAAGCCAACTTTTGGCTGTCGAGAGAGTCTTTTCGTTTCTTTTCGTACTTTCGTTGAAAAATAATAAATTCACAATTAACCTATGGTTTGCTCTATGTAAAAAGTGCTTAGTGCTCAATTTCCCATCTTTTTGAGTCAATTTTGGTTCACTTTCAAGCAAATTCGAGAGAAGAAAACATGTGTTTTTCGTAAAAATCCATAAAAGCTCTACGAAAACATTGGCTGAATGAATGAAATCTAGACATAAGACTTTTTAAACCCGTTTTACTGTTATTTTGCTAAAAAAAATAATTGGCATTTCTAACGAAACAAACCGTAGTGCAATTGATACATTTGTTGGTTTTAAACGGAAATACGAAAAGGAACGTAAAGACTTCCGAATAGCCTAATAATAAAAACATCCAAATTTCAGTGCTGGTTCTCAAAGTTACGCGTAAAGATGAAACAGGTGGTGGAAGATCTGAAGCCGAGCTATGTTTGGCCGTACCAACACAATATATCGAGTGAACGAGTGATCAGCATTGGGAAGCCAAAGGTGCAAAAGGGTTCCTGGACATTAGTCCCCAAACCTTCATAGGATAAGTGCTTTTGACTGGCTGTAACTTTTCATAGACTTATCCAATTTGCATGATTTTTATGTCAATCGACGCGGGAGAACATTTCCTATCTATTGGTGACACCAAAATCATGAATTAGATGAGTCTATGAAAAGTTACAGCCAGCCAAAAGCCGTTCGTACACCTATGCAAGTCTATAGCCAAAAGCACTTTGACATCTATGAACGTTTGCGGAAGTAATGTCTCGGAATCGTGCAAAAGCTCCTTAAAATTTTCTATGCTCTGTTTTAGGAAAACGAATCACTGACAGCTTTGATTAAAAGACATGCATCGAATGAGACGGAAGCTGAAGAAATGTTGAAAGATGATACGCTCCGAGCTCGCTTAAGAGTCGCCAAGCATTTCTTTTCTGTTTCTGGACGTGTCTACATTGTGACCACAAGAATGATTGCGATTAGCACATTGAGTGAGTTTAGAATCACTTTGAACTTTTATCGCTTTTTTTAGTTTACTCGCGACTTCTCGGAGATGACCTTGAGTCTCTATTCACTCAATCCACTTTCATCTTGGATTGTGGGGAAGTGGCAAAGGTACGACTTACAGACTTGCAGTCTACAGTAATCAATTTCTTTCAGATCTCCGATTACCCAGAAGAACAGGCTGAGAAGATTGAAGACATGCGAGCAGAGGCACTCCGAACATTGACAAGCATTGCGGCACAAGATAAGTATCCACGACTGCAGCAAGTGATCGAGGTCCTGGGTGCGAGCAGTTATCATGGTTTTTTGGGAGTCTTGGTCCGCAAATGTGTAGATGACATGCGAGCTGGTAAGCAAGAAAAAAAAATGGTAATAAAAGAGGAAAAACTTGCAGGAAAAGTGTCTCTTCAACTTTGCACGGCATTGTTCTCGTTGTTGTATCACATCTCGAGTATGGATCAAGGAGGTGGGACTATTTTGTTACTCAATCATAGCTAGATGTTCCTCATGAGCAATGCTTTTTCTAAAACGTCAAAAACTACCACAATATTGTCTTTCAAGCCTCATAAACACCGTAATCTTGTTCTCAAGTCTTACCTTAACCTAAACAACCTGCGTGATCTGATTCCGAATCAAAGATTACCCGAAAGTACCAAAATAGATTGATTGGATAAAAACTAGAGATAAGATTACGGTGGCTTTTGGCACGTTTCAGAAAATCCATTACTCTAATCTTCACAATTTCAGGTGAGGCCATTGTTGGGTGTGGTTTGCTGCCAACTCTTCTATCCGTCGTCTCATGCACAACGATTTCCTTGTCCCATATCTCTTTTGTTACTCGATGTGTGCGGGTGATCGACTTGGTGACTGCCTACGATGTTCAAAATTTCCGTCAATCAACCGGAATGGACATTTGCATTGATCGGCTTGTGGTCAGTGTTCAGTAAAGAAAATGATTCTAAAGAACTCATTTACAGCACGAAGTGGAACAGTGTAGAAAAGAGCAACCGTACACGATTGATGTCAATCTGGATAAACCTGATGATAGCGGTATAAATTTAGATTATATATGTAGTTAACTGATACTTAGGAGTGAATGAGTACATTTTGCAAGCGCCTTGTGGTCGACCGTGTCACCAACAACGATCCGCGCTCATCAAGAGTCTTCTGAATTTCTTGAAACGAATCGTTGGAGACAATCATTTTACGGAACAAGCCCGTCAAAGTAAGACTTGCAAAGCTGCTACCTCTTGATTGGTAATCCTTGTTATTTCAATCTTTAATATGCAACTTCTTTGTTTTTTCTCATTCACATAACCAACCCGTAATATACTCTGTCCCATTGAGGCTTTCTCGTGGCTCAATCTCTTTCAACGATTGCTTCAACTTTTTCTCGTGTATGGCTTACCCAAAGCCAAGATTTTAAGCAAAATTCGATGGAAAGATTGAAATTCTAGTGTCCAGTTGAAAGCCATTGGCTTTGACTGCTAGCCATGGTTTTTGGCTTCTTTTTTACCGACTTTACTCACAACATCTAAATTTAGTGATGAGCGGAAATCTTCCCAAAGCTCTCATCCACATCATCAGCAACGCCGACTATTACACTGCCAGCCTTTTCCAGAATTCTATTCAAGTTTTGAATCTCATTTTTCTTAAATAATCGAATTTAGTTGGTAACCAACTTTGTGTATCAAGAACCACAACAACTTTCAAATCTTCAACAAATGCATCTGCCCTTTGTCATCCTGCATTCATTGTTGCGAAAGGAGGTTCGTTTTCAGTACTGAAAGATAAACATTGTACAAAACTAGAGAGATTACCGGTAGTTTTCAAAAGATGATAGTTTTTAGAAAAGCATATTTTAAGAGAAACTCATACCCCCGGTACAATAAGGAATTTCAGATCCCAGCGGCCAAAGATGTGATCAACAACATGACGAACACTTTCACGGCTTTGTGCTTGAACGCTCGTGGCCTGGAACAACTGGTTCTTCAACTCTTTTCTAGAATTTAATTACTCAATTTCAGAAAGCCTACGAACCATTCGATCACGTATTCAAGATCATTCTCTCGCTGAAGTTCATCACAGCGATGAAAAGGAAAAGAAATGACATGAGTAAGCGCTTACATGAGAGATCAAAACTCATCCAAATTCTAGATTATGTCGCGACTGGAATCGGCTCCTCATTGGATGATCTCCTTCGTCATCATCAGTCCTTGAGAAGCCAGATGGTGAAATCACTAATGCGAGTGCTCAATCGATTGATGGATGTTAGCACGAAACGAGTTTGACGAAAAAAAGTCTTCTTTTTTATGAATTTTTTAGAGCAATCAAGTTGTCATGTCGCTCACAAAACTCCAAAAAGGAAGCCGAAGAAGATTCCAGCTACAGAATGCTAATGAGATGGCGGAGAATAATCGAATTCGATTGTTTGATGTAAGTGTTAAACGATAAGATCTCAAATAGCAATTGTTGTACACGTTGATGATACAATTTGAATAGTTAACGAAATTGATTTAGCAATTTATTTAAACAGACGAAATTTTGAGCAATCCTTTTCAAAAAAAAACGACAACTGATTTGACCAAAGAAAACAATGTAGAGAATGGCGGAAAAATAGGTAGGAGGTCCGCACTTTAGAAAACAGTTAAGTTAATAAATAAAAAATCTGTGGGAAACGATTTAAAACAATTATTATATTCCCAACAGCAAGCTAAATGACTTTCAGATGGTTCTGCATCAAGTCCCCGCCTCGCCACAAAGAGATGAAGAAAGCGAAGATGATGATGAAGTGGAAAGTGACACGAATCAAGAAACTGAAGCTGAAAGCAATAGGGAAGGGGAATTCGAAACGGATAGCGAACAAGCAAAGACATCAACAACAGATGAAGGATCGAAGATGGACACGAGCTCGCCTGAAGCAAAAATGGTCGATGATACAAGGGCTGACATGCTGGGATTGAACATCGACACTGTTGGGCCTGATGGAAATATAATTGTGCCATTGGGAGAGTATTTGTTGATCTTTTACCAGGTGAGTCAGCGTTGAAATCCAAAGTAAACACCCACTTTTAAGCCTTTAAACATTAGAATACTGTAGCTAGGAAATTTGGGCATACTGTAGTTAGAGCCAACCCTTCTACCGCAATGATTACGATAACTGATTTCAGATAATCGAGACAATGGTCGCACAAAGCAACTTCCCCGATGTCATCACTGGCCTCATTGATGAAGGCGGAGTGGATTTGCTGATTAAACTCTCGCAAATCAACCCAATTCGTCTCCAATTGGCTCATTCGACTCTTCCACAAACAATGGCAAACATTCTCAAATGTGCATTGGTAAGTTTACAAATTTCGACCATCAACAACTGAATTCAGCAACATTCAACCAACGATGAGCTCCTCTCGTCTGTTCTGAAAACCTTGACAAAAACCCTGGAGCCAGTCACGAAGTTCCGACCAGTCGCCGGTTATGCCGGTGTTCTGCCACTATTTGGACAAGCGGGCGCTTCGGAATCAATTGGATTAATCACATATGTCACCTCGATTGTTGGAAGTCTTTCGAAAACTGCTCAAACTAGCTCAGTAAGTCAATAGAAAGAATTGGCAACTCATTTCAATTTCAGGAAGATACGCGCCAAAAAGTACTCCGTGCTTGGACGTCTCCCAATGGAATTGAGCTGGCTGACTCTTTAAACATTGTGGCCAGAGTTGTCTCTAAAGAGTTGGCAATCAATCAGATTGTGCAACAATCAACAAAGGTGATAAACTGAGATATTCTTCGTTTATCTCAATCTTTTCAGGTTACCGCTCAAACGCAAACCGATTCCGGTGTGGTTAGTGTGGATACAGCCGCGGGAACTTCAGCCGATGAACAAGTCGCTGTGACTGAAGATCTTTCGAAGCAAGACGGTACACAGCCGGAAGATGCGGTGATCACAGAAGTATTTTTTGTTCGATATTTAGTCAATCTAAGCATTGATATAAAATGATATCATTTGATATCAAAACCCATTCAGGCAGCCCCACCCAGCATTCCTTTGTGGCAACAAGCTGGAATTCATCAAACAGAACGCGATTTTTGGACAAAACAAAAAGACATTGCTTTGTTGCTGATGAAATCACAAAAGTGAGAACTTTAGAAATTAAAACCATAGAAATCTATCAATGAAATGCCAGGAGTCTCTTGGATTTCCCGATTCAACTCACAAAGGCCTGCTTAAAACCCCAGCGAAACCCGCGACGATACGAACAACCACAAAGAGAACAAGCGATGGGAGAGGTCAACAAAAAATAAATAGGCCAATAAAATGTTTTCAGGATGCAAAGAAACTGGCGGACACCATCTTCAAAAAGTACTCGAATAACATCAAAGCGACGTACGATGACTTTTCTCCAATCATGTAAGTTAACTGAAGTTATCAGTGTTAAACCGTTTCAGGAATGCTTATGGAATGGATGTGATCGAGCAAGTCTCTTCATCGCTTTTTGACGAACGCCGCCAACCCAGTATGCCACTTTTGGCAATTTTCTACAAATCTGGTTGTCATCGAGCTTTCTGCCAAATGTTGGTCTCCACCATTGCACCGCAATTCGAAACTGTGCCAGGTAAGACTAGTGAGAGGAATTTCAGTATCTAATCGCTATAATAATCCATTTTCAGGAACATCTATCTCGCTTGAGACATTGATTCGACACTGGATGAGTTTAGCTGATCGACTCGTCAATCGAAGCAATTTCAATGTCTCGAGAAATCGCTCGCATGTCGATGCTCTCAACTTCCCACCGGAGAAATATTATCGACTTGTTTTAACGGTATTCATAAAGACATGATTGAGCTATTAAGTGGATTCAGGATCTTTTCACTGTCTTTAATCAACTCTTTGCTGTTTTGCGTGGCGATCATGTTGATTTAAAGTCTCACATGTCGGCGGCGGAAAAAAGCATCACGGTTTACAAAGAGGTTTGGCTAGCAACAGTAAATCAATCATGATCAATTCTCTACAGGTTGTTCGAAATTTGGTCACTTTGCGTGATGAGGGTTCGTCGAACAATGCAGCTCGAGCAACGGATGTAAATGCTGCGGTTGAACTTGTTGATCACAACCATTTGGCAATGCTGGTTGAGATGGGCTTTGAACGGCGCGATGTCGTTCAAGCGCTCATTGAAAGTCAATCAATCTCTGAGGCTACCGATTATTTGATCTCGAATAACAGACAGCAAACAGCAGTTCGTTTTAAAAAAACATTTTGACGGATCTTGTATATTTAGCCTGTTACACGAGCACAAACCTCTGATGAGACAGCGACAGCCACTGAGGATAGCACAAGTGAGACAACCACCAAGCCGACACCGATGAAACGAATTTCGAGTGAAGAGGAGGCACCATTGAATGAGCTGAAACTTGACCTCAATGTTAGTTGGAGGTGTGAAATGGCTGATAGAGGTAGATTCCAGATTGATGATGCTGTTTCGCGGACTTGCAATGAGATGATTCCACTGTGTCGTAGACTGATGGACGTTGGATCGGATCTAGTCTACAGTTCGGCAGATCTGGTGATCGGTGTCATCGATACAGCAGATCCAACTTGGAGAACTCAGGTAATGTGAAAGTAAAAGGATTGATCAAATATAGAGGGTGTTCGTGAAGAAAAAACGGATTTCAGATGTGAATGTACATTCATTATTTGGTACGGAACACCTGTAATAGTAGCGCTCCCCCTGGTATTGTCAAATGGTTGATATTCAGCCATTTGACTGAATATCTTTATGAACATTGCAAGACAAAAACTTGCTCCTCGATCATTTTCTTCATTTTCCATTGGGTGTGGGACAAATGCTACCTTTTTTGGGCACCTTTTTTAGCTGGAAAAGGCCTTAGGAAAGGCTTTAGAGCTTCAAAAATGTTTCATACAAGGGAATCGTATATGTAGATTCCGAATTTCGACAAATCAGACCTCGCTGACACGTCAAATTTGGGCTAAAAGGCAAAAACTGCTGAAAAGCGTTAAGTGGCGTAGTTTTTGCCTTTTACGTATACGGTTCCCTTATATGAAAACATTTTTGAAGCTCTACGGCCTTTCCTAAGGCCTTTTCCAGCTAAAAAAGGTGTGCAAATGTCCAGGTCCTCAAAAAAGGTAGCATTTGTCTCACCCCTTTGCCATTCGCTCATTTATTTTCGTGACTCCTGTCATTTGCGGTTACTTCATCAAGTTCACTTCCTGTTTTGCGCTTACAATTTCATAGTTTTACTAGTAGCTCGAAGCATTTAATCGTCAACCTCTTCAGATAACTGTCCCTTACAAAATTCGCATAAGACCACCTAATTTTTAGGAATTAACTTCGAAATCCATTTTCCCTTCTTGAATACTTTTACAATTACAATGCAAATTTAGGGCCTAATTCGAGCTGGAATGTGTGACGAACTTCTCAAACTCTCAAGGGAGCTTCTGGCTGATTTGAACTGTAAGGAAACGGCTAGAAATCTTTCGACCCGACTGCATTTTGCTTGCTTACTCTGGGAAGATGTTGCTGAAGAGTACATACAGGTCAGTAGTTCCTTCAGCATCAAGTATACAGCGAACGTTTAGACTCTTGCTGAATACCCACTTCGAGAGACTTTGATTCAACTGGCAGTGACATTATCAAAGACCACTGATGGAGATCAACATTTGCAAGAGAAAGGGTAACACTTAGGTTGTTTTACATTTTGACTGAAAAGTTTAGACTCATTGGACCATTGTTGTTGTGGCTTGACCTTTACTCGAAATGCTCGCGAATGGTTCGAAGAAAGACACTTTTGACAGAGACTCTTAATGGATCATCATTGAAGTAAATATTAAAATTGGGCTTTAAAATTGAGTCATTTAGTTGGTCGTATTATCAATTTGAAGAACGTTTTGGAGCCCGAGGAAAATTTGTTACGTTCGATGCGGAGACAACGCAAGTGATCAACAAAGTAACACAGCTGTTTATGTATCTTATTTTAAAAATGTTTTCTAGGCTTTTCTCGATGGCAAGCAAAAGATTGCATTCAAAATGAAAAGCAAAGAATATGTACTGACGTTTGATGACATGACGATGGTTTTTTCTTAATCAAAATTTTAAAGGCTTTTAATAATTTAGAAAGTGGAGGGTACAAACAATGCGGAACGAAATCTTGTATGCGCTGAACTTCCAAAAGAGTTTGCTGTGAACATTAAGGATGTGCTTGATGAGGTATTTATATAAAGTTTTGTTATCATGTGGATCTTTCAGGAACGAACCTCTACCTTATCGGACGGAGAAGTCTCTGATTTAATCGAGGCCGCGATCAACATCGTGAAAAAAGTTAGCATTCATCACTCGGTCGCCCATTCGGTGTTACTTCTGTTGGCAAGATTGACGTTGAATGAGACTGTTGCAAATCACTTTTACCAGGTTTAAAAGATTTATAACAGGCAACCTTTTATTTTTTTAGATTAATGGCTTACGAGATTTGCTACAAGTGCAATGCCTATCGTCGCCATCCACGTCCGGCCTGTTGACATTGATTGTTAGAAATTGCATCGACAACCAGGCTCTGCTTGCACCAGTTTACGAAAGATCCATCCGAGCCGTCGCTGGTGGAACGCACAACTCAGGAAATACGACTTTCACAAGGTACGGATTATAGAATTGATATAGGAAATAGTTAAAAGGAGAAGAATATGTATTTGCTATAAGTTCTGCCTTTGAAAACCTTGCTGATTGATTTCTAGCAGATGGAACCCAGCAAGGAATGCCCATATGAGAGATTGGCGTTCTTCGTTGAATGCTCTGCAGCCACTTCTCGTTCGCGATCCTGAACTATTTGAGAACACCATGGAATCAATTGCTAAAATTTCGGATGGAAAGTTGGCTATTCAGCAACCCCAGCAAGGTTAATTTCCTTCATCATATTGATCCTAGTTTATTTCTTTAGGTACTCAAGCGACATCCACCCAGAATCCATCTACGTCAGTTGAAACAAAGAACGCGAGCATAACACCAGCTACTAACCAAAAAGTTGCAAAGGTATGGTCTTTTTGAATGATCTGGGGCAAGTGCAAACTCTAGATCTTGGAAATTTTGCTTCGTGAAGTTTTGGAATCAGAATGGCCAATAGATGAAGTCTCTGGATCACAGCGACGAATGGTTTCAAAAGGTAAGAGATGCTAGTCGACCTATGCTGACGATTTATTTTAGCCGTTCTATTAACCATCGCTGCTGAATTGGTGCGTGGATATAGCTGTGTGGCCAGCGTACTGTGCGAGCTCAAAGCAGAGGATCATCCCGGACACACAATTTTATATCCGTTGATCGATAAAATTATTGGTGATCTAAAAGATATCGAAACACACAACGCAATGCGTACCCTTGTCGCCACGATCTCATCATGCAACTTTGCGAGCAAGGCAATGGATACACTGGTGTCAGAGGTGAATTTAAATTTGGCTAAAATTTTATTAACGTTATTTTCTAGGTGAAATCAGTGATCACGGATTTGGCCCATAAGAATTATGAAAGTCAGCAACTACTCTCAAAGGTATGTCTACTGAACTGCAATCGTGGTTAATCTTATACGCGTATAACTTATTTATTCAGGTTTCGGAATTGGCTAACCTTGTTGTCCTGATGCGAGAGGCCTGCCCGACTACATCGAATAAGTTACCTGGCAATCGGGAGCAAAATCAGGGATCGCAAAGTAATTTTGTACGAAGTAATTACCTCATAAAATAACTGTAGACTCAACGAACACGATGGTACGGCTCCTCTATCGTAAGAAGATCTGCAGTGAGGTTCGTGCATACTTTAAATAAATGTAGATTTGTTATTGGCTATTTGACAATCACTTTAGTTGGCACGCGTTTTGGCTCTTCTACCGCTAGGCAAGAAGGAATCGGTAGAAACAGTGAACAACGTGCTTCGGACTTTGGATGAGTTGGCGCGATCGATAAACTCGGTATCATTTTGTCTCAGCTTTGTCCTTAAAGTAAAGTTTTTAGTTAATCACTCTTCAACCCAACAGCTCTGACCGAACGCGAGAAGCCACTGTTGCTGTTCAAGATGTGTCATTTTCTGTTGCACCAGATCCAACGATTCCACCAATTGTTTATGATGAAGAACACGACTCCTTGGTAATCGTAATAAACATAAATGAGGTCTGAAACAAAGCTAATTTTTAGACTCTCGATGAAGAAGATACCGAAGATGAAGGCGACGAAATTGTAATTTTTGTGGATTCATTGATTTCATAAAATTGTTACTGCTAGTTTGTTATATTTGCTGTTTTAGTTTGAAGACGATGACGACGATGATGAAGAACAAAGCGAAGAAGATCCTCTTGAGCGACGCCATCTTCCAGATGAAGAAGAGACAAACAGTGAAAATTCCGAAACAGAAGCACATCATGCGCACCTCGATGACCATGATCACGAAGAGGAGGTTTTAGTTCGTAAAAGTTAACATCAATCAACTCGGTGATTTAGATGGTTCGCGATGGAGAAGAAAATGAAGAAGTGTCCTCGCAGTCGACTCAAGAAGAAGCACCAGAAGCTATTCCAAACGGCGTTGATGTCACAATGCACGACACTGACGGAGAGCAGGCTCAAGCGCATGAAGATAATGTAGGATTATTAACCACGGCAAAAAAAAATAACAGAAAACTATTGATCTGAAATTTATTATGGTAAGCATATTAAGCTGGTTAACGAAGTGACGGCTGAAGAAGAAAGCGAAGATATCGATGAAGAGGATGATGAATTTGAGCGCCTCTATGAAATTGGGGTAGCTTTACTTTCAGCTTATGCATTTCATTGCTATGTAGGATCTTGCTCGTTTTCCACAAGATATCGAAGCCCAAATTTTATTTGATCGAGACGTTGATGGACTTGGCTTACCATTCTCTATCATGCAGCCAGGAACTTCCATGCAGAGGCATCAAGTTCGTTTCCCTTTTCATGACGAAACTGCTTTATTTTAGTTTAACGCGAACCGAACACAAGATCATCCACTGCTAGTGCGCCCAACAGGTCTTGCTGCAGAAACAGCTCGCCCAACGATGCGTGAGGTTCGTCATTTTTTTAGGCAAAGAATTAAACAAATTATTAAGATCAACGAAAGACAACCACAAAGATTCTTGATTGAACGGATTCCAGGAAGAGTGAGTGATCTTTCAAATTTAAATGCATGTTGCTTTTAGAGTGGAATTGGAATTCAAAGGACAGGAGCAATTCGAACGAGAATGTTGGAGAACGTGTTCTTGGATGAGCTAAGACACCTCGGGACCTTAGGCCAAGGAATGCGACAAGTTTTGGACAGAGCTAATCTTTTTGCTTTCACGGTGAGTTTTGGTGATTAGAATTGGCTAAAATTGACTATGAATCAAAAGTTACCTATATTCTTTAGGATGGTTCCAATGAGAATTCTGGTGCACCAATGGCAAGTGATCGAAGATGGTCTCATGCATCGACGGCGTTGGAAAGACTAGCTGATAGCATCCGCTTGCTGGAACCATTGTCTGCCCAATATCTTACAATTCTTGTTAACCACATCGTTGTTCGGAAAGCCGAAGAAAAGGAAAAACCAGTATGATTATGACCCCTCGCTATTTAATAACCATACTTTTAGGTCTCTGAAACCACGATTCCAAGCAAAGAGCTTCTGCAAAAAGCTTTGCAACAAGCCGTAAGAAGGGAAACGGAACCCGTTCAACCGACAGCAGAAGAACCAATGGACACCCAAGAAGAGCGAGCTCAAGTTGCCGAAGCAACCGCTGAAGCACCTATGGAACAAGAACAAGTACCTCCAGTGCCACCAGTCGAAAATGAAGCAAATAATCAAGATGAACAGGTTGGGCTTGCGGTATTTGTTAATATACCTAATTTGTCACAGGATGTCGCCATGATCAGCCCATCTTCTGAATCGCCGATGGAAACGACCAATGACAACCAAGAAACGCCAAATCAAGAGCAACAAATTCAAAGCGCAGCGGAAGCTCTTCCTACGATCGCAGATCCCCAAGAGGCAAATCAGATGAACTCAACTGCTGAAAATGCGGAACAACCAACGGCATCTTCAGGAATGGTCAGAGTTCCAGAACAATATCGAGATATTCTTGGAGGTAATTTATAAGGATTTATCGTTTGTTAAACATTACTATTCATTTAAGACATCGAAATCCCGGAAGGAGTTGATGTTGAGTTTATGGCTGCTCTTCCAGGTATTTTTGACGTTTCCAGGCATACGAAAATGTGTTTTTCAGAGGATCTTCGTCAAGAAATTTTGCGCGATCATGCCAGACAACAAAGAGCTCAGAACCCAACCAATCCGGCTCCCGAACGTGCTGCAATTCAAAATGCTCCCGGAGTAGAGCCTGTCGATCAAGAATTTTTGGCAGCTTTACCGGCAGATCTTCAACAGGTTTTTTATTTTGCAACTAACCGAATTAACTCCAGAAAATCTTCATTCCAGGAAATCTTGGCTCAACACGAACGAGCTGTTCGAGAGGCTCAAAATGCCCAAAATGCCCAAAATGCTGACCAACCGGCCGCAAATCTACCACCGACAAATTCGGCTGATGACGCACTTGCTTTAATTGAGAGCTTGGCCCCTGCTCTTCGAGCTCAGGTTTGTAGACTTATGACTTTTTTCATTAAGATTGTTGTATTTAGGTTCTTGCTGATGCCGATGACGCTACACTTGCCGCACTTCCTCCTGCAATTGCCGCTGAAGCGAGACGTTTACGAAATCGATTTGACAGAGAGGTTGCTCTTTTTGTCTGGCATCTCAAATATTCGTTTAGCACGCTTTTCGCATTCAACAAAGACTGACCCTCCCGATCCCCCGGCGTCATATTCTTGGGGGAGCACGAATACCGCCGCACATGATGGAAGATTTGGCTTTTCCAGCTGGAGCACGGACTACAGATAACAACACCGTCCAGGCACTATCGCTTAGCGTTTTTTCAAACAACCAAAGTCTTTAGATTCTCGATCGTGATGCTCTTGCGGTTTTGATATCTTTGTATTTCATTGATAACCCTCGATTCAGTGTCAATCGCTTGTTAAAGGTTTGCATACAAATAAAGCTCAACTACAAACAAACTTTAGGTCATCCGCTCCGTTTGCTCTCATCCAGCATCATGTGATTTTCTGATTTGGGCCATGTTATCTCTTTTGGAGAAAGTTCTTGAAGTACCAGATGAAGATGAGGTAAAAATTGTTTGAACATTTTATTTAGTCTTATGATAAGTCTCAAAACAGTCAATATATTTACTTTATAGTCGGTTGCTCCTTCTGGAACATCTTCGTGGATGGATTGCTTTACAGTTTCTGGTAATAACGATCCAGCCATAAAAATCTCGACAGGTAACTTTTTGCAATAACATTCTTTGAACAATGTTTAAGATGGACAAAATGCTTGGATCCATCCACAAATCGCCTCATCGACTGCTAAATCAATTTGTGATACGTTGATCAACTTGAGCAAAGTTTTTCCGGGACATTTCCTTCCATCTCAACTTCGGTAGTTTGCACATTTTTATGTACTAATTATAGAAATATTTAGAAATGAGTATAAGCCGCAAAATCCTCTCAAGGATAACCCGTCTTCCGAAAAGTTCTGGAAAATTGTTGCTGATATTGGCCACAGAAAGTCTCATGGAAAGGTTATTATTTTTTTCTGTTACTTAAACTTATATTTTGTATTCAGGAATCACAATTGGTTGACGAGTTGCGTTTTTCGTCTTTGGAATCATCGCCGGCTGCGCGCTTGCTTCTGATGCTCGAAAAACCAGTTTCCACCAGAAATGTAGAAATCCAGGTGCTGGTTTGGACTTTTTCATCAAAAACAAAATTTTAGGGCAAGCTCTTGAAAATGTCAACGCAAATCTTTGTGACTTTGCCAAACAATACGGCGGAATTGGTTAATGGTTCTGTTCCGCAATCGGAAACACTGTTGCATGAGCATTTGGCCACAATTGTTCATTTGATTACGAAAACAAAGCTACCAAAAGAAGCTATTCAAGTAAACAATTAACTTTAATTTTTTTAAACTATTCTTATTTATTTAGGATGCTCGCACCTTATTGGTCGAAATCATTCGTTCACTGAGGTCTTCAACATCAACTTTCATTTTCGAGCAACTCTACCGAAATATTGAAAGCTTAGCTAGCCAGTTGATTCCACAAATATCAGAACTTGGTGCTCAACTCAAAAACATTGTAAGAAGGGAAATAATGACAATTTTATTGTGCTTTTAGAAACCTTCCTCGGAAACTGAGACAATATCATATCCAGCTGAACCATCGGTTGCTGAATGTAGTCGCACTGTTCGCATGGGAGAACGCGTTCAGGTTTTAATGGATTGTTTTTAGATATTTAACGAAATATTTAGATTAATCGATATGATGGGGAACGAGTTATTATTGAAGGAGATGCATCCGGAAGGTCGCTTGCCGTGGCTTCGACCTGTGAAGAACTACAACTGCCAGCCGTGAGCGCGCTTACTGATAAGGTAGCTTTTTTAAATTAGAGTTTTTTAAAGTTTTTTATAGGCCGGTGTACAATATGCACTATTGCAAGGATTACAAACCGCATGCAAGCTTCGTGACATGCTTCGAATCTTGAGAGAAAAACGGAGAAAAGAAGCCGAGGAAACCAAGAAGAAGCAACAGAGTGCGCAGAGTAAAACCACTCCTGCCGAAATACCAGCAAGTGAACAAATCACGGTAAAGTGTGACAACAATTTCAATTATCATTTACCTTTAGGAGTCTGATGTTGCCGGAGAGGAGCCTCAGCCATCCACTAGCGCACAAGCTCCGACAAGCGAGGAGAAGAAGGAACTGACATTGCCACCTGCACTTGAGCTCAAAGAGATTGAAGAAAGATTGAGTCAACGATTGCAAGTAGTGGCTTACGAATTAGTCCCAAATTTATTATCTTTAGTCTATTGACGCTCTGTGGCCTCTTGTTTCCTCATGTCTTGAACGCCTGGGAAAAGCGAGCGATCCACATGCTGTGTTAGCACTTCAACCTGTGGCTGAGGTAAAATTTTGCAACTAGATTCAGTACGCCTGAAGTTGCTTTAGTCATTTTTCTTGGTCCATGCAATTCATTCGAGTGAGTCTACATCTAACGATCACGATGATCCGGACACCAAAAAATTGATTCAATTTGCAGGTTTGGCTTCCTGGTGGCTTTTCAAAGTATAAGGTTTAATTCTAGAGCAGCATCGCAGTGTCCTCAATCAAGTGCTCAGACAGGATCCCTCAGCTCTTGCCGATGGTGGTCCATTCACTGTTCTCACACTCTTCCCAAAACTTCTCGACTTTGATGTAAAGCGAAAATATTTCCGAAAGCAGCTGACCACCACGGAGGATGCTAGAAGCTATCGACGTGAAGATGTTGCGATCCGAGTTCGCCGCTCTCACATCTTCCTGGAATCATATCGAGAACTGTTCCATCTGAGACCACACGAATGGAAACATCGTTTCTACATTCTTTTTGATGGTGAGCTTGTTTAGTTAGTGCAAATTGGCTTATCTATATTTCTTTAGGCGAAGAGGGTCAAGATGCTGGAGGGCTGCTCAGAGAATGGTTCTCAGTGATCACCCGGGAAATTTTCAATCCAAACTACGCTCTTTTCATCACCTCGCCTGGAGACCGTGTGACCTATATGATCAATCGTGCTTCCCAAGTCAATCCTGAACATCTCGACTATTTCAAAGTTTGCGCTTTTGAGCTGTCGAAAATTGTTTTTTTTAGTTTGTCGGAAGGATCATTGGGAAAGCAATCTACGACAACAAGCTATTGGATTGCTATTTCACCCGAGCATTCTACAAACACATTCTCAATCTGCCTGTCAGACATCAAGATCTGGAAAGTGAAGATCCATCCTTCTACAACTCGTTGCGCTTCATCTTGGAGAATCCAATCAATGAATTGGGCTTGGATTTAATCTTTTCACTTGAGGTAGCTAATATAATTTATTATTCATCTATCGGACATTTTAGGTCGAAGAATTTGGAGTGCGTGATTTCCGAGATTTGAAGCCCAATGGACAATCCATCCCAGTGACAGACGAAAACAAAGAAGAATATGTGAAGCTTGTTTGTCAGGTAGTTACCCTAAAAAAATTGTGGCTAATTTTATTTATTTAGATGAAAATGGCCGGTGCCATCCGCAAGCAGTTGGATGCTTTCCTCACTGGTTTCTATGAAATCATTCCAAAGAATTTGATCTGGATGTTCAACGAACAAGTAATATTTATTTCATTTACAAAGAGCTGTTAATTTTCAAATCTAGGAACTTGAATTGTTGATCTCGGGTCTTCCCGATGTGGATATTGATGATTTGGCCGCCAACACCGAATATCGGGCTTACACAAAATCAAGTCCACAGATTCAATGGTTCTGGCGAGCTCTCCGCTCATTCGAACAAGAAGACCGAGCTAAATTTTTGCAATTTGTCACTGGAACTAGCAAGGTAAGTTGAGCGATAAAACATTGGTTAATCTCTTCATTTAGGTGCCACTACAAGGTTTCGCTTCTTTGGAGGGAATGAATGGATCGCAAAAGTTCTCGATTCACATGGACAGTCGAAGTGGCGACAGATTGCCAGCTGCACATACATGGTTAACAGTTTTGCTTAAAACTTATATTTTTTATTTTAGTTTCAACCAGCTTGATCTACCTCAATACGACTCGTATGAGAAGCTCCGTGAATGTCTTCTAATTGCAATTCGCGAATGCACTGAAGGATTCGGATTTGCGTAGTTAAATGTTCACTTTTGTTTATATTTGTGTTAATCTTTATTTGTGCCTTTTTGTTTTTTCGTAAACAGTTGTTTGAGTTAAACTAGTTTCATTTACGTTCAATACTAGTCAGTTGGTATTAATGTTGAAAGTTTTTTACGTGTTCATTTCCGCGGGTTTTCTCAAATATTATCATGATGTATGATTTTTGTATTGATTAAATAAAATATTTTGTTTTTATAACGTTTTATTCATTTTGAAAGCGTCGGAAATCACCTTTTAATACTCGTCGAGTTGACGCCGTTAAACTGGTAGCGGAATTTTATATTATGCTTTAACCACCATTTTAACCAATCATTATTTATTTAGATAAGATGATACCATGGAGTTTTTTGCAGAAACGCGGAGTTGCATTCGTCTTTCGACAGCAATTACAATTTTCAGGTACAATTTGGAAAACCAATATGCGAACCAGACTCGTAATAATCATTTTTGTCTTATAAGCAAATTTTCGAAAGCAAAAACTTTAAACTACTGATGGGTTGCAATCTGTACCATAAAATATTTACAACATTATTTTTGGTTGGCCCAACGACGAGTAGACGATTCTTGTTTGGGACGGCGAAAATTCTTCAATCGAGAAAAGTATTTTTTTTTTTACTTTTTGAGGAAAAAAAGGAGTAGCAATTTTAACAGGGTTCCGAGCGCATAAAGCGCGTCTTTGGTGTTTCTGTGCGCTTTTTGTGAACTTTGCTGGCGTATTTGCCAAATAGCAATGCAGGCGGCGCATTTAAACAAATTTATACATACCTTTGGGTTGCGCCAACTTTCTAATTTAAAAATTGTATAGAGTGATGGCCAAGTCGCTCAAAAGGACCAGCACCGATCCATTTTGGAGGAAGTTTTGATCAAAGAACAACAGAAGCCAACAACCTTCGCGGGCAAGGTATCTCTTTACTTTTGTAGATCCTTGCTTCCAAAACATTAGACAAGTTTAGACAGCAGAAAAGGCTCAAAACACATTTCTTTACGTGATAGTCGCTGGTTCAATTGGTTTATTAGGAACGTTTGCTTATTTTCTATTCGAGGTAAATCTACATTATATATTTGTGATTTTGATTTTATTTGCTTTAGGAATTTTTTGCCCAAGACAGTCCTCAATACATTTTCAGCAAGTAGGTTTTGACTTAAAGATAAAACTAATGGAATCATTTAGAGCATTAGATTTGGTGCGTAGTGACTACAGATGTGCTGATCTTTTTGGCAATACTATCAAAGGGTTCGGAGAAGAGACGTCTCGTGGCCGAAGACGGTATTTATTTAAGAAACGTTGAATTTCATAGCGCAATTTTAGACATGTTGCTCATCACAAATACGAAAAAGATGGGAATGAACGGATTCGAGTGAAATTTCATTTAAAGGTAACAAATTTAATTTAAAGGTCTTTTGCATTAATATATTATTTCTTTTTAGGGCGACTTGGGAGAAGGAACGTGTCAAGTTGAAAAAGAAAAGAAAGATGGTGAATGGATTTATAGGTATCTCGAGTCGAGCTTTCACAAAAGCTTAATGCAAATTTAGGTTCTTGTTTGTGGAAACGAAGGGTGGTCATCCCCGAACGACGCATATTTTAATCGATAATAGAGAAGAATAGAATAGAATTTATTGTGCAATCATTTTACAATCGTTTTATTTGAAAATAAAGTTCTTATTTTGATATTCGTCAGTTATTTGGCGTTTTAGCGCTTGAATACCAAGTTTGGTAATAAAGGATTTAGCTTGTCTCAACAAATATAACTTTTTAGATGACCTCGCGCCATCCAAACACAGTTGTGCTCCCAGCCCCAATTGCTGTTTCACCACTCATTCGAGCTGCTCGCTGGGGAGCGCTTGGTTTGGGTATTCTTTGGGGTAAGTTGTTTTGGGGCAATAAACTCGCAAAGTAGTGGAAGCAGTGTTACTTATCAACTTTTTGTTCAGGTGCGTACCGACTCTGTCAAATCCGGGAGTACCATGCCGATATTCGAGAGTGGGAACACGAGAAGGCCGTCGTTAAGGCACAAGAGGCAGCCAAGCAGAAAAAATGGTTGGCCAAAGATGAGATGCGTTACCTCATGAAGGTTGGATTTTGCGTTTTATAGTCATGTAATCAGCAAGCATTTTTAATGCTACTTTATATATCCTACTTTAGACTGTTGGTATTCCATTCGAGGAAGGTGTCACTCAATTTGGTGTGCAAGATCTTTACAGAGACGATTAGATGAATTTTTTACGAAAATAGTTATCTGCTTTCTTTGTAGTTAGACTTTCTTATTCACTATGGAATAAATTGTGGTTGATTTTTTTCTGTATGAAAATCGCCGTTTATGTCAAAAGCATTTCAATCTTGTTTGTCTTCACTCTTTACTAGAAGATTTGGTGTTAGACGAGGCTTTTGTATAGTAATTTTTTAAGAAACTAGTAAAAGAAGTTCTTAAATAAGTGATCCTCAAATAAGGGCCAACTCATAAAATTCTTTACTTTTAAACGATAATGTCGCACGATAAAATTATGTCAGCGGGAGGATTCCAGATTGTCACCGGTAAACGAGCTATGAAAAAAGGTAATCATATCCTTAAAGTATTTCTGAAACTTCTTGTTTAGGGCGTACTGCGGGCCCGTTGAGAACAGACGGAACCATAGAAGAGATTAATATGGCCATTTCAAAAGCGACAGCTTTTATCATTCACACGGGACTTCAGTGAGGGTTTTTAAGCTCTGGTAGGTTTAAGTGAAATGATTTTAGCACATGGTTATTGGCGAAGTTAGAACAAGGTTTTCATGAGATTGGTCTTCGTTCACTTCGATTAGCGCTAGGTACATATTGATGAAATTTTTTGATCTTGATCTTTTAGATAAAATTCTTTTACTTGGAAACGGTCACTTTGATGCACCATGGGAGGCTGGAGCACATCAGCTAGCACTTATAAATCTTGTGGCTGAACACTACAATGTCGTCGTTGAAATACAGGTTCTCTTATACCTTTTTAAAATCATATCTATCTATCTATCTAGGATCCGTGTTTTACAAATGCTGAAGTGGAATGGATAAACTCGAATCAGAGATTTGTACTGGTGGAAAATGCTCAATTTAATACAGGTCACAACAATAAACCAACTTTGTATTATTTTGAGTTTTAGTATCAATGCCACTCTTCGTGGTCAGTATTCACTCACCACACTTTATTATAAACGATTTTTTGAAAAGCAACTGGAATCAAAAAGTTTTTTTCTTCATTTTCACATAAGAATCGCATTCAGGCTTTACAGCAAGTGCTATTTCTCGGAAATGATTATTCTTCGACCGCGTTAGACGTGAAGGATCCCGATCACGAAACATTACTTTGCTTTGGAAAAAGGTTCGGCATTATATGGGAATTAAACTTTTACTTTCAGCTGTGAATATTTTCCAATGCCAGTATACGAGCCAAATTCGTCGTTCTTCTTTGATACATCTTTATTTTATTGGCGTTCAACCGAGGTACTCGTTGGTTTGAAATATTTTGCAATTTAGTCATTTTTAGATTAATCAATTGCCGCCTTTGAATCAAAGAGACTCGACAAAGAAATAGTTTTCTCAGTTTGTTTAAATTTGTGTTTATTGATGTATTTATTGATGATGTATGTATATCGGGTTGATGTTGTTGTTATTGTTGAGAAAGTTGTTTATCTTATTTCTCTGTAAATAAATATTATCTAGGAACGGCTATCGCTTTAGTAGTTGGCAAAGGAGCCATGGTTTTTTTTTCGGTTAGCGGAAGTGCCTGTTTACAATGAAATTGAGGAAGGGAAGTTATTTTTAGGTTTGGATGCTATCATTGTTGGGGGAAGTAGCGTGTTCATCAAGCCGTTTGGTAGGACGAGGCACAAATGTGATTTCTCGACGATCTCTCCCCAAACATGTACATTTGCCGAGGTGATTCCTTAATAGCAACAATTTTTAGCGCGAAATATCAAGATTCATTGTATTTTTCAGATATCTATGGGACATGGAAGATCTAAAAGAAAAGACCGGCGGCGAGTACACACATAAACCTCTCCAAATCAATCGGTGAGTATTTAGGTTAAAAAAATTGATGTTTTTTGTAGGCTTGGTGGACGACATCCAGAGACTGGACGAAAAATCAATCAGCACATTGGAGGAGGATACAAATTTGATTATTTTCTTATCGATTTCCATCGACGTGGTCCAACGACGGAGGGAGATTTTTATGAAGAACGTGTACTAGAAGTGGGTTTTTGGTAAATAGTTTGAAGTAATATCATACTTGGTAGTAAGGAATAATCTGCAACTTTGAAATCTTGTGGCTAATTTATGATATCGCTTTAGGTTCGACGTGATGCTAATCGATCATCACATATCGCTTTTGTGGCGGGCGCCAATGGTAAACGATGGATTCTCGCAACGGAAAATATGAAGTAAAGTTTTAAATTGCAAAGTGAAGTACGAATTTGTTTAGAGCCGGTCAAATAATCACCACCACTTGTCATATGGCAGCAAATCCTTTGATCGGAAAAGAGGGATGTGCTTATCCACTTGGATCTCTTGCCATTGGAACATTAATTAATAGGTTTGATGATGACGATTTTATTTGATTGTGTTCTCTTTTAGCATTGAAAGATATCCGACAATGGATAGCGAAGCATTTGTTCAAGTTGCCGGTCAATCCGCTACCATTGTTCGACATCAAGGCGAATTTACGATTGTTAAGGTTTGATTACTTATATTGCATTTGCTTGATTTTCGACGATGACCAAACGTTTAGATGCCCTATAAGCACGAATACTCGTTTCATAGAGAGTGTATGGCAACAGTCGGACGGTTATCGCATGCCGACTTTCACGACAAAATATTTGGAAGCGCTCAAATGCATCGTCGATTTGGGTTTGTTTGTTTGATACCTAACAATTTTGCTATTAAGTTAACTGTGTTGTTGTTGGGTTTTAGATACAAAATGTCGAGTGGTCTTTTTCATAAAAAGGATGGATACTGTGGAAGACGGGTTAGTGACTTTTGAAGTGGTCATTTAAATTTGCCATTTTTATTTTAAGGTTCGCCCCTTACCACCAGTTCGTGTCTTCGATACTCCCGCCGAGCCAGAGCCAGAAAATCAGAAGTTCACACTAACGAAATCGCAATTATCCGGTTTACAAGGACACGCAAAGGTTAACCTTGTTTTTTATTTTTTTATTCTCCATTTAGGTTCACAATTTACTGCCATCAGGATATAGTGGAAGACCGTATCCAGATTGATCAACTGGCCCGTCTATTTCTCTTCCTTTTCCAGCTATTTTTTTGTTGATTCGCTTGGATAAATATTTATCAGTTATTTCATTGAATTTCTCGGAAATGACGACATCACATGGCAGAAAAAGCGATAAAGCTTATCACGAATCTGGAAGTCATTTTGAGCATTCTTTTTTCCTTTTAATCATTTCAAGTTTTGCGAACATCATGAAGTTCATTTTTATTCTATTCTTGCTAGGCACTGGTCTGTTTTGAAACGTCTTTCAGTGCAATTTTTATTTTAAGTCAATGCGGCAACTCCATGCAAGAATCAAGACTATTCTCGGCTGAAAAATGGAAAATGCTATCGGGTAAAAAGTTACAATCACCTTCGTTTCAAATTACAACTCGTTAGTTGATGAAAACGGCGACAGATTATCAAAGTGCGGTTGGTGGATGTCGATTGACAAATGGGAAATTGGCGGTCATTCATAGCTATGAAGTAGGACAGAAAGATGGAATTAGCTGAAGGATTTGGCTTTAGGATAACACTGAAGTCGGCGTGTGGTCAGCTGGATGGAGCGCCCCTGAGGTTGGACTTTTGTAACGACAAGCACTCAAATGAAATCCCGAAATCCTTTCAGGTTTGGATCGGTTTAGTTTGCCCGACATTGGGTACATGCAAATGGCAAGATGGAACCGATCTCGATTACACGAATTTTGACGGTGAGAAAGCTGAAAGCTGAAGGCCATAGTTGGGGAAGTTTAAATTGACTCAAAGATCTCCAAACTTTAAAACAGTTTGACATCGATAGATGCCCAATTTCAGATACGCCGCCAAATCTCAACAAAGGAACATGCTTCTATATGGAGGCGGGAAAGATCGATTTGACCAAATACAATCCATGGCAGAATGATGATTGCACGGCACAAAGGAATTTCATCTGCGAGTCGACGATGGATGGTAGGGAACTGAAAACGGAAGGTTCCAGAAATATATAGATCCAATAATCTCGACAATTGCCCCAACTACGCCGCCGATCTCACAAGCATGTGGAAGGTGAGTGGGAAGAAATTGTGAAGAACCGTTAGCTAACAGCTATGAGTCATGGAATGGAGCATGCTATTCTGTTGGACGGACGAGAATGTCGCAGAATGACGCCGAGTTGGCGTGCAATGCTGATGGAGGACATCTTGTGAGTATTCACGATGTACAGGTAAGCGAAACGATAAATGGTGAATAGCTCCCAAAATAGACAAATGATTACGTGTATTCTCTATTGCAAGCAAGAGGTGTTGATGTCGCCGCGTGGATTGGACTGAGAAGATTATCGAATGGAGTCGACATGTGGACAGACGGAACAAAAAAAGATTTCGATATGGTTCCAAGTTTGTGCGCAAGCTGATAAAACAGAACGGACAATATTTCAGCGGGTCTTCTCATCCCCACTCCTTCATCATTATCTATCTCAGTCACCGATCAACTTCTCCCAAGACAATGGATTCCAGAAGCATCAAATGCCACTCTATCATACATTTGTCGAAGGCCCTCAAATTTCTAGTAGAAAAACTCGGATAAAATTCTTTATTCATCTCTTAACAAGTAAATTATTGTTGATAGAAAGAAATTATCATATGTACAAATCACAAACAAACACATCGTAAAAATGCTAGCTGATACTGAATAAAAGAAAATCGATACTGAAAAAAAAAATTGATCTTTTATGAGTAAAGAAGACACTTATTTTTGGCTAATCACAACTGAATAAACCATCACATTCAAGATCACAACGAAACAAAATAAAAAAAGAGGTGGCTTATGATTGCCGGTTTATATTGCTCAATTCATCCACACTAAAATAATAAAGGTCAACTTTAATAAAAAAAAAACTCACGAGTGTCCAAACTTTATATGTATTATGATGAAGATTATGCCAAGCAAGATAGCTAGTGATCCAACAGCCTAAATAGAAAATAATAATCAGTACTCTTTTTCAAATTACCATATAAGCAACGCCAAGAAAACCATTTTTGCCACCAGCCCAAGAAGTCGTCGAAATGACAAATTCTTTTGTACCTCCAAAAGTCGAAACAGGATAATCTATAATACTAGAGTAAAATCTAATTGTAAAATTAAAACTTACTGTTTTGAACCTGCAGTCTATAGCTTCCCTTCGGTAAGCCATTCGTAAAATGCCCTAAGCCGTCAGGTTGAAGAATCCTAAATACAAAGTTTTAGATAAATGGTCAACTAAAACATAAAAACAAGTAACACACCTGTGAAGCTTTCTAAAACTTGGAAGCGCGGCTGTTCTCATCCAAACGATAAAATCAACATTCTGCATTCCACCGTGCATTTGACAAATTGGAACTGGCCAATTCGGTGGTTTAGTATAGTTCTAGAGGAAATTTATCAATAAAAAGCAAACTAGGCACCTGAAATGGGGTGCAATCTCCGTCTTTCCAGTCAGAACTAGGATTCTTGAATTTCCTTTGTTCGTCCACTTCCCAAATAACTCCATCGGTTGTCATTGTTACATTTGTATTTGCAGGTATTCCAGCGACATTGTCTGTGAACAGCATGAACGTATCTGTTCATCATTATATTTTGAAAAGGAAATTCAGTCTACCGTTAAACATCGAATTTGCAATTGCACCGCACGGAAGAATCTTTTTCTCGGTGCCATCAGGCATTGACATTTTGTCGAAAGGTTCACAATCTGTTGTTGACTAAAGCAAAAGCTTAGGTAGCTAATTCCAAACCTTCATTTACCTAACTGGACAATTTTCAAAAGATTATAATTAAAAACTCACATCATAATTTCCCATATATTGTTGATCGTTCCGACTTTTGACGTATCTCCGATGATTTTGATAATAGTTCGAAAGGAAGTAATAAAAGAAGACTTTTCCCTACAAATCTAATATAAGATCGTACTGTAACAATTAATACACCTCCATATCCTTCTCAATTGTAATTGGGACGGTACACGGTTGTCCTATCGTACATTTTTGGGAGTAATCAACGCGAAATTCTTCCACTAAAATTTTTAAAGTGAGACGTGTTTTTTAAGATGTTACAAGACGATGTAAAAAACTACCTCCACTACTAGCGAGATAGAGGGCAACACCGATTGGAATAAAAACGATTCCGACACAAAATACTGCTGGAATCACCGTCGTGGCAGTCAGAATAGGTTGCCATGCTGGGAGACGTTGTTGTCGAAGGGCCGATGCTAAACAAAAAATTTAGCATTCCTTTGATTTTTAATTCAAAATCAGAAATAGGAAAGGAACCTTTTGGTCGATTCTTCAAAACTTTTTCGTCTGGTTCGGCTGTGGTGGCGGGTGCTGCTGACGGTGAAGCATTAACATTCCCTCGATTTCGCACCTCATTTCCGGCCATTACTGGAATTTATTTACCGTAACTATAGCACACGCAAACTGGAAAGCAAGTGAATAAAAACATGAAAACAATGTGAAGTGGCAAGATCTACAAACTATCTAATAATAAAAAGAGAATAGGTAAGACGGTGGTAGCAAAATCTTAACAGCACGATCGAGCTTTAATAATTTGCACGAAGTCAGGTTTTAGTGAAGCTCCGCCGACAAGGAATCCATCAATATCCGATTGGGAGCCGAGTTCGCGACAATTTTCAGCAGTAACTGAGCCACCATAGATGATTCGAGTTGAGGCGGCAACTTGCTCGGAGACTTTTTCTTTGAGGAATTCTCGAAGCCATCCGTGCACCTCTTGAGCTTGCTCCGGACTAGCTGTTACTCCTAAAATACAACCTTTTATTGGAATAAAGAACAAAGAAAATACCAGTTCCAATGGCCCACACCGGCTCGTATGCAATCACAATGCGGGACCAATCGACGTTTTTGCCAAAAATTGCCTCTAATTGACGGAAGTTGACCTCTTTCGTTTTGCCTGCCTCGCGTTCCTCGAGCTTTTCTCCGATGCAGAAAATGACGTTGATTCCGGCTTCCAAAGCATGCATGGTTTTGTCGGCAATCAGCTGATCCGTCTCTCCGAAGACATGGCGTCTTTCGGAGTGTCCGAGAATCACCCAATTCAATCCAAGGTCCTTAATCATCTCTAAAGCGCACATTATATAATCACATTCTGTCTACAAATGAGCTCACCTGGCGAAATCTCTCCGGTGAAAGCGCCCTTGGCCACTTTGTAGCAATTTTGAGCCGCAACCTAAAAATTTCAAATATAAAAAGTGCGTGAAATCGAGCTCCCACCTGCGCTCCACAATTGATTTTCTCTTTCACATAGGTGATGTATGGCGCAGGAGGGGCGACAACGACGTCGACTTTATCGCAGCAGCTACCATCACATCCGGAGTTGATAAATGCGATGATTCCGTCGATCGACTTGAAGTCGCCATTCATCTTCCAGTTTCCTCCGACAAAAAAGCGACGGTCAGCCATTATCTAAATCAGAAAAAAATAAGTTGAAGTAGACGTTAAAGAAGTTGAAATGAAAATTAGAAATGCGACGACGGGGGTAACGAATTAGAGACCGATGCTGGGAGAGAAAAGAAAAGACGTGGAATACTTGAGATGAAAACTATAAAGCTACCTACGTTTATCTGGCTCATTGTTATATAGAAATCTCAATACATGCGCTCAGTGGTTGATTTTGCGTTTCCTGCGTTTTTCTAAAGTGATGCAAGTGACCTTATTGTCGTTATTAAAGATCCGTTCAAACATCGAATGGCAAAGGATACCAAAAACGGTGCAGTCATTGAAACAACAAATGAGTCAGATCACAACGTCGCAAACGCGGCAAGAGTCGTTTGATAAGTGTGTAGGAGGAGAGAGAAAAGGTACGAGTAATCAATCACAGACCTGTGAAAGAAATGAACTAGACCATACAAATGACAGTGTTTTGTGGTCTTTTCATGGGTGTCTCCCTATGTGTGTACTTTGGGATAAACCTTTGCACAGCCTGCATTAAAATAAGCTTTTAATACCGCATTGAGCTTTTTCCTCGAGATATTCAGCTCGCTTGACAGAATATCTTGGGAAACATGGAGAATCTCAGCATGGAGAACTCATCCTTTATCTTACTCGTTTTTTCAGCTCCGTTAATAATCTTCTTTCCAGATGCTCTCAATAATGGGTAGGGGGGCCTCTTCTGGCCGCATCAGCAATGTTGTGGCCCTTCAATATTGTTTCAACTCGAACGATGCTGTCGCAAAACCCGAACCCCGTGTCAGCGGACAAATGGCCTCGTTTCGGAAGGTAACTTATAAAATATGTTTTTGAATGACCGTGTATTTTTTAGGGAACTGGCGGTCGTGCTTCGTTTTCCGGAAATGTAGTCACCGTTTTTGGAGCCACGGGATTTCTCGGTTTGCCTGTGATCAACCGACTCGCTCGACAAGGGAATCAAATCATCATTCCTTACAGGTAAATTTATTTCCCTCTGTACTGATATTTCTTGTTTTAGACAAGATCCTTACTACATCCGTGAGCATAAAGTTGTCGGCGAACTCGGCCAAATTCTCTTCTTTCCCTTTGAGCTGAAAGACGAAGAATCAATAAGAAAGGTATATAGTAGAACGAAAATTGGTCAAAATTGGTTTTAGGTTCTTAAATACAGCAATGTCGTCGTGAACCTTCTTGGCACTCGAGTCCCAACTAAGTAAATTTTATTTTATGTTGTGAATCTAATTGAAGATTAATTTAGGAAGTACGACTATTATGAAACGAATGAAAGGGGAGTTCAGCGAATCGCTCGAATAGCTCGTGAAATGGGTGTTGAGAGATTCATTCATCTCTCCGCTCTTGGAGCTTCCCCATCACCAGGACGAGGACATATTGTTTCTGAAAGTCACTTCTTGAAATCAAAGGTAGCTATTAAAGTGAGAAAGTTTCTACATAAATTTTAGGGTCTTGGCGAAGAAGCAGGTGAGGACGACAAACAATTTATGAGATGCGCATTGATGATTTATGATTACTTATATTTATAATATGATATAATAACAAAGTTATGTTCAGTGCGTCACGAGTTCCCATCAGCGACAATCATCAGGCCTTCTGTGATGTACGGTGAAAATGATGGTTTTATCAGCTCTTATGTTAGCAGGTAATTCTTTTTACCAGTATTTTCTTGACTAGTATTTTATAGATGGCGAAAGACTCCACTTGACTTGGTGTATCTCTACAAATCCGGTGAACAAACGTATAAAATGCCAATCTGGGTTTGATTTTGTTTGTGGCGACTTATATTCTGGTTTAGGTTGGTGATGTGGCTTTGGGAGTGGAACGAGCTGTGAATGATCCGACAGCCGTTGGACAAACCTTTGAATTTGTTGGTTGGTTAATAAACTTAAACAAAACACTGCGGTTTATTTTAGGACCACATTGCTACAAACTTTCCGAATTGATCGATTTCTTGTATCGCAAAGCTCATTGTCTTGAAAATTTTGGTTTCAAGTAAGTTTTTAAAAACAACGAATTGTTGCTGACCATTGAGCTCATATTTTCTTTCTAGCTATCGTCGTCACGGCTTTCCAGACCCAATGTTCATTTCTACCGTATTACTCACCGAGCTCTGGGGAAAATTTTTCAAATCTAAAGTGCCCTTGAATCGTGAATGGATGGAGTTCGTGGTGGGTTATAGTTTCTAAAAAATAGGGGTGACTAGATATACTTTTTGTTTAAACAATACTTTTTAGGAGGGTCGAAGTGATGTTTTGACTGGAGAGAAAACTTTAGCTGACTTGGGCGTTCGACGACTCACTGAATTCGAGTAATTTTTTATGCTTAAGCCATGATACATTTACATTGTGTAGATATTCTGGCGGCCAACTAGCCCAATGGCGTTCATTCTTCAAATATTACGAGGAGGAATACGGAGACTTGGAGCCACCACCACTGCCGCTTAGGTATTTTCAACTTTATGTACTAAATAAATTGAAATTTTCAGATCTCCACCACTCATCAAGTCGAAAGTTAAAGGCGATTTCACTTTTGGATCGGCTTTTAGCTAGCTCAACGAATTTACACAGTGTTTAGCTTTTTGGTAGTATAAAAGATTATTTAACTTTTGTAAAGACTCGTTTGTATATGTACTTTATTGTATATTAAATGATGTTAGTTTGTAAAGCGTTCGGTTTCTTATGTATAAACGGTTTTGATTTCTTTCAACACCTTTGTTTGCCTTCAGTGGGTTAATTGTATATCAAAAGGTCATCTAGTTTTCATATGAGGCTTAATTTCACGATGATTTGTTCACAGTTTTGAATGGGGAAATCGCTTCGCGATTTGGGTTATTGGTTTAACCAAAACGATGAACTCCGGGACGAGGTAAATTTATTTTTTGGGTAGATGGGTTTTATCATTCAAAACAATTGCAAAGTTGATCAATTGTGTGAAAATTTGCGCATTTTATTTCTAAGCAATTTTTCGTTTTCAGGACGGCATGAGTTTCAAATTCACCACACAAGCCGAATATGAAGAATTGGGTGATGCTATCACCGAATATATCTACGACCGGATGCAAAAGGAATATAAGCTTCAACGAAAGCCAGTAAGAAACCTTTTATTTAACCACTTAATGAAGTTTCTGGAGTGAATTGAATAATACTTTTTTAGGTTAGACCAGTCATTGATACAAATAATCATCGACGATATGATAACTTCCCTGATGAACAGTATGTTGAAATTAATTCATCTTGTGATACTGATCTTTTTTAGCTTTGGTTTTGTATTTGTGAGTCCTGATTGGTCAAAGAAAGAAACGATTCTTGTTCTTATTCATGGAATGGGAGCTGTTAGAGCTGGGCAATGGGGCAGAAAGTAATTCAAGCAGAGTTTTGAGCTTATTTGACTTTAGATTGATCATAAATGAGTGTCTTGATGAGGGTTCACAGCTTCCATACATACGAGTGAGTTGGAAATGCTTCTTTTGTTTGTAGTTTTAATGGCTTTCTTTAGAATGCACTGCAACGAGATTGGGGAGTTGTTGTCTTGAACACCAACCATAATTCACGGATTGATGAAAATGAGAGAAAAGTTAACTTACTGGTCGGTACTTGCAAGTCTGTTAAACGTTTGCTATTTTAGCTCAGTTCAACTTCTGAAAAACATGCCGAAAACGCCTGGCACTTGTGTGTCGATGAAACAGAGGCTAAGACCATTCATGTTGTTGCTCATTCAGCTGGCGGTAGTGGTATATCGGGAATTGTTCGTTTTAAGTCAGTTCTATACATTTTATCATTTTTAGATGAAAAAATATGAAGATACAAGGGTCAAGTCGATCATTTTGACCGATTCATGGTTTACCGGGCCGGTTGGTGATCCTTATGGCAATTAAAATAATTTTCTTAGACCGTCCAAGCTTTCGTCATTAATTTCACTGCCTCCAAGCCGATGAATGCATTCAAACAGAAAAGAAAGTAAATAAATAGGCGTCTTTAATTGTATTTTCATTTTCAGAGACTTTTGGGAAATTTATGCCGGTACAAATGAGCACGACCGAACGTCGGCGGCTTGTATTGATGCCGCTTTTTGCGCGATGGATAACTGGGACGCAGTTGAGTTCGATTTCTATCCACCAATAAAAAATGTTGTAGAACAGAACGGCTACCTTTTTGGTAAGGATTGCAACGCTTGTGAGAGGAGGTTGTCAAGCAGCAGGTAATTACTTGGAACGTGGGTTTTAGTGTTAAGAAAGTTGAGAGATGATGATGATGATGATGATGATGATGAGAAAGAAAGATGATTATTATTTTTAGGATGGGCATCAGAAGAGTTAAATGATGCAAACGGCGAAAACGATGAAAACAATAAAAACAATAATGAAAACAATGAACAGGGTCCAAGCACGGCAGGTGGACATACAACTCCCGCTGAGCGACTTGCTCGTTCTTTTAAATCCTCGTGATTGGTTTTACATCTATTCTTTTGTTGACCCCGTTATTCACTTATTTGGCTTGGTGTTACTTCGTGTCATTGACTACATATTGATCTCATTGTTATTTACATGATGCAATGTTATTTATCTGGTATCTGATGTTCTAAACTCGAGTCTGCAAATAAATTACTAGCTGTCTCGTAATATGCAAAAATTAGAAATAAACTTTAATGTGAAACAATGATAGTAAACTAAAGTATTTTTGGGCATCATAGCTTGAGCATCGACTCAATTCCGCTGTTATCCGGCACAGAGTCCGTTGCACCTAAAATAGTTTTATTTCAAAAAGCTCATTTGCTCCTCACCGACGTATGTTGTCGCTAACTTTTTATTGCAAAATGTCCTCGCGCAAACATCGCGCACATTTTCGACGCTGATTGACTAAAAGGGAAGCTTTTTAGTTTGTAGTTCACAAGTTACATTTATTCTGTATTCCAATTCGGGAACAGGAATCCTTCTTCCATAACAAAGCAATTGTCGGCCAATATCTTCAGTAACTGGAGTTGTTCCATCGAGCATCAATAAAAGATTCGTCAATAATGTTTTCTTTCCTCTTTCCACGGACGCTTTATCAACTGCTAAATAGATTAAATGAATTCAGCCTCGTAAGCTCGATTCCTTACCTGTTGCTAACCATTTCCATTCAGCTATTATCGCCTCAACAAGTGCAGAAACAGCTTCCTTTTGCGCGGAAAAGTAAATACCGGTCAATCCCGTATCCTGAAAGTGAAAGATAGAAGCTTCAAGCAAAACTTTTCCACTTACTTTATAACAAGTGTTAAAACATTGAAAAGATAAAATTCCAGTATTCTGAGCAAGTCGAGCCGCTAATCTTGACATGCTGAAAGCCCCACCTCGATAGCGATCAAATTCACCAAGCATCTAGAAAGAATTTTTGGTTTTTAGTTACCTATTGAAATCATACAGTGTTCGCCACCATCAACGTCAATGTATCATGATGTGACCATGAAGTGCCTTCGACAGAAATTGCCCCATAACATTTCTCTTGCTCGTTCACCGGGAATTTAAGCTAAAATAAATATTTTTGAAGGTAACGAAAAACCTAAACTTTGAAACAAAGTACTCTCCGTATCGGGGGGCACCCATGGAGACCTCCGCTGAAAAATAACTTTTACTTAGTATTTGAGGTATTGGTATAACCATTGTCAGGCAGGGGTGCGCTTAGGCAGATCCGGAAGGGGATAAGTGCTGTAAGTTTAACCTCCGTGGGCACCCCCCGATACTGAGAAAGAACTTGGAACAACAACGTACCTCACACGGTTTGAATTGAGCTGGGATAAACGCCGATTCGGCACTTCCAATAGGCAACTCTCCAAAGTATTTCTCGGCAAGACGAACAACCTAAGATGGTCAACGAATATTAATCAGACGTTTCTTTTTACCTGATCATGCTTTACTCCTCCCGAAGCAGCAAGCACCATTCTCCCCGATCGATAGTGTGTCTTAATGTAGTCGACCAAATGCTGTCTTGTGATGGTTCTAAAGCAGAGTTGAAAAACACTCTAAATACTAATCCCACTTGATATTATTGGTCGATCCAAGAATGGTCATTGAGAGTGGGTTATCTTTAAAAGCAGCTGTGTGAAGATGGTCAAAGACGACTTCTTGAAAATTTTGTTCCACCTAAGTTTTGTTCACTATGAAATTTCAAAAGTATTTACCTCTTCTTGTTCTCGAAGAATGACACCACGTTCAATCTCGATTTCTCTCTTCCCTAGTAGACTGTGCAAAAGAATATCCGATAAGATGTCGACAGCTAAAATAAAATATTTACCTGCTATTTGTATAGCAATACAGCTTAGCTTATAAAAACATCACTTACAATTATCCAAATCTTTCGAAAAACATTTAGCATAGTAGACGGTTTGCTCGCGTGACGTGTATGCATTCAAATGGGCTCCAATATTCTCCACTTCTAACTCGAGATTTACTTGTGATCGTCGAGAGGTACCCTAAATATAAAATAAGAAAAATCTATCACACGGCAATCAAACCTTAAAAGCCATATGTTCGAGGAAATGAGCCGTTCCATTATTTGTCTCATTTTCATAACGGCTTCCCGCATCAATCCAAACGCCAATCTGACGCAAAAGGCAATTAGTTTTTACTCAACATAGATTAAAATTTAATTAAAGTATACATAAAACAGAAGGTTCCATAGAGTTTTATCCTAATTAAAGATTAAAGATTCTCACGGTAGCAGTCGGTATGTGAATATCCTCGGTGGCCACCCGAAATCCATTGGGAAGTGTTGTGACGATCGTTTCCGGGAAGAAGTAATTCTTCATCGACGCCGCCGCCGTCCTCCAACGTTTTCCATTCTAAAATTTAAAATAAAAATTAGAATTTGAGGAGAACAATATTTACGATGCTTGATTTACAAATTAACACATTTAAAGATTCAGAGTTTAGTTAACAAAAAACAAAACTTACATTGAATAGCTGACGGTTTGTTCGAGTGATCATCGCCTTTCAATCCTTTGTGGAAAAGAATCAGATCTAAAAATATGCAATTAGAAAAAGCTCATAAACGATAAAAATTGTATGTCAAAACGGGGTAGTAATTTACGTCATGAAAAGGGGATGGGTTTAGCTTTTTGGTACGGTAAGTTTTCCAGGATTAGTTGAGGTTTCGTAAAGAGAAAAGCCGTGATAGCAACAAAGAGGTTATCGAATGAAAATCTTAAACAGGGTAATAAAACAAATTTAATGAATGAAATGAAAGAATGAAGCACTTGAAGAAATTTAAAAACCGCTCAAAATTTGTATATGTATTTTACATTTTAATGTTAACATTGTCTCAAATTTCAAATTCGCATTTGTAAGCGCTATAGTAATTATACTTTTGAAGTACTGCCCCAAAGTGTCCCCATGTGCATTTTGTTATTTTTTTAACCGTTTACAGGTAAAGTGTTCGCTTTTTTATTTCCTATGATAGTTTCGACTATTGCGCATGAATACACACTGTTTGGGACAGTAAAGTATCGCGAACCAGCCTTTTATGAATTTCCCTGATAGGGACAGGTGTCCCGATGCTCAAAAATGTCCAAAAATGGTTACATTAGGGTGGTGAATAGGGTGGTGTTCGCAGCAAATTGACATTGTTGAAGCCGAAACCAACCTGGCAATCTCACGAAAACTTCAGGTCGAATCTTCAGTTTTCGTCCCAAGATCAATTCACTTGTATGTGGATCCCCATCTTGCTGGTACAGCCAGTTTGGACTTATTGCTACATTTGCGTAAGGAAGCATATCATTTTGCATCATATCCTGATATTTCACAGTGTCCATAGTTCCATCTATGGGCACTAGAGGTCCCACTGAGTTTGAAGCAGCCCCAACTCCGTATCCCTCCTCCATTGAATTTGACAGTCTGTCGGATGTATTTCAAGTTGTATCGTGTTCCAGTGGGTCTCTTGATGGTGTAGTTGCCATTACTGTTGAACAAATTGAACTTAGTTTCATCACTCCACAAGGCACGTTTCCAGCCATCGATTGACCAATGTTGGTAGGTGCGGGCAAATTCCAAACGGAGCCTCCTGTGTCTAAGGATCATCAAAGGTTTACGAGTAGGTCGTCGTGAAAACAACTCGAGAAATTTCAGTCGATTTCGAAATCGTTTGCGAAATTACATCAATTCCAAATTCCCTTTTTAAGTAACTTTTCCGTCTGTCGCTCTAGAATCCGGAGCCGAGGCAAAGAAATGGCGAAGTGCCTGGTCTTGTCGAGACGTTGTTTTTGGTTGTCGGCCTTTTTTCTTTAATCGGTGCACATTTCCACACTCTTTCATCCGATTGTATCCATATTGTCCATTCATATTGTCCATCTATATTGTCATCTTCGAAACGGAGAAGAGGTTTTGAATCACACTGATTTTGAGTCTAGCTCTTCGAGCTTCAACGATTCGCTCTTTTGTGGGACTGTCGATGTATTGCTTGCACGGCATCTCTAAAAAGAAACAATATCATAAAAATCAGCAAAACTCTAACGTAACAAAAACAGGAGAGAAAAAAGAGAAAAGTTATTTTTTGGTTGACAATATTTAATAAGGGTTATAAATCTGCTCGACTTAGGTAATTACTACTTGGCACGGATGTTTACGATCGAAAACAACCGCCGTGTTTGTTGATCGTGCCCAAACCTAAATTACTCAATCAAATCGGGACGGTGATACTATGACTACTTGACCGAGCAGTGCGATATCATCATGGACTACCTTCGCAAAGAAAAGAACTGACAAACAAGGACTTTACGAAGTCCAGTGAGAGAAATCAGGTAATTTGGATGGAAACTTTTGACTTTAGGCAATTGGAAGGCTAATCGCGAGAGGATCACTGCTCTTTCATGTTTGTTGCATTTTAATAATTAATAATAGCTATATTTGTTTAGAAAGCTCGCAACTAGGATCTCAATATGTACAAGTTGCAAGTTTTGAAGCCGAAATTTTTGGTGTACCCAAGGCAGACCTCCAGGTTAAAAGTTTCTTGTTCCGTCAATAAATTATAATTTAGGTTCAAACTTATGAAGCTATTTACTCTGGAATTGCACAAAATCGATCCGATTGGGAAGCCATGTGTCTTTGATGAGGACGACGAGGAAAATATGCATTAGTTTGTAATTGTTCATGTTTTTGTTTCTAAATCGTTGTTATGTTATTAAACGCATGCACATAAAGTGTGTTGTTGTTGATAAATAACAAAAAAAAACACAGAAACTTGGCTTAAAAGAAGAAAAACTATAAAATTTACGGTAAAAAAACAAGTGGGAACACTTTGGCATAGTGTCCCCATAAAATGGGACACTTCCTAAGGGTACCCTCCCTAGGGGGAGACTTGGGGGCGGTACTTCAAAAGTATAACGGTAATCGTCAAGGTATAGTTTATGAGCTTTTTTGCGAGTTCTGTTCCATTCTCTAAGTTTGTTCAAACGTTCAGACAAACGCTGTTGTCAAGATGGCAATTTATACAATGTAAATGCGGCGGTCAAAGAGATCAATTCTTTGAATTTCTCACAACTTTTGATGCTATTGTGAATTTTGCAAAGAAATTCCCCACCAAAATCCGGTATAAAACGATGAAAATAGGTTCTTTCATTGTCTTTTTTTTTCTTTTTTCTTTCTTTCTTTTCCTTTTCAGCCGATCGTTCAATGAAGTCGATAGAAGAAAGGAAAAAGCTAGAGGAAACACGGAATTCCGATTCCAATCTTGTTCTTTCTGTTTCTTCTTTTTATTGCTTGCTTTTATTGGCTTTCATTCAACATATAAACTAATCAAAAATACACAAAATCCGTTAACTTTTTAAAAATCCAAATTGGAGTTTTTTGAAGCTAAAAAAACACTTTTTGACTATAAATAAGCTTGGCATTTGTATTCAAAACATGCTCTCAAATCTTTTTGAACAGACTGTAGATGGGACATGTTGCTGAGGCTTTATAGTATTCCTAAACAAGATAAAATGCTCGAGTTCAGCCATTTCCCACCATTTCCCAAACTGTTTGAAAGTGGATTTCAATCTTAAAATCGTTTGAACTCGAATCTTTACACGAGTTCCATCGTTTTGTCAACTTTAACTCCCTGCAAAAATGTTTCAAGAGCTTTTTTTTTGCACTAACACTGTTTACTGACAAATTTGCAGTGAGTTTTGAAGATAGCCTCAACATTCCAACAAAATTGTGAACGTTTTCTGTTTTTTTTTTGTCGTTAATTCCTTTCAAGGCAGCAGACAGCCTCAAAAACGATGAACTTTTCGAGGTTGTTGTCCCTAATTTATCTGCAGTGAAAAGATTGAAATATCTCTCATCTTTTCATCTTTTCACAAACAAAATTCAAGGACATTCTACACAAATTATTTCCAAAATAATCATTTTTCAGGAAATGTTTATATTTTATTTTATATTTATTTGGTTCTTTCAATTTTCAACAGGAGATATTCTTTCGGAAGCACCCGCTGATCAAGAACATTTATTAAAAGGTATAAATATGCTGACACTAGAAAAATATTAATAATTCAAGCGAATTCTTTCCAAAAAGAGATGAATTGCATTTTAGGTGAGCAAGATTGGCGAACATGGGCAATCGATCGTTTATGGGAGGAAAGAGAGAAAATTGGACACACACCACTCATCAAATATCCGGTTTGAATAGAAAAAAAATGAATGAGATTTCATTAACTACCGTAAATACTGTAATAGTACCCCAACCCCCTCGTACAGTCGCGTAGTCGCAAAAACTTTTTAGTATTTCATTTTTTTCAAAGCGCCCGTACTTTCAAAAAATGCGTCTTTGGTATCAAAAAATAGCTGAAATTCAGGGCTATTTTTTGATACCTAAGTGCGCATTGTAGCATAAACCAGTGTCGAGAAAAACTCGTTCAAAGCTAGACTACGCAACACTCCGCACCGTCATTATGGGAGTGGGGTACTATTACAGTATTTACGATAGTTATCATTTCAATTTTTAATTCCCTTTAGGTGAAAGGTTTGCCAAATGTGGATCTTTTCATCAAAAACGAAACCTCAACCCCCACTCGTTCCCTCAAACATCGTTTTGTGTGGGCGCTTGCTTTGTGGTCGGTTGTTGATGGCTTGGTGAGGGGTTTTATCTTAAAACGAGTTTAAAAACTTCAAGTACTATAATCCTTCTGAAAAAAATCGAATTGATTTATTAAAAAAAAAAAATATATATCTCAATCACTCTATCTGATCATCGCTTTTTTAGGTAAACCAGAATACTTCCACATATGATTCAACATCGGGTAACACAGGTAAGAGAGATTGTATCTTAAATACAGCAATATTTCTTAAATACCGCTACCCATATATTACATATCGTATTTTCTCTAATAGTAGTGCACCCTTAGCGTCGCCTAAATTGCTCGAAATCTCGAGAACCGCTTATCAGAACCTATCGATGTGGGGTCGGAAAATGTAGCTGACGATGAGATCTAGTTGGGGATTTGAGTGTTGAGCTTCTGCAAAACCTTGGAAACCGTCAAATAGTCATCAACTCGGCTCGCCGGGGTACACTACTATTAGAGAAAATACGGTATATTATATCGTGTTGTTTTTTATCGGCCCTTTTCGTGTTATGTGTATGAATTCATGTGTATTAATCTTAAATCTAGCGCACTTTATCTCAGGTCCTGACTAAAGTATCTATATATATGATTCATCATCGGGTAACATAGGTAAGAGAGATTGGACCTTAAATACAGCAATATTTCTCGAAATACTTGTAAAACGCAAACGCGAATTTGCCTATCTTTTACTACCAATTTGTACAATACAATTTACATTTCAAATATGTAAATTTGCTTGAATAAAAGTCAATAAGAGTCGATCAAAAGTACTTTGTTTTAGGTGCAAGTGAAGCCTATATGTACAACGCAATCGGAATTCCATATTATGCTGTGGTTGGGAATTTGTTTTGAATAATCCATTCTGTTAAAACAAATTCCAGGTGGCCAATGATCTAGAACAAGCGAAAATTGATAACATTGAGAAAAATCACGGGAAAATCATAAAGGTTTGATGAAATGGATAAAAATAGATCGATTTTATATTTCAGACGGATGTTTCTTTGAGAAATACACGAGCAAAAGAGGAAGCTGAGAAAAATAAAGGATTTTATGTAAATCAATTTGGAAATGCTGAAAAAGCTGAGGAATTCTTTGAGAGTTTGATTTGGATATTAATTGAATCCAAAAAAAAGAGATTTAGGCGGTGATTACAAATATGAGAGTTCGAATGTCTTTCATGAGGTTTTGGCGCAAATAAATGATGATAAAAGTGTGAAAAGAAAAGATGTCGACTATTTTGTGCACTCGGCTGGCACTGGTGAGTTAGATGATGGGAAAAATTGAGTTAAACTGGAATCTGGAACAGAATTCACCTCTTAAATCTCATCTACAGGTGGCACAATTTCGTCAGTTGGTCGTTATGTTGATCGCTACAATTTGCCCACAAAAATTGTGTTGGCCGACTCAGAGTTCTCTCTCTTTTATGATTACGTTATTCATGATCGGTGAGGATTAAATCTATCTACCGTAAATACTGTAATAGTACCCCACCCCCATAATGACGGTGCGGAGTGTCTACCTTTGAACGAGTTTTTCTCGACACTGGTTTATGCTACAATGCGCGCTTAGGTATCAAAAAATAGCCCTGAATTTCAGCTATTTTTTGATACCAAAGACGCATTTTTTGAAAGTACGGGCGCTTTGAAAAAAATGAAATACTAAAAAGTTTTTGCGACTACGCGACTGTACGAGGGGGTTGGGGTACTATTACAGTATTTACGGTATTCGTTTTTGGTCTGATTGTCTGAAAACGAGATTTGATTACTTGAAGGGCTACTTTTCAAGACTTCTTCCTACACAAAGCTTGACTTTTTTCAAGCTCTCTTTTCTTTAAACCGTTGAAAGTAGGCGTTGAAGTAGATCAAATCTAGTTGACAGTCTCATTATGTACACCTATTGACAATTAGGCCAAAAGTAAACAGAATCACTTAAAAAGTAACTTCTTATTCGTTTAGATTTACAAATGAATCCGGGCAACATTTGTGGAAGAAACCGGGAGTGGCCGGGATTGGATATGGATATGATGTGGAACCGGTATTGTATGGGGAAACGACAAGGTGAGGGATACAGATAAAGGACAAAGAAATCAAAGAGAAAGTATGGATATCTGAGCTGAAAGGTTAGATAAAGAATTTGGGGGAAAGGAAACAATGAGATCATGAATCTGATAGTTATTTTTAGTTTGATTCCATCGGTGATCGATGAAGCCGTGAAAATCCCCGACATTGCGACGGCTGCTGGATTGCGAGAGTTCAAGTAAAATGATCGTTCAACAATACGAAATATAGCTAGACTTATAAACGGACAATTACAGTAACACAATCAGCTAGCCAAAAGATCCACAATAATAAAGCGCTAACAAATTGTAATTCCAGCGCTCGCGGTCTCGATGGTGGTCCAAGTTCTGCTTTAAACCTTCTCGTTTCGCTGCACGTTGCTCTCAAAAAAGCGTATGTTTCTAAGCTAAAAGAAATAGAATAGAATATAATAGAAGCTTTTCAGCAAATCCCCAAAAAAAATTTCAATTGTGACTTTGTTGAACGATCCGGCCGATTTCTATCGAAATAACTATTTCAACGATACTTGGATTTATGAGGTTTTCAGAGAACGAGGAGGGATCGATGCGATGAGTTGGTTTTGAGAAAATTGGGAAGATTGGGTTGAGCGTATTTTTGAGTTTGGGGCAAAGTATGAGAAGATCTCTTTTCAAATCGCTTCTTGAAGCATTTTCTGCGATTATTCAACAGGTTAAGCATAAATTTTTGACATTTCCAACCTGCTACTGATCGTTTCAACTCACTTTCTCCCCTTACTACAAGTAACTAGTTAAATAATGGGTACTTACCGTAAATACTGTAATAGTACCCCACCCCCCTCGTACAGTCACGTAGTCGCAAAAATTTTTTAGTATTTCATTTTTTTCAAAGCGCCCGTACTTTCAAAAAATGCGTCTTTGGTATCAAAAATAGCTGAAATTCAGGGCTATTTTTTGATACCTAAGCGCGCATTGTAGCATAAACCAGTGTCGAGAAAAACTCGTTCAAAGCTAGACTACGCAACACTCCGCACCGTCATTATGGGGGTGGGGTGCTATTACAGTATTTACGGTATGGGTTATATACCCCCGCAGTCCTTGTGGATGCTAAGGACTGTAACTGCAGTGTACTCTAACTGCTGGATATTGTAAACACGAAGGTATCATAAGGAACTGTATTAGTTTACATGTACTTTAAGGGTCAAGTTGGGAATTTTAACTTAATTCGACGCTCTTTGCAGGGGTATAACTAACTATTGTGATATGGCTATAAGTACTAAAAAATGTCAAATGTCAAATGTCTCAGCTGTCTCAGCTCAATCCCAATCCCATCCTGGACGTATCTGGAGTAATTCCAAAACTTTCAGATTGCTGGCGGAAAGAAATCGCCTCCACACTCGACAATGGCACGAATTTCCTCGTGAATGGAATGAGAAATTGCCGACCGAAATAGCTTTTTTTTGTATTCGTTTTATTCGAGAAAATAATACTTGGCATTGTTCATTTTGATCACAGAAATAAAAGTGAATCGATTAATATGGGTACATGAATGATTTGAATGTTTTCTTCAAATATGTTCATCGTGTGCGACGTCGCGAACTTTCTCCACGTTGTACTCGACAAAATCTTTCCATGGTTGCTCCCAGACTTTGATCTTGTAAATCTGGAAATGAAAAGCTTGTATGAGACGTTTAAGTTTTCTAAATTTGAGGTTAGCTTTAGAGTTCTCTTACAGTCACCCGTCGTGCTGAATACCTTTATTCTGGCTTAATGTAACGAGCTTAGGATGGCGGACTTACGGTAGTACGTGAGTGAAACCCCACAGTAATCCTAATGAAGGTTGCTTGTATGAATGTAAACTTCAAAAACTTAGCTATGTAAATCTTTATCTTATAACCATTTTCTTTATCCCAATCCGCTCACCGCTCGATCCCCGCTCCCTCGATATTTTGTGTTGTCCTTTGTGAGCGAATCAGCCGATGCATCCTAGAAAAGTAAAGTTTTAGAATTTAAGTTTACTTTAGATATAATTTTCTTCTTCACTAACCCCTCTTTTCTGATCGCTTTCTCCAATGAGTGCCTCGTAGTGATAGGCGACCCCAGAAACCACTTGGCTTTCAGCTTTCAACAACTAAATATGTTTTAAATCAAAAACCCATTTTTAGCTTTATTTTCTTAGTTGATCTTTATTATATTCAAATCTTTCTTTATCTTCACAAACCTTAATCGGAACGAGATGATATTCTCCATTCCCTTCGGCGTTCAATTTCGCATTCACCGCCTTGAAGGCTCGATCCTGAAATTATTGATTATCTTCATTTTATCTTTGAAAACTTACAAAATGCTCGGGATCATTGTGATCTTGTTCCTTCTTTCCGCCCATCATTCTGTCAATCTGAAATTTTATAATCGAAAGCTTTTTAAATCAGAGAAACAAACAATTCAGCTCAATGAAATCAAATGACCCTTTCACAACAAAAAAAACAGGGGAAATCGAAAAAAGTAAACAGATAAGAGAAAAGAGGGCAAAAGAGGAGAAGTTAGTCAGACAAAGAGAGCAAAAATGGAGAGAGAATCCGAGAAACGGCTCATTTTATGTGGTCATACATTGTCACAAACAAAGCTTTTTCTTTCGAAACACCAATAAACGGTTTCCAGAACATTTCTTTGTTCGATGTGTTGAATGAATCATAAAGAGGTTCAGTTGGATAAAGAGAATCGATTTCACAAAGCTTAAAATTCGTTTTTAGGACTAACAATAAGTTGTTCGATTGGAGCTCAATCCCGGTCAACGAGCTGGTCACACCAAAGCAAATCGAACTTTAAAAAGCGACAATCCTTAACTGTCCCTACCGTAATCCAGAAAAAGCGACAGGGATCACGGTAGCTATCGTTTCCAAAATAGACAAAGCTTTCCAGAACTTTACTATCCTTATTTTATACGAGTTTACCTAGTTAAACAAAATACTTGAAGACAGAGCAGCTTTCTCTATTTTTGCATACAAATTACTTGAAAACAACAGGAAAACCGGGAGAAAAATGCTGTCCGATGCACAAACGGACAGAACTGTAAAAGTTCAATCAAATCTATATAACAAAAGATCAAATCACTAAAAACATAGTAAAATTCAATTCTTTCAATAACTAGAATCAATAAAATCTCTTGTGTAGAGTAATTTTGTTTGTTTTCCCCATCTACCAGTTTAATTTCCCCCATCTGCATGTGTCGATCGTAACGCGTTTTTGTGCCAACTACAAACTACGAAAATATTTCCCATTTTGTTTCAGCTACCTATTCTTTTTTCTAAAAACGTTTTCAACCCACTTTCCTGCTTTTAATCTCATTTTTATATTTCAGGCGATGGACGTCGATCTGGAAAGTGTGGAGATCGTGTTCGCGCAAAAATTGGCGTGCGGAGAACCACCGGTGAGAGCTCGTGCGTTGAAAGCCCTACAGGAATGGATAAAACAACAATCCGCACGAAATGGTCTTATTTTCAACTTTTTTTAAAGTTATGTTTTTATTTAGCATTCTCCGAAAAAGATTTCATGCGGCTTTGCAAAGGATTGCACTATGTGATGTGGATGCAAGACAAGATGATTATGCAAGTCAGTTATTTTTGTGCAGCTATTTGAGTGATCTATCAGATCTATCAGTCTGTAATTTAAAATCTTTCAAAATGTGCTTCAGGAAGAACTTGCTGACAAAATAGCGAGTTTGATCGAGAATTTCAACACGGAATCGGAAAGGGTTCTCTATTTTGAGTGCCTTCTCAAGAGTTTAGCTAAGGTGAGTTTAATTTCTGGATTATAATAATTGTGTTCATCTTTCAGGAATGGAAAGCTATTGATCGTTGGAGAATGGACAAATTCTTGATGGTAAACAACTTGAAAAGTTCTTTTTTTCAGCTCTATTTTAGTTGATTCGTCGCTGTGTTCGAGCCGTGTTTCATTATTTGAAAGGAGTTGGATGGAAAAGAAAAATCACAAAGATGTATATTGAAGCTTTGCAACGAACGGTCATATCTCTAGGTATCTCTGTAAAAGTTATTAAATTCATGAAGCGTTTCCTTTAGACCAGTCGATTCCCGAAGGCTTCAAGTTTCACGTGGCTTCTTTGCTTCTTGACGAGTTAGATCTTGCTGGTAAAAGAAATTATTTGAAAGAAATAAGCTTTATTTCTAGGAAAAATCGACAAAGATGGGATCTACGATTTCCTTCAACCTTTTATAACTCTTTTGGGCAATCCATCGACATCGTACGCTTTTATTTTTCTACAAGAAATATTTCATTTAGGCGATATCTCTTTGAATCGATTTTGAAAGAAATCTTTTCGACAATCCTTTTACATTATGCGAAAGAAATGGAGAAAGAAAATGTTTGTTTTCAATTAATAAATTTAGTGATAAAATTTGGGAGAAACTAATTGAAAACTTTTCGTGTTTAGACTGCAGAAAAGGACAGCGGTGAAGATGAAGAATGAAGATGAAGAAAATGAAGAAGAAGAATATGAAGATGATGACGAACAACTTCCAGCAGGTGCTCAAATGGATGCGAATCTGAAAGAACGCGAGAGTATTCAAGTAGGAAAAGAAATTAATTTTATTTTCATTCCGTGTAATTTATAGTTTGATTATGAGCGCATTGGAAAAGCTCTTTTTGAAGTGGGCAAAAGCGAGAAATGCTCGTCGGAGCGTCGGAAACAACTTTACAATCTGGCCAAAAAGTGGGAATTTTTCGAGTACCTATTTAAAGTGTTTCATTTTTAGATTTGAGTTGGCCGCAAATCGCAAAGACCCATACTATGAGAAAGAAGAGCCGCCTGAAATTGTACTCACTGAAGAAATGATTCAAGGTAAAACAATGAAGACTTAATTTTTCTGATAACAATTGTTTTAGAAGCGACCCAAAAATTGCACAATGTGGAAAAGAACGCGAAGGACGAGCGAAGAAAGTTTGCGAAAGCCAGGTACTCACCAGTCATGATTTGTTTTATTCGTGCTTGGATTTAGAAAGAATCGTCCCGAGAAACATGCCTTTGCAGTTCTTCCAGAGATTATTCGCGATGAAACCAATGAGAAAGCTCGCAAACAAATGAAAAGAGAGCAAAAAATCAAAAAGAAAGAACAACCACCGAATTTGGTAATGACATTTTTGATAGCACGTCAAACTCGCCTTTAGACTAGTGGTCGACAGCCAGCAAAGAGAAAGTTGAATGCGGAGAAATCAGGCAAAGGAAAGGTGGTATAATTTTAGTTACATAAATAACATTATCAGCTCCAGATTCCATCAAAGAAGTCGAGTAAAAAGAAGGCAAATAAAGCATGATGTCCCCATTTTTTGTTGTTAGTTATTTGTTACTATTTTTTTAATTGTTGAAATAAAGTTATTAAATTTACTACACTAAAATCGAAAATTGTATAATGCTCGGGAACAAATGAGAAAACGCGACATATTAAATCAAACGTCAAAAATATGTCCACGCTTCGTGGATATTTTTTGGTGAAATATAGAAGAACCTACCCACGAAGCGAAAACAGCAGAAAATAATAATATGAGTGATTCGAAACGGTCGGCCATAGAAAAATTCACAATTAAAATGATTCAAGGAAAACATCAACAAAGATGAGGTCGCTTATTATCCGATAATAGCGCCAGTGAAAATCTTTGGATCTTTCGGGCCATATCTTGTGAGCAACTAAATAATGACATGATCCTAGCCGGCTATTATTATCATTACCTTACAGCAAATTTCTTTTCCTTTTGGCTCCAAACAAATGGCTGAATCGATCAACGAGTCCAAGGCTTTTTGATATTCTTTGAATCCACCTACAAAAAAGATGTTAATAGTAAGTAAAAAAAGTTGAATACATTTGTTTGGTCTTGCGCCATTATACCAGTTCAACGTAAGGGAATCACCAGCACTGACCTTGTTTCTCGTTCTCACTTCACCAATCCTTAAAATAGGTGACTTAAAAATCGTTAAGGATTTTTGAGGAGTCATGCATGACAACTAGAGTCAGTAAAAACTCTTACCATCCAAATGTGTCGAAAAGTTTGTCGTTTTTCTCCCGTTGAACCCACTTGACACAACAATTGGGAGTGCACTAGATTGCTTTACTTAAACTCACTAATAAATAAAACAAACTGAGTGAGCCATAAAGAAAGATGGATCCCGGTAGTTGATTCGGCTGATTGTCTCAGTTTTGGAAATTTTTGGCGGCAAAGCAACGAATGCTTTTCTGGCCAACTCCCCAAGCTCTCGAAAGGCGGTAGCGGCTTCCTCTTTTGGCACAATCTTAAATTTTTACTTTTCATAGAAAGTTTTGAACAGTTTCCTACTTCGCCTCCAATTCGACAAATCAGAGTATTTTTGGGTATATCAGTGACCATTCCGGGTAACTGCTAAAGTAGAAAAAATATTTTGAAAGAGAACACAAACAAAACCTTCTGAACTCGTAGATCCCACTGGACAAGATCAGTGTCGATTGTTCTACACAAAAAAAGCGCAATTCCATCACGACTAAATGTTATTGAAATCAAATCATTGCCCATAATATTAGATTGGCAAGTTATAACCGATCGTTTTTGGGTAATGTGTTTTCTGAAAAAACGGCTTATCCAATCCAAAAACGGTTTACTTGATTCAAAAGCCATATCCTTAATCTACAAAATGGCTTTTTTGAATTTTTGAAAAATGTTTTATTTCAGACATTTTAATGTAAGAGTTCAAAATCCTGGTTTCTAGCATTCATGAGCTAATATATTTTTGAGTGATTGCATACTTTTTAAAATAAAACGCTTCATCGACTACATAGTTTCCCAAAATTTCAGAACAATCCAATCTTCAGAAGGTTGATTTTCAAATTAAGCTCAAAATGCACTTTTGGGCTAATTTAATTCATTTTCGTTTGAATTTAAGCAAGATTAAAAGAAAGGGAACGGTTCGATCGATTGGATTGTTCTGAAATTTTGGGAAACTGTAATCGATGAAGCGTTTTATTTTAAAAAGTATGCAATCACTCATAAATATATTAGCTCATGAATGCTAGAAACCAGGATTTTGAACTCTTACATTAAAATACCTGAAAAAGTTCTAAAATAAAACATTTTTCAAAAATTCAAAAAAGCCATTTTGTAGATTAAGGATAGGGCTTTTGAATCAAGCAAACCGTTTTTGGATTGGATAAGCCGTTTTTTCAGAAAACACATGACCCAAAAACGATCGTTTATAACTTGCCAACCTAATATAAGTACCAGGAAGCTGGAAGCGATGTACTTGGAACTGGGTTCTCATCTGCAGAAAGATGTTCATCCGAAAGCTAAAAGTTGTTTGATATGGGGAACATCTTATCTTTTCTGCTCACTTCAAAAGTTGTGGTTGCAGAGCTTTGCTGATACTTGACTTCCCGTTTGTTCTGATAGTGAGGTCCCATCTTTGCCTGGAAATTTAAAGGCTACATAACATAAAATGCCACTACTTACTTGAATATCAAAACAAATTCCATTAGCTTTCATGCTAAATGTGGGAAAACGCTTGAGAGCCTCCATATGCAACGAATCAATTCCCACCTAACCGTTTTTAATGTTTTATAACATTTGTATAAAGTTGGTAACGAGCCTGCAGCTTGAAGAGATGCAGCAGATCAGGATCGTTTTTCTTTGCCCTGGCCAAGCGTAGAAACTCGCCATATCTCTGTCTTGTGATCTCTTCGTTTACCCTAAATTCATCAAGCATTTTACAGACTTAGAAACAGAATAACACTCACCGTTCTACTTGCAACTCAACATCGTAAGGATTTGTTTCACAAAGAACCTGTTCAGCTGACGCAAATCCGGATAATTTCTTTATTATCTAAAAGAAATACAAAATACATAAAGCTGATCTAGTTGAATACTAACCTCTTTAGCGTTATCACTTCCATATGTTGGATGATGTAGAGAGAATCGAACGTTTGGTGGAGTAACTTCACATAACTGAAACAAAATTTGAATAGCTTTGCCCATTTTGTTATACCCGCTTGAAAAGAAGAAGTTTGGCTTTCGCAGAGTCTTTCGTTTTTTCTAAAATATAAGATTTTCAGTTAAACGTTATACCTACTAGTCTTAGCATGTTCGGCTTTCTGCTCCCAAAATTGCATAATATCGTTGAGGGCGCCGATTCGCGCTTGCGTCTCCCAAGTCTGATCTGCCTCCTCGTCATATCCTAAATTGATCACATTAGTACAAATCAGATTGGCACCATATTTTACATATTACAAAAAAAAACAGAACATACCGAGCCAGCGAACTTTGTACTCTTCGTACTTTGTGTTTGTGATACTCTAAAGATATTTATACAACGTTATAATCGCTAACTACCCTCGAGTCGAGAATCTCATCGACACTATATGTTTCAACGTCATCAACTTTTTCGACCTTCCTCATCACTGAATAGTGTTTATTTAAAATATGCATACTTTGATTTAAAGTTAAACATAAAACAGGCAAGTTGGTAACATTTGCTAGGCAGAGATGATACACATCCAACATGCAACTTTCCAAAATTATAAAAACAGAAATAGTTGATCTTTCTCTTTGTACTTTTCAAATATCACTTGCTTATCATTTATCCACGCATGTTTAGTTAAGGAAATTTCACGGAAATTGACCAATTCTGTTAAAAGAGATACATTAATAACATAAAGATTTTATTCATTTTTGTATACCACAACATGTTAAGAACAACAAATATGCAAAATATATAGGTGATTAACGTCATAGTTCGAATTACCAATCTTCTTCCTCTTCAATAGGTTTGAGTTTTGGCACCACTCTGGGCTAAAAAAAGTATTGTTTTTAATAGCAGAAAATGAGCGCACCTGTGACTCAACATCCATTTCAATTCCATCAATTAATTGCGTCAGAAAGGCTGGAATTTCCTGTCCAGCATCAATGAGGGTAGAAACTAGAGCAGCTGCGATGCGGTGATCCCCCTTCTCGTTTGTGTCAAAGAACGAGGTTGCGACGCCTGGGTTGCCAACTCGACCAGTTCTTCCGATTCTAGATAGAGATTTTGTGGAGGAGAAAACATAAAACTGATCACCTATGTACATATTCTTCAATGGTTCTTGGGAGATCATAATTGATTACATGATCTACACCGACAATGTCTAGGCCTCGCTCAGCCACGGCTGTTGCAATCAGGACTGGCTTTCTAAATTAAAATATTAGTAGTCAAAAACCGTGGCTTACTTTCCATCTTTAAACTCTCCCAGCGCTTTGTCTCGTTGTGTTTGGTCGCGGTCTGAAAGTTTGGTCAACATTAGAAAGCAACACAAAAATAACCTCCATGAATAGTCGCAGCAGGTAGCCCTGCCTCCGACAGCAGAAGTCCCAAGTGATCAGCGAAAGTCTTGCGATTCACAAAAACCAGAGTTTTGAGCTTTCTGATATCGCCATCTGAAGTTATCCCTTTTTACACCAAGATAAACATATTGCACTACTCGACAAAAAGCACCTTGAAGCTCGTAGTTTTTGACATCCACTTTTAAGAGTTGCAGCAACAGATCCTTTTTCTTTGCAGGATCGCTAATCTCAATGAACTCCTTAAACTTTTAATTAAGATTAGGAGCCAAAACATTCGCCTGTTTGATGCACTTATTAGCGGAGCCGATTTTGTCAATGGAAATCATCACAGAGTCTAAAAAAGAAAAATTAATTATTAAAATAACTATAAAACCTGGTCGCAGATGTTCATGGGCAATAAGTTGAATGATATCCGGAAACGTTGCTGAGAACATCAAAGTAGTCCGTTGTTGCTTGGGTGGGCCATTTGATAATATGCTAAAATACGTAATAAGTTCGTCAACTAAAAACCCTTACTATCTTATTTTTTCAGCAAAGTCATCAGTGTTGAGCATCCGGTCAACTTCATCAATCACCTAAATAAATTCTTTGCACTATAGTAAACAAGAAAAATAATTACAGCATAGCGAAGGTGCGAGAGAATGATACTTCCCTGCTCGATATAGTGCGTGAGCCTTCCCATCGTTCCAACAATAATAGATGGTCCCTAAACATTTAATTATTTATTATTTAAAGCCTTACCTTTGACAGCTCTTTTCGTGCATGAACCATTTCAATTCTGAATATACGGAGGATTCCATACGTAACATTTAAAATTAGCTTACCCGCCATAAACTGCGCCCATAATTGGACTTTTTTCTTCCAGGAATTTGCGTCCTTCGTTATAAATTTGTTCCGTCAATTCTGAAAGTCAATTTATCTCCTCATGAAAATGAAAATTCATTTAGACCACATACCTCTTGTAGGAGCAAAAATAAGGCATCGTGGATAGGCATAAATGCCTGGTTCGGCAAGGTCGTTCTCGGCAAGCAGATTTTGAAGGATTGGTAGAAGATATGCCGCAGTTTTACCGAAAACACAAAATTTTGATACAATCCAAACTGTATACCAGATCCAGTTTGTGCACAAGCCATTAGGTCACGCTTTGCTTTCACGATTGGAATCACCCAGCGTTGAATTGGGAATGGAGTCGTGTAGCCGGATTCTTCAACAAATCTTCGAAGATCCGGTACCAGTTCCATGTCAGCAAATGATCTGAACGAAATTTAACAACTCATCACGAAAAAAATATCTTACTCAATAGCCTTCAGACCTAAGGGTGGGCCTTCCGTAGTGATTTGAACCTTCATTGTGTACATTTCCTCGCTTCGCTTTCCAGCGGTGATGCGCAATTGATACAGTTCCGATTTTGTTAGCCGCCGCGGAATGAATGCTACTTTGGAGTTTGCTGGGAGATCACACATGTCATCGTTGCTTTTTTCATCATCAACCACTAATCGTGTTTTGTCGTTGCCTTAAACAGAAAAAAATTGTTTATTGTTTGAATGCAAACTCTGCTTCTGTCCTGTACCATGCCGTTGAGAACCAAATCCAGTATTGCTTGCGGTAGCATCTAAAAACACTCGGCTAAACGGTTGATTAGCGCAAAGTTACTTGATCTCGCACTGAAGCCGCCAATATTTCCGAATCCAACTGATCTTCCGCCTACAGCTTGTCGCTGCCAACCAAATCCCGTACGAACACTAGCGTTTGCGTTATCACCTAAAAACATTCACCTACTAAATAATCATTAGAGTAAAGTTACTCGTTCTTGCGCCGAAGCCGTCACCACCCATTTCCAAAAAAAGTAGATCTTCGAGTTGATAGATTGTTAGGCTGGGATTGCCGATTCAATGCAAACGTTCCTAAAACTCGCCGGTCTTTTATGGATTGGGACTGGGAATACAAAATATGATCGGCGCTGGGATTCAAACCCGCGACCTCTCGCTTGGGCAATTCAAACCGGGCAAACCCTCTACCAATGAGCTACACCGACGTGTATCCCATTGCCGCCAGGGTAGGACCTTATGCTCTACTCCAGTCTTGCATAAAAGAATTTGATTACCAAAAGTAGCAGATCCAAATCCAATAGCTGAGGTGGCATTGCTTCTGGTTATGAGATCCTTTTGCTGGCGCTCACCAAGCGTTGATTGAGTGCCTCCAAAACCTAGAGATGTGTTATTAGGAGGCTTGGTGCTACAAACTTGAGCCAGCGAGTCCATCATCTGAGCCAGCTTTTTGCTGTTGTGCCTCATGTCGATTTGATTGAGTGCCTTTAAATAAGTAAAAGTAGGATTTTTAGTTTTAAGAAACAACAAACCTGACACGCCTCCCGTGTTTGCCGTTCCAAATCCAGTTGTACTTCCATTTCCACCAGAACCAAAACCGATCAAGCTCGTTTTATTAGCTAAGCTTTTTTTCCACACGGTTGATTATCAAAACAAAGCACAACCAACTCGGAATGTCGAAACCTGGACGAGGGGCACCAAATTGTTGGCCATTATTGCGAGCGACTGGATGTTCCGTTTTCAGTGCATTTGGAAGCGTTCCTAAACTAGTAGATAATGAGCTTTGCAACGACAAAAACGTACCAAAGCCGGCATTTATCGAACCAAAACTGCTTCCGGGGAAAGAATTCATGCTCTTTGATGGCACCGATACGTTGTCAAATGCCTTACTTGGTTCCTTTTGCACGGCATCTTCTTGTTTATTGCCTAAAAGAAAAGAACGCATAATTGGCACAGCTCCTACAAGCCTACCCATGGTGCCGAATTCAGGTTCATTTTTCCAAATCAATGCAGGCCCGAAGGCGGCATTCGTGGATTGGCTTTCAGACTTTTCAGTAGCTTTGCCACCAAAACCTAAAAACAGCACATTCAAAACTCAATGCGACCTGCATGACCCGTGCCCTCGAAACCACTTCTAAACCGATCAGTCGAGAAATTGTCAAAGCCCTTGTTGGTAGGCTTGTTGACCCCTTGATCGACGTTGTTGTTCAACTTGACTAAATCTAAAGACAAAAGGGCAATTCAGCAAACAGTATACCTGGCCCTGCAAAGCCTCCCCACATTCCAAAACCTTTAGATTTACCCGTATCTGCTAAATTTATGAAAATTACTAGAAGTGTATGGAAATCAGTACCTCCAAACCGTTGCCTTGCTGACACCGTATCGATATTGTTGCCCGAAAAGGAGGGAGCATGTACCTTCTCAGCCATTAGCTAAATTTTAAAAAATCAGTAACTATTAATAAATGAGAAACAGGTAAGGAGAAAAATAACAATGAATGACGGTTTCTCTTAAGGGTAAGTTAAACTGGAGTACCGAATTTTGTGTTCGCTCGAACAAAACATGTAGTGAGTCTAGTTTTGCAAGCTTGCGGCTGTGTTCTATGTGTTTAAAGGTTGTATGACAAAACTTGGCGTAGTTCTGTTTGTTGAGCTCTCCTGGCTCGAATTGCGTATACTTTACGCTGAATATAATTTACTATTTGTCTAAAGCGGGTTAGACAATGAATCACAAATCAACAAATAAAATAATATAACTTTGACAACTTGACATAACTTTGTTTGCCACAACTTTAGTACTTATTCTACTTTTCGCTACGAGAAGAATGAACTTGTACAATACTTGATCACTTCGATGAGTGATGAACAAACTTTGGAGGACTTGTTGGTGAAATTGTAACGAAAATCTTTGTAAGAGACAACAAAATGCGAGGCTTGGACTACAGTATGCTTCACTTTTGTCTGGCTTTCAGTTTAGTGCGTTTTAACATCTTTCTTGTATAAAGTGTCGAAATATTCGGTATAGATTGTGTTTCAGAAAATTCGATCAACTGCTGCACTGGTTGGTTAACAGAGAATGGTATTCGTGTTTTTCAGCAGCAAGAAAACAAGAGCAATTTGACTAAGCATATTTTCTAACAGTAAACGTCTGTCACCCTCATTACTTTGTAATATTGATGTGCCCATTGGTGAGCCATCAATTTAGAGCCATTTGTTAAGTTAAGATACGTCAAATACCACGTAAATAGCCCATCATCGGGAGGAAAGTAAAGAACAAATGAGTAAATTTCCTCTCCGCTACCTTTTTAAAGGGGGGCTTTGTCTGAGTATCTATTCTATAGAGGAGACGTCACAAATTTTGCATATAAAAGGAAAAAATTTCTTTTTTTCTTGCAATTTCTTGGGGGTGGGACAAATGCTACCTTTTTTTGCGCACCTGGACATTTGCGCACCTTTTTTAGCTGGAAAAGGCCTTAGGAAAGGTCGTTAGAGCTTCAAAAATGTTTTCATAGAAGGGAATCGTATGCGTAGACTCCGAATTTCGACAAATCATACCTCGCTGACACGTCAAATTTGGGCTAAAAGGCAAAAACCACGCAACTTAACGCTTTTCCGCAGTTTTTGCCTTTTAGCCCAAATTTGACGTGTCAGCGAGGTCTGATTTGTCGAAATTCGGAATCTACGCATACGATTCCCTTATATGGAAATATTTTCGAAGCTCTACGGCCTTGCCTAAGGCCTTTTCCAGCAAAAAAAAAGGTAGCATTTGTCCCACCCCCAATTTCTTTGCAATTTCCGCACAATCTCACACGTATTCACCAATTTTATTCATGTAGATCAAAAAATCCGATAATTCTTGATCAGGTGAAACATTTTACACGAATTTCTCTTCATTTTTACACCTCCCGCCTCCAACTCAAACATTAAACTCGTCGAATCATCAGAACATAAACAAAGTGTGCAATGGCTGATTCATTCCAAACATAGAGTTAGTCCCAAAGTTAGAGACACTCAGCAAAAAATTGAACACTTATAGTCACGATCTTGCATGAGATTTGCACCAGATTGTAGTGTAAAAGAGGTTCAATTTTTCATTAGAGACAAATTCAATCAAAATCTAATGCAATTAGATCAAGAGTTATCTTTCATTTCATCGATTCTCTTGTTTGAACATTTCATCTTTCGACACTTTTGGGCACTTTTGCAAAGTGGCTCCATTTGAGGCTGATCTCATAGTGCAAGCGGGCCCTGGTAGAACTTTTTCTAATTTTGGATTCATTTTCAATTTGCATTCGAAAGGTTGAAATCAAGTTAACAAAAAAAATTATCTAACTCAACAATGAATTCAACAATTACTATTTCAAACCAGCTGATTACCGAAAAGATCTCAGAGAATCAATTCAGAAGTTTGAAAGGGTTTTTCTAGTTGTTGAGCTCCAAAGATTGCACTAGTTCATTCCATATCTTCTAACAAAATCATTCCACTGTTTCACTCAACCAAAATTCCCAAGAATGCAATTTGTACACTTTAGCGCTGTGTATTTTCACCAAGAACGCACTTAATTTTTGCTTTAACCTCTCCGAGTGCCGTTCCATCGGCTTATTTTTCAGGAAAAGGGGAGAAGATGGGAGGAAAAGAATATTTGTCGAGAAAAGGAGGAGTACCGTAATACTGATAGAGAAAGGGTCTCTTTGATTCTCTTTGACCCGATCTCCTCACCTCTTCCACTGACCTCTCTGATCACTTTTCCGAAAAAAAAGCTCCCTCCATGCTCACCCAAAATCACCAACGAATTCTCAAATTTCTCTATTTTTTCGCGAATTACCCGATTGGGGGAGGGACTTTGCTTTTCTTGAAGCGAATCGCCTATTTATGGCCCTCCTCTTCTTCGTTTTCCTTGTGTCCATCCCCTTTACGAATCATTTTCTCAATTGCTCAATTGCTCAGTTGCTCAATTGCTCAGTTGCTCAATCGCTCAATTGCTCAATTGCTCAATTGCTCAATTGCTCAATTGCTCAATCGCTCAATTGCTCAATTGCTCAGTTCTTCTTTTCAGAATTGACTTTTCGGAAATATCTTTTTTACTTTTTAAAACAATGCATCAAATTCCAGAGAAATGGAAAGAGTTGGCTTGTTAACCATGGGCGATTATGGGATTCGCCATGATGATATCAAGTATTTCAAGGTGAGAACAGCAAGCATGAATCCAGCCAACAAATACGTTCAGATGGATTCGATCATTCGTGGACGTGGACCCGATCGTCTCAAATATCTCGATTTGGAAGGTACGGTAAATAGCAAGCAAAATCAACAAAGATAATGTACTTCTGTAATACATAGAATAGCTAGTGCTTATATTTCGGCTAGCCTCTAATTCTTAAGATCTCAATTACAGTAATTAGTTTTTTTAGGTCGCTGGGTGCTCTCGGGTCGTAAATCGATTCCGTTCATTTCTCAGGCATTCCGTCATCTCGAGAATCTCAACGATGCAACTCTTCCATTCCGGGTAATTTTTAAGAAAAGGAAAACCTTGAAAATGTAGAAAACTGATAAAATTCTCTTATGAATTTAAGCCTTGAGTTTTTCACAGTTGTATCTCCATAAAATCCCAAATCTAACAATAAAGTCCTAGCTGATAGTTCTAAATCAAAGCCAAGAATTATCCAATCCATTACGATTAGTATATTGACTAATATATTATATTAGTCAATATCACAGTCAACTCCGTCTCCCCCTTAATCAAATCGATCTCCAACAATCCCTTTTTCCTCAAGATCAATCGAAAACTTTTGATGCTGTTTGGTCACTCCATGCTCGGCGCTAATCTTTCGCACAAATAAGGGCAAACTTTCTCTTTCTTCCCTCACTTTTTCTCTATTTGTCAATCTTGTGAGCACCGGCTACTCTCTTCACAAAAAAGTAAAGTAACTCAAAACCCCGCGAAGAATTTTGTGAAAAAACGAAAAAATTGTTTCGGCTTAAACGGGTCTATTTGTTGAGAGGATCTTTTTGAGAAAAGAAGCTTTTAGATACGTTGAAAAGTGATTGAATACAAAATAGTTGGGGAATGATTGTGGAAGGTAAAAATTGCAGGATATCAAGGAAGAGCCATTGAATGCGATTGGAATGATTGGATGGACACGATCATCTGTGGAACCAGTTGAACAACCAAAAGGTAAATTGAAAGAGGAAAAGAATGGTGATGTGTAAAAACCCGGACTTATTCAATTGAATAGTGTTAAGAGCTGTTAATTGATAGTAACAATTGTACAATATCTGATCATTTTTTCAATTAGAACAAATTCAAAACCGCAAATTTTCCAGTAGAGAAGAAATTGCCGCGTTTCGAGAAGCCGCCAGTGTTTGTAGCTGAAGAAATCCCGCCATCGCCTCGTGAACCACTTCCTCATAGATCATACGGATACGGTAATGATCTTCAATAGATTAGAATTGAATTCATATATTCAGGGCCAGCTCACGAGAAGAGACGTCTTTCTGTCTCTTCTGCCCGTTCTCGTTCAGCTTCTCCTCGTCCCGAGAGTCCCTATCCCGAATACGATAAATACGCGAAATATCAAAGAAAGGGTAATTATCTATTTGAAACAAAGCTTTTTTTTTTACTATCATTTTTCTAATCCAATCTATTACCATACTCGAACAAATCTTCTTTCTATCAAATAGCGATCTGCTAATACGTTAACATTTTTTACAAAAAAAAAGGCTTATCACTATGAATCAATCGATATTGTGATTAGTGTGGAGTCGGGAAGAGCCGGTGATTTGGATGGATGAAGTGTGGGCTTTGGTTGAGGAGAAGGTCTCACTCATACGCATTGTCGACATTGAGTACTACATCGACAACTAACGATTCACAAACATTCTATCGGATTTGATCATTTTCTTGCTTTTCTAGTTTCTTCTGTTTTATTTTTCTCATCTCATTTGTGACTTTCGATGGTGCTAATGAAGTTTTAGGGTGTGAAAAGTTTTGATGAATACATTGATAACATAATTTTTCATTAATAACCAAATAGATGTTTAGATTCAATTTCTTCTCTTGGTGGAGGTCGCCCGATTGAAGAGGGCTACCATTCGGGAGCCCCATCACCTCAACCGTACACTGGTGAATTTAAATGACATTTGTTACAAACACACTTCAAATGTACCTTGAAAGCTTTAAGAAACAAGTTAACTTTTTCAGAAGAAGAGGGCTGGCTTCCCCCGCATCGTACTCAAGGTCTCAGTCCCCGTCCCACCTCAAGAACTCGTAAATATTACGATAACGAGTACGATCCAACCTACATTCAAAAAGGTGAAGAACGTTTTGAAAATCTCAAAACTCCACTTTTAGCCAACAAAAAGAACGACGGACTATCAGTGAACACGAAAATTTCCGGGCAAGTTGGACATAAATATCGACCGACGAGCAGTCTCGATAGTATGGGAAGTAGTGGGTAAGTGAACAAGTACAGTAAGACCAATTTATATCAAAAGCAAGAATTGTCTAGATTTTCAATCAATTCAAATCTAGATCCGAGCAAAACTCGCCAACAGACGGTGGTCATGGATTGGCGAAAGGACGAGATGAAGTTGTGATGATACAATATGAAATGAGAGCACAGGGGCAACGACCACAACGAATGACAACACATCGTGCACACTGAAGAGATACAATTGAATATCTATCTGATCGACTACTCATTCATCCTATTTAGTCAAATAATTCTCAAGTCGATCATTTAGATGATTCAAATGTTTTCCATTTTTTCAAACAAATTCACCATGAATGCCTGTAGATAGATCTTAAACTAAAAAGAAAATTTTAGTGACTTCTCGATTCGAATTCTTTTATCCCATACGAAAATTCTTCTAATCCGCCCTTTTTCCATAATAGAACCAATTCATATATTATCGAAAGCGAAATTAATCTGATTCAATGTTATTCCTGTTTCGAAAGAATTCTCGAATAAAAGTTAGTGTACTATTGCAATAAATGCATACTTTTTGATTGTTCACACAGCACACTCACAATCAGAATCAGTTTTGTTAAATTAAAAACAAGTCAAAAATGTATTCCTGCATCCAATTTATCTTTTCTGTGCATCTTTTTACAAAACTAAGTCTTTATTTCACAGTTTTATAGCAAGCAATTCCTAAATCCCATACAATAAATCAATTCGAACGCCAAACAACAATTGTGCAATTAACTGAAAAACCCGCGAATGAAGTATGAATTGAGAATAGTCAAACTCAATGAGAAATATCAAGAAACATGAAGGCTTTCTGAAGCAAGATAAGCTCAAATGCACTTTGGGGAATAATAAAAAAAAAAACAAAAAAAATTACATATAGCGTTTTAATTTCCGGTGACAGCATCGAGACGGGCCCGAAGATTCTCCAATTCGTCCCTAAAATTTTAAATATTGCCAGGCACAAAATACATCAAATATTACCTGTTCAACTGAGATCGACGTGGCGGCTTCTTGGCTGGCTGTCTAACCGGCTCAATCGGTGATGGAATTCGGTTTTCGTTGTTTTGCGCGTGTACGGATGGAAGATCACTAAATTTATCGACTAGTCAGTAGATCATCAGCCATTAACCTCATTGTGCTAGAAATCATGTGGAGATCGTGTCCGTTCGCCTGCGAGTTTGAGCCTCTCCACAATGGATTTTTCCGTTCACCCCACACCGTTTCGCCCATTGTCGAGAGGAGCACATCTCTTGATTTGTTTAATTGTTCCAGTATAGTCTAAAAACAAGCTTTTATAAATCCAGATAAACACGACATACCTCATCGGGCCAGACGATCCGATCTCCCTTCTCGTTGTAAAGCCGAATGTTGTGACTAATGAGCGTCCCGTAGAGATATCTGATCAACTTTTGCTCCATGATTGGCACACGTGATGGGTATTGTTTGTAGTAATCGGCCAATGGAGGAATTGTTCGGGACATCTAAAATATGAAAAAATAATTTGTATGTTAACTAAGAAGGACAACCTTCGTGAAGTCAATAGACACGGAATGTAGAAGTGACCAGAATTTTTCAAGTGAAAACTCTCCTGTTGGTGAATCAACCTAAATTATATCTAGAATTAAAACAGTTCTATAAGCAAACTACCTGTCCTGGTAAGTTGTTGGGGAATTCCGGTTTAGCCGTGTCTTTGACCTGAGCCATGCTGGTGTTCACTTTCTCGATGATCTTTGCATGTGGCCTCGGAATTCGCCGCAAGATGTCGAGCGCCTAAAAGTTAATTTACACAGTTTTAATGGCTAGAGTTATAGAAAGAATAAGTACGAACTTGCTCTCTGAAGGCGTGAACCACTTTTTCGATAGAAGAATTCAAATTGTCGAGTGTTTCATTCACCACCGCACTATTCGTACCGCCTGCTTGTTTCTCGAGATATCCACAGAACTCGCTTGCAGCTAAATAAAGAAACTTACACAACCATAGTTAATTTTAAAAGTAACCAATAAAGAATTGTCTCAGGTCAGTCCTTGCCACAAAATTGATGTTGCCGCAGTTTTGAGCCAAACGATTGAAAATCTAAATGATGGGTAACGAAGAACATGAAAATGAATCTTATCGTTCTCATCGCACTCACCCTAAGGAGCATGGTCCATTCGTTGCTACTTGGCCCCGAATTCATCATATTGTGTGCCAAAGCTTCAAACAAAACCGACGGACGACACAAATTTACCTGAAATTTATCTGTTAGTAAAACGTAAACAACCAACAACTTAATGATTAATAACCCTAGCGCATGCACAACAAATATCACTTAACAACAATTACCACAAACAGGATCACAAAAATAAGCACGTTTAGAGACAATATCCTGGGACCTGGGAGCGTACTTATCGACCGATCTAGGAATTGCAAAGAACACACCAACGATCAATTTTCCTCGAAGCACAAAGCAGTGTCCCGCAACCTGATTATGGAGGCCTTGGCGGAAATGATGAGCCATTTCTGGATCTCGGCATCGAGAGCAACATCGTTTCGTTTCGATTTTTTGTTGGGCCTTCTCCCATCCGGCCGTGGATTCAAAGAATGAAGTGGATAAATCGACACTGGTGGGAGGACACATCAAAAATTGCTGATGAAAGCAGCGAAGAAGAAATCGACCGCAGAGCTGATCCCCAATTGGAGCTCCTAATTCATTTAAAAAAACGCTTTTGGATGCTCTTCTTCGATTCACCTTATCATCGATGATTCCATATATAAAATTGAAGTACTTGAGAAACCAGTAAACAATTTCATGAAAGTGACTCGGCCGCCTGCTTGTAAATGCTCCGCCACGTGAGGACGTGTTCCCCCCCCCTTTCTTTGAATTCACATCCACTCATGATAGACCTAACCCTTCAAAAGAAAACCTAACATAACCCTAACCCTTAATCAACGGACAAACATAGAGAAAAACAGACAAGCGGAGGTTGTGCATGTTCGAATCTCAAACCAAGGACAAACTCACGAGACGAATGACGATTATGTTTGCTGTTCGTCCAATCTAAAATTAAAGCTATCAAATAGTGCTGTACGCGTTTGATACCGTCGGAAAATCATCCAATGCTGCTAAGGTCGGCGAGGAGACAGTGACGATCAATTGTTTGAGAAGGGACTCGCACACAGCCGTTGAAAGAGACGCAAGTGGATGTCGATCAGCTGGACATTCTTCGGAGATGTATATCTAAATATATTGCTAATGATAACCGTATTCCATGGTTTGAATACCTTCTGAATCAAGTTGAATACATTCCTAATCAGCTCGCTAGCCTTGTCCAACGAAGAATATGGTGCTGTGGCCATCGAGGACTCGATTTGCAAAGCGCACATTTGGAGAAGCGTGTCCACCTAAACATTTAAGTGTCAGAAATTACAAAGAAAATCAAACCCTTTCATGCAGAAGTGGAAGCTGTTCTGGCGATTGAGCGACGAATATTAGCTAAAAAATCTGATTAAACAAACAACAACAAAACAACCTGAGCGATAGCATCATTGGCAATGTTGGAGTTACTGCTGCCCACGTCATTGATCGTTTTGTCAAGTTGCTCCAGCGTTTCGACGGAAGACGCAATCGATGATTGAGAGGTCGTACTAAAAGCTCAATACTGACAGAATAGTTCTCCAAAATACCGTTTCATGTCTCTTGCAAATTGCATTTCGGTTGGCTGAATGAGAGAATTCTCCAAATTAGCGATTGCAGCTGTTGCGCTCATGATTCGATGCATTCGTTCTTCTCGAACAGCTCTATATGGATCCTCCAAGAACTAAAAGTTAAAAAAATAGCAAGTAAAGAATTTAAGAGAAACTTACATCACCATCGAGGCCAAATCGAGCACCCTTTTGATTGACAGTCGGAGCAGCTGGATTTCGTGGCCGGGCTACCGTCTTCATTCCATCGTAGTTGAATTCCTGAGCTTGTTGATAAATATTTGAAACTTTTATTAAATAATACGTTAACCAGTTGCTTTGCTTTTGGTGTTTCGTGTGCTTCGCTTGAATAAATAGTTAACGTCTTTTGCAAAATCTCCTAAAGAAAACACTTAACCAAAATATTACCCGACAAACGTTGTGTAAGCGCGACCTTAATAAAACTTACTCTGCGCTCGGGTGAACAATGATTTGACAACGCTTGCAGTTGTTTCTTGCGTAATGGCTGTCTCAATATTGTGCTGTTTGACTGTGATCTTTTTGCACTCTATAAGAACCCAATAAGATCTCAATTGTTAATGAATAAACTAAAAACGCTCCACCTGCGGCCCAGGCGACTGTTCTCTGGTGGGTGCTCGTCCTCGAACGACAGGTTCTGCTTTGACAATCCTTGCACCTCCGGCCGGTGTTGAAGGAAGTCCTTGACCGGGTACAATTTTCATTCGCTTGATTCGCTCTTGTATCATTGCCATCTCTTTGTCGGCGATTTTTCCAGCAGCCTTCAGAGCGCTATCTCCCTCCTAAAACAAGTAAGAAACTTTCAATGCATTAAAGTTGGAAACTTACACATCTATAAGCTGAAACCATTCCAACTATGGCGGCTTCGCGGACGTTTTTGTCGGCATCAGCTACACATGGAGCAATAGCCTTGAGGGCTCCCAAAGGCTTCATTTGGGTAAGAGCTAAAAGCAAATAACCTCCAACATGTTTTATGTTTTACCAACCTCCTCCGTCAATGTATTCCGAAAGTATGCGCAAGATCTAAAGATGCAAATTCGAGAACAAACAAAATGACCATACCTCGCTCCGCTGCCTAGCATTTTTCGTCTTCAGTCCCTCAAGAAGTGACGGTGTTAATTTTACTGGACCGCACATCGAAGTCATCGAATCAACGATATCTTTGATGACCCCCCGAATATGGTCTTTCTAAAAATCAACAAGTGGCGTTAGACGATAAATCTTACTGGATCTCCGAGTTTTGCGAGCAAATACGGAAGGAAAGCGGCAACTTCAGTGTTGGAAAATGGCTCTTCGAATCTTTCACATTCACGGAGAACACGCAGTGCAAGTTCGAGAACCTAAACAAAAGAAGATTAAATAAATCTCAATAAACAACCTTGATTAGAGCACTCGGATTCGTCTCAAAGAAACGAAGCGTACACCACTTGAGCAAAAGATCCTAAAAATTGTTTTGCTTTCGAATAAAATTTGAGCAACTACCGAGTTGTTGACCACCGCCTCTGGATTTCCATCAGCAAGCTAAAAATAAGTGTCATTAAGTGCACACAATCTCAATATTAACCTTCATAATTTCTTCGCAAGCTTTAATGTGCATCTTGAAATCCTTGTTGAAGAGCATTCCTTGCAGTGACGACACAGCATATTGACTTATGAGACCGCTAAAAATATTTAGTTTATAATTTACAAAGCGAATCACCTCAATTGTTCGATGTGCTCATCTGTTGGTGTGGTGAAGTTCCACTTTAAGATCTAAAGATAGAAGAGATTATGCCAAAAATGAGCAATCTAACCCGAAGTGCTGCTTCGTCCTTAAGCCGTTGAGCTTTATCTCCATTTCCTTTTAGGATCTCCACAGGGCCAGTATCCTTTTCTTTTTGAGCATCATTTGCCTTTCCGGCCACGGGAGCCTTTCTTGCCGTAGTTGGACGAGACTAAATTATAACTTTGATAACATAAACGGTGCTGTAAAAACTAACAAATCTCTAAACCAAAAATGTCGTTTCTATTGACTTATTGTTGCTTGCATAAATAATAGGCACAATCACAACACCTCATCTTCGGGCTCGGGGCTTGGTCGTCGTGAATTTGGTCTTGAAGGTGGACGTTGGGCTGGTTGTCCAGGTTTTCCAGGGGCAGCAGACTTCTTTTCCTATACAAAGCAACAATGGGAAAATGTGCTAAATTTTCAAGACAAAGCTAGGAAAATGTCGTTTTTGTTTTATCGAGTTATCGACGTGATGACTCAAGCCAATTCGTGCAGAACCAAGGCTAACATAGCAAAAACTAGAAGTATGACCAATACGCACTTCCGGTTTCTTTTGAGGAGGAGCCGCGGATGCAGAGGGAGCAGGAGCTGCTGTCACACATGGTCCAATTTCACCCAGCAGCTTTTGACAGGCTTCATTGATCTAAAAATAAGCAAGCTATATGTAATATTTCATCAAAATAACCTTTGTCATTTTCATCTTATCATCAGCAACTTCTCCACACCAATTTGCAACTACTTTTTCTCCGACAATCCGTTGAATGGCACCAAGTGTATTGTAAGCAGCTTCACGCACCTCAACATCGGGATCTCCAGTATGCTAAAACGCCAACAATCGTTATGAAATCAAAACAGAGACTTACTTTGACAAAATGTGCACAAATGCCTTTGATTTTCTTCGACATTGTCTGCGGAGTTGATCTGCGCAAATATCGCTCAACGAAACAGTCGGTTTGAGCCTTGATCTGTGGATCTAAAATTAACTTTTATCTAACTTATTCAATTATTAACTAAAAAATAAATTATTACTTTTGTTTTCTAAGCCTTGTACTAATCCCTCTTCCAACGCTTCGAAATCAACCTATAAACCATGATTTTATATACATCTTTGTGGTTTTTCTAACCGTAGCTCCAACACGATCAATGCATTCAACAAGTGGATCTCTTAGCAGTGGCTTCTTTTCCTTGAACTTTTCCAAGATCGTTGGTAGTAACTAAATTTGAGAAACCGTCATCTTTTGTAAGTCACCTCACCCCTGAAGCATGCGGACCAAACTTCTTCCTCAAACCAAAAGCGACACCACCAAGACATTTCGCCGCAAGAGCTGCCACATTAATATTTGCATCCTTTCCAAGTAGCTAAACTTGACACTTTAAAGGATTCAACAGCCACTATGATACCTTGTTCAAAGTTCCAATCAGCTCTCCATAGTTGGCTTTTGGATCCAGCTTTGGGTTGTCTGTCATGAGTTTAAGTAGAGCCTAAAATACTGGAACCATTCTCAACTCTTTTAAATGTTGACCTCAAGCGACTCCTTTCTTTCTTGCCATTTCTTACTCATAACACCACCTTCTTCGTTATAAAATGTAGCTGGTAGTTTCGACACAACGTCAAATGGATCTAGAAATAAGCAATACTCGACAAATACTTTGACCGTACCGAGAAAATCAAAAGGATCGGCTTCAACAGCAGAAGCTGTAGGAGCTGCACGGGCTGAAGCCACCGAAGTAGATGTCGGCTCTTCGTCTTGAGTATTCTTGACAGTTGATGGAGCTGCAGCTTGGGGTGCTTGAGCCTGTTCTTCCGCGACTTCAGCTTTTGCTTGCTCTAGAGCTGCTTGGACCTAAAAATTTAGGTAAATTACTCTAATAGTCGACGACTTACTTTGTCCATTCGGGCTTTATCGTCTGCAATTTCTTTGACTAAGGCATTTCCCCCGGGGCCTGTTGCTCGAAGCATTGATCCCAAAGCTTCGATAGATGCTGAACGGACCTCAACATCCGCGTCCGAAGTGTTCTAAAATTATAAATCACAAAAATCAATCTTTTAAACTACCTTTACGAGTATTGGCGCAACAGCTTTAAGTGTAGCTTTCCCGGTTTTATCAGAGTATTTCTTGAAGGCACGATAGAAGAAGGCTGCTGTTTGTGCTTTGATTTGCGGATTCTTGTTCTCTAATCCACCAACTAAGGCATCTTGGAGTGAATCGAGTGAAGTCTAAAAAAAAAACATTTTTTAATGCTAAAACAAAAATCTCACTACCGTAAATGCAACTTTATCCAAGCAATCAACAGCCGGCTCTCGAAGCTGCGGTTTTTTCTCTTTCAGCTTGTCAAGCACAGTTGGCAACACCTAAATATCTATTGAAATCAAAAAGTAATGCGATTTTTACCGTTGAAGCGTGTGGTCCAAATTTGGTACGTAGTCCATAAGCGACTCCTGCAAGACATTTTGCCGCTACTGCATTCACATTAACGTTCGCATCTTTGCCAAGTAACTAAAGCACTGAGTATGAGATTTAAAACAATCCTGTCAAAGACTACCCTGTTCAGTGTGCTAATCAATTCTCCGTAGTTGGCCTTTGGGTCGAGCTTCGGATTGTCGGAGATGAGCTTCAAAAGTGCCTAAACAATATACATTATTATAAATCTTAAACAACGCAAAACTACCTCTAAAGCGTCTTTTCGTTCCTGCCACTTCTTGCTGTTCACACCGCCTTCCTCATTGTAGAATGTCGGCGGCAGATTGCCCACAACATCGAACGGGTCCAAGTATTCGAACTCGTCACCCATTATCTGGAAAATAAAAATTAGAATCAAGAATAGTAAACAAAAAATAAACAAGAGAAAAGGCGTTGATTAGTCATGTCGGGATATTTCAGTAGGCCAGCTTCATTAAGCTGGTAGTAACGATAAGGTAAATGCATTACTGCGTATTTTCACTAGATAAACAAAAATAAAGAAAGGATCATAGTAAAAAAGGATGCATAGCTAACGAGGGACGCGTATCAAAAGAAACGAAGAGAAAGGCGATTGTTTGGGGGAAAGGGGTCGTCTCTCTTGCGGTTTGTGTCCCTTTTTGGCGTCTCCATCCATCGCATCTCTCTCTTCAGCATCAGTCACAACCAAAGCGCCCAGTGAACGAGTGGGGAACACGCGCTCTTTCCATTGAAAAGGATAACTGACTTTTTTTTCAAAAACTGCGACCACTGGAGGTCATTTGTTAGAGAACGTACTCGAGTTAAAAGGTATCAGTCAAAATAACCACAAGTATAAGGATTCTTTCGAAGCTTGCGGCTCATCTGTTTCAAGCTTGGAAATTTCGGATTCAAAGTTCGTAATTTGAGAGCGAAGAATGAGTGTCAAGGTGTACCTAATCATTAATGATAAATATACTTTGATCCACCGAAGTGTTGTTTTCAAGTTCTCGAGTGTCCACCTCTCTGAATGTTCAGTTTTTAGTCCCTTTCTCAAAAACTAGTACATGGTTCTGGGAGTTCAAAATACCATTCGGTAGCAATTTTTTTGCATATCTTTTGAAGTATAAGCCATTACAAATGGCTTATTGGGTGATGTGATGACGAAAAATCTACAAAGTGTAAAGAGGGAGAGTACTTCACCTAAAGTGCTCCCCTATTTCAAAAGATGTGCAAAAATTTTTGCTATCGGACTCCCATAAACATCTACTATTTTTTGTGAAAGGGACTAAAAACTGACAATTCAGAGAGGTGGACACTCGATAACTATATTTTCAAGCGTAGAACACAATGTTTTTTTTACAAAAGAGATCGGCAAGACCAAGATTCGAATTTTGTTTAAGAATGCTTAAAATCCAAATGGAACCGATATCCATGTGACGATAACTCAACAAAGATCTGCACAAGGTGTTGCTGTGAAAATTGTCAGAAGAAGCTCCTACCTACTTATCGTAAGACATGTACCCTAAAGTCTCGAGTATAAGTTCATCCAAGTATAAGTTCTGCCTTAATTTACATTCGCTTTAATTGCTTTGAATTTCTTTTTGTTGGGTTTTTATACATTTTTATTGTTATATAAACTTTTATTATTGTTCTTGGAGCGCGGGATACTACAGGGTGACAGCCTATCACCATTGCTATTTGTTATGTGCATGGATACATCCAGACGATAGTGTTGAAGAAGACGCTGGAAAGTATCTCTTTCGACCGTCGACGTGGACTTTGGCCGGATGAAGAGGCCAGGGAGGGATCCATAAGACTGAGCACTGGAGAGGAGCAGGGCGGACGCGCCGAGCCACGCCCGGAGCAACAAATAACAGCATAAAATTGCTATAACCCTCAATAAATTTACTTCTATTATTGTTCTTAAAAAGCAAAAAAGTTTTGCTGCAGCGGGGTTCGAACCCTCGACACACCGCACCGGAGACAGCCGTCAATTTGCATGCGAAAACCAAACAGAACTTATACTCGCGACTTTAGGGTAATAGAACTCGCTCAAGGGTGAAAAGGAATTACGATAAGTTTAGATACAGATTACGGTAAGTTCTGAAATACCCAATTTACTTTTACGATGGTAGTGAAATCTCGAAATTTAGAGATTTTACATGGACTATGGTTCAATAATGGAGCTGATTGTAAGAAAAAATTATTGAACTGACAACCGATTCCTGAGAAAATACGAGATTATCGTTTTTGATTAAAAAAAACTGGGGTCTTCAAATTTGTAACCCGCTAGCTTTGTAATTTTAATGTTTTGTGGAAGACACTTGGAATAAGAAGACCCATTTTTTAAACTTCTATCAAAAAAGAAAACTATTCTTAAGAGTCATCCTTACAAAAATCAGACTACTTCAGTATTTGAATCAGTATTTGAAATCTTAAAACTCAGTTCATTTTCATCGATTAGTTTAATCGGAAATAGTTTAATCTTTCAGAGAATATCCCAGATTTCATCATTCTCTTAGTCTCTTTCAAACTTTCAAATCCTTTCCCTAAAGCGGTTCAAATAAATACTCTTGTGTTTTACAATCAGTTAAAAAAGTGATCGGCAATGTGAAGCGTGTGAATTGTCACAAAAAGACAGTTTTCGGGCGAGCAGATGTAAAGGATTGCCACCGGGATGCCTTATGAAACAATTCACCAACGAAACGATGAGAAGAGTCACCCGGGGTGTCAATGTACAGGTGTACTCTTGATCCCGCCCCTCATCCCGTTTACATAAATAACCGTCCATCATCCGAAAAGTCACAACACCTCTCGAGTTCACTTATTCACTAATCTATTCTATTCTTTTCTATTCTATTCTATTCTATTCTATTCAATATTCCTTTCTACAGTATCCCTTCCCAAAGAGAGCCTTCCCTAAACCGAGTGAATTCTCAGTCGTGCACTCAATAGACATGACTAGAATTCTCACTCGGCCTAGGGTCGGCTCTCCAACCCAAATCCCCATATTCTCTACTATATTCTCTACCATATTCTCTACCATATTCTCTATTCTAACCATTGTTGTGTTTTGTGCTTTACCCTTGTTCACCCAAAGACAGCCCGTGCTTCGGGTTTGTCCCTTCGTGCAATGTGATCAGTTTCATTGCACATGAGACATACCTGCAGCACGGCTGTCCCATCCATCCCCATCCCCTGCCTTCAAAGGGGGAACCCGATGGAGCTGACATGCTTCTTGTTTCATTGAACAGCGTCTCAGCCTCGTCTGGTCCCTCCCCAGTTGGCTTTCTCATTCCCCATTCCCTTTTTATCGGTGTTTGCATGCAACCCGTAGTTTCTGGAGATGCTTATCATGTTCAGTTAGTATCACAGTCGCTATGGATAGCAGTCACATCGAGCTATCGAATAACCCTAAGTCTCAGGTTTTCCAGTTCAGTTGTTTTGTTTGCTTTGCTTTGAACCATTTTCGAGATTCGAGTATGTAAAGGCTGTGGTTGAGTTCAATAGAAAGATAATTAGTAATACATACAGTAGTAGGAATTACTGTAGTAAAGAAATATCAAATAAGATTAGTGAATAGATGTATTCGAGTAGTGGAAGTAGATTATTTTTGCTACAAGTTAGCTGTAGTTTAATAGTATTTAAACCTAGATCGTCCGACATTCCCATCTTTAGGTCTAGCTGGTATTTTCTAAACGGATACTGGATTTGGATAACTAAACCAAAAGACGACAAATTCAATGTGCAATTTTGAAAAGGCTGAACTACTGAAACATTTAATGAAGGCAAACAAAGATAAAGGAATATAAAATTAATTGAATATTCAAAAAATAAATCAAAAGGTTGAGTATTTAACTAGAGTCACTTTCTTTCTCATTCCAAATTGAAACAAACCGCAATTCACAACGTGAATAGCAGTCCGATGGAGCCCTTCACTCTCCGAAATTCCAGCTGAATATTGGGAAAATCGTTTTTCTTCACTTATTTCAAAAGCTTTATCTATTCAAATTTTATTAATTTATTAATATTCTTTTGGATGACGATGGAGCTCTGTTTTGAGATCCAAGTGAAAAGTGTACTTGGAGTTCAATTCACACAAAAGGTTTTAATTTAGCAATCTTTTGAGTAGCAATTGTTTGTTTCTAGGTTTTCCCGTTTGATACGGTGGCTGATTTGAAAGCTCAACTTAGCAAAAAGACGAGTCTTGAAATGCACAAATTGGCCCTTGTAGGTTATTTAGGATCATTTAGTTGAGACTTTGCTTGAGAGAAATTTCAGGTGTTTTGTGGCCAAGAATTGTTGGATAATACAGCCCAATTATCGAGTTTTGGAATCAAAGCCAAATCTACTCTTGGATTGGTTAGTAGTCAAAGAATTAGAAAAGAAAGAAATGTTGTAGGTAGTTATGGCTAGATCGGGTCCATCACGGAGATTTGTTCAGCCAGAAACGTCACGAGTCGATTCTCTCGTTCTTTCGGAAACTGAGAGGTTAATAAAGATTGGAATACTCTTGACTACCTTATCTAAAACATGTCTACTTTTAGAAAACTATCGTAATTTTGCCCTTAATTTACCTAGATCCAAGTTGGTTCATGAAGGATTTAAAAATAGATAGAATAGGTAAAAACAGAGCCAAGACAACGGTAGCTTTCAAAAGTTTACACGTTTTAAAAAAACGCTCTAGCTATCGTTATCTTGCCAGAGAGAATGTTACGGTAACTGTTAACACAATTGCTAGGCAATGTCTTTTGATTTACAAAGCAAAACCCAACGAATGGGGCAGCTACGCACTGCGACGGAAAAAGCAGAAAAACGTAGCTTGTTGACTTTTTTGAAAATTAAAAGAAATTTAATTTGCAAGCCAATTTAATTTAATTAATGAACAATATAACGATTTAAGATCACGACGTGGTTGTTCAGCTACAGAAGATACATCAGCTAAAGAGAGCAGTGCAGGAGAATTAACCGAACATGATGAAATCGATAAACAGAATCGATTGACACGAGTGAGTCAAGTAAAAAAAATTATTGATATAGAAAAGTTTAGCTAGCAGAAGCCGTGTATTCAGGACGACATTCAAGAAGACAAAGGGGAAGCTCGATATCGACAGGAAAAACAACAGAACAAGGACACAAAGAAGAGACGATTGCAGGAGAAATTCTAGTTGAAATATCCGATAAACCGAGTGGATCACAATCAGCCGAAGATGAAGAGGCAGAAGAACCGGGGATTCAAGGTTTACTAAAATAGCTTTGATCTTTGATCAACGGGATAATTTGTAGAAGAATGTCTTCCGAGACCGGAGTCCTCAGATGGATTATTGAATGCATCTGATCCGTCAGAACTATCTTCGGGAATGATCATTTGTGATCTGACAATGAGCAACGAGTTTCGAAAATTAAAGGTGAGTGAACAAATGGACAAATGGACAAATTAACAAAGAAGTACAGTAAACCGTCTCTTGTCGGTCTCTTGTCCCACTACAGTATGTCATAATGACTACTTTTGTTTGCTTTAACGAATTTCATAGATTTTTTTCCCTTGGTCTTGACAATGACTGCTTTTTTGTAGCTCAGCAACAGTAGATACTAAAATCTTACAGTATATTTATGCTGAATAGTCAAAGTCAATTGTAACACGTACCATGCAGGTTCGGCGACGACACCATCTACCAGTTGTTGGCCGAGCAAGATCGAGACCCCGAATACATACGGGAAGTTCATCAGATGAACGAGAAGGAGACAACGATCCCGTTGTCGATGTACAAGTGTTGAATTCGTTATCCGGGAGAAGACCCGTGCCCACACAAAAGACCCGACAATTGCCTATCAAGTAAAGTCCATTCAGAATATCCGAGTTATCCATTTCCAGATCGACAGCTCAGCTGCGATGCAGTGTGTGCGCTTTCAAAACGAACATCACGTTCAATTGCAGGTAAGAAAATTATCTGTGTACTCTATATAAACTTCAATTTTATGTACAAATCAATCATAAATTTCTAGATGTGGTAAGTTCTTGTGTCCTAAACACCGAGGCTCGCATCCGTGCACTAGAGCAGGAAGAAGAATTCAACAAGTCAGCGAATAGACAAAAGAAGTCGAGATTCGCATGCAATTATGGAAATATGCACATTTTAATGCGTAATAAATTTTCCTTACACTTATTGGTCGTTTAATGTTGGGCGAAAACGTTCTAAACGTTTTTATCTTTGTCACACCTTGGTCTGATAAAGTTCGGGGGGGTAAATCCGCGCGAAATAATGCAAAAAACGTTCTCTATCAGAATTTCACGTTAGAGAACACCATTTCGCGCGGATGTGGGGGGGGGTTCGACTTAACCCGGCCAGAACCTATTTTATGTGTTTTTTCATTTTTGCATTTTCTGGGGTAATCAAATACGCTTAATCTATTGGTGATATTTTTAGAGTGTTTTGAATAAGTTTTCACTTTGTATTTCACCCCTGGCCTCATTTTCTAGCGTTGCGGCACTGCAACAGCTATACTTCAGCTAGCTTAACAAAATATGAATAAAGATTGTTCAAAACTTTCTAAAAATATCACCAATAAATCCAGCATGTTTAATTATTACAGAAAAAATTAAATAACATTGATAAAACGATCAAAAAATACGATCTGACCAAATCAGATCAAAATGCCCCCTCCCCCCGAACTTTATTAGTACCAATTATTGATGCTTTAAAGTTTCTACCAACTTGCGTTTTATTGAAATCGATGAAACCGGGGCCATACCCTGAATCCCCTTCAAAGCAATACCGGGATCATACCCTGAATACCCTTCGTAATGCCCGTAAAGATTCAATATTGCACCAAGTGAGCTAAAATTTTGAGGAAAGCACCCTTTGAGCATAATAAACGTAAAAACGTGATATGTTAGGTGAAAATCGGGTCATTCCCCGAATTGATCACGACAGACGAACGCACACAGATCCTGGCGTTTTATACAGTGGTCCACAAAAGTATTGTCCCATTGCCATCCAAAAGTTTCTTTCGTACGAAAATCTTGCAAAATAACGAAATTCCCAAAAAGTGTAGGGCATTTTGCTTACCCATAATACTCTACTTTTCAAAATTATAAGATTTATCCGTATACATTGCAGAAAAATTAAAGTATAAAACAAAAAACAATAAGTTACTTAACAAATAGCTCCACAAAAGTAATGTCCCATTGATGTTTTCCTTGATTATTCTTTTTATTTTCGCGTTTTATGAACATTAAATGTATTTTATTTTATTATTTAGATGGCTGGCAAGAAAAACCTTGACACTCCAAATCGCTAAGGCCCGGGAAAATGGAATGCGAGAGAAGGATGTGACCAACCTCTTCAATTGCTCGATATGGACAGTACGCCGCATTTTTTCTCAATCAAAAGCCGGCAAAAACCTTCATCGAGGCCTCAAGAGTGGCCGAGGACCAATCACAACCATAAAAGAAGATCGAGCCGTGATCCAAATGGTGAAAAACGATCCGAACAAAACATCAACCGATGGAAGCCAAATGATGAGGGATCAATTTAACAAGGTTGTATCGCCGGAAACGATCAGACAACGATTAAATCAAGCTGGATTATATGCAAGAAGGGCTGCCCGTAAACCTCTGATGAATTCTAAGCACCGGAAGCAGCTCCTTGATTTTGTACGGACCTACCGAAGTTGGACAATAAGTGATTGGGCGAAAGTGCTATTTGCCGATGAGACAAAAATCAATTTATTTCACGCGGACGGAAACCATCTTATTCGGCGGCCAACTGGAAAGCAATACACACTCAAGTACATTCGGCCTACCGTGAAATTCAACGGCGGAAACATAATGTGTTGGGGTAAGAACCTTTTTTAGTATTTTGTTACCTAAATTTTTTTCTTTAGGAGCGATGTCTCGAACTTCAGTAGGTCCGTTAGTCTACGTGAACTCGACGATGGATGCTGTGGCTTACAAGAATATTATGGAGACCCAAATGCTTCCCTTTGCCAATCAAACGATGCCTCCCGGATGGATGCTTCACCAGGACAACGACCCGAAACACAAGTCGAGACTGATGATGGGACGGTTGGTGACACTTCAAAATTGTCCCAGAGCTCGTCTGCCCGGATGGTTTGCGGAAAATCGTGTTAAATTGATCAATCCACCTCCCTACTCACCGGATCTCGATCCAATTGTACATTTGTGGTCATTTGTGAAGTCGCGCCTCAAGGGAAAGAAATTCGATTCGAAGGCCGCCTTATGGGTTCACATTCAACGTCTTTGGGCCACCATCCGCCCAAGTCTTTTGAAAAATCTCGTGGATTCCATGCCGGATCGACTCAATGAAGCGGTAAAAGCAAAAGGAGGATCAAGCAAATATTAATTTTTTGAAAAAATTGTTAATTCTTTGCAAATGGGACATTACTTTTGTGGAGCTATTTGTTAAGTAACTTATGTTTTTGTTTTATACTTTAATTTTTCTGCAATGTATACGGATAAATCTTATAAACTTGAAAAGTAGAGTATTATGGGTAAGCAAAATACCCTACACTTTTTGGGAATATCGTTATTTTGGAAGATTTTCGTACGAAAGAAACTTTTGGATGGCAATGGGACAATACTTTTGTGGACCACTGTATATGTTACGTCCGTTATTGAATCTATTCAATAACAAACGTCTGTTTTTGAATCGTCCAACCTATATTTCAACAATTTCCAAACTTTACTACTAAATCCTCGAAACTAGCGCATTTCCTCTTTTGATCATTGAGCATTTATCATCAAACTTTAAATTTTATTGGTAACAAACGATCGAAAACAAACTTATACTTATAAACAATACGCACAACTTATAAAAACTTAAATAAAGAAAAAATAAAATCGAAATGCAGAATGCGCAAGTTAGCTAGGATTCAAATTATGAATTTAAAGTTTTATAAATAGAAATTGAAACTATACTTGCTAACTCGCAAAAACTAGATCATTACAAAAAAAATCGTCAAGGCGTAGGCTGAACGATTCAAAAACGGATGTCCGATTCAGAACCGGACGTCTGTTATTGAATTTTTTCAATAATGGACTTAACATAAATATTATAGATACCCACTTTACTCTATTTTTTTTCCAGAAATGATTCGTCGCGAGGCTCGTCTGCGAAGGGAATACATTTATCGAAAATCACTCGAAGAAAAGCAACGAGCCACCGAGGAGAAACGGCAAAAAGTGGTGGCCGCCGTCGAGTCAAACAAGTTTGTTTTAAAAATATTTTGGGCTAGTAACAAAATAAAAGTTTGATCTAAGGATTTGTTCTCAAAATTTTGCTAAACACAGTGTTTAGGGCTATTCCAAATGATTTGAAGAAAGACGCGCTCGCACTGCAAAATGGAGCCGATTGGGGTGGACAGGTGTGGTATTTTTATGTGTGGCTGTTTTAATGTAGATATGGCTAATATATTTTCAATTTTTTAGGTGAATGAAATCGATGACGAGTATCGCTGGGCGGGAGCAACCGATCCAAAAGTCGTCATCACAACAAGCCATGATCCGTCGTCGAGTCTCAAGGTCTTCTCGAAGGTTTTTGCAGCTAATTTTCTCAAACGAAACTATTTTTTTTAAGGAAATGAAACTCGTCTTTCCAAATGCTCAGCGAATCAATCGAGGCAAAGCCGACATCAGACACATCTGTCAAGCCTGTAAAGCCAATGACGTATGTTTATTTTTATCCTTGAGACGTTGGAAGTTTTGCAGGTAACAGATTTGATCATCTTTCACGAGACTTCGGGAAAACCCGATGGAATGATTGTGTGCCATTTACCGTTTGGTCCAACTACCTATTTTAACATCTCGAATGTGGTGATGCGTCATGACATTGAGAATCACGGAAAAGTGCGTTTTGTTTACGAATCTCAAACATTTAATATTTTTTGTTTTAGGTCTCGGAAGCCTACCCACACTTAATTTTTCACAACATGGATACAAAGTTGGGACTGCGAGTAAGAAATATTTTCTGTTAAAGCTACAAACCTTTACTTTAGATAACAAAAGTCCTAAAGCATCTGTTTCCTGTGCCAAAACCGGAATCGAAGAGGGTGATGACTTTTGCCAACAACGATGATTTTATTTCTTTCCGCCATCACGTGTATAAAAAGGTGAGCGCTTCATTTCTAAAATTTCACGAAATCTCTACTTTAGGGAACTGATGGCTCGTTTGAGTTAACAGAAGTTGGACCGCGTTTTGAAATTAGACGTAAGTTATGGTCCAGATTACAAAATAGAATCAATTTAAGCATATTGCATCAAACTCGGAACACTCGAAAATATCAAAGCGGCTGAAGATGAGTGGGTTCTGCGAAATTTCATGCGAACATCTCACAAGCGACAATGGCTCAGCTCAGGGAAAAATGAAGACGATTTCGAAGAAATTCCTGATATTTAGGCATTTGTTTTTTTGTTGACAACTGTTTATCTGTTATTTGTTATTTGTTATGATGATAAACCTAAATTTTTATTACGCGCTCAAATAAGTTTTAAACAAAAAAAAACAAACAGAAAAAAATTAAAATGCCGCTATCTTGGCTGCCATAAGAAGAAATTGCAATGATCTGGCGCGTTGATTTCTTTTGAACATGTGTAAAATCTAAAATCAAATTAGAACTTTAAAACATTGTGACTAGTTTACTTTCTTCCTTTATTCACCCCTTCTTTCGTAGTAGTTTTTTCCACGCTTGGAATTTTACATTTACAAAGAGGTAATGCTGAATTCGTTGCCTAAATAATAGGTTTTTAAAAAATCAGCCCTTAACTAACCCTTGTGCCTGTGCCACTACCACCACCACGATTTATTCCTCTTCCTCTGCCTCTTCCGCGTGTACTTCGTCCTTGTTGTGGTTGGTCAAGTACCATTTCGTAATGAGGAACCTAAACGAAGTAAAGCTATTGTTTTCCAATCAAACATTGAAAAATACCGTATTTTCTTTATCACTCGCATCTCCTTGACGTTTCCTTGATTGATTTGAAACATCATCTGGACCATTTCTTGAAGTACCACGATTAAAGTTTGAACTTCCGGCTCCTGAAAAACAAAAGCATTTGATGCAAAAAATGATAATACTCCCAAATAGTTTCCGACCTCTAGTTGTTGATGAAGTCGAAGTTCCACCAGTATGACCACCTCTCGGTAAATTGCCTCCGCCACCGCCTGGATTTCTCGGATTTTGGTTGTTATTCATGTATCTAAAAAACTTTTTTAAAAAGTAGCTACCTAGCAACAATAAACCTGGAAAACGCTTGACTCAGGTTATTGATCTTTGTTTCAGCAATGATGAAAATTCGTCGGTAACGCTGAAGTTGCTCTTTTAGTACCTAAATGATTAAACAATCAAAGCCACAATTGAACTCGATTTACTTCATCCTTTGTGCGAGCTCCTTGCGATATCAGCACTAATTGCTGCTCCAGATTAGCACGCATTTGAGGCTTAGACATAGCAAAACCTAAACAGAGGTCACGCATCTATGAAACACACGTTACTCACCCATCGCATCATATCCATCAACAAGAGAGAGCCCCAAATATCCTGGGATGAAATGACCCGTAGGATTTACCCCAACGTATTGCCTTTCCTAAAGCATAGAAGTTTCCTAGTCAACTTAGGTTCACAACTCACTTTGATTTTTTCTATATGTTCTGCATGAGTCGCGTCAGTACCAATACCAAATTTGTCCATCAACGCAATTAAGTCAGCTAAAATCAAAGTTAAAACCAAATCGAAATGTTTCCAACCTTCTGTTAATAAAGGCGGTGGCTGTGTTTGCGATTCACTCATCAAAACTTTGTGGTTTTCAAATGTTTCTCCATAATTATACCTTAAGTTTTCCAATATATATAATCAAAATCTGTATAAAATCAAAATCACTTTGGCAGTGCCTTGTCTGTCCATTTATCATAGGGGTAAACCACTAAATATCCCAAATCCTCAATTTGTAAGCCAGTCGTTGTGAATCGCTCTCCACCAATACGTAACTATAAAGAAAAACAATTAAATCAAGTATGTGACGCAAACCGATATTCGAGTTTCCAAGCCATGCGCATCTTTACTGACACAAGCAAGGAAATGGCGAACCACCAATTCGTAAACACGCCATTCATCGCCATGTAATTGATCTCTAAATATATCTTGTAGGATTCACTATGAGAGCAATATGAAACCTTGTTGCTGCTTTTAGAGGATGAATTGGAGGATGGGCTTGATCACTCTTAGATCCATTGCGAGGGGTTGGACCTCCGGCATTGATAATTCCTTGCGCAAAGCTTCCCCACATTGGATTATCCTTCTGAAAACTATTTGCCTCAAAAATTCGTTTTGAACTAACCTGCATATCGACGAAATTTGCAAGATTTATATTTGGCGGAAATTTGTTGGTTTCAGTTCTAAAGCAGCTTTTGGTACTTTTGGTAAAACTCTGAACCTTGGGTAGGAAATCCATCCGGTACTGTACAACTTTTCCGCAATACCCATTGCTACTTTGGCACTCAAACGAAGTTTACGAACGGCAAGTTTCTCGAACTCAACCTAAACTTCTTTTAAAAAGTATTTCTGCGGTTGAATTTACTGTATCTAGAGCTGCTGGACGCCATTTATTCTTCTGTCGACTTATGATGTTCTCAACTCTTGCTGTCCTTGCAAATATGCAATCGTCTCTCAATAGCTAAATAAAATTATTCTTGAAAATTGAATTTACTCAAACCTCGACAATGGTTTTATCAAACAATCTCTCCCGATCCCAAATAAATTCAGTCTGAAGCAAAATTTTCTGAACCATGAAATGAAATTACCTACCTTTGAGTCGTCTTTGACGTGTTCAACCGAGAGCTTCCAGAATTTCTCCTTTATAAAATTTTCAATAGTTTTGTATCTTTCTACGACAAATCCAAGCGTTGGAAATTGACAACTTCCGTAAGAGATTACCTAAATTAAACATAGGTACGCACACCTTTAAAACGATAAAACTTGTTTATTTTGACCACCCAAAAGTGCAGCAAAGCACCGTCGAAGATGAAGAGTTTGCAATCGAGTAAAGGCGCTTCCTAAATAAACAAAGGAATGACAAACATATAATAAATATGTTTGTCAAAAATAAAATCAACACAAACAAACAATACCAATTCGCAAGTCCAACTCCATTCGACAATAAACAGCGTTGACAATGTTCATATCAAGTCGTTTCAATTCCCGGAGGGCTTTATAAATGGCAGCAGCAGTAACCTCGGAAAATCTTAAAGAAAAATCGTTTGAACCTTAAGGAAAATGTTTACTTTGCCCTATAGACATCAATTTTGGGATTAGCTTTGATACAAGCCCTTCGAATTTCATCGCCAATATTCTCCCCTTCTCGATCACAATCCGTCCATAAAACGAGTGTGCTAGCGCTTCGCGCTTCTTGGCTAAAATTTACTTAAGCTCCAAAAAATTCAAGAAAATTACAAGGTTCTTTATCTCATGAATGTTATTTAAAACTTATTGAGAGATGACTTTTAAACACTCACACCAATGTTCGCTCTATATCTTTCATCTCAGCATTGACGGTCGAACAAATGGGCGCATCAAAAAGCCGTTCAATCTAAAAAAAATCAAGTACTTTCCAGACTCAGAAAATTACCGATACATTTTGCCAATCTCTCATTTCAGGCCCGAAATCCATGTTCATGAGGTGACCACTAACGGACGTTGTCGCTATCTAAAATCTTTTCATGAAACTAGGTTTACAAAAGATTGAACGTACCACAGATTGCTGTCCGTGAAACTCCATAGGGAATGAGTAGATCTTATTGTACTTTGAAAATCCATCGCGACGATTGGACTGGCCTAAAGTTAAAATTTAGAGCAAATTATGAAAATTTAGAATCTACCTTTGGACAAAATGTTTGATATTCCCTTGGCAACATCGTTCTTCTCGGCGACAAAGAGCACCCGTCTCATCGAGGTGGAGTGAGCACGAAGAGCTAAGATTGTGAAAAGACGAAGCGTAGCTAAACATTTAAAACGTTCAACGTTCAAAAAGAAAAACTAGCAACAAAACCAAACTTTAAAACTTAAAATTCACATTCAAAACGTCTTTCATTTCGTAAAACCATAATAGCTTTGAAGATATTCAATAATCTAGCTGGATACCTATTCTGTAAGCTTTATTCTTTTTATACGTAAGTTCTTTATTCTCATTTTGTTCATTTTTATTTTAACTTTACAACTTTATGTTACCCTAGTCGATCTTTAAGATCGATTATCCCAGATTAGCGCGTTTTTTTCTCAAATCACTCAACTAACGAATGCACCTACCTTTTTTGAATGGACTTGATGCTAATGATTTGAGTTCATTCATAAAATCGGACTCTCATCGGCGCTTTCATTGCTACCTGGTTTGGCTCCGCTGTTTGTTTGGAATTCCCTCTCTTACACGCAATCAAAAACAATTCACTCCATTTTGCGCAATCCCCCTCCTATCGGAAGGTTGCAAAATTTATTCCCTAACCTAGCGATTGAAACCGAGTTTGTGTGTTATTTTATTAACGAAATCTATCAATGCTCTAATTTACCTTTATTTTATGTTTTATGCATTTTTATTTTTACCTGAAATTTTGTAGGTACATTACCTCTTCCACTTGGGCTTACGTTTGCAAAACAGGAATAAAATGAAGTAAGTTCAAATTACGATATATTATAACTTTTCAACTTTTTAGGTACGGCCTAGACGACGAAGATGGTTACATCGATCTCAGCCAGAAAGCTCTACTTCTCGAGGAGTTCCCATCACCGGCCAATGTAAAACTGCTGAAGGTGATAGCTAGTTCTGCGATTGAGAAGCCTAAAGAGGAAGTGAAAGAAAAAGAGGTGAATTTGGTCGAAAATTTCAAGATTTTTTAGATTTTTGTTCTAGGATACATTCGTTGTCGAAGAAAAATTAAGTTGCTACGAAGAAGTTGACTTTTCGAAAGATCCCCGATATCCAGATTTTATCGAGGATTTGAAGAAATTGGAACTCCGGGTAAACATACCTAGTTTAATTACTTTAACCTCTTCAAATTTTAGTCACGACCGTCTACTGTTGCTTCAACAAAGAATAGCTTGAATTGCTCATCCCTGGTGAGCATTTTCATTTTTAATCCTAACCACTTGATTCAGCAAAAAGAATTGATTTTCTCACCGGAAAATGTTCTCAAAGTAGACGATTTTGGCTTTGCGCTGCCTCGCACAAATTGGTAACTTAAAACTATTTTAATTTGAATTGTTAAACTTTTAGGATTGCGCAACTGCATCAACAACCAAAGACTTCAACACCGATTATGAATGTTTTCCCGAAACTAAATTTCGACATCTCACGCGTTGACTTGGAAAACAAGGTTTGTTTTGTTTTTAAAATAAGATTTTGTACCCGTAAATCTTAGGAAAAAGATGATTTGGATTGGTCGAAGAACTTTATTGTTGCCCCTCGGTCTGTGAGCGAAGAATCCGGGTTAGTGTTCAAGTTTTGAAGAATAAAGCGTTTGGGTTCGAGAAATATGAGTGTTTAGTAAAGCTCAATTGTTGGGCAAAGCCGAGTCTTCTTATGATACAAGAATACAAGAAGATGATGTACCAACCTTCCTTGAAAACTCGTCAATTCTGAACAGCTTTGCAACTGCAATCGATGAAGGGGAGTCTGAATACGACGTGTCAGAACGGGTTAATTCTTCGTCTTCCGATGCAGCATCAGACGAGGATAGTAATGAGTCAAGACAGACGGTGGAAGAAGTTACGACGTCTATCGGTAACTACCATTAATGCCTCAATTGCATGAATCTGTTTATTTAGCAGCGTTAAAACCGGTCACTCTTCCTGGAACTTTCGCAGATTTTTACTCGCACGAAATCAAGTACAAACGAGCTTTGGAAAAGAAAATGAAAGAATTTGAAGAGAAAACGGAGGTTGGTTTGAGAATTAGAGTGCTTTGAAATGTAACTTTTCTGTTAGCCTGCAATGCTTGCACAAATCAAGCGAACAGTTATGGAAAAAGTGACAATTTCTTCGAAGAAGCATGCAACTAAAGAAGATATTGAAAATATCGGAAGTTACTTCGCTAGTCTTTGTCAAGGTAACGCATTGACATTACTAATGGCCGTCTATTGTTTTTAGGACGACCACTTACTGGCGTCAACGATAGTGAAATCAGGCTTTCTACATCCTTGGAAGCCTTTTATATGTTGAATCAAGCATGTGAACGCTATTTGGTTTGTTATTTGTCATTTTCAATAAAGATTACAATTCAGAAGTTAGCCGAGCACGACGCAGAGTTATGCCCGATTGTTTCACGAATTCTTCATTCAATTGGTAGTAAAGAAGAAGCGTTCTTGAAGATTGTTCTTGGAAGGCTTTTCTCATCATGCATATTTTTGACGATGGATTCTGTGCGATGGTAATTTTTAGCGGTTCTGAAAAGCTGACTTTAAAAATTAGCTTGAAAAAGGCAGAATGGCTTTGCACACAACCGACAGATGCTCGAAAAATATTTGTGGATCAGCAGCGATCACTTCTTCGCGTTTTCTTCACAATCCATTTGTTAGCCCATGAAAACGAAGCAGGAATACTACGAGTGGCCTTTAAGGTAATTTTTTAAAATGTGTAAGCTAACAAGTTCTTTAGAATATATGGCGTACGCTTGCTTACTGCATAAACGCTCCTCCAGTTCCACTTGCTACACCAATCGTTTTGGCCGAACTCTTAGAGGTAGTTATCTTGGCAGCATTTTCACTTTTTAATTAAACTAGAGTTGTGCGAATGAACTGTCTGAGGCTTATGGGTCAGTGTGGGAACGTGCGATCGAGTGTATACTGGTGGAACTCCTCGATAAGCTGGATGAACAAGTTTCGGATAATCAAGTAAAAAGCTTAGGATTTTTACAATATTTATTATTTTAGCTGCTTATGAAAGCCGGACAAGCCACGTACAATTCAATTCTTCGATGCATCATCGATGAATTTTACAAATGATTTTTATCTAGGGTTTTAATTTTGTGACATGTTCACATGCCTTATTCTTCATATTTATTTTGTGATATAGACATATTTGCACATTTTCATTGCAATCGCATAAATTAGTTCTTCAGCAATTAGAGTTCTTCGGTGTGCCTTTTCAATAGACTAGAACATTGAATCGCACAAGAAGTGTCCTAAAGTTGGGTAATTTTAAGTGAAAAATCAAAATATGGCAGCTCACCGCTTGTATGTCTTCCAATGAATAGAAGTTCAGTAGAGTTTCACAATTTTCGATTTGTATGGGGTGGCATTCGGGCTGAAATTTGAGGTAGGATTTGACAAAATGCTTCTTCTGTTTTACCCCATCCGATGTGCAGGTGCAAGTAACACATGGAGTCGCTTTGGCTGTTTTCCCTCTTCCAATTACCCGATCCCCGATCACACACCATTCTATGGACGGGTTTAAGTACAGTAATCCCTTTTCAACTCACGTCTATCTATCCATTCGGTCAGGTCAATCTCCGGCACTTCACTGCAGCCGATTGGAGCGTTACTAGGAGATAATTTTTTAGCTGTTTTGTCAATCGATCATTTCATACGTCAACTCATCGGGCATCAAGAACACATTTGGTTGCATTTGTGCAGCCCAATTGCTATTCCGACAGATCATTCCAGAAAGTGAGGATTTCCGGATTTCGGCCAGTTGTCCTAGATTTGATCTCAAAATTTCTTGAATTTGAAAGAACCGATAGTGAATTTAGTGTTTGATTGATCATTTTCATAATAGAAACGATCGCATTTCTTCAATCGTTGCATTTGCTCGGCGATAATGCAGCCGAGCATCGGCCCCACCAAAGCACCTAAATTATAAAGATTTGCATATGAAATACTTTTTATTCATAGACTAAAACCTTTCAGTGGCCTCTCACTCATCAATCCCGGGAACAAATCGATATCGTCGACATTCTCATAAGCCTTTTCGAGGGCCTAGATTGTTTCAAATTGATTCGTTTTTTGAGAAATTTATCTACCTTAATCGCTTCGTTGTCCATCGTGTCTTTGAGATCGGAAAAGTGACGAGCTTTTGGAAAACCGCACATTTCACTGAAATTTTAGACAGGAATTTAATCATCTTTGGATTTGATTAAATTGAATCCATTCAGATTCAATATTCTTGCAATTAGAATTCGAATTCGGACACTTTAACTTTATTTGCAAGCTATTTTTCCTATATTCTCTATATTCTATTTTCTCTTCTCTGCACTGTACCAATGAAACTAACCGATACGCGTTGTATTCTTTGACTCCGTGATCTCTTCCCCTTTGAATATTTACCGCCGGGAGATCGATTCCTGAAGGATCAATCATCTTCATCTTCATGATATTCAACTACTCACCTGTGAGTGGGCCTCCCGGTTTGGCGAATAGATGATTTCTGACCGCATCCGTGATTGAGGCGTCGAATGCCATACTGTAATTGAAAATGATTGATAATATTCAGCTATTCAGCATTCTAAGACTGAATTCGTTCAATGGAATCTCCCCTAACCTTTCAGATCCGACTAATCCCATCAATAGCGATTCCATATGCCCCACCGATTTATTGTACAATGGAAGAGGATTCGAGAAGTGATCCTGGGCAATAAAATGATCATTTGCATATTTTTCTTTTCTCACTTTCAACAGCACTGGCTCAGTCTCGTTCCCAAATGCGGCATTCATTCGCGGGAAAACCGCCCGTATCAAAGTGTGACCAAAACGAAAAGCTGAAAAAAAGAGCTCTTCATCTATTTCTTTGCTTTACCTGAAGTCGACATTTCTTGGGTAATTGATGCATCACAATGTGGATCGTATTCTAGATATCGGTATTTCTGTCACTGAATGGCTCTTTGTTTACCCGTATAATAGCCAGTCTTTTTCGGCATCAAATCATAGCGGGACATTGTATCACAACCGACTACTACCTGATCGAGAAATTTGTTGATTGAACTGTTTGAATCTCACCGGTAGCCATTCGGAAAAGATGATATGCTGAAGTTTCGCGATCATGATACGACGAGTTTCCTGAAAATATGATTAGGTAGTGATGAAAAGACCAAAATTTTTGATATTTGCCTAGTGATGAAATAGCCTATACTGTATTGAGTCTTTTGATAGGCTCTCACTTGATACAATTGCTCGTCATTCCAGAAATTGTTCAATTTTCGCAACTCGGTCGCTAATCGATTGTGTTCACGAAGGAAAATCGTGTGCAAAGCGGCCAATCCTTTAATTTTTTTGAATATTTAAAATTGAAATTGAAAAGAAACCAGGTTGCTCATTCACTCGCTCATCGCCCGCCTCAAAACAACGAGCTCTGGAAACAAAAAGGAATCTTTTTTTAGGAATCTTTTTACTCGGCAAATAAAAGTGAATCTTTTTGATATTATCCATGATTTTTGTTTTGGTTTGTAAATTGTAAAAAAAGATATAGCTATTCAGCTATTCAGCTGAATTTGTATTTTGAGGGTTTTCCAGGGCGTTGATCCCAGTTGATGAAATGAACTAGCTCTAGTCTAGTACTAAAATGGCTATCTTGTTTGATTATTTAAAGTTATTGCACTCGAATAAGGAATGCATACAGTTTTCTTTCACACAGAAAACCCCGGACTTACTTCGAATCGGTGAGAATCGATCGACAATCCCTTTCTTGTGGTCCTTGTGGCAGTGCCTCTTTGTTGAAACTGAAATTAACATGTAGAACTTTCAAATCTCTATCTTAATATCTAATTCGAGCCCTATTAGTCAATATTTTCTTCGACAAACCCAAGATTCGTAAAGTTGAGCAATCCTCGCGAGAAGAGTCTCAATCGATTCGCTTCACATTCGGTTGATCCGTAAATCGTTGATGCATCAAGGAATGATGTTAGTTGATTTAGCTGAATATTTTAAAGCACAATATATATATAAGCTTTCTGATTTCTAGTTATAAATCAATTCTCAAACCTGATTTCGATATCCGAGAGTGAGTTGAGCGAGAAGACTTCGCGCAAATGGCATACATCTGAAAGGGAAAAGCGTGAGATAAAGATTTTTATGGGCAAATATTCAAATTTACATGGGGTTTCCTTATTTTTAAATAAATCTGGTTCTTTTTCCAAGTATTTCTCTTCTCATTCACCTCGGTTTCCCATTTGAGTGTGTCGCCGGGAAGAATGGATCACCGGGATCGATTCGAATTGGAAAACAATGGACTGGAAGAAATAAAAATGTCAAAAAAATATTGGTCATTCAATACCTGAGACTTTCTCGAAAGAATCGCACGCTGAACAATTGAGAATCGTGTTGTTTGGGCCTGGAAATGAGTGGGATTATCGTCTACAGTACCCCTGAATAAAAAGTATTCAGCTATTCAGCTGTTAAGACCCTGTACTGTTCGTAATCCAAAAGATATTCAGTCTTGCCACTGAATACTTTTTCCCAGGCAAAAGCAATAGGTTGACTTGAACTATCGCATGGTAGTGAGACTGTCTTTACAGTAACTTTAAGACATCTAATTGATTTGAGCAGACAAAATTGGTTAATTTTCAAAGTATTCGATAAGTTACTACTAATTCTAATTAGAATTTCGTTTTAATAAAGAACTAATTACATAAAAAGTAGTAAACCTCTTGCAATCGGCGAATGCATCATGTCGTGATCGAGGATTTGCCCGAATTGCATCAACTGGAATTGATTGATTGACGAAAATATCAAATCTGTAACCATATGCGTGAATTTAACGTGAAATTTTGGAGAATCCGCGTGAACGTGATTCGAGATTTTCCTAGCTGATGGAAGTGGGCGTCCGGTTTTGGAAAGAGTTCGAGGATGGTCGAAACCTGGAAAAAGAATGGATAATGCGCTGGATACTGTATATATTTTAAGTATTCATACCTTAAAGATTTCTACTTTTTCTATAAGTTTTTTTTCTTGTCTTTGACCTCTTTGAAATCTCTTTCAAAACTCACCATCATCATAGGCTGGATCGAGCAATCTCCTCATCGGCCCGAAAGCATTCCCGTACTTTGGGAATTTCAAATTATTGCACCAGCCCGAATAGGTTCTGTAAAAGATTTCAACGATCGCTATTGAACTTAAAAACTTTTGCTAAAAGCCCAATCGCTAAAGTATGGTGCTAGAAACTTTCAAAAATACTATGGAACGGATTTTTAGCATACTTCAGTATGCTAAAAAGCTTCAGCTTTCGGGATTTCAGTACTTGTCTCCAAATTCTCCTATTCAACCTGTATTTGTATGTGTGATCGCATGGAAGTGGTTCCGGAAGGCATTCTTCGCGTTTTCGATTCTCTCGACCTAAGACAAAATATTGTTTGAAAGCTTGATTATGACGAAAACGAACGGATAAGCTATTTTCAATTATATTACCCAAAAATGGTGTAAAATTGCCGATAATTGTTGCCACGTCGATTGATGGAAGCAATTTTTGGAGAGTTTTGAGGGAAAGATCCGATGGGAGACGCTCGGTTGGATCGAGTTCCGTACTCAAATTGGGAAATTGGGATAATCGACTACAGGATAAGGTTAAAATATTAAAATCATGTACAGAGTTTTTTTTTGGTAGAAAACTTTGACTTTTTCAGGTTTAGAGGGCTTTGAATGAGCTTTTGAATGAGAAGGTGAGCTTTAAATGTTCAAAACTTTGTGCAGCGTCGATATTTTCTGATACTTTTTAGATAGATCGAAAGAATATTTGAGGTTTTCGATTGAAGCTATTCTTTGATCAAAAGGTTCCATTCAAAAGCCTCCTAAACCCGACAAGAGTCAAATATTGAATTCTAAACAATTCTAAATAATTCTAATCCCACTCACCCATCCAAGAGTATCCTTGTCGCCTGTGATAGAATCGATGCTTTCCTCGATATGTCAATCGATTCTTTCTTTGGTGACATCAACAATGAATGAGAGACAAGTGATGAGTCTCTTTCAAGATTCACATCTAAATCTTTATTTTAATTTTCTTTTCATCCCACTCACTCAATCGATCAATCCTCGACTTTTCCTCTCTTTCCAATCTCTCGAATTGCTCAAAACCCAAACGAATCGCTTTCTCGAGGGTTTTCTAAACGACTGAATTACTATACAATACTTTTCCCTATACCTTACCTTTCCCTTTACAATTTTCTATAATAATTTTCAGCCTAAATTTCCCACCTGTGTAATGGGCAGCTTTGGCTGTGGTTCCTCGTCAATCCAAACTTTCAAATTCACTTTTGGAATCACCGTCGAATTACACTCAACTTCACAGTTACTAAACAAATAAATTAGATATTTTAAAAGATATTCAGTCTTGATTCAATCGACTTCGACATAGATAAAACTTTTAAACTTCAAACCCCCATAAATCGGGCACAACAAAGAGATGTGGTTGAAGTGAGTGAAGAGAGGAATCCGTATTCTCGCAAATGATCTAAAAGCCAATCTAGATACCCCATTATACCACTATTTCGGCTTAACACATTCGCGACGACGACATTTTTTGCATACAATCGCGCAGTTGTTAACTGTTTCACTGACAATTCACTGATAAAAATAAACTGAACAATTATAGTCATTCGATAGCCCTGAATCTCCTCTTAAAACCTTGTGCAATGTTATCGAGAAATAAATAACAAAAAGCCTTAAAAACTTGAGTTAACACCAAAAATATTTGTGATTAGTACGGCCCACTGGTGGGTTGTCTCGTCGTGAATGTGTTAATGCACTTTCTGATCGCATAACGGGATTCGAAACCCTGCTAAGTTTGTTTCTCGTAATGGAAAAGCACCCCAATCTGTTTTCAATTCGAAATCTTTTCTCATTTACCCTTGCCAATGTCGTCTTTCGGATCTCTTCGAGTTGCTCTTGGGTGAATGAGGTTGGAGTGAAGAAATTCTCGTACCAGAAACGATCGCCGACACGAGTCTAAACAAAATATTCTTTTCGAATTCCAAGCCCTTCCTACTTACGTTGTGAAATTGTCGGGAAAGAATACAGCTGAACGTCGGTCCGAGAAGAGCTCCCTGAAATATTATTAGCAGCCGAAAAACAGCCGGGTTTCTTGTCGCCGTGGCGCAGTCGGAAGGGCGCTTGTCTAGAGCCCCTTCCCCGGGATCGACCCCCGTAGGCACCCAATCCTCATTTTTTTTTGCGAAAAAGGCCGTACAGACGGATGGACGGACACCAAACCTTAATCGCTATCTCAGCCATTCCTCCCACAAACAGATCAACATCGTCAATCGATCGATAGATCTTCTCAAACTCTTCAACTTTCTTCTCATCACCAATCTGAATATTCTTTTCACATTTCCCGACAATCCCACATTCAAACAATTTCCCCGAATTCCCTCCAATCTTTCGGTACAATCAATCCACATGAATGTCTCCATTTGTTGTATGATGGAATCCCGTGATCTCTTCCCATTTGGATTATCCACGAGGCGAGATCGAAACCTGCAAAATCAATATATATTTTTGAAATTCAATAATCAATTCCCTCACCTTCAACCCCCAAAAATCGTTTCCTCAAATCTTCAGCCATTGTCAAACCGGGACGATTCATTTGGCGGCGAGACAAAAAACTGAAATTACCCAATGGGAATCGATTTACGAGGTATTTACGGGCTCTAACCCGCGATAATCAATCACTGATAATTCACTGATAAAAATTAACTAAACTATTATAGTGATTCGATAGCCCTGAATCTTCTCTTAAAAACTTGTGCAATGTTATCGAGAAATAAATAACAAAAATCCTTAAAAACTTGAGTTAACACCAAAAATATTTGTTAAACTGAAATTACCCAATGGGAATCGATTTACGAGGTATTTACGGGCTCTAACCTAATCAATTGTAGCCAAGATATGAGAAAAGGACTTAGATCAGCGCAAATTAGAGAGTCTGCGTGCAGGTACAACAAAACGAACCCCGCCAATCGCTTCCCGAAAACCCCAGGTACACCTTTTGGCTTCATATCTCATCTGAGCAATGTTTACAGAACAAAAGAGGTTTTCTCGTCGCTCGCTCGCTCGTCGTCTGGCGCAGGGCTTTTACAAAAGAGGGATCCTTCCCCTTCCTCGTTTGCAATCTCTCCCGGTTCGGGCTACATTGGCCGTATCCGTTCAACATTCGACGCGACGCAATGCGACTTTAATTCCCGACTCATTTGTCCACTTACCGCATGATCGCTTCAAATCTTCCACGATTCACGAGTTGACTCGGATCCATAAACACTTTTCGAAGTGGATCTTCTCTGCAAATGTTTGATGGGTATTTGAAATAACCTATTCATAACCAAAAGCAGTCCAGTAGCCAGATTGGCCTGGGTTTGCTGTGGGCCAAAAATAGCCGGACCTCTCCTGGCTAGCTCAGTCTGACTTACAGGCTTCAAAATGCACTTAACACCCATTCAACACTAAATCCTAAATGTCCTGCATAGCTTATGCTTTATATCAGATCTCTTATTGCAAATCGGTCGAACCTCAGAACCGAATCATTCTCATCAAGATATTGAATTGTCGGCGGATGCAGCGAATAAAAGAAACCACTCAAAACCGAGACAAACTCGTTCAAAGCGTTCGGATTCACTTCCTGAAATGATTTCAAAATGAAACTGATATCCCCTCAAACCATATCATAATTTGAATCAAATCCCCGATTTCTGAGCGATAATCCATCACGACGAAGAGTCTCTTTTCCAATTAGCATTGGTAACATCTGAATAATGAGATGAAAGAGATAAAGAGGAAAATGAAAGGGCAATCAGACTTCAGAATAAGTGATATGTTGAATTTGAGCGATGATGATTTTCCGCGTTTCCTCGAAGATTCGCTCGTCATTCCAATGTTTATTCACTTCCTGAATCGGTGAGATAATTTGATATTCTGCTTTATAAAGTAACCTTTAACTCTCGAGCAATATTATTATGTTGTCTCATCCACAAAATATAGAGAGCCGACGTTGATGGGAATTGATTGGAACGGGGATGACCGGATTGGAAACAATGCTGAATAGAGGGAAATGGAGTCTAGTTGCATAGTTGACGATCTAGTTGATCACAATCTAATTTGTTAATCCACCGGTAGGCTGTACAAATATCTTAAGTGTTAATTCAAGCTTTTAAAGATAGAACCCTTCCATTAACTACAGTCATTCTTCAGTCTTCAGTCATTACAGTACCAATTATAGCCCATATTATAACCCTAACCCCACACAGTATCTTGACCTCAATTACAGCACTCTTACAATCCTTATAGTACTCAAAAGAGAACTATAGAAGATAGATGATGCGCCTAAAAGAGTTCAATCAAGATCGTCATTGTTAAAAGACACTACTGTTTGTCTTTTTGTTTTTAAGTATCACCGTAATCTTTCAATCTTTCGATTCATTCTCCTAACCTGAACAGAACTTGAACAAGGCGATTGCCCTTCACTATTTGGTGGAAATCCGATCGGTGAGGTGAGCGAAGTGATCAGTGAAAGCTTTCCTAAACCCAATCTCTTCCCTTCGTTCCCCCCACTCCCACCATCTTTCAATGTCCTCAATTTGTTGACTGTATCCACATTTGATCCATAAATATTACTTCCATCAATAAACGATGTCACCTCATTCATTTGTTCACGAGAACCGAGTGAACAATTTGAATGAGGAGAAAGCATGGAACGGGAATAGGGAAGACATTCACCTGGAAAGGTAAATCTTTCAATGTTCAAATAACAATTGACTACCAGATAGCAAAGGTAAGCTTAAGTAGGGAAATATTGAAAGTTAAGAAGGGGCTTTTTTTGAATGGGTTTTAGTGTAGCAGATGCAGTGTGTATATAGCGAAATTTTCAGAGAAATTCATCCAATCAATTTCTAGTTTTTATAGATTTTTACGAAAAACCCGTGTTTTCTCTCGAATTTACTTGAAAGTGAAGTAAAATTGACTTTAAAAGATGGAAATTGTGCAATAAACACTTTTTATTTAGAGTAAACCAAAGACTAATTGATCAATTTGTTATTTTTCAACGGAAAAGGAATGTAAAAACTTTCTGGACAACTTAATAGATTGGCTCAGGCTCAACTCAGTCTTGGCGAAGACTGAGTCTATTTGGATTTGGGATTAGTATTAGATTTAGTATCACACCTATAAGTTTTCAATTGTAATTAGAGTATTGTTTGTAATATCAATTATAGCCCATATTATAACCCTAATCCCACACAGTATCTTGACATCAATTACACTACTCTTATAATCCTTATAGTACTCAAAAAAGCACTATAGAGTATAGATGATGAGCCTAAAAGACTTCAATCAAGATCGTCATTGTTGCAAGACACTACTGTTTGTCTTTTTGTACTACCAACCGTCATTTCCAAGAATTGGGAAACATTCAGGATGAAGTGTCTCATCATTTGAACAACAAGGAAGAGGTATTGGAGATTCGCCTACAAAATGGAGAACATATCTATTGTAGATTTGATTTTTCTCACCTTTAAAATATGATTTCTGAGCGCCCTGGCTGAGAAATGGAATCGATGGAAGTGAGAGATCATCAAGGATGAATAAAGACCACACAGAAACCCAAATTGAACACGAAACATGCACATTTTGAGGTGAAGAGAAGAGGTCAGAGATCTGGAAAAGAGATCTTTCTGTCTGTTGAATCAAGGAGTTCAGTTTTGTTTGAAATTTCAGATCAACAACTTGTATTGATTGAAAACAATGCTGAATAGAGGGAATAGTTTGAGCTTAAATTTCTAAACACACTCTTTCTGGAATTCTATTGTTGACATTCAACTCAAATAGAATTCTTCATTCTCTTGCGGAAACAATCACAAGAGATCACAATATCACAAGAGAATCCAGTGCGCGAGGTGTTTACAACTAAGCACAAAGTACAGCCTTTTGTGCTCACCTATAAACACACCCATTCTGGTGCAGCCATTTTTAATGCTTTTGGAAACATAGGGTTTTAAAAAGAGCAAAATGTCGATAAAGCTACCAGCAGAGGTGACGGCAATCGATCGTTTTGAGTGGATCCTCGTGGTGCAGCGATACCTAGAATGGATACACAATCAATCAACTCTAGCTTCAAATATCCAACAACCCTCACCATCATCATAATCAGCTTTCAGCAATCTCTGCATTTGTTGATTGATCGATCCCCATAACGGCCTCTCCACATTGTTGCATACACCAGAATACGTCCTGTAAGACTTTCAAAAACCCCCAATTTTCCTTGTAAACCTGTATTTTCCCAATTTGCATTCCTCGATGGCTTTCAATGGACAAATCTGCAATAAATCAAGTCTATCTTTTGCCTAAAGCCCCACCTTTTCCAGCGTTGTCCCCTTCAAATCGCTATTCTCGATTTGATCCAATGTTGCTCCTTTACTAAATATCTTTTTTCGAAGATTTTTCTTCTTTTTCTTACCTAGCCAATTTCTGTGAAGCGACTTGGGAAATGAGCGCTGAATAGGAGAAGAATTTCGAGATCTCAGATGGGAATGAGAAACGGAGAAGGGATTGACCAAGACGGTTTTCGACTGAAATTCGGAAGTCATTTATTTCAAAAGTATAGCCAAGCCTTTATTAGCCAAAAGTGGTTCGGTTTTGTTGAAAAGTCTTCGAATTTCTTCGGTCGCCTCGTCGATTGCTGATTGGATTTCAGAGGATTTTAGGGGTTTCGACGTCTGAAAAGAGGATTTTGATGGGATACTGTATTCTTCACGGTATGTTTTTTTGTTAATATTATCATTTTATTTTGTGCATTTGTGCATCTGTTAACACAAATGTTCTCCTAACTCACGAATGGCCTCTCTTCTTCATCTCCTTCATTGTCCAGATCGAATTCGAGTGATCGAAGCGGGACACTGATGTCGGAATTTGAACGAAGATCATCTAGAAATTAGCTAAATAGTTTAAGATTAGTCAAATCAAGAGATAAATCACCGATTAAATCTATTTCTCTAATTATTAGAGTTAGAAAAGAGATAGCTGTAGCTGCAAAGATCTACAGTCTTCCCTGCAAAGATCTAGTCCTGAGGTATGGAATTGTGGCTTTTAGAGTATCTCCAGTTATATACCATTGTCTCAAAGTAGTCAGAACTTTTCTATCAACAAGAAATAGTCTTTGAGTCGAAAAAGCGCAAACCGAGAATCGAATTTGTGATTGCTCCGCGCGCTTTTCTGCCGGGACATGGAGTGAATGAGGGACCGCATGGGAAACTCGTTGATTCAACACAGATAATACAAGTGAAATAGACAAGAATCGGCAATAATATTCTCATTCGATCGTCTGAAATCCTTGATTGAAGCGCTTTCTGTAAGATGGAGAAGCTACCGTAGTCTGGCTGTCGTTTTGAAACTTTGACGTAAGTCCTTTGGAAGACAGTCGTTTCTTGTTGGGTTATTCTTGTGGAAGGTTAGTTTGCCCAAAAGGTAGGTTGATTAGTAACTTAAAATGAACCTTAGAAAACACTCAACGAAAAAGGACTAGCTTTGCTTTAAAATAACCAAATATTTCAAGTAAAATGGAAAAGAAAACAAAGTGGATAATGAGAAGAAGTGAAAGGAGGGAAAATATTGGAAAAAATGGGATATTTAAATGGCATGAAGAAGAATTGAGAAAGGAGGGGGAAACCGGTCAAATGAGAAATCTGAGGGAGGGAAATGAATATGACATCGGAAGAGAAAAGAATATGAATGAGAATGAGAATGCCATGACATTTCATGTACATCCATTCCTTTCCTCTTTCCCGTTTGTCTATAATTGGTTTCCCCCTTCTTTCTCTTCTTTTTTTTCTGTCGTCCAATCGTCTATCTGTAATGCCAATCAAAGTCCCTTTGTTTTTTGAGAAGATTTCCCTTTCTTGAGATTCTTTCCATAACAAGCATGGCGTCATTTGATTGACGTTTTCAATGTGAAGTTACAGTTTTCCAGAAAATGAAGACTCAAAAAGTACTTTAGCTACAGTAGCCACTTTGCGATAGACTCAAACTTACAACTAAGCTTGAATTTATCGCAAAGTACAAGTTGTACAAAATCTTGTCACAAAAAATCCCCCGTTTCCAATTCCTTACTCGGATTTTTTTCATTTCTAAATCCTTCAGAAAACAAATTCTTCTTTATTTTCACTATTGACTCATGTCATTTTTAGTTATCCTCTGAAAAAAGCACGACTCGATATAGATCTTTCTTATTCATTTCCATATCCAATAGTTGGAAAAATCCCTTTTCCCCAATCGGTTTGATCTCCTTTCTCTTGCTTTGCCATAAGAACCCAAAACGTATCCAAATTGGCAAACAGAAAGTGCAGTAGTGTTTATATCCCTAAGTATGAAATTTATTAAAGCTAAACTATCAAAATCGAAAATATTCACAAAAATAACATAAAAACAAACTAAATAAACTAGAAACTAGCTAAGTGGGGCTGCTCTTTGGAATTTCAAACGATGAGGCTCTGGTTTTCCGAGTCGTTCTTGAAGCACTTTTGGCAGATTGATACCACCTTTCTAAAGAAAAACAATTATCGTAAAACAATACAACAAAATACCAACCTGAGTTTGATGTGTTTCCAATACGGTAACAAGTCTTAACCTCTAATTTTGTACAACTTGTACTTTGCGATAAATTCAAGCTTAGTTGTAAGTTTGAGTCTATCGCAAAGTGGCTACTGTAGCTAAAGTACTTTTTGAGTCTTCATTTTCTGGGAAACTGTAACTTCGCATTGAAAACGTCAATCAAATGACGCCATGCTTGTTATGGAAAGAATCTCAAGAAAGGGAAATCTTCTCAAAAAACAAAGGGACTTTGATTGGCATTACAGATAGACGATTGGATGACGGAAAAAAAGAAGAGAAAGAAGGGGGAAACCAATTATAGACAAACGAGGCTAAAGCACCAATAAACCATAATGCAAGTATTCTCGTGAGCCAAAATTGTCATGTGAACAGCATCAACCAAGCAATTCATCTAAAAGAACAAAGTCATGTCGATTGAAACGACATGTATCTGAACAAGCAAATCAATCGCGCGTTCAAATTGTCCACTCAAACAAAGGGCTGAAAAGTAGAGTGGTGCTTCGTTCATTCCATCGGCCATAAAATGAGCTTCTCCTAAAAAAAATTCGGACATAAAGCTAAGGCACCCATAGACCATAATCCAATGCAGTTGTTTTTTGAAGATCCGTATACAAAGCTTCGGTCATCGATGGATCCAAGCGAAGCGGAATCAACTAAAGCCTAATTGAAAGAGGTCCTGTAAAATAAATTGTACTTTCCAATCCAATTTTCCATTGTATCGGCGATCGGCGCTTCGACACCAAGTAAAGCACGGCACATCGATCTAAATTTTTAATACCTTACTGTTTGACTGGCTTTTAGCCCACCGTTGGAAGAGATCCCTGACCGAATTCTGCTCGTGTCTCCATACGACCTTTAGCTTGTCTTTGAGTTCTTTCGTCAATCTAAACATTAATGCATCCAACGCAAAACAAATGATTCATACTTGGACTGCTCTTCAAATGCACAAGAGCCTTGTAAAGAACATTGGTTCGTTGATTAGTCGCAACTTTCTGAAGTCGACAAGCAATTGAGCGTACTAACATATTAAACAATACACCTAAAGCATCACTTGCAGCAGCCAGGTCACCACTTCGGAAGCACGTGTAGATTACTTGCCACACAGGACAATCATCACCGAGACAGCCATCTTCAACGTCAGAAGTGGTATCACAACATCCCTAAATGATGTTAATATTTAATATGCATTGGTTATAAACTAACCTTGATATATGCAGCCGCCAACGCTCGTGTTTCAGGGACCACTCCCCGCCGGGCTCGCTCCAAATTCTGGTCGACACATCTTTGCATATGATCGACGAAACTAAATTGAACCATCAACTTCAACATTCAATCGCCTTCCAACCTCTTGTGTAAATAGTTGGTGGCTCGTGTGATCAGCTCCATGATGATTGGCACGTCTCCCGAAGTACTCGTGTATCGCTTTCCGACCATTGCTGTCATTTGAGCCCACATATCAGCAACCACCGGATCACTGCCTCGTTCAGCATTTGAGAAAGGCCCTAAAACAAATTGATCATACTACTCTTCAAAATCACAACCTTACCATCGTTTACCTCGAGCATTTAGGTATGCTCTCGAACCTCTACCCCTGGCCCCTACTCTATACTTCTAGGTGAGTAAGAAAAGGATAAAAAAATGGACTTTTACTCATACCATTTCTTGTTTTCATTTAATGATTTATTTATATAATTATTTATAGTTCAAAAAAACGAACAACCAAGCAAAAACACAGGAAAAACAAAAACAAGAAACAAAAACTTAACGATCATTAGAGGTTAATACAAAAAAATCATTCACGATCCGAGGTTGATTATTCGTACGGGTAAGTTGAGTTGTAGAGACCTTGAAATAAATACTATTCCTGTTTGATTTTTAACAATCCCAAACTTTAAAGTGAAACATACCAAAAGCTTAAAGCAGCTTAGCAAATCCTCGGTCATTTAATTGCGCTTGGAAATCCTCGATTGTGCTTGGCTGCGATAGATCGACGAAGAGATCCACTCCCGTCAGCTCCACCATTATTGGGGCCCGGCGAGTTTGGCGGCGAGCGGTGAAAAGTGGCGGTACTGCAGCGTGTTGTTGTTGTTCAGAGGTCTAAAAGTCTAACGATCATCGCAGATAATTAAAAGCGCCATTAGAAAAGTATGAAAAATATGAATTAAACCGACCTCCAGCACAATGTCCCGAAAGACATATGTCACTCGACTCTGAGACAAGCTCATCATGCATCCCACATTTGCGCGATTCAGCCCGTATTCTTTGTTGCAGCCAACAGGCAGATTGAAAGAGAACAATCGCTGATTTTGGGTGATTTTGATAGAGCGTGCCCCAACTTGAAACTGTAGAGGTGTATTTCCTTCCTCCCGAAATTTGATGATGACACGACGGGCGTAAATGTTCGACGCCATCTAAAAAGAGAAAATAAACAAAATGATTGAAATTTTGAAATAAGAGATATCAACTTGAAATGTCATGTGATAAGTAAATCTATATCATTTTGCTACCGTTTTTTAGAAAGTTTTCTTTTTCATAAATAGAAAGCTATAAATCTAATAATGCTAAAAAGAATACTAATACATCTAAGATAAAATTAGAACCTTTTGTGAATAACGGAAATAAAGGAAAGTTTTCTCTTTAAATAATCTGTTTGAAATAAAACCTATTAAATATTTACATTGAATAATACCTTGAAATGATCCTTGTATCCGGCTAGTAAACACGCAGTTCGAGCAAAACACTCCTGGTTGACAAATGCAGCTTGGATCTAAACTTTGGAACGTAATACTAATACATCTAAGATAAAATTAGAACCTTTTGTGAATAACGGAAATAAAGGAAAGTTTTCTTTTTGAAAAATTTCGAACACTCAACGGACGAATAATGGACAATTAAAAACTTAGAGACGCTGCCCACAGAATAAAATTCTCTTATAATAGACATATTCTAACATCTGATACTGTTTTCTGAAAACATCCGACTAGAAATGGGTAAATTCTGTCCCGAACCAAGATACGGTCAAAATATTTCAAATCCAGGAACAAAATATCTCATTGTGACAGAACAAAAAAAATCGAGATGAAACTTTGGCAAATGTTTCACATTTATTGAATAACAGGTCAATGAAAAATAAAAACGATCAACGAAAGCATGACAACATAAAAATTGAATCTATTCAACTGGGATCTTGATGTCGCCATTGTTGATGGAGTCGATCACGTCGTGTGGGTGTTGTTCAAATAAGAGTTTGCGCATCAGAACAAAGTATGATGTACCTTCGGCACTTGATGAGCACCATTGACAATCGATCAAAGCTTGAAATCTAAAACAAGGAAAGTTCGAGTTATCTATCTTTTTTAGTTTTTACATGATCTTCATCGAACTTGTGTTATGGCAGCGGTGAGAATGGACTAAGGAGGGTCTCTGATGAGTGATGGAGAAGCTGGCGATCCGACATCTTTAATAAATCAAATCAACAACTCAACCTCCATATTGTTGGAATGGCGCATCTGAGCGTTCAAGTACGGATTTGAAGAAGCCTCCGACGAGAGTGACGGTGAGTAAGGCGATCTAAGACCCTAAACATTGTGAGATTGATCAGAAGTACAATTAAAAAGACCTGAGAATACTTGAACCTTGAAGCATGACTATCCGTAGGTCGATTGCCTGCAAAAACGTCAGAAGATAGCGAAGGCGAGAAGTTGTATCTACTACCCTAAAAGTCGAATAAAATCTAATAAAACACATTTTCCAATCCAACTAACCGTAGTTGAAGCTCTTAAGCTGCTCTTTGAACGACCATTATTGATTGTTGATTGAATACTTGAAGGTGACGAAAACAACTCTAAAACTTGAAAATTTTACATCAAGATTCAGAAAAAACCTGTAATTCTTGCAGGTATTGGCATTCCTGGAAGCTGAAAATTCGAGTGATTGACCATCCCGATTAAACCTTGCATTCCATAGGCTTGCTGTATGGCATTCATCTAAAAGAAAACTTGTAAAGATTCCAAAGATGTTACATACGATCTGTAATTGCTGACGTTGCAAATCGGGCATGGCATCCCCACTAGTGGCAACCGCTGGTGATGAGAAAGAAGCTTGTGCCAAATCAGAGATCTGAAAAAGTCTTTGATGAGAAAGATCACAAAAAAAACTGTTGAAACAGCAAATGGTTGTTTGGCGAGATCCCTTCTTGCGAATAATCAAGGTCCCTACTCAAATTGTCCCTTTGTAGGCAAGCTTTGCAGACGAGAGCGCCCGACTTCTTGTTGTGACTAAACCAGTATGCTTAATTGCTCATTATTGATATTTACTTCATGTATGGCATCCATTTGTGTAAATGGGCGAGGTGATTGAATGTTCATGGCCCCTCCTCCACTTCCAACGTTTTGAATATCACCGTAGCTGTGCCGCCGTTGTCATAACTAAACTTGAAGATTAAAAAACAAACAAAATTAAAAGTTAACACCATAAGATTAGGCGGCAGTTCAGTTCGCGATAGATTCCACTTTTTCGGCAGTTCGCGATAGATTCCACTTTGTTCGAATCCCTCGTTTTGATTGTTGAAAACATTTATCTGCTCCTTAGGATATCCTTGCTTGCTGTCTCTTATGTGTCGTTGTTGTTCCCAAACTAGAGCTACTTACATCAATAAACAACCTAACCTGAGCAGTTAGACTTTGCTTGAGCAAGTTTGCATCTCCCCCTGCTTGTGAATCTTCTGGCCAGAAAGTGTAATCCTTTTCTTCTTTCATTTTCCCCAAAGTCGCTTTATTTGTTGGCCGATTTTGAGCGACATAAATAAAACCTATTAAATATTTACAATGAATAATACCTTGAAATGATCCTTGTATCCGGCTAGTAAATTGACGGCAGTTCGAGCAAAACACTCCTGGTTGACTAATGCAGCTTGGATCTAAACTTTGGAACGTAAACAATCCAAAAGTTCAAAATACTTTGCTAACTACTACATCAGCAAGTCGTTCCTTTAGCTTTTCTTCCGTTGCCTCATTTCCTTGCATAAACAACCGCGTAAACAGCTGCTAATTGCATCGCAAACTAAACCGGAATAATTAATAAACATAATAACTAAACACAACCGCTTTTGCATCTTTTGGATGATTAAACCCAAATCCAAAAGTTCGTTCTCCAGTGTTAAGCGAGATAAATTTCTGGTTGGCACATGCGAATTTCCAATTTGCGCTTAAAGGAAAAACCGGCTAAAACACAAGATCGTTGCAACATTCATAAAAGCAACCATAAATGTGTTCCAGCATATGCAAGCATCCTGTACTGATCCCCTTTTTGTTGATTATCGTAGAAAATGAAGATCGGAATTGCCTCCTGTGTGAGATCGATCCATTCCTTGTTTTCAAGTCGATAGCCAATTCCTTTCACGGCCAATTCCTTTCACAATCGGCAAGTAACTAAATTTAAGCATGTAGAATGAGGAATGTATACGTCGTAGCCGATTATGATTTTCACTAGCGAAGTCATTTGATTCATAATCGGCCACGACATATAGAGAAATGCACGTTTGCAGGCGAAATTTTCGGGAGTGGGACAAATGCGACCTTTTTTTTCGCGCACCCGGACATTTGCGCACCTTTTTTTCCGCACCTTGCCCATTAGCACACCTTTTTTCGCGTTTTAACTCTAAAAAGCGAATATTAACCAAGTTCTATTCCAAATGTTGTTTTTCTAGGTAATTTGAGGGTGTAGAATTCAAATTTTGGCATATCAGAGCTTGTGGAAGCGAACGGACGGAGTTATACAAAGAGAAAGATCGACAATTTTCTGTAATTTGATCTAGCCGTTTTGTCTTTCAAATTGGTTCCACACGCTCTGTTATGTCAAAATTTGAATTCTACACCCTCAAATTACCTAGAAAAACAACTTTTGAAATAGAAATTGGTTAATATTAGCTTTTAGAATTTTGTTTAAAACGCGAAAAAAGGTGCGCGAATGGGCCAGGTGCGGAAAAAAAAGGTGCGCAAATGTCCGGGTGCGCAAAAAAAAAAGGTCGCATTTGTCCCACTCCCAAATTTTCTTTTTTCTCACATCCCGCCCACTCTCTTCCGACTTTATAGCAGGACTTGCTGGCCATTCTCTTACTTTCCATGTAGTCGGTAGCCGTGCAAGGTTTTGAAAATTTGAAATTTTTAGTCATTTCCTCCTAAAAACGTTCAGTTACAGCGCCTGATACGTCAATTGATTTACATCTCCGAAACCTTTAGTTTGCTTTCCTTCTTTGGTCTTGTTTCTTTTTCATCAACTTGTTTTATCTTTCTAATCTGTTGATTTTAGTCATCCTCCTTCACGGTTGGTAGGCGAAATCAAACGGAAGTATGCCACCCAAGTTTGATCCAACTGAGATCAAGATCGTCTACTTGCGTTGTGTAGGCGGAGAAGTCGGAGCCACATCAGCACTCGCACCCAAAGTTGGGCGGCCCCTTGGATTGGTGGGTTCTTTTTTCTTCAAACTTTGATGTTTGTCATAGCATAGGCCGCGTAACTGGTAGATTAGCTCGCTAGAAGGGTTACATCTTTTACATTGTTAATACATGAAACTGGAACTTGACCCAAAACCAACATTTTTCCACGAAAACTTGCACACATGGCTTTTTGACTATGCTGAATCGATTCGGTCTTCTATTGATTTGGAGATCTAGAAGAGAATTGGACTTAGCCTGTTTCCAGTCAGGTCTCTAAGGTGCGGAGCTAAAGCCTAGGAACATATAGGCGTCTAATATAATTTCAAGAAGAATGGAAGGCTGAAGCAATTCAGCATAATCAAAAACCACTGTGTGCCAGTTTTCGTGGAAAAATATTGGTTCTGGGTCAAGTTCCAGACTGCCCCCTTCCCCCCAACTACTCGAGCGTCTTTTTTATAAACTAAATTAATATTTTTTTATTTTAAAGAAAGTCGGAGACGACATTGCGAGACTGGAAGGGATTGAAGGTCACCTGCAAGCTCACCATCTAGAACAGAAACGTCAAGATCGATGTGGTGCCATCGGCTGCGTCTCTCATCATCAAGGAACTCAAGGAGCCACCTCGCGACAGAAAGAAGGTCAAAAACATCAAGCACAACGGCGATCTCATCATCGACACCATTGATGGACAACACCCACACGACGTGATCGACTCTATCAACAATGGCGACATCGAGATCCCAGCTGAATAGATTCAATTTCAATTTCAAGTTCATGGTTTCGTTGCTCGTTTTTGTTTTTCATTGGCCTGTTATTATGTTTTTTCTTTGGTTTTCGCCTTAACTTTCATTCTTTAGTTGCGACGTAATGACACCTCAATTGCGTTTCTCAAAGGATTTTGATTCTTTCACGGTGGAACGGGGTCATTTGGACGTGGTCTATGGCAAAAAGACTTTTCGCCTTGCTTACCCGATCAACGAAGAAAGGAAATTCTCAGTCGGAGCTTTGGGCAACACGAAGCTCTTCTTGCCGGAAATGTTGCTGGAGGTCTCTCTTTTATTTCATACTTCAATTTCAATATAGAGGAGATAATTTATTTAATACTGGGATATAATATCATACGAGAGTAATTATGCTTAAGCTGCAAATCTTTTTCATGATCTAGGTTAAATCAAGATATTTGGGATATAACCTCATTATAAACTTTTAGTGCTACAATCAAGATGTTCCATATGGAATACTTGTAAATGTCGAGGCTGGATTTGAAGATGTGCTGATGTTGGGTCGATTTGTCGAGAAACTTTCAAGTGTTGCTGGCTATCAGCAGGTTCAGTTTTAAATTTTTTTACGAGTGAAAGTTCTTAATTTGTGCTTATTTAATTCGTTGAGTTGAGATTTTAAGTATGGACTTTTACGAGGTTACGAGAATTCAAGAAATCAATTTTAGGTACGTGTTGACGAAGACAATTTATCGGCAAATACGTCATGTGGCTCGGAATACGAGGATGAAATTGACGAGGAAAACGATGACGCCAACCCAGACCTGTTATTCTTATTTCTCGATTTGTAAAATTTAGCCCCCCTTTGCTAGTTCCAAATGTTTTGTTGTGTCTAATTTATCTAATTTGGTCTTTTACGGCTATTTAATATTCTTCAGTTTTAATAATTTGTTTTTTTTTCAGGTCAACTCAATCTGAAGATCTTTGTTGGCAATCTCAGGCAAAAAAGGTCAGTTTATAGATCACCTTTTTTATTATATTGTCATTAGCCGATTAAAACGAGACATTCCGAGGACCTATAAAGTGCACATTTTTTATTTCTTTCCTTTAGATGAGTCGCGATCGTCCAATCTTGATGTTTGTCGAAGGCACGACTCGTCTCTCCTTTTTCTTCGGTGCAGGATATTTCGAGGTCACCCATACGCCAAGCGACACCCTCTATCGATTTGAATATATCCCGGGTGTGAATCGCGAGTATGAAGCACAACCGGAAGACTTCGGCCGCCCAGGAAAGAAAAGATTCACTTATCTCGTGCGTAATGTAATGTTACAGGTCAGGGTTTTCTTCTGCTTGTAGATTTTCTATAGAATAGGAGATCAGATGTTTAAAAGTATAGCTTATGATTGTGATACTTTAGAGTCCGCACAACCCAAACAATGTTCAACGTGTGTTGGAGCTGCGAAATCGCGTGGTGCTTCCTCGTGGCCCGTTTGTGGATCTCGCCGAGGTCGATGTGTTCGTGGATTTGGGCGCTTCTTCGCATGATGTTTTCCACTGTGGCATTGTGCAGGAGAATTTTACGCCAATTTAACAAAGGTCTATTTAAGTTTCATCATTTGATTTTGGTTTAAGTAAAAAAGCTGGAGTGTGATATGTTAGATTCAAATCAACTCCTCGGTTATGAGAGCTTTAAAATTTACGAAAAATGCTGCTATGGTATTAATTTTTTCAAAAAATTTAGTTTCTTCATGGTCAGCTCCATCATTCTTCTTCATGCATCATCTTCCAGACTTCTTCATTCATCATCGTTCAGAAAAATCTCAAAATATCTCAAAAAATAGTTGGCTTGTGTTGTAAATTAAAGTATTTCAATCAAATGTTTGTCTTTCCAAATCACTGTTCACCTGAATAAAATTTTGTTATCTAGGCCGTCAAAGAATTGGATGAGCTATGAATTATGAATATAATGAAGACTAGAAAATGATGTCAATTGTCAATTACTGAATTTTTGCTTGAATCACGAGAATCCTTGAGATGATGTTCTGCGGGAACTTGTAGGCGGTGCTAGCTGCAAACATCACGATTGCTTGACCCAATCTAAAGTAAAACTTTAAGATAGTCTATCTAAAATTTTCACTTTTGACGGGGGAACCCGACCGCGAGACAATTCATTACCGCCAAACACACCGGGAAGCACTGTCGTCACCTAAACATTGAGGTCTTACGAACAGTTTTACTTTTACCAACCTGTCGAGGAGTTAAATGTTCTTGTGAATTAAAAACGTGAACTTGCCCTGGAACAGTTGGAATTAGCCCAGTTCTTCTGGTTATCTAAAAACATTGTAAAGTGCAAAGTAAGAAACACACCTCTAGAGCGCTTTCATAGTCGGCTTGTTGACATTTAATCAGCAGGAATTGATTTGACGGAGGTGTTCCGAGCCAGCGAAAATCTTGTCAGGAAAAAACTTCCTGGTGATGCTCGTGCACAAGTAAATATTTAAGCGGTACCTTTTAATAATTGTTTTTTAGCAAAGCGGTCTGTTTGGGAAACATGGGATCATCTTTGGCGGAGCTCCAAACATTTCACAAGCTGCTGCCGTGGAAAAAGTCGTGGTACCCGATGGTAAGAATAACTTGCTAAGATCCGGTTATCAATAATTCTGTTTAGACGAAAAGGCGATAAATGACTTAACAGATCGAGTGCGTCTTGAAGCTGAGCGGGCTTTTTTCAATCAGGTATGTTGAATTATATAAATAAATCTTTAAGTTCCGGGTGCTTCTCAACCGGTCCCATCCATCATTTCATAGTGTTCGTCCTGAATCGGCAATTTGGGTTGTCTTTAGCGTCATAAACTATTCTGTTTAGAGTTTTGGAACAAATCTACCTTCTACCCCTATGCGACCACTACCTGCTTCTGTGACGGGTCCTCGACTTGGTGATCGACGGGCAGCCATCTTTGGCGATCGTTTGCGAAGTTATTTGCGAAGCGATAAAAGAAAGGTTGTGATTTTGAAGAGTAGTATGATCAATTTGTTTTAGGGCCTTTCTCAATTGCTGAACGAGGCAGTGATCCGGTGGTTGCTGATATGTGGGCTCAAATGACAGCAATGGTCGGAAAGCGATACACGAGTACTTCGGGAGACGTGCCAATCATCATGGAGCTGATCACACGAGCCACCAACTATTTACACAAGAGGTTGGAAGGCGGTTGAATGTTGAAGTTGATGGTTCAATTTAGTGATTCCGCTTCGCCTGGATCCATCGAGGACCGAAGCTTTGTACACGGATCTTCAAAAAACAACTGCATTGGATTATGGTCTATGGGTGCCTTAGCTTTATGTCCGAATTTTTTTTTAGGAGAAGCTCATTTTATGGCCGATGGAATGAACGAAGCACCACTCTACTTTTCAGCCCTTTGTTTGAGTGGACAATTTGAACACGCGATTGATTTGCTTGTTCAGATACATGTCGTTTCAATCGACATGACTTTGTTCTTTTAGATGAATTGCTTGGTTGATGCTGTTCACATGACAATCTTGGCTCACGAGAATACTTGCATTATGGTTTATTGGTGCTTTAGCCTCGTTTGTCTATAATTGGTTTCCCCCTTCTTTCTCTTCTTTTTTTCCGTCATCCAATCGTCTATCTGTAATGCCAATCAAAGTCCCTTTGTTTTTTGAGAAGATTTCCCTTTCTTGAGATTCTTTCCATAACAAGCATGGCGTCATTTGATTGACGTTTTCAATGCGAAGTTACAGTTTCCCAGAAAATGAAGACTCAAAAAGTACTTTAGCTACAGTGGCCACTTTGCGATAGACTCAAACTTACAACTAAGCTTGAATTTATCGCAAAGTACAAGTTGTACAAAATCTTGTCACAAAAAATCCCCCGTTTCCAATTCCTTACTCGGATTTTTTTCATTTCTAAATCCTTCAGAAAACAAATTCTTTTTTATTTTCACTATTGACTCATGTCATTTTTAGTTATCCTCTGAAGCACGACTCGGTATAGATCTTTCTTATTCATTTCCATAGCCAATAGTTGGAAAAACCCCTTTTCCCCAATCGGTTTGATCTCCTTTCTCTTGCTTTGCCATAAGAACCCAAAACGTATGCAAATTGGCAAACAGAAAGTGCAGTAGTGTTTATATCCCTAAGTATGAAATTTATTAAAGCTAAACTATCAAAATCGAAAATATTCACAAAAATAACATAAAACAAACTAGAAATTAGCTAAGTGGGGCTGCTCTTTGGAATTTCAAACGATGAGGCTCTGGTTTTCCGAGTCGTTCTTGAAGCACTTTTGGCAGATTGATACCACCTTTCTAAAGAAAAACAATTATCGTAAAACAATACAACAAACCAACCTGAGTTTGATGTGTTTCCAATACGGTAATAAGTGCTCGTGTTGATGCAATCGCTGTTCCATTACACGTGTGAACGGGTAGTAGTTCACCCTTTTCCGTAATATATTGAATGTCTAAAGAAACTTTTGTAAAAATACCAACTTTTGAAAACTCACTTAGCCGTCTCGCTTGATAGTCGGTACAATTGCTTGCCGATGAAACCTAGAACGTCAGTTTTATCTAGTCGTGTCCCCAAAATCACCTCTCCCCAAAGTTCACGTCCGGGCATCCACGCTTCAATATCGAACTTCTGATGGGCTGATGCACCAAGCTCTTCCGTGGACATGTTTTTCAACCTGAATAAGAAAAGGATTGGTATTTAAGTTTTAAATCAGGTTAAACCTCGCATGAATTTCAAGTCCTTTGAATATGTTCTTTTGGATATCGACGAGACGTTTCAACTGCTTTTCACTTTGTTCCGGAGTGCACACAACAAACATCTCTACCTGAAGAGTCGAAATAATTTATAACACAAAGTTAAATGCACCTTGTAAAACTCATGAACTCGATAAAGTTTTGCTTCAGCGGCAGACCGGCTAATCTCAGGACGAAAGCATCGAGATTGAGACACGAGCCGCAAAGGAAGCTCAGATTTTCTAAAACCCAAAAACTTTGTATAACAAAGGAAAACTCAACTTGAACTTTCTGTTTTGTAACATTGCTGCAATTCCCATTTCGGCTGTCCCAGAAAGAGCTGTATCTGGTTCGTCGGTCAATAAGTACTAAACTTGATAGGTTAGCAACAAAACTACTGATAATCAAATTACCTGAATTGCATGTGCGCCTTCCTTTTGCTGTACACCGCAAGCTCTCGTCACTTGTGTTGGAACCAAATCCGAGACGATCACCGGAGCGAAACCGTTTTCTAGGACCTAAAAACAATTAATCGATTAGATGATAGAATGATAGATAGTCGATGATAGAATTTCGATTAATCAGTAATTAGAATCATAAAAATAACCCTATCATATGCGTATTCGAGGAGAGCTTTCTCAAGACGTGCTAATGAATCTAAAAAACAAACGCTGATAATTGAGTCATTAAGAGACAAACCCATGAGAAAATAGCTTCGTTCACCACAAGCATCCGATGAATACAACAAAGTTCTCCATGCTTGTACGAGTCGTTCCATCAGTTTCGGCTTTTTTAGTGAGCTCTTTTCGCCCCATTCTTCGACGATTTCACAATTTGATTCGTCACCTAATGGTGCTGTTGGATGAGATGTGTTTGGGATGTTTAACGCCTCCTCATAAAGCTAGAATTTAATATTGTTTTTAGACCATAAAACTGCTCAAACTTTATCCCATAGCTTCTGAAATTGCTCTTCCGTTATCGGTTCTTTTTTCTCGACATCCTGCGTCAGTGATTCTATTCTTTTCCATGTAGAATACAGCACATCAATGTCGCCGACGCCCTTTCTCGATCTAAAAAGTTAATTTTCACAAAGAGAGTTCTTTCATTACTTAATATTCTGCTCAATCTCTTGCTTTAAGTCCGGATTTAGAAGGTAGTCGAAGTCCAAATTTGGTCTAAACATTTAAAATTTTAATAAGCAGCAAAGTTAAATAAAGAAAAAGCTAAACTACAGTAAAATACTCAAAAATTGTACCTTAAAGATGAAAAATGGCACCGAGCTTGGGATATTCGACGTATCAATTGTAACTTTTTCATGTTTCTAAAGTAGAACTCCCAGATGGGTTGCGTTATAATTGCTTTGAAATAACTTGTGCAAATAATAGTGCATTTTGTTTCTGACTTCAAAAAAGGTAAAATTTATTAATGACTACTAATTGAGATCACAAATCAGTGCAAACAAAAACGGACAATAAGTGAAGGCTTAACATGATCAAAATATAATTTCTAACAAAACAATAAATTTCGAAACGTGGGAAGAAATTGCCAAAGAGTCTAAAATCATAATAGATACACAGAACACCGGTTATGATCTGACCCAAGAAAACAACACTGAGAAAGTTTAGAAGTATGAAAAATATACCGTAACCGTAAGTGTGATAAAATAAATCCCTACACAAGCTACTACGTAAGAGATTTTTTATTTCTTCGCTTGTTCAGATGCCATCTTGTGATTGGCTTGATCAAGCATCAAAAAACATTGATCGAACTAAATTTTATAAGTCATAAAATAATCAAATTCAAAATTACATGATGTTCTCCAAACTTTTTAACTGCATGAGCAAGTTGATCTTTCCGATATTTGGCAAGAGTCTCTACCATTCGTTCCAACTAAAAACGATAAATGACAATAACTACCCATTAAACAAACTTTAGTTTCTAGCTCAGGAGTGGTCGCGGGGAAGCAGGTCCAGAAATGTTTGAGCAACTCGGCAACGGCATCATGAATCGCTCGAACTTCAACCATTTGTGATGGAGCCAACGTGAAACCAACACCATTTCCATTAGTCTTCGAACCGTTTTGCTCCTTAATTCAAAAATTGAGTGAACACGAAAAATTAAAACTTCCAAATCGTTTGACATGTGTCGACCCATCTGCATCCAATCAAAGCCACCAAGAATTGCCTATAAGATAGAAATAAATCTTGAAATTTTGAAAAACAAACGTCATCGTTGGAAGTATCCAAAAATCGCTTTATTGCCATTCGTCTTTGCGCTGCAACTGCAGGGTCCAAAGAATTGCTGCTAGCCAAAATATTTGTTGCCACTTTGATCTGTAAAACATTGTAAAGGAAAAAAAGGTAACTAATTGTACCGGTTGAGAGATAGCCAATTCTATTTCTGAATCAAGTTCTTCTGATTCTAATCGTCGTTCCACTTGATCGACTCCTCTCTAAACAAGAAAGTAAGTGAGTTTTCGAAAAAAACTGATATACATTCAAAGAAGCAAATCCGGAAGCTTGTTGAGTGAGTGTTTCTTTTGAATCACTCGAAGTAGATGGCTGTGAGAAACTTGAGTCCGTATTTGCCTTGAAGGAAGCAAGAATTCGCTCCGAAAGATAATTACATCTCCTCATCAATTGTTGCTTTTCGCCAACTTCATCATTTTTCTGTAACTTTTACATTTTAAAGTAGAAAACCAAAACTAACCTTTCCGTCAATCATTAAATTATCCGATAAATAGTTAAGATCAAAATTTGCCCTAGCGACGCCCAAATTTGTGAGTTTCTCGATTTCTGCCTCGTCTTGTCGAACACACTCGGAAAAAGGATCGTTTGGATTTGGTAAAACCTGAATCAAGGAGAATTAAACAAAAAAAACTGAATTTAACCTCTCGTTGCCGATAATAGTAGTGAGATTGGAAGAATTTTGTCCAGAATTCGGGCTCGGTCATCTCATGAGGTACTAATTCGATGTGTTTTCGCTCAACTAAAATAAATAAATTTGAAAAAATTAGCAAAAATCATACCAATTGGGTAAGTATTGAAGATAGCTTGAATAGTCTCGGTATTCAGATTCAATTTCACTCCATTAACGCCATCATTTTGAGCGATTGTCGACAAAAAGCCACCCGAAACGCCGACTTGTTCTTCTGATTGACCACTCTGAATAAGGACACGATTCTTATGCTTACACAAATGTTTCTATGCTCCTAAAGTTGACCTAGCCCACTTTTGGTACAAGAGTATGAGGACCAGATCACAAAAGATTGGCTTGACTCTTGCTTATGAAGTAGGGCCGATGTATAACGTAGAAATACATCACACATCTTTAGTCATTCCATTAAAATATCACTCAATTTTGCTAGTTGCAAAACTAAAAAATAGTTACCTACCGTTTTATAATAATCTGTCCAAAAATCTTGAGGATTGATCAGTTTTGTGGAGACAAGATGCTTGTAGAGCTGCTCTAATCTAAATTTATTGTTAAACAACTAATAACCTTTATGAAATAACTGCTTGTTTTGCATCAACATCTTCTGTTTGGCCTCGAGTTCTGCTGTCTTGGCGCCCGTCTCGTTTTTGGAGGCCAACTAAAGATGTAAGTTTAAGCATTTTTAAGCTTATTAGTTCATACCTGGGCTACGCGTGTTCGATGTGCGACCAATGATTGTTGAAGAGTTTCTTTAAAAAGATCTCGCTCCTTGATCAAAGCCTCTTTGTCAAAGCCGGGATGGAGAAAAACGAAAGTTGCTTGATCATCGTTTTGCAGGCAAAGTTGGAGTTGAACTTTTGTTTTGTTTGGAGGCGAAACCCGTTGGCCTAAAACCAAAATTCTCAACCAAAAAGATTTTTTAATGACCTTTTATTTGTACAAATGGGAATCTTGCGACATCATTAGAAGCATCATCTTTCCATTCTACGTGCTCACTAAAAACACTATGAATAAAGAATTTGTCTAAAACTAAAACCTGTATACACGAAGGACCCCGATTGGAGATCTACCGGCCGCGCTATTTCGATACTTGACGTGTGGATTCTCGAGGATCAAGTCTCCAAGCGAGTGACCATTATCCATAACCCTCTAAACAAGTCTGATTTGGAACTGTCGATCTATGTGGTTATGCAGGTAATTTGTGAATGAGCCTCAAACTTCATTAAACAAAAAAAAACACGATTTCAATAAATATTTATCCCAGAATTTCTCAAAATAAAATGTAACAACAATTAAATAACCAATAACATAATTTAAAATAACCCGTTTATATTTGAAAATTGATCATAAAATTTAAAAAAAACCAAGTCATAAAATTAATACATAGTCACTAGCTTTCGAAGTAAGATTAAATCGTCCATTATTTGGTATCGATTCGTTCCGAGTTTCCGTGCGAGATCCTTTAATTTATGTAATAATTCATAGACATATACAAATAAAAATACCTTTTTCTCTTGCGCACAAAGATGCATGAATTGTGAAATAAAGTCGAGATCGATTAATGCTCGTTCACCCAATTCAGGAGCGGGACGAGCTGACTTTGCGCCTACTGGATGAAGACCGCCAGCACAAGGGATTTCTTCTTGCTAAATTTACGAAATTTTTCATTCAAAATCAAAAGAACCATAATTTGCGCCAAAAAGTTGAGTCTTCGCCAGTTTTTCTCTTTGATCGGCCTCAAAAATCCAAATGATCCATCAAGTGAGCCGTAAAATGCGGTTTGTGTTGATTGTGTGGCACGAATATCGTTAGTAGATGTAGGTGGTAGAATGAGAGAGGAATGAGCTAAAAAGAACAATCGTTTAAAATCAAATTGTAAAAGCACCTTTTACTCGCACCCAACAATTAATCACTGTTCCCGCGTTCAGATGTGCTCGAACGGGCATCTTTTCGACTAAACCTTCTTCGTTATCGCATTCGAATAAGAAAACATTTCCCGATTCATCACTAAACACTTTTAAATCAAGCGAAATATTTAAAAACGTACCTCATGACAACTGAAGCATGTTTTCCGTCAACCATAAATGTTGAAGTCATCGGTGGAACTGCATCTTTACGAATATCGCGGCACATCACCGATAAGGCTTTAAATCGTTCCTAAATTATCGAATTTAACACAACAAAATTCCCCGTCAAACTTGATATCGCAATAAGTGAACAGAAGCATAAACATCGCACGCTATCACAAGATTCCTGAATCTAGTATAAAAAAGTGGTGCGTATTAGAGAAACCTCAAAGAGTAAAGATGGTGAATGTAGTAATCAAGATCGAGAAATGCCAGCCCATTCAGTTGATTATCGCGAAACTGCCATATGAAAACCTGAAACATACATTAATCGTCATTAAATAAAAAGTGCAACCTTCTGACCCATTCCGGTAAATAAAAATCCATTGCTACTGCACATACTCGTCACAGGTCCCTTTTGTTCTTTATCGTATAAAATCTAAAAATATTATTTAGCAGCTTGAATGTATTAACTAACCTTCATTTTTCTGTTTGATGTAGGCATTCCAGGTTCTGGTACCACTTCGATTACTTCAATCAAAAGTAACCTTCCACGAACCAAAACCTAAGCAAAAGATTCTTATTTGTCCACTTAAGAGCAAACCTCTTCGCCGTAATTACAAATAGTTCCAACGGCAATGTAGTTCTCAAAGCCAGTAATCGTAGATTCGGATCGTAGGACAACTTCTTCGCAACAAGCCACAACCTAAATATCTTTTTAGTTTATTGAGCTCGATCAACTTTACCTCCATTTCTTCCATTTTGATTTCAGCGTTTGGTACCGGTTTCCAGTCTTCGGGGGATATGAGCTAAAGTCTTCGGATACTTTTTATTAAAAATCTCTAACCGTAAGTGTGTATTCTTCTACTTCTGGACATACAAAGGTGCTTGGCTAAAAGAAATAATTATTAAAGATCTTTAAATACTTTAAACCTTTTCTCGAGTCTCAATGGTTCGTTCCTCATTGACCACCACACAAATTCGATTAGATCTGTGAGATTTAGAATGAACCAAGGTATATACCTAAATTTATGTTATAAAGAATTAGCAATATTCCATTGTCTTACTTGTGATTGAAAAAGATAGCGAACGAAATGTGGAGTACAGTTGAGAGGAACTTTACACACAGGATATGAAGACTCGTACGAGAATTCCGGCTAAAAAATATATTTCATTCAAAGATGATTACCATACCGGTAATTTTGATATTCTCATCGATTGATCACCTTCAGTCAGATAAAGAAATCCCATTGGGTTGTTGCAATTGTTAAACGGTGTCATCCCACTAAAAACTGACATAAATGGCTGAAATGTAATGAGTTACCGAATTCCACCATCGATTGTCATTGGATGGCTAATTAGCCCATTTGATGGAGAAACGAGAAAAAGATAAGGACACGGCCCAGAGATGTAAAGGCCATGCATCTAAAGAATCTACCAAAGATCGAAAACTTTTTATTAAACCCACGACATTGCCAACTCGATCAAATGGATGAAACGTTTGCTTGTGCTTGTTTTCTGTACTTCTCTAAACTCGTATAAATTAGCTATTAAAAACGGATGCGTACTTGCAATTCATTCCGCTTGCCATCAAATCCCATGTAAGATGAAGTACGCACAAAAACGGTTTGTGGTAAACGACGAAAACGAATGGAAAGATGCCCTAGAAAGAATGAACCAATGTTGTAAGGATTTTAAGTACCTGGAACCGAATTCTTGTGCTTATAGAGTTCGTAGGTGATCACTGAATCATCAACAAGTACGAAGAGAATCGGACGCCCCTATTTTAAAACATTTCTTGAAAGTAAAAAACAATATTTACTTGGTTAAAGCACATTCCGGTCAAGCAAATCTCGGCCACTCGTTCTTCAGCTCGTTGTATGGGATTTGGGGTCCTGCCGACAGCAGCTTCACCATTTTGATCTAGGTTTTCCTAGAAATGCAAGCCAAAGATTCTCTAACCTCCGTTTTGATTTGTTTGTTCATCACGTTCTTCCAAAGGTTCATCAATAAGAATCGGTAATTGAGTTCCCAGTTGGTGGCACTAACAACTTGGACTATAAACAAAATTCAGTCAAATCAAAACCTCAAACACAATTTTCATGGATGGCAATTCATGAATCGACAGTGTTCCATCATCTCGTGCCACAAGTAACCAATATGTTGGCTCAATTGTATTTGGATCGATTGCATCCGATTCTTCTCCTAAACTTGAGGGTAAAGGCGAATTGCAAAAATAGAAAGTTACCTCCTCTCGCCGCTTGAACTTCTCCGTGCCTTCGTTTCTTTCGGGAAAATGTTGCTTCGCCTGAAAAAGAAACAAAACCTTATCACTAAGACTAGTTACCTTTCTTTCCCCTGTTTTTATTTGAGGAAATTCCATACAGTAGTCGCTCAGTCTCATCCATGTCCCCATAAATTTCATCAATTTCATCAACCATCTCAACGTCAGCATTTGGTCTTCGTTCTTTTGACGTCTTCTTCTGTCCAATATCCTCATCGATTGTCTAAGACAACTTTAACGGACGTTCTTTAAGAAGTCATACCATTAATCCGGATAAATCACGATATATTGACATCGCTGTCACTTTTCCTTTGCCCGTGACTTTTTTAAAAGCCTCTTTTAGATCAATTGGCTAAAATTACATTTACGCAATATCGAATTAATAAAATACTTTTAAAAACGCGGTGCCACCTTCCATTTCCAGAAAATAAAGCAAGAGACGTCCATTTTGCGTCAAAAGCGAAACCCAAGGGTCCGAAATACAGGCAGAGATCACCTGAAATTTGAGTCAAACTTTTTCAAACATTTTTTCACCGGGTGCATCGACTCAATCTCGACAAGTTGTACTTGGGTATCTTCGGCAACCATCGTTATGCTTAAGGAAGTCACCTAAATAAAATTCCATGGAGGCTTTTTGTTTTCAAACTGACTTGCACGGCAATAGCTCCATCCGCCAATTCACCTGCAGCAATTGTTGGCTCAGCTGTGATAAATAACGGTTCTTCGAGTTCAATCTACGTCGATTTTTTAAATTGCATCAAGAATAGGGATACCATCTGTTCTCCTCGAAGCTCTAAAACCAAAGTTGCCCGTGAACGTCCAACAACTACATATTTATGCGAGTCGTCTTCACATCTTCCAACGGCCCACAATTGTTGTGCGCCTTCTATGCTAAAAGCCAAATATCTAGCAATCAATAGAGAAATTGTTTACCATGTACTTGTGGAAACATCCGGTCGTAAAGTTCGTTGAAAAACACACAGTGCTCCGTCTTTTCCATGTCCAGTAGCAGCCACCAAATCAGTCACAGCATCTGGCCGCCAACCGTCAAAAACATCCGCAAGTTTACCAGGCAATCCTAAATTATAAGAGCGGTTATCATATCAAAAAATGTACCCGTAGTCATGCATCGAATGGGAGCCACGTTTAATAATCGATCAAGCTCCACTAATTCCGTGATTTGTTCTTTAACCAAGGAGGATGTAGCCTAAATTTTTGCTACAATCATAATCGTTAGGTTGCACGTTTTACCGGAGTGGCTGCATGCGATTCACCATAAAGTTCCAAATCATCCTCATCCATTGGAGCATCCTCTTCTTTTACAACTTGTAACGCATGAACACTACCCTAGAACTTGAAAGTTTTGAGATAAAAGCCTGTAAATACCTGGATGACTTCTTTGACCGTATATTGGAAGAGTTGTGAATCGCCAAGTCGAGAGCCCACAAATAAATGTCCCCGAGCGCAGACGGTCATACAAAAAGGCAACGAGCACTCTATAAATTAACATAGCATCAGAAAATTTGAAAAAATTTACCAGCTATCTTTGAAATCGAAATTGATTTTGCTGCATAAGAAGAGTCCGTCACAACCACAACAGAATAGATCTAAAAAGTTGTTTTTTTTATAGTTGTCGACTTAACACTACTATGATAAATATAAAAATCACCTCGCCATCTTTAGTTGCTACAAGAAATTGCGAATCTCCAATATAAACTGTTTGAGATCCATCAAATGCGATCGATAAATGTTTCATATCCTATAGAATATTTGTAAAAAAAGTTATAACAGAAGAAACCTTTAATGGAAACTTTGAATACCCTCCATCAAAACAAGAGTTGACAGCAATACCACAAGGTGGTGCAGCTTGACTCAAGTAAACCTACAGAAAAACGGATTTAATTGATTAATATGTTTACTTACAATTTCATTTGCACCAACAACGAGAGCGCCTCCAAGTGGCTTTGGAACCGAATAAATCCTAAGGTTTTATTACGAGAAGTTACAAATTCAAAAAGTTTACCTATCAATATCAAGTGGCAAACTGGTTTGACTCCACACAACGGCCATTTGTTTGTCGAAAACATTGATAGATACAGCCATTGTGCACATCGTATCGTTACGAATACAAGCCCTAAAAATTAGTTAATTAGTTAGATAAAAAACATTTTCAGCTAATCAGTATCGAATGATACTCTGTTTGACAAGTTACTTGGATAACTTAAAAATCAGTCTTACCGTCCCGCCGTCGTTTGAAGTGGTTCATACAAAAACATAATTGTTGGCTCATAATATCCATCCAAAAAGACCATATCAATCACGTTTTCCAATCGTGAGTCAATACTTGTTAGCGGGGTCTAAAAAAACTTTTAAAGCAGTAAAACTATCAAAGTTACCACATAGCTGTGAACAAATTCGCGTCCTTCTTGAAAAGGAAGAATCGCCAAATGTTTGGCATAAACGAGCATCGCAGCGCATCGCGAGTTGACATCAGTCTAATTTTTAGGCTATTTTTTCAAAATCAATAGAACTTACTCGAACAATCGGAGGTGGAAAATTCTTTGTGAATCCTCCACGAAGAGTTTCAGTCTCAAATGAATGCAAGGAGACGGAGATAAGTTGATTGCTTTCGGCATGAATCGCTACAATTGATAGTTTTCCATCATCAAAGGCCAATAACATTGAGTCCACATCGGGATATTCTGAAGTAAAAGATGAAACAATAAAATAAAGATATTTTACTCACGTGGTATTCTGGCAACAGCTAATGACTGTATTCTGGAGAGGAATTTATTCGAGAAGACGCATTCCAATTTTGTTCTTTGTATCCATTCCACATTGTCGTTTTTCGGCGGAACAAGCGCATATGGATTTACTCGAAATAGTCTCAACAAGCGACCGCTCACCGTCAACAATTGTCGTCCTAAACGTAACAGATAAGAACGTATAGCACAAGATAAATAAATATTTCATATTTTTTCCATAAAACAAGTTGTTTCCTTTAGAAAATAAAATTCCTCACCTTCACCATGTAGAAATTTCCCATAGGTGCAAATGTTGATTGCTGTTGGGTCATCAGTTTCCTTGTATACAGAAAACATGAAGCCTAAAAAAGTGATTTTGATGGAAATTCAGAAATGATAACAAAATAAAAGAAATTTTCAACACAGAACATTGCAAAGATTCAAAACCCGTGTCAAAATTTACACAATTATTATTTCTGGGAACTTTATGGGTGGTTCCGGGGACTCTTCACATTCAAAACATCTAGTTGATACGAAAGTGAACGTGCAAAGGGTGTAGACGAAGCAGAGCCGTGCACTCTCCTCTTTTCTCTCACCCAGTAATGTCTCCTCCCCCATTCTTTTTTCTCTTGCGATCTTGTCAGGGGGCACCTCACCCCCAATCCAACCCATCAACATTGTTTTGTGTTCGTTTGTTTTTGTCAACAAATTCATGGTTTCAAGGATTTTTTTGCACAAGCCTAAATTTCTTTGGAGCACGAACTGTGCGATGGTTTTTAATCGTACTTTCCAAATTTCCATCAACTTAACTGAATATTTTTAAATGTGCATACAAATTATATTTTTAATTGTATACTTTGCGCTCGTTCGAAAGTTCAACTTTTAAACTATTGCATTGCTACCGAACTTGATATCAAATCCAAAAAATTTTAGGTATAGATGAGGCAGCTGCCGGAAGAGGTGCAAAATGTTCTACGGAAATTCTCGATAGATCTACAGAAGTTGGAGGATATCAGCGGTAAAATCGAGCAACAGATGCGGGTGAGTGAGCACAAATCGACATTAGCTGAAAGCATGATGGATATCAAATAAAACTTTTGAAATCTTGCCAAATTTAGGAAGGCTTGGCTGGAAAGGGCAATTCATCAATTGCCATGTTACCGTCGTTTGTCCCGGCTCTACCCGATGGTACAGGTAATCAAGAAGATTCTAACTAGTAAGACATCAGCTTATGGAGTTAACAACAAAATTCCAGAAGTTGGGAAATACGTAGCTATCGATTTGTCGGGGAAAAACTTGAGGATAATGTTGCTGACATTGAATGGAGCGGGGAAAGATCCGAATGCCGTCAACAACAATTATATTATGCCAAATCATGTGATGAAAGGCACCGGTGATCAGGTGAGAAAGTAAGAAAAAGGAAATTAGGTATCGACGGAATTTCAGCTTTTCACATTCATCGTCAATTGTCTTCAACGTTTCCTCCAAGAGTTTGGCCTTGTTGACGCGAATTTGCCGATTGGGTAATTGAGATTTAAACTGTTTCAAATTCAAAGAGTTTCTAGTTTTGTTTTCTCCTATCCATGTGAGCTTCTCTCAATCAGATCGGCTCGTTTATTATGGTGGACAAAGGGTTTCGATATTAAGGATTGTCTGCAAAAAGATGTTGTTGCTCTGTTGGAAGAGGCTTTGGAAATGAATATGGTGGGGAAACAGATAAACTTGGATCCAAAGTTGAATGAGTGTTTTGCCAACAATACCCCATTCAGTCAACGAAAGCACAAATCAAAGCGGTGATGAATGATACTGTGGGACAATTGGCTGCAGCCGCTCACAAATATGGACCCGAATGTACAATTGGAGTCGTTATTGGTTACGGGTACAAAGATCGAAAGCTTCAAGAATATATATAAAGCTTTTAGTTGTAACTCTTCTTATCTTGAAAAGACGTCAAACATTGGAAAATTCGATGCAACCGCCAGTGGGTATCCGCACCAAAACATGGTAGTTGTGACAGAATGGGAAGAATTCGGATCAAATGTAAAGATTTATTGATGAAACTTTTGAATATGAAGATTTTAGGGAGAACTCCAAGACATTTTGACGCAATTCGATCTCGAGATCGACGAGGCTTCGGTGCATCGAGGAAAACAAATGTAAAGCACAGCGCATAACTGACCAAAGAATAATTTCAGAATTGACAAATTGACGGGTGCTCTGTATTTGGGTGAATTGGTGCGAAGGGTTCTTTCACAATTGTGTTTGGATGTAAAGTTTAGAAAAGAAGCCCCGTTAGAAATCTCTTTCAGGGACATCTCTTCGATGCACAACAATGTGAACGACTCGAGCTTGTCGACTCGTTTCCAACAAAATACATCTTGGAAATTCTTGGGTATGTTCTCCAAATGACAAATACCAACAAATACTAACGTTTGTCTGACAAATACCAACACTTTGAGAAATTTGTGTCTCTTTATCTGTCGTTACACTTTCAAAGTGTTCCTTAAGCTCTAGTTGAATAACTTTTAATTTGGTGGGAAAATTCAAACAAATGGTGCAGCTATGAAAGCTACGAAGCCCCGCGCAGATTTTTCATAGCTGCCCCTTTTTTTTTAATTCCCCACGAAACTAGAAGATAGTGGGCAAGGGGACACTTTGAAAGTATGTCATAAGCAATGAATGAAATTCCAGAGAGGAAGAGGGAAGTTATCGAGTCTGTCGCCGTGTCTGTGATGAATTAGAAGTGCCATCGCATGGATCGGGTGACTATGCAATTATTCGAGAAGTCGCTCAAGCTGTTAGTCAGCGAAGCGCCGCCATCGTTGCTTCGGGTAGGGAATTGCATAAAAACATCTTCATTTCTCACGTGTTACAGTTGAATTCTTTAACCAAATAACTGTCAATTATCGTCATTCTCGATTTGTATCCCATTTTCAGCTATCTCCGCATTGCTTCGTATGGTGAATGCTCAACAAGTGCAAATTGGCGTTGGCGGTGCTCTCATTCAGTTCCATCCAACTTATCACGCTCAGCTCGAGGAATGTCTCCAAGCATTGGCTCCGAAAAGTTGCGAGGTGCGAGTCTACACTAATCCTCAACACCCTTTTGTAACTAGATCGTATACAGAAAAAAATTCAGTGGAAACTCGTCGCCGCCGATGAGGGGAGTGCCAAAGGTGCCGCAATGATTGCTGCCGTTGCCGAGAAATTAAAGCTCTAACCAAATAAACTCTCAATTCTCAATAATGCCTTTATTCTTCTAACAAAACTATAGGATTTTATACTTCTCAAGTGCAAAAAGAACGAGATAGTTAGACTCGATTAGTCATTCATCGATCCCCATCACTAAAGAATAGAACTGTCACTGTTTACGGAGATTCTCTTGTGTTACGATTGCCTAAATATATACCTAGTTGTACGCATTTAATTCCACTTCCGTTTTTAGCATGGAAGAACTAATTATAAACTAAGTTGTTATGCTAGTAAGCATAAATGTGTTTGTTTTTTCTGGTATACCACAAATGTTGGTGGGTTCCATATTTTGTGCCAAGGCTTTTAAATCAAGTCTTCTGATTACGCTTGTACTGTAATTGATTAATAATAAACAATTTATGGAAATGCTCCAGTTTTATTCCTAAAGTACAAAAAACACTAGATACGTTTAAATGAGATGCTCACTTTTGTTCAACACAACAGGGTGACGGATGGGAATTTGACAAGATAAAGCTCGGAATACGGGATGTTAATCGAGAGTAGCGACAAGTAGCATAGACTAGGACTAACAGAAGCAATCTATATAGCTTGATCCTTACTTGCTTAAGCTGCTCAACCAATCCTGCTTTGCTGAACGCGTAGATTCTAGCGACTACCTAGGCATTGCCAAAAGCGAAAGCGTTGTTCACCTCACACTCACATGTAGCCTTGTTGAAGCTTTTTTGTTTTCGCATCATGCAACAAACTTTTTTCTAAACCCTTTCTCACAAATGAATTAGTAATAACTTTTTTTATTGTGTTAAAACTCTCATACTGACTAACGAGTGAAAAACCTTGTACAAAAATGGCCATAGGTTGCTTATCAATCTCTAATAGAAATGAACGAGTTTACATAACATGCTACAAAGGAACATGACTAAACACTATCAACGGGATTATACGACAAAAATAAGACGAGTAGACAATACACAAACCTGAATAAATTGTTATTACACAAAAAAAAAACTTTGAATAGCTACAAAATATAATCGCCTCATTTACGCAAATCCATTTCCTCCTGAAGGTAATCGCGCACAGAACGAATCATGTCAGAAGTCTTGTGTTTGCCACCAATATCCTAAAAAATATTTTTTTCAAAGGAATGGACTTTTTTCAATAAATGAAATGAGCAAAACTCTTACTGGGGTGTGAACCATTCGCTCAGTAAGTGTACGGAAAATAGCGTCGCTAATCATATCAGCATGTTCCGACAAGCCGAGATACCTAAGAAAAATGATCTTCTAAAAAACAGTCAATGATTACTTCAGCATGTCTACAGAAGCACGAAGGAATGATGTGGGATTGGCGATATCTTTTCCAATAAGCGATGATCCAGTGTTACGTGTGCCCTAAAAATCAAGATATTCGTCAAAATTCCTCTACTGTTACCGTCTCAAAAACGGCATAATCATTTCCAATATTCACTCCCGAGACTAGGCCAGGGCCACCAACAAGACCACACGCTAAAATGAATGTTAAACAAACAAAATCTTAATAAATTAAATTACCAATGTTGGAAATAATGTTGCCATAAAGGTTCGGCATCAACATGATATCAAATTGCTGTGGCTTTGCAACCTAAAATGAGCTCGCAGTTGATTTTTTCGCGAGAATAACATACCAGTTGCATAGATGCGTTGTCCACAATCATTGAATCGCACTTGATTTGGGGATACAGTTTAGAAACATCATTAACAACCTAAAACCTCCCACCTACAAAATTGAAAACTTTATAAACGTACCTTGAGGAATAAGCCGTCGCCAAGTTTTTGAATGTTTGCTTTGTGAACGGCAGTAATTTTCTTTCGTCCATGTCGTAGAGCATAGTCAAAGGCAAAATGGGAAATCCACTCAATTCGTTCGCGCGTAACAATCTAAAACAAAGCAATCATCACTATCATCTATTTTTCTAAAACCTTAAGAGATTCAACGACTCCAGGCACACACGTATGTTCTTGGCCTAAATATAAAATGAGAAAACGAAAAGAACAAGAAAGCGCTATATCACGGAACCAGTAAAATTAAATACCAGAATATTCTCCTTCGGTGTTCTCGCGAATCATGATAATGTTGATTCCCTAAAAATAACAAAGTCATCTTGCCCGACTTAACCTAGACTTACGGTGTGCCGGCTTGGAACTGTTGGAACTGTGGAACAATGAAGGACATTAGCACGGAGATCAAGCTGTTTGCGCAGCTCCATGTTACGAGACTTGAAAGCAGGGTCATCAAATTTTGTCTCAACATTTCCCTAAAATAAAACATTAATCTTGTTTCACTAAAATATCAACCTTTAATGCAACACCATTTCTTTGGATTGAAGTAATAGCTTCTTGTAAATCATTCTCTCCTTGTTTGATGTTAGATGAGTTTAGGTTTAACTCTTCGAAGTCCACGGGAACCTGAACGAAAAGAAATACCCAAGTTCTAAGATAAAAAATTTACATGAGCAAGGGCAAAGATTCCTTTAACATGCTCCATCATTTCGGGGCCGATCCCATCCCCAGCGAGAGCAGTAACTGTATGACGTCCTCCGTAACGGCCTGGCATTTTCTAAAAGAGTTAATGCGTGCTTTTTGAAGTACCAAAATTTTAATGTTAAACTCGCATGTAGCCCCAAATAGATGTAATTTTTCATAAATCGTAAAACAAACATACCTGTGCGGCAGGCGTGATCGCAGATCGGAAATGTTTCATCTCACGGTTGACCGTCTCGGGGGCCCATGATGATGGAGTCAAATGGAGAGCCCGCGCGAACCCTTTTGATAGGCGTGATGTAGCCATCTAAAAACAAAGATTGTATGCAAAAAAATTAACACGTAAAAGAAAAAAGATTTTAAGCAGTTCAAGTTTTATGGTAAAAAGAGGGAACTCTAGTTGCATTTTATAGAGAAACCAATTGCCCCTTCTCTTGTCTACAGTCTTCATGCGTTCACGCAGAGACATTCTGCCGCGCGAAAGACGATTTTTCAAAAGCACCCAAATTTCCTTTGTGTTGTATTGGAGGGCTGTTTTTTGATACGATTTGAGCTTTTTGCGTTTTTATCCCTTCATTTCCTATGCTTAACTATCTCCTACTATTTCGTAGCACTTTTAGAAAATGTTACGTACATTGGCAAAGTCTAAAAACTGATTTTAAGGGGACGCTTCTAAAAGCTTCACGATAGTGCAAATGGTTTTTTATTAGCGTGTCTCTCTCTTTTAATACCCGAGAATAAAGCAGACACGAAATGTTTAAGATATCCCTTCATATACTCTAAAAGAACGCCACCTCCTCGTCCAATCGCGTAGTGTAACCTCTTTTAGAAAATAATTTTTTCTCAGCCCCTAGATTTTTCCCAACTACGCTTTTGATATCAAAAAATGCTAGAATTCATTTGACATTTGACTATCATTTGACACCCAAGCGCACACTGTGGCATAAAGCAGCGCGGAGAACGGGACGTTCAAAGTCAGATTACGCGACTGGACGCCCGTCATTATGAGGGTGGCGTTCTATTCGAGTATTTACGGTAATGGATTATCTTAAAACCAGCGGAAAACGTGGCTGCGCACGGACGGACGTCTCTTCTGCTTTATATATAGTACATATATAGTAGATGTAAATTGTGGCATATAAAGTTGCGTTTTCATTTTTCTCTCCCACGTTACGATGACACCATTTATATTGACCTACTTTTGTTCACTTTTGCTTTTGAAATTCTATATTTTTTTTTCTTTCAGACGCCCAAATATGTCACACGGTGCAAACGACTACTATTACAGTCCGAAATATGAGGATGACGAGTACGAATATCGCCATGTGCATGTAACCAAGGTATGTTTTTCGTTTTCATGATTTATTCTGGCTAGTTTGGTTTTTTGGCTTTTTTTCTTTAAAACCACTTTCTGGGGTAGTTTCCGAATATAGATTCCGAAAAACACAACGAGAGCTTGGGAAAAGGCGCTTTAAGTCGAGTTTCGGGGCTGCAAAGTGCGCGCTTATACAGTGTGATGATAGGGATACACATAGGAAATGGTGTCTAAAAATGGACTCTCACAACATTTTTGAAGCCAAAAACACTTCTTCTGGCATAATTTAACCTACTGATTACGTTTCTGATCAAATTGTAGCAAAATAAAAAATTATTTTCCAAATTTCGACCATCAAAATCTCAAAAAATATTTTTTCATTTGTTTTGCCTCTACCAGTCAATTTAAGTTAGAAAATGAATATTTAGTGGTTAAAAATGGTTTTTGCTCTAGTTTTGACCTTGAAAATTTCCCCAATAGTCGCTGGCTTGAGTACACAAATTTAAAGTGCAAAAAAGTTTGATTTTCAACGTGTCGAAATGGCGGTTTTTCAGTTGAAAACCTATGCTAAAACTGTCAAATTCGTGCTCAGCGCCCACGATTACCCCTAGAAAAGTGAAAAAAAGACCAAAAATATAGGTGCCCCCAACCTACAAAGTACCGTTGTTCAGAATGGTTTATAAAAGCTTCCAATGGATTTAGTGCAATTAATTACCCCAGGAAAAGTTTTGGTGTACTTCACTACAGTGTACTTCACTGCGGGCTTGTATAAGGAGAGCCCATCTAAGGCCTCGGAGGTTTTTTTCAACATGCAAAAACACTTTCTTTGGATTAATTGAGTGTCCAGAACATGAAAACAGCAAAATTAGATCTTAAAAAGCAAAAATGACAATTTTAGAAATTTTTATTTTCAAATTCGGTTGGTATAAAACGCATTTTTCCAAGCTCTCACTATGAAATTCGTGATCTACGCAAAAAAAACTACCCCAGAAAAGGTGGTTTCGGAAAAAATATAGTGGCCCCCAACCCCAGAAGTACCAAAGTTTTTAATTTTTTGGCCAGTTCGAAAAAACTGTTTCTGTTTTTAGGAAAGCGCCAAGCAAATTCCCAAAGGACGTTTGTTATCAGAAAGCGAATGGCGCAATTTGGGTATTCAACAATCACCGGGCTGGGAACACTACATGATTCACGGGCCCGAACGCCACATTCTCTTATTTCGACGTCCACTTCCTTCGGCGGTTCCTCTTAAAGACAAGTCAAATGCAAAAAACAAAGTCACTGCACATTAAATTTCTTGCGATATTTTACTCTTTGTGGATCTGCGTGTCTTTGCTGTTATATCAAAATCGAATTTTTGTTTAGTAATGTATAAAGTTCTTTTAATAATTAAATTGCACCTTATAAAATCTTGATGAAATGCACAACAGTTGTTATCTGTGTAATGCTAATTTAAATTCTTATGCAATGAAATGTTTTGCAGAAAAGTCCCTGGTATTTAAGATCGTTTTAGCAAAATGAGGATGACCGTTAAGAAATCGCAACGGGAGCATCGAAAACATCACTTAGTTATTTGTTAGCAGGATTGATTTTAATTGTTTTCTAGATGACGGCGATCCTTTTTGTCTTTTGAGATCACTGTCTCTGCGCTACTGCTTTTTCTTGTTCTCTCTCCTTGTTGCGTGCCCCTGACTCATCACAGTCAAATCGACTCGCGTCAATTTTTCGCTTCCAATTCCTAACAATTGTGCGCTCGTTATCCAGAAACTATGTTTAAATGATTTTAAAGCATGATCATAAATTTGGTGCAATGTTTTATGTTTTCCTTAGTAAAAAGATTAATTAGGATTAACTTTATAAATTAAATTATATCACTTTGTTTATTTAACGCGCCTTTGGTCTTAAAGACTTTGTTTTAATGAACATTTGTATCTATTATTTTTGATAATTAATTTTTTTCTCTTCCAGGATTGCTATTGATCGCTTTGGGGTGTCCTTGGGAGTGGCTAAGCCCTTAATGGCCGATGAAGTTGAGCCTCCACGTCTCAGCGTGAAAGAATTAAGCAAGAAATTAGAGAGTCAGTTGCCAGAGATACGACCCCCAATTCCAATACACAGGTATTGCATTTTTTATTTTTCTTCATCTATAAGATTTAGACCAAAAGACTGTCCTCCTCGCTCAAAGCCACCCATCGCTCTTAAACCTGCCAATTTAGCCAAAATTGTAACACTCCTATAACTCTCATGAATTACCTAATTATTTTAGGGGCGTGTTTTACCATCCAATGAGAGTTTTTTGAATCGAAAGAATAATGGCGAGACGATTGAGGTATAGTTGAGGCTTACACGTTTTAAAACGATGATTTAGTTTTCTCGCAACGACGCTCCAACAACAAGCTTGATCCCTTGTTACACAGGACAAAGGTTTGAATGTCTGGTTGAAAAAATTGGTTTGATTTAGTAGTTCGAATGGCCATCTAGACAATGATCAAACGCTTGCACATTCTTCGAGGTATTGCTTTTTCTTTAGCCGGGATATAAAATCTTAATTTGTGCTTACGATTATTTTGGTAATTAATTTAATTTCAGAACATCCTCGCACATCAGCATTGGTGAATTAAGTGAAATATCGACAGAAGTTTGTTTTAAATAAAAGAAACTATATAATGAGTTTAGGTTTCGCCATATCCAGTAGCGCAAAGCGATTCTGATTCGGAAAACGACGAGTTTGAGGCAAATGCTAGAAAGAGGGAGCAAAGGGGTCGGGCTTATCGGATTAATTCATCCGCCGTTCCCGAAAGAAGGTATTTTTAAAAATAAAAATATTCCTTTTCATTTCAAATTACAATAGTTAGAATTCTTAACAATTTAGATCTTTCTTCTACACTGATTCGATGGTCTCGATTTCAAGCATTCACGAAAAAATTATGGACGAACTTGGGAAGAATAACATCGTTAGGTTTGCCCCTGCTTTATATTTTTCGATTAATTGTCATTTCAGAGCAAGCAGGCGAAATAATGCATCTTGTAATGAGCATCGCGTTATAAAGGTACTTAGAAAGATGATTAGTTCTTAACTTCTTCTAAATTTAGAGACCACCTTCTTTGTTGTCCGACGGCTCATCGACAATCAATAGTGAAACTAGTCCGGTAAGTTTGATGTTCTGCTACGGGCTTTAAACTGAATGAAACATTTAAGCAAACGCCACGATCGTCATTGGCAAGTGCTGAAAGTGCTCCCGTCGAAAATGACCCAATACCTTATTATGACACCGAAAATCAAGAAGAGGTATTGACGCGATTGTCTTATTAAGACATCTTATCTCAAGTTTCATTAAGAAAATAATACTTTTAGAATATTCGACTCAGAAAGCTTCATTTTGCTGCGTATGAGTTTCTAACTGTTGAAGAGAAATTTGTCAAATATTTGGAAGATATGTACCAAGTAAGTTTGTTTAGAAGTTTAGCCATGAAAATCTTTTAAGATTTATCCAAACTATTTGCTCGCGTTCGGAGAACGCTCGGGAAGAAATTACATCTCTACAACGTTGGCCAATCCGTCTAATCCCGTGGAACGGGTTAAAGTGTAAGAATTTTATTGAGTTTACATATTGATTTCTCGTTTTAGATTGCTTTCCCAAATCCACCCTTTTCACCAAGCGATGCTTACCGGTTTTCAAGAGACAATGTCCAATTGGGACAGTCGAACACCAAAGATGGCTGCCTTAGTAAAATCATATGCACACTATTTAAAAGTAATTGCTTATACGTTTTCTTTAACCTAAAAAAATTAGTCCTGCAAACAATTTCTTATGGAGAAGGGTCGGTTACTTGTGGAACTTACCGAATTATTGCAACAGCAGGATTTTCATAACGCAACAATGGCCGTAAAGTTTTTTTATATAGTACAGATAATGGCGGTATTTAGTTTGAAGAAAAAATTTTCCGCCGTGGGCCTGGTGCGGTTACACATCAACTCGACCAAGTTCATCAGAATTTCTTACGCTATAAGAATCTAATGATCAGCTATAAAAATTACTTGCCTCCTAATTCAGAAGAATTGGCGATAGCTGCAGGTATTATTTTCCGAACCATTACAATTTCCACCTTATAGAAACCATTGATGTTCTCGAGAAAGTTGCCCAAGATGTAAACAAAGACATGCAAATTCCATCAATTGATGAGCTGACAAAGCTCTTTGATAGATTCCAGGTTAGTTCTTGAAACTGCTAAAAAATTATAAATATTAGGGACTTTTCAATGTTTTTAAACCCGGCTGCCGATTGATCCGTCATGGGGAAGTTTTGAAACAAGCACGAAAGGAACCTCAGCCAAGGATTTTGCTTTTGGTAAGTTTTTAGTGTTAATTTTTTCATAATTTGTAATTTAGTTTTCTGATGTTTTATGGATCTGTCGTGAAACGAATGCTGGTGGCGTTTTTGATATGGATCGAAGCTATGATATTCCGATAGATACCGTAAAAACCGAGGTTGATTTTTAACAATGTAAACCAAGTCAAAATAAGACTTCAGGTCATAGAGCATGATGACTTCAAGACACGTTTGTGGATCAAGAGCACCAAGAAATCTTTTCAAGTTCTCTTCAAGTCAGTTACTGAAGTTGATAAGAAATAAGTTTGCATTTGAGAAATGTTTCTGAGCGTGATCAATGGAAATTGGATATTCATCGAGCGGTTGAAGAGCGGAGAGAAGCGGTTAATCGAATATATGAAGCACGTAGGAGGGTCTCCACGGTTGGCTTTTACTTTTACAAACTTGGCTACGAAATAAACAAAAACTACTTTAACCCTCAGATACTTTACCTTATTGAGGCAATCAAGAAGGTGATTTTTTAACTTTTTTTGTTAAGCACTTTTTTTGCAGTTTAAAATAGTGAAGCTCACTATGATCCGTTTTATTTCCAGGCAAAGGGGGAAAATGATGATCGAGGCTCTGATCTTCTATCTGCTATGACATGTTCAAATGATGCTCCAGTAAATGGATTCTTGACAACGAATCTACGAGGTAAACACTTTTTTGATTACTATAAACCAATGTTTTTAGAAGCGGATGTGCAAGCTGCCTGGATTCCAGATGATGTATGTAATATGAATGAACGTACACGATTATGTAAAGTTTATGTTATAAATTTTAGGCTTCTACTCACTGTTTGATGCAAGGATGTAGGACAGAATTTTCCTTGTTCAACAGAAGGCATCATTGTCGAGATTGTGGATGGGTACAGATTTTGTGCTTTAAATATATTTTTCATGATTTAGTTGATTTGTTCCCGTTGCTCTGGTCACGCCCCACTTGCAAAACAACAATTCAAAAGCAAGAACGTCTGTCCTGAATGTTTTGATAGAATTTACCATCAATGTAAGTTACATCACAAGATTGATACCTCTCTTCTTTATACTCATTGAATTTTGCAAAAAAAAAATGCTATTTTTAGACGAACGTGGTACATTATTTCCTGAAGCAATGCTGATCAGGAATGCAAATAACCCGGATATCGTAACTGGCATTGCTTTGAATGGAAAGGTAAGTTGTGACGTATGATTTTAAATTGTCGAATATTTAGGAAGTCACAATGAAAGAATTGTTTACCCCTCCCGAGAATCGTCGCTTGAAACGCTTAGACATCAGTGCGCGAACTCAAGAAAAAGATGGAATTGTGTTTGGACGTGTTTTTCAAAGGTTATTTGGTTATACGTAAAACATATAGTGGATGATTTTAGAGCTGCAAATGGAAAGGAAACCGTGAAATTTGCCCAACTTAAAGACGATCTGGAGCTCAGCTTTTTTACCGCAAATTTTGTAAGTCAAATCTATGATTGAGACTTAAAAAAACTTTTTCTAGGATGAAAGACCCGAATCGACCTTTGTAATTCATGGCTATTATCTGGAGGTGAGAAAATGTTTTTGCTAGTAATAAATCTTTTAGGAACACGAAGCGGATGATGGAAACGGTGCACTCTTTGAGATTAGTCATCGCAATCAATTCCGCTCGGATCGACATGAACATAGCATCAAATTTCGAGTTGATCGCGAGGATTCGAGAAAAAAGTTAGTGTCTAATAGAAAGCAAAAATTGTTTACTCTTATACTAAAATTAATATTTAGATGGTCAAACGCTTTAAATCGAGCATTAACAAAAACCAAAGAATGAGACTGCCTTATGCAAAAAGTAATTTGTGATTATTTTTTTGGCCCAAAGATTATAGTGTTACAAAGTGTGCTCTTAAACTTTACTGATGCCATATCTGTAGCTTAGATGTAAATATTTTTGTGTGTATGCTTTAAACGTGTAGTTCTAACGCATTTACTGTTTTTGCCATTTTATTCATTTACTCAACCTCTCACTTCCCGAAAATTTCATCTGTGATGAAAAGACAAAGAAAATAGAATTTATACATTTTTGGCACTTTGCTCGCACAATTTTTGATTTGTGTGCTTATAGTTTTTGAGTGCATGAATAAAAAATAAATAATTTGAAATAACCGTAAATATTTGACAATTTGAATTACTAATTTTTCGATTAATTACCTAAAGAGATGGAACACAAAGATCTGAAGACAAAAATTCCCGACATTGAATTGAACACAAAAGAATAGCCCCGTACATTGTGGTGAGCATTACCGAATGAAGCGTCTGATTGCAGAATAGGCAGCATATCCGAGAGAAAAGGCCAAAGCTGCCGGAGCATTTCCGAGCGTTGCGGCGGTTAGTGAAGTTGCACTAACAACGGCAAAAATAGCTGTGTTTGCCTGAGATTATATTTCTCTATTTTGCTTCAATGTTAATTTTGTCTTTGTTTGAGACTTACTTGAGAACTCTCGCGTAACCCGTATCGACAAAGTTTCACGAAATGTTCACAGTTGTAATCGATTAGATGATAGTCACCGGTTCCAAGCTGAAAATCGTTTCATATAAAGAGATTTATTTTGAAGAGACTGATTGCGACTTACTCGATGCAACGCTCGTTCGACAGCAATAACAGCAGGCAGAGGTTTAACTTGTCGATCCATCAAGTTGTTAATGCGGCATTGATCGGTGCCGGCAACTTCCAGAAATTTATCACTTCGCACCTAAAGGGTGAAGAATCAAAACTTTTAAGGTACATACCGTTGCAGAGCTACCATCTGCGATTTTAGTGCCGATCTGGCCTATCGAGTCTTGGCCCGGGCGTACCTAGGTATACGGTATTCTGAATTTGTTTGATGAAATTCCTACGTCAAAATCCCCATCGCTTGTACTGATATGGACCACTGAAAACGTTAAAATTGTGAGATGAAATGTGAAGCTGTATACCGTAATGTTCTTCGTCGTGAAGCCTTCCAATGTAGATACCCCAATGCTGTAAAAAGTGGGGGTAGGCTACTTTCCGCCATTTTATTTGCGCAACAGGGTCATTTGCGCAAATAGCGTTTGCGCAACAAGGGTCATTTGCGCAACTGGGTCATTTGCGCAACTTTAACACTGTATTAAGCACTCGAATTTTTAATCATTATTTTCATTTTTGAGCTTTTTTTTATTTTTTTTTATTTTCTTCTATTTTTTTATGAAATCTTCCAATTTTTTGCACTATCTTCCAATATTTATCTAAATTAGTCCTTTCTAGGAGCTAATAACCATTAGTAAAATATTTTATCGCTTTAACAAAAAAGTGCAACCAATAACAATGAAAGTTAGGACAACAATAAAAATCAAATTTTTAAAATATAAGTCAAAAGCTGAGAAAGATGTTGCACAAAATCGCAACCGGGCAAGCGACCATTAGAAATAGCAGTAAAGTCGAGCCAATACAGTTTTCTTCCGTGGGTAGTTTTGTCCAACAGTGAGATTGATAGCCGATGAAAACCGTACTAGAATTTTAAACAACAAACTATGAGCAAACAATATAAAAAGGAGGGAACGAACGAGGGGAGAGAGTACTTTAAAAACTCACTACAAAAACATAGCAAAAAAAGTTGCGCATAAGTACTTGCGCAAATTTTTGTGCGGGGTACGGTAGCGCATCCACGCTTTAGAACGCGCACCGCTCTGCTTTTGCGCCAGTCCCTTAAAAACGTCAAAAAAAGTTGCGCAAATGACCCTGTTGCGCAAATAAAATGGCGGAAAGTAGCCTACCCCAAAAAGTGTTCAAAAGTCTTTTAAGCTTCTTTACCGCATAGACGCGTCGTTTCCGCCCGGCTAAGGCAATTGTCCGCGAGAACTCCACCAGATCGGCTGGCTCAAGTTGATCGATTAGCTGAATTCATAAAATTTAAATGAAGGATAATTCTCTCGAACCTCTTCTCCAGTCATCCATTTCGTCTTCTTGATTTCATTCATCAAATTTGCCGAGGTTGATGGAGAACTCATTATAGAGGCTGAGAACCTGTGAAAAAAATTTTTTGTAAAGATTGAAAACATGATAAATTGATCTTTCTTGAGTTAAAGGATGAGAAAAAGAAGATAATGGTATTCCTGATGAAATGGGTGGTGTCATGAGGGATTATTAGGCAATTGCACATTGTAGTATGTAACAGATAATTGTACCAACAATCATTTTTGTTGTGTGGGTGACCTAGCACAGTACAGCGCATCCGGTTCGTTTGCTAAATAGTGGGTAATACCGTGCCCACAGCGGCTTGTCCAGGAAATCTCAAAGTACAAAAAAGATCAAATCACGGAATTATAAAATACTTTTATAATTCTGGTTGGGGTGGGACAAATGCTACCTTTTTTTGCAAACCTGGGCACTTGCGCACCTTTTTTTTGCTGGAAAAGGCCTTAGGAAAGGCCGTAGAGATTCAAAAATGTTTTCAGATAAGGGAATCTACGCATACGATTCCCTTATCTGAAAACATTTTTGAAGCTCTACAGGGTGTCCGAAAAAAGGCACTTTGTGTCAAATTTCTAAAAAATTTTAAGTAGCTCAAAGGGCTAGACTGCAGTTTACCCCTCCCCCCAGCTAATGACCACCAAAAGTGGTTTTTCTCACTTAGTTTTTTGCGCTGATTACAAAAAATCTGCATTTCATCGCCGAATTCGAAAAAATTTTTCAACTTTTTTGACTTTTTTTGTCTTGGTCCCCCAAGGTAAAATTTACTAAAAACATTCGGAAACACCTCTAACCCTTAGAAACTTAGGTTCCCTAGATGTAAGAATGTGACCCGGGAATCGCGCATCACGTGGTTCTCCAGAGCACCTGTGGTGGGCCAATAAAAAAACACCGTGACGCAGGTCCCTTCCTGGGCGCGCATCACCGGGTAGCACGGACACCGCAGTTATGCGGTTATGGGGTAAACTGCATTCTAGCCCTTTGAGTCACTTAAAGTTTTTTAGAAATTTGACACAAAGTACCTTTTTTCGGACACCCTGTACGGCCTTTCCTAAGGCCTTTTCCAGCGAAAAAAGGTCGCATTTGTCCTTTTTCTCTTCTTTGGTTTTTTATTTTACTATCTGTTAAAATTTTAGTTTTAGCTCGGATCGTCACATTCACGGTAAAGCAAGTTGATCCTTCTGTTTTGGCAAGCTTCCAGAGGTGTCCAAGAAATACAGTTTAAGACGGTAAAGTCTTTTGTGTGTATGGTCAATAAAAAAGCTTGCAACGTCGGAAAAGAAAACTCTCTAATGTGTAGTGAGAGTATTTCCTTGCATAAGCAAAACAAACTCGAGTTTCCTCTAAACGATTTGATTTTGGGCGTTTGTCGCGGCTGCTCGCGAGGAATTTCTTCACTCTCGTGCGTCGCGGATCTTAAAAAACTCAAAGTTCTAACTTCACTTGAATCACCATCTAATCTTTCTTTCGATCCCCTTCTAAATCTTGAATTATTTGAGCTTTACTTCTCACAGTAGATTATAAAGAAAATTTAGTCTTGAGATAAGCTCATCGATCGGTGTTTTAGTTATTCTTCACTTCGGTTTATGCTGTTTTAAAACTTTCCCTTTTCAGACAAGCGGAAGAGGAAATGGAGAGGACGGAGAGACTTTACCGTCTCGTCGTTGTCGGGGATGGTGGAGTTGGGAAGTCGGCATTAACTATACAGTTCATCCAAAATCATTTTGTCGAAGAGTACGATCCAACGATTGAGGATTCTTATAGAAAACAGGTGGGTTCATTATGGTATAAAACGTTGTAAAGATATTATGAAAAAAATATGAGTCTACATTTTTCAATTGTTTAGCAGTAAACAATTAAATGATATCTATAAGTTAGGTTGCAATGGGAAGCACTCTGGCTCTTGTATTATTATTGGTTTAGGTTGTAATCGACAACGAAACGTGCCTCCTTGACATTCTCGATACGGCTGGACAAGAAGAATATTCTGCAATGCGGGATCAATATATGAGGACCGGCGAGGGATTTTTGCTCGTTTTTGCAGTGAATGAAGCGAAATCCTTTGAGAACATAACGCACTACCGGGAGCAAATTCGTCGCGTAAAAGATTCTGATGAGGTAACTTACTGTGAATTGCTAAAAATTGGAAAGTTTTTAGGTTCCGATGGTGCTAATTGGAAACAAGTGTGATCTCGGTCAACGGGCTATCGACTCAGGAATAGTGCAAGAAACAGCTCGGGTTTATGGAATCCCATACTTGTAGGTTAATTTTCAATTTATTAGTTACAGGTTGCACTGACGATGAAAGTTTCTATTCATAGTCTATCTATGTTAGATTTTCTTGTTTTTTTGCCTATTCGAATTCTTCAGAGATGCTTCTGCAAAAACTCGCATGGGCGTGGACGATGCCTTCTTTGCGCTTGTGAACGAAATTCGAAAAAATCGAGAAAAAACCAAGGATAAGCCACGCAAGAAGAAGAAGTGTATTATCCTATGATCTTTCACAATCAAGACCCCTTTGCTCAAAACGATCTGTGCGTGCAAGGAGCTTTGTGTCTAATTATTTTTTTCTTATTAATCCTTCGATAATTGCCTTCTTGATACTTAGTTCCTTTTTTTTTTGCTTTGCCGATTCCTCGTTACATATCACTTCACCCGTATGCACTATGTTAGTGTCAATTCAACGTTTCTAAAAGTTTGTGACTTTCCAAATTTAGCGTAGAGCTTTATGTATATTAGGTGCACTCTTGCAATTTCAGTTTTTCGTTCCTTAATAGTTATTGAGGAAGAGACATATCTTACCAATTCTTCTAAATATTTTGAAACATGCAAATATTGTTGTTTTGTCACAAAATTCGGATTGTTGCTGTTTTTTGGTGGTTTATTTTTGCCCAATGTAACTTAATAGTGTTGATATATCTATTTTTTGGCTTCCTGTGAATTTTTGTGGCCTTTCGCGTGTGTGAAAAATTAAGCTTATTAAACTGTTCCTGTTCACTGCCTCTCAGCGTATTTTCACGTGTTATTTTTCAAGAATTTCTTTTTGTATTGATACGGTTGAAAGCGGCGGTTTAATGTCATTGTTTTAGTTATGCTTAGTTTTTCAGCTTAATCAACCTTAGCTGTGTTTTTATGATTATTATGAAAGACAAATGAATAAAATATAGCTATGTACAAATGGCAAAAAAATCTTTTGTTTGTTGGCAATTCAAACTTATTTCAAGAACCTGTGAGTAGAAAAAGAGAGTAAACTAAATATTAGATGACGAGAAAAAGAATAAATCAGTCGAGTGATGGAAGCAATCATACACCGGAGAGACGAAATTTGCAGCACCATTTAGACGCTCGTCACCCGAAAAGAAGGTTTGTTTTGTGCTGTTTAGTTTTCGTTCTAAAAACTACTTTTGTAAAATTCATACTTGTGAATACATTGGTACTTTCTAGCAACACGGATAGCGAAGGAAGCTTTGCGAACTACGGATATCAGGATTCCGAGTATGGATCTTCACGGGCAACAAATGAAAAAAGAACTTTTCCACGCAAAGGAAACTATCAATCATCAAATGACATTCAAGAGTATACCTCGAATTACGATCGAGAATATACATCTCAAAATGTAAGGTCGGCTCAAGGCGCTTAAAGAAATTTTCTTAGGATCAATACGCTGCAGCAAAGGCAGAAAGTGAGTATCCCAAAGAGGTTGTTACCTACTTGCGAAATATGAATCGAATAGCAACGGAAACCGCACTAGGTTAGCTTTCTTGTACTTACCTTTATTAGTGTAAAACGTTTATTGTAGCTAACTTTACGTTTTTAGATGATCTGGCGATTGAAAAATGTATTGAAGAGGTAAAAGGATATGAAGAGGCCCTGTTAAAATATCCGGAATCTGCAGGAGTAGTTGAAAAACTCTTCGGTAAGTTTTATTGGGATGAGTTTAGTGATAATAATTTTAGGCTCTAACTCACGCGCTTCTTTGGAGTTTCTCAAATTGATTACAAAGTTGAAACATAAAACGATGATCGATATGATGTTTAGTGGTTGCGGCAGTAAAACACTCGAAACCCTTTTATATGCGGCAATTAAGGACCGAAGCTCGGATGATTTAATACAGGTTTGTACGACTTAAACTAATTTTTGTTAAAGTACAAAAATATCAGTCCTTTAGGTATTGAACGTTTTTGTCGAGATTTGTTGTGAAAATTGGGGTCGCCTCGCATTTGCACAAAAATCCTGTTTCATCATTCGTTCACTTTTGCGTATTTCGGCAGGCTTTATACAAGAACCAGGTGCGTTTGTCGTGTATTATTGGACTATTAGATTTTAGTTAAACCAGTCGCAAAAGAGGAGCCGAAAGAAGATATAAAAGATACTGAAATGGAGAAACTTTCAAGGCACAATTATGCTGCTATTACTCAACTCGTTTTCGACTTTAAATTTTTCCAAGGTAACATTTTCAAGGTTCCTTTGGGTCTCGATCCAAAAGTTTTCTGGAGGGCTTTTTAACATCAATTTATAGATGCGACTGAAATGTTTTGTTCGTCGTCATTGTTTCAAGATGCAATCAGATGTGAGGCGAGTAAAAGCTCTGCTCGAATTGACGCCTTAATCGACAAAGCTATCACCACGTCGCAAAACGATCGTGGGTATTTTTTAATAAACTTTTTATTTTGAAGTTTAGCTGACATTTTGCTTGAGTCACTGAAAAGTCAAGTTGGTTCTGGAATGTGGGAACAATTGGCAAAAAGTTGCAGCGAAGATGCTCGTTTAAGGTAAAAAAGGCTACATTTTTTAAAGATAGAAAGTATTAGATTATGGATGAGTGTTTTCGGGCCCAATGTTTCTACCCTTGTGGACAATCAGTACGCCAATTTTCCTCTACAAAAACTTATCGCGAGCGTGAAATCTGTAGAATTGGTATGGATTTCTGTTCCAGAAACCTGCTTTACTCTATCATTAATAGGCAACCGACGTTTTCGATGAACTTTCCGGTCACTTGACACAGTTGTTTACGAGCAAACAGTAAATTAAGCAGATTTGGTAGCCTCTAAAGATTTTTCTTTAGATTTGGAATAGTGTTGGCTTTGATCACTTGTATATCAAAGTTCGACGATTTGCAAAATTCTTTTCTCAAAGTACTTCGGAAATATTTCAATGCAAATAAGGTAATTGATAACATCGTAGGGCAGTTTTATTTTGGTTTAGGAGTCAAATCGGTTACACTTTCTTTTCAACGTGCTGTCTATGAATGGTTGTGAACCGAAAAAATTCAACGCTAGCTCCGTTGTGCCAAGGGTAAGGAAGTTTATGATTTCTTCAGAGTTTCTAAAGCAGCTGCAAATGTTTATAGGGTTCACTTCTCGGAGAGTCGCTGTTAAACTTGACTCGGACAAAAACCATTAGGGAGTGTCTAAAAGCTATGCCGAAAGAAACGCTATTTGCTTTGTCGATACATCATGTTGCTAGTCATTTCATCGAAGCCGTCTTCAGCACAAGAAATCTTGACCGAGAAACGAAACTGCACGTTGCATCTTCTTACGAGGTATAGTAAATTGTGGTATATTATTTAACTCAAAGTTCAGGGTAAATGGCCATTGTTGATTGACAATTCGTATGGTTCACACGTATTTGAGCGTCTTTGGGACTCAGAAGCTTTTCCAGTTGATCTGAAGGCCAATTTTCTTACACAAATAAAAATGAACATGCCGCGGGTTGGTCTTTTTCATGTTAAGTTTTAATTTGGCTTAAAGGATACCGGTAAATTCTGGAAATTTATGCTACACCGAACGCAATATCATCTATTTCATACAAAAAAGGGAGCTTGGTTTGATCAATGGAAGCAGAAGGGTGAAATGACAGAAAGGAAAAAGAAACATATGGTGAGAAACAAAATAATTTTTGTATGTTTAATATATTATATTTAGGAAAAGATCAAACAGAAAGCTGAGAAAAAGAAGGTAAAAAAGGAGGCAGCCGAACCGACGAGAGGATAAATCGTTTATGTTATGTTAGTTTTGTTAATTTTTGTTGTTTTGTTGTTGTTGTTGATTTATTATTACTTTTTAAAATAAATTTTACGAAAATTTTGCATCATTGCAACATTGGTTATAAGGCCATGGATCTCTTATAAACCTTCGCGATGAACCCCGTAAAACGTCATAAAATCCGTAATGCCATTACTTTTAGATAAAGAAGATGGGAGAGTCCGCCGGCACGAGTGGTCAAGTAGAAATTCCGAATTTCTTTTCGCTCAACATTTGGAAATTTTTAGTCGAGCATTGCCGCCATGCTCCTTGAAACTGCTTCATCCGTGCTTCAGTCATCGGTACCAGAGGGATTCGAATGGGTACAAGAATATGGAATGTACTATTCACCAACCACCCGCTATTTTTATGACATGGTTTGTTTTGTGAAAGTCATTTAACCTGAATTTTTAGAATACTGGTCTTTTCTACCATTCGGACTCGCAAACGTATTATTATTTTGATGAAGCGACTGGATCGTATTGCGTTTATGCAAACATGCAAAAGAGTTAGTTTCGGAAAATTTAGCAATTCTTTTTTTTTAGAAAAATGGGCCAGAAGTCGACATCAGAAGCACGCAGTTTCGCTGTTGGGAGAGAACGAATTGCAAAGGTTTCTAAATAGTTAACAGCTGGTACTTTCCTGTTATACCCCGCATAATTTGCCCCTGCATCAATCCTATTATAAGCCCACAAACTTTGGATTTTAAAAGCTTCAAAACAACTGATTCCAGTGTGCAATTGGACTTTTTGATATATGTTAATTTTTCGGGGGTATAACAAGATTGTACCTAGCAACTCGTTTACTTTGATCTAGATATGGACAAGATGAAGTCGACATTTGTGAATTGCTCTTTTCAACTGTGGACAAAGTTGTCGACATGGAATGGGAAAAAGAATGCGAACGAAAATATGGAAGAAGACATAAGGAACGGGAAAAGGATCGCCACAGAAGACATGAGCGACGAGAACGAGACGATAAAAGAAAGGTAGTAAGATGCTTTTATTTGTTTTTATTCTGTCTTTAGAGAGAAAAAGAACGAGAGCGAGAGCGTGAACGTGAACGAGAGCGAGAACGAGAGCGCCGCCACAGGAAACATAAATCAAAGCGGGCAAAATATGACGGAGATGAAGTGTACATGTCGAGCGAAGAAGATGAAGCAACAAAAATCGCGCAATCCGCTAAAGATGGTAGCGATGATCATTCGTCTTCTGGGGTTGAGGAAAATGGAGATGATGAAAGAATTCAAATGATGCGAGGTTTTATTTCAAAGTTGGATGGCAATTGTTTTTCGATTTTAGAAGAGGGATATTTGGAAGCGCCACTTTTAAGAATCATCGATCAACTTGGCCATCTGCACATTGTAACGATTGAAGGAGCTTGGGTGAGCCATTGTCTATGCAAAAAGACTTACAAAAGTTATCAGAATTATTTATTAGATAACATAGGAAAATAAAATGTATTTTATGAAAACTTTTAGGTGGGCTCGCATCCTGAAGCAACAATTCGCTTCGATTCGCTCGCTGAGGTTTTCATTATTCTAGTGGTATTACTAATTTCGCTCGTTTAGTTACATGCAGAAATCTATTACGATCCTGGAGACCAAGACCGCCCTCATGGGTATCAAATGCGGGTGCTTGTAACGGATGCATCAACTTCTTTGGATGGGCATCAATTGGAGGTTGTTTTGGCTAATTTAAATTGTTTCGAGATAATAAACGACCTTTAGGAAAACGACGAGGTGATGATCCAACATGGTTCATGGTTCACCGCCGGGGACATTATTTTAATCATTCACGTTCATTATGGTGAGCTGGTGTTATATTTGACATGTAACAATTTTAAGAAAAAGGTAAAGACTATAAAATAATTATTTTAGGCATGAACAACTGCGCCAAATGTGACCCTGGACAAATGAAGTCAATTGAAAAGAAAATCGAAAAATTACCAAAGCCTATCAATGGACGAGGGAATGCGGCAAGACTTAAAGCTTTGAGCGCCATGAAGAAGCAATATGGAGTTACAGAAAATGTAAGTTATGCTAGGTACCTTGTATAAAATTTAGCATTCTGTTTAGGAACCATCAGAAACACGCTATGTTGATCGAGCAGCAATGCGACGACAAGAAGTTGGCTCTGAGTATCCTGTGATACAACAAGTGGTACGACGTGGACGGGCAGATTCAAATGATATCTACTCAAATTGTGCTGCAAGGCCTGTGCCTGGTATATTTTCAACATGTTGGTTTAATTCTTTTATATCTAGGTGCGATGATTGCAAAGCCGAAAACAATGGACACTCCGATCGAGGCTGAAAACAAAGGTTTCAAGCTACTCAAAGCGATGGGATGGCAAGAAGGAAAGGGACTCGGAAAAGAACAAGGCGGACGTGCTGAACCGGTTTGTTTAGTATATTTTAAGATCTTTAAATTTTTTCCGTAGGTGGCTGTTGTTCAAAAGTCTGATCGAGCCGGTCTTGGAACACAGGGAAAAGAAGCGCCCAAATCACACAAACAAATGATGGTGGACGTAATGCGAAAACGATTTGATGAGGTGAGCTGAATCATGAGAATTTCATTGAATGATATTTCTTTTAGATAACCGAGCGTGAGAAATAACTCGAAGATCCTCAAACAACAACTACAATTTCTAAATAATATTCTCCCGGTTAGCTTTTTCATTCTCATTTGTTTTTTAAGCTCTTGGCGGGTCAAATCTTCCGAATGATACTCTGATTGTTGGTACAGTAAAATTGTTTTCACGAACTTTAAAATTATTTTATCATTGATTCTTTAGACTTGCAGGCTTTTTGTATGTTTGTTTTTTGTAGTTGTTTTTCGTTATTTTTCGATAAAGAGTTAGTAAATTTCATCACATCAGAATACAAATTCCCTCGGGTCTAATTTAGGGTTGTTAGCGGCTTCTTTTTTAAGTTTCATGGATGGTTGTTGGACTAATTGGAGTGCCCTTGAGGTCAATATGGGACAATTTTTGCACACTCGGCGAGTAATTGTTGTCAAATTTCCTCTGCAAGTTCCGATCTTCATATAGCCGCCGTTCCAGCACGACTTCGACGAATAAGTGGTCACCATTGGGACCAAAGTGTCCATTTTTGGTGAATACATGCCTTCATAAAGCCTCACCCAGCAGGGAGTCTCTCTTTTTGTCTGGCTGAGAAATTACAACCATAGTTTGTCATTATTTTTCCTCTTTCCGTAAAATAAATCAAATTAATGGCGTACTCTCGAGAGTTTTCTCTATATAAAAGTTTGCTAGATGGATCTTTATGAAGAGGTGTTAAGGGAATGAAAAAAGAGGAAAAGGAAGGGGAGGACTTGTCCTTTTCTGATTTGATTTCGACGGACCTCTTTTTTTTTTTCCTCCAAAAGAGACCCATCCGTCTTCCATATTTTTGGGAAACCAGGAGTTTTCCTCCTGCGAATCCCATTCTGAATTCGTGTGCTCTTTCAGACAATTTTCTTCCTGTGTCCTGTTCGATTTTGATCGAATTTTATTGCAAATTTACCCACTAACATCATTAATTCCAAAGTTTTTACCCCAAATTTTGTTTTTACTTCACAATGGTGTTTTGTAGGATATGAATCGACGGGCAACTTTCACACCTGGTTTGCGGGAGAAGCGACATTCGGTATTTCTTTCTTTGCGCGAAGAGACGGCCAACCCAATTTCCCGCTTTTATTTGTCATTTAACGAGGTTGGGAGTGGAAGAAGGATGGATCTTTGATCTCATAATAGCCTGGGGAAAGATTTGTTGGTGATGGAAACACGACTTGACTCGAGAGTTTTGAATTAGAATGAGCGATTGAAGGAAGCGATTGTCGGAGTACTGTAAGCTGCCGTAATTTGGGGTATCGAGAAACTCCTGAAAAATGGGAACATTGATCAAAAAATACTCTAGAGTTCAGGAAATTCAATTTAGAATAAGTTGAACTAATTTTGTACCAATACTCAGTTGTCTTAGGTCCAATTCCTGATTGATTATAAGTTTTATAAACCCAGCCGACGGTCGTTGTTCAACAGCCTTCAAAAAGGAGACTTTTTAAGGGTTCAGACCGAAATTAAAACCTTATTTTATCTAGGTATACTTTAAAAAAAAAATATCTTGATTTTAAGCCAGTCATTGCCCGAAAAGTGTTCAACTTGGCAGCTGTAGTTGGCCACAAAAAGAAGCCGTTTTACCCCTTCACCTATAGAAGGGATTTGAGAATGGACGGGGACACACAAAGTGTTTCTTCTGATCCTTCACCCCTTCACCCCTTCTTCAAAATCTTCACTCTCCCACGTAATCCCCATAGTCGTTGACTTCTCTCTCGCACAGATTCTCCCCTTCTCCTTCCTCTCTTTGTCATGACCGATGTCCATTGTGGTCTCTCTCCGCCTGTTTCCCCCTCTTTTTACCCACATCAAGTGCCACTTAAATCCCCACTCCACTTCTGAAACTCGAGTTCTTTAACTACTTAGTAGACACAATTTTTATACCCGACAAAAAGTTTACGAACGCTTTTTCGGATCCTGACCAGGTTGGGATGAAATGGATGAGTGAAAAGAAAGCGGCTGTCATCGAAAAGGGTTAAGAGGAAGTCATTGAAATGTCTTTGGGTTATTCTTAAAGCTACTGTAAGACCCAAGATATCCTGACCTATTGTATTTTATCTTTGAAATACTCCTTAAAGAACCAAGTCTTCAAACTCTTCGAGCTATATGCTATTTCTACACCAGCTGTAGTTCTATCCCGGCAATGGCTGACAATGACTTAAAGCCTACTGTAAAGCTTGAATATTCTGGCTTACTGTATATTATCTTCAAAATAAACAGGCTGAACATTTTTTGATTTCAATATACCTTCAGCGTGAGTAAAAAAAAGCAGGCTCTGTATTCTATAAGATTATGTTTTTGAGTTGAAACTAAACTAACTTTTCAGGCTTATTCTTTTCAGAATATTATTATTATTCTTTATATTTCTATATCTATATAGTGAGAATAGATATATGTGAATTGCTTCACCGATGTGTGTGCAGCTGGATCGAGATGGGATGGGAAGGGAAAGGGACTGACTGGAGGGACTGACTGGCATCCATTACCTCCACACTGTTTCCATATCCATCATCTTTTCTATTTCTTTTCTCTTTCTATTTCTATTTATTATGTGTCCATATTTGAAAAGTGTTTACCGTTTTTGTCTCTGTTGGCACCCTCTAATGTCCTCTCAATGCTTACTTTTCTCACTTTTTGCGAAATGAAAGCAAACTGGTTCAGTTCTTGATGCATTTAAAACAAAAGTTGAAAGCTCAATGCTTTCAGCTTTGTAGCTTTAGAATTCACAATAACTAATTGTAAGTATGACCTTTCAGACTACCAGATAGTTCCTTGCAACTTAAAAAACTAAAGCGTTTTAAATACCCATTTCTATACTTGGTTCTATGTTTTATTGTCTCTACCACAAGTTTTTAGTGTAACCGGGGAGAGGGAATACTTTGTTGTCCCTTCCTCTTTCCCCTCTCCCCTTCCCTCCCCCAATGTCCATTGTCCCTGCTCATCCAGGCTCACTTCTTTCCCTTCCATTTTTTATGTTTCACAAATTTTGACTAGTTTTTTGTTTAGTTTTTTAGTTGTCTGCTTCTTTTTTTCTGACAAGGGAAACCTTTCCAAGTCAAGTTGGCCTTTTGACTGTCCATCTTATACTGACTCGAGACCAGTCCATCTTATAGAGTCGGCAATGGGGATTTTGAATCTGTTTTTTCGGTCTTTGAGACTATCCACTGGACCACCGAGGCGCTAGTTGGGGAGCTTGCGGGAAAGGAACTTTGAGTGGTTTGCTTTGAAGGGCTCAGTCGTTGACCACTCCTTGCCCGGAGGGGTTTGCCGGTGGGGTTTGCCAGATGAAGAGCGATTACGCACAAAGAACATTTCGCTAGTCATTTACATAAGGATTCTTCTTTTGCTTTGTAGGATGGCACAAAAAGAAATTCAGCTACAAATTTGTACCCGAGGGTTTTTAGGGTCGACGAATCGATTTGAGCTCTTCATTTCACTGAGTCTATCACTACCGATTCGTAATGAACTTGAAAATAATAATATTTGAACTAAACTTAGTTGACTTCTGAAAGCTAATCGATTTGTCGACAATCAAACCCAATAGATCTTTCTTTAAACCCAATAGATCTTTCAAACTCAATCGATCTTTCAAACCCAATAGATCTTTCAAACCCAATAGATCTTTCTTTCTTTCTAAGATTACAGGCGTAAAGTAAACACTCGCAAAACATGCGTAAAACTAGTCCATAAACGGTATTTTTCTTGGCGTTTTTTGCGATTTGACCCTGATCGGTGTCTCTTTTGGTCTCTTTTTTGCCCTTTTTGGATCACAATGTGGTGGTTGTAGATAAGATCTGTTCATCTGTTCCCCTTCGGTTCATATAACTTTCTCAGATTCTCTTTCCATATGCATTCCCTTTTTTGTTATTCTTTTCTATACATTGTCATCTCCAATCACCATTATCACCTCGATTTTCTATCACTTCTCTCCTCTCTGTTATTTCAACGTATCAATGGAACACCTTTTTTTTCCCTGTGGGATTTTCTTATTTTCTTATTTTCCTTCAAAATATTTACTATTAGTTTATTTTAACCTCGTAAATTGATTGAAATGTTGTTTGAAAGGAATTTGAACTAAAGATTTGACTTTTTAGATTTCATTCTTTTTACAGTAATCCCTTAGTTGTTCCAAAATTTCAGAACAATTCCAAAATTCCAGATTCCAGAACATTTTTTGAACCTCTAGACAAACCAATGAGGATGAGCGATCAAGCTTTGTTAAACAAAATATTCTCACCGAATCTCACACATTCACGACAAAGTCATTTTTGACTTGGCTGCCGTTTTGGACGACCGTTATCTATGTTAGCTGTAGATTTGAAAATTTATAACCGGAGGCATTTTGAGATAGAGAATCTAAATACGTTATTAGTTTTTGAACAACTTTAATTTCCAAGCTAATACGGCCATCACAAAACACTAAAAACTTGGGTAATTAAACCAAATTGAAGAGAAAAAGGCGGAAACTGATTTGGATTTTGTTCTTTATCCCTAGAGGCCGTGTGCCAGAAGCCGCGCGATTACGTAAACATGAAAGTCACGTTTTTGTAATCGCGCATCTTCTGGCAGACGTCCCTGGATGTGGGGTTGCAATTGGGTAATTAAAGCGAATGAAATATCCAAAAATAGAGCTGTTTTCTTTGAAAACTAATAACGAATTCGAATTCCTTATCCTCGAAAGCCCCTGATTGCAGATTTTCAGCTCAATCGGTCTCAAAAAAGTGGTAAATCGACGTTTGTAAAGATCTTTCCTACTAAACTTAAATTTGACTTGATTATTCTAAACCAGAAAGTGTTTTTATTTGAAAAAGCAACACATTTGAATTACAAATTGTACTCAAATTTCCCTAGTTATTTGAGGGATTTCCTTGAGTTTTCGAAAAGGATAAGTTAGGCTAGGGAAAAGGGGGAAAGGGGATGAGGTGAAGAGGAGATTCCGCCCGAAATGAGCCCAATTGAGTCCATTCTCGGTCTCTGTCGATAATAAAAGAGAGAGAGAGAATAATTCCGTCGCAAACCATTTTATTTCTCGCCTCCTTTCAAGGAAAAGAAGCACATTTTCAAGGAGTTTCCGTCAGTTTTCTCGAAAAGTTTTCCAATTTTTGATTTAACGAGTTTTCTTAGTTGGTTTCCTTTTAGGGAAAGAATCTTGCAACTTACCGTATTCTCTCTAATAGTAGTGCACCCCGCCTAGCCGAGTTGATGACTATTTTACAGTTTCCAAGTTTTCGCAGAGGCTCAACACTCAAATCCCCCACAAGATCTCATAGTCAGCTACATTTTCCGACCCCAAATCGATAGGTTCTGATAAACGCCTTTCGAGATTTCGAGAAATTTAGGCAACGCTCAGGGTGCACTACTATTAGAGAGAATACGGTATTCATTTACGGACTACAGATTTTACTAGGCTTTAGGCTAGTAAGCCTACTACAGATTTTAGGCTTACTTCTAGGCCTTAACCCAATCAAAGAAGCTGTTCTACAGCTTGATAAAAACCATCTGATAGCTGTATCAAGATCACTCGATTGATTTAGGTTTTTGGGGATTAAGCCTTTTTATTTTGATTTCTGTGACTCTAGTTAGTCAAAGTTAATCGTATCCTTTGTTGTAATTGAAGTTTTTGTTTATTTTGATTGCTTCAAGTTGTTTAACTTCGAAGAATTTCTTGTTATACTGAACGAAAACTAAAATTATACTGAATATACTGAACGAAAACTAAAATTGGTGAACCAAATGCTTGCTAAACAGCTAAACCAAAGCCTGCTAAACATTAAAAACTTTTATCGGTATTGAATTTTGAAAAATCATTCACAAATTTGAAATAGGCAGATCAAAAATCAAAAAAGTCTTTATTTTTCCAGACATTAACCTTAATATTGCAATCTTTTATATAATAATAATAGCTATTAGTGATCTCAAGAGTTCTCTGTGAAAAATAGACCTAGAAAACGATAGCCACAATAGTCCCTTCCGATCTAGGTTCGACTGGCAAACCATTTCTGTCATAGTTATCAACTCTTCTAACCGAAGACATCCCAAATCCGCATTCAGCCTTTCATTTGTTTTCATTCTTTCATTTCAATTCAACACTTCAAATCTGCATCCAATCAAAACAATCAATTCAACACTTCATTCATCATTCCATCCTTATCATCAACAATATTCTATCCGAAACCGCTCAATGGGGATTTATTGTGGGAATTTCTTTAGAAGAAAATCATCAAAAAAATAAACATACAAAAAGAAAGCCAAAGAATTTCCCTTCTTTTCTTCTTTCATTTCTTCTTCTTCTTCTTCTTCTCCTTCCCTCTTCTTCTTCTTCTTCTTCTTCTTCTTCTTCTTCTTCTTCTTCTCCTCCTCCTTTCCCCCATTCATTTCTTTTCTTCCAAAAACTTTCCGGAGACATATCATTTTTCTTCGTCTTCTTCAAAAAGAAACTTCTTGTTTTTTTAAGTCCATTTTTGAATTGTTAGGGAAATGTTTACAGGAAATTCAATTATGTCATCACGAATGAGGTGGAAGTGAAGAAAAATGAAGGAAAATCTGCCACGAGACGAGGCAACTCAACCGTGTCTACGAACATCGCCAACAAATAATAATAGTCGGTTTTGAGATTATTTTTTTTACTCATCAATGATTGAAACTGTTTCACTTGGGAATAGTTATGGTTGATCACGGTATCAGACCGAATTTTTATAACAGATTCAATCAAAACATTTCCGTGCTTAGAAAGTTTTAAAAGTTTGGCTCTCTGGTGCACAGACTTAGGTCTGATACACAAAGCGTTGGCTTTTCGGGGGCGTTGAACCAAATTTCGGTAGTACTCTATTTTGAAAGCAACTACCGGATTCTTAGGCCTCCGCCGAGTACACACTTTCAGCTGAATTCATAATAAATTAAGAGAATTCAATGCGGGACACCAATTTCAGTCCCTTGCATTTCATCTGACTAGTGACTAGTGAGATCCATTTAAGTACGATGAGTTCTGTTTATATCTAACTATCTCCGCATTCAGGTTCTCTCGTTTCCGCCCTCTCATCCTCATCAAATCGTCGTCCCGATTGTGCTCGTCGTTGTATTGTCTTCCTTCTTCTCAATGCTGTCTTCATCATGGCTGTCTTTTTCGCATTCTTTCTCGGTAGGTAAAGAAATAAGAAATGATTTAGTTTTCTTTCAAGGCAATACTATTACTTACACTAAACTTGTCTCTTCATTTGTACTCCAAAATGAACACTCTCTGGCTGGCTCATTGAGTTTAAAAATAAAAGAATGTCAAGCTCAAGATCCACCAAAGTCACAAGTCACAGATAAAAGATGGATCGTACTATACATAAATGCAAAAAAACTAAAATTCACTTATTGTCAGGTAAATGGTTAGCCGATCAACGCGTCAAAAATGTGACCGTACCTGTGGAAGAGGTTAGTCTAATGTCTAATGTCTAATGAAATTCTCGTTTTATCACAAGGTGTCGGATTATTCTAATAGCATGAATTATCAAAAAAAAAGCTTTATTCTCAGTTTCGATTGCAAACAATGGAATGGACGACAAGTCGACCAAAATGGGGACAATTTGGAGGAGAGAAAAGGGGATTAGATAAGAATTTTACGAGGATTTCGATGACAACGATGACAACAGAAAGGTTTACAAAAATGGGGACAACTGAAGGATCGCTGTCATCGAAAGAGATTCAACTGAATGCGAAAAGGACAACGGTTTGAATTGAAACGAATTGAATTAACAAATGCATGGGGTTGAGCACGAGAATTGATGAGTTTTTACTGATTTTTAAAGCTTGTTTATGTTTTTTTTTGTAAAATTGCTAATTTTAAATTGAATTGGCTTTTAAATTGATCACTATCTAAAGTTCTACAAATGAACTATAAATGAAGGGAATGGGACAAATGCTACCTTTTTTTGCGCACCCGGACATTTGCGCGCCTTTTTCCGCACCTTGCCCATTAGCGCACCTTTTTTCGCGTTTTAAAAAAGCTCTAAAAAGCTAATATTAATCGATTTCTATTCCAAAAGTTGTTTTTCTAGGTAATTTTAGGGCGTAGAATCGAAATTTTGACATATCAGAGCTTGTGGAAGCAAACGGACGGAGTTATACAAAGAGAAAAATCGACAATTTTCTGTAATTTGATCTAGCCGTTTTGTCTTTCAAAATGGTTCCACAAGCTCTGTTATGTCAAAATTTCGATTCTACGCCCTAAAATTACCTAGAAAAACAACTTTTGGAATAGAAATTGGTTAATATTAGCGAAAAAAGGTGCGCTAATGGGCAAGGTGCGGAAAAAAAGGTGCGCAAATGTCCGGGTGCGCAAAAAAAAGGTAGCATTTGTCCCACTCCCATAAATGAACAAATGATTCATTGATAAACAAAGATGCACTTTTATATGTAAATTTTCATATGAATTTTGTTATGTCTGTTTAAAGCCGATTACGGTTTTTCTTATCTTAATTTCAGTTATCTCGAAATTTTACACTTGCCGACGTTGTGCCGCCAGCTTTGCAGCATTTGGATGTAGTTGAGGTGAATTGAGAAATCGGGGAAAATTCCAAACTATTTTAACAATGCTATTACCCCATTTCCCTTCAGGCAGTTCATGGTTGGGGTGATCGTCAGCGATCGGAAGATATCGATACAATGCTCACGTCACTCCCGAAACACATCATCCCCATTCACTATGATATCACGGTTTGAGCTTTAGATACAGCGTTACCCTACCATTTTTGGGATAAGATCATCTCAACTAAGTCAAAAAGTCAGATCCTGTCCTGGATCTGGTTTGGGCTAACTTATCTTGCTTGGTTTATCAACATACAAAGCCATTTCAAAACAATTTTCTGAGTTAAGCAAGACCAGAAATAGGTACTGGCTCAGGCTCTTAGCCAATCGGTCATGATGGCTTATGATTTGCTAATCGAATTCCTCGATTCAGCTGGACGTGACCTCAATCCCGAGCAGTCGTTTCGCTTCAATGTCCAAAACGACACAATCCATTCTTTTACGGGGAAATGTCTCCATTGAAATCTCGGTGATTGCCAATTCAACAAACTCCGAAATTCTCCTGCACACCGGGCGAAAAATGTACATTAGCCGCATTCGTTTCATCGATAAACAAGGTTATTTTCTTCATTCTTCTTCTTGAAATTCGAATTCCAGGTCACACAATTCCTATTGAATCAAAAAATGAAGACAATGAGTTTAAAAGAATGAAATATCAACTAGCAAAGAAGTTGTCGATTGCACGGTGATAGAGATATTCAAATGAAAGTAATATCATTTTAGATACACAATTCATATCGAGTATAGTACCCCGCTTTGCACGGAAGATGGACTCGTTTGTTCACTGGTCAACTATGTGAGTTTTATGAGAATACGTAGAAATAGGCATCACAGCTATAGCTAAACCAAACTCTAACTTACTTTTGTTATCATTCAAAGCCTTCATCAATCTATTAATGCAGCAAAACGGCACTTCTTTGCTCGAATCGGTGACAACGAAATTCGAGCCAACCTACGCGCGAAATGTTTTCCCGTGTTGGGATGAGCCGCATGTGAAAGCGACATTTAATATTACGTGTAAGTGGCAAGAACAAATAAAAGTTCAGTCTATAGTTCCAATGACTTTTTTCAGTGATTCATCCAACTTGGCTGATCGCTCTCTCAAATATGCCAATGATGGAAAGAATCGAGGCGACAAGGGGATTAAATGGGAGAGATGCGTTTAAGGTAAGCTAGGGATAGACAAGATTTTAAATTAGGTTTATACAAAAAAATTTTTTTAGGCAAGCATCTCTCGTTTCGAGAAAACCCCGTTGATGAGTGCTTATTTGGTGGGATTCGCTGTGGGTGAGTGGGTTAGAAAAGTCAGATGTTGGTTTATTTGTTTCAAATGTTGGAGCTTTAAAGTATAGGATTTTCTTATTCGGTAATTGAATTGTTTTTGAAAACTTAGCTTAATTCTGCTATGTTCTGTCTGCTCAGGCATTTGAAATGTCCTATAGACATTTCAAATGCCTATAGAAGGTCAAGTTGTTCTGCTGGACTCTTTAACGTAGAGTGCTTTAGTCGATCAATGCATTATCAAAAGATCAATAATCAGTCTACTTTTGGAATCTTTTGTAATCAAGCAATAACTTTCAGGAGATTGGATTTCATTGGAGAGTCGCAGTGGATCGGGAGTTCAGTTGAGAGTTTGGGTGGGAAGAAGCGAAGCAGCTGATGGGACGGTGGCCGCACAATTGGCGCCAGTGCTGCTCGAAAGGATTGAGAACGATTTACAGGTTTGGGAAAATATTGAATTGGATTTGAATGCTCAAAAAGTTCACTAGTTGGTAATTGTGAATCTGATCTTTTCTCCGTTTTCAGATCACTTTCCCGATCCCAAAACTGGACATCGTGTCGGCTCGATCGTTTCCCGTTGGGGGAATCGAAAATTGGGGTAATTTTGATAATAAAAGCAGCTAATTTAGTTTCCTAGCTATTGTAACTGTAACCAAAAGCATATTTTAGAAAAACAGGATTCCAGATTATTAATTATCACCAAAAAAAAACCCATTTCCATTTCAGGATTGGTGATCATCGATTCGGGTGCTCTTCTAACACCAAGTGATATTCATGGTATTGTGAATCAATATTTTATTCCTATATTTTATCTTTGTCCTTTCAACAAGGATATATTCATCTTTAATCTTTAATCATCTTGCTTCTTAAATTCCAGAATGTTTTATCCATGGTTGAATATGGTTTTGAATAGATTTAAGCTAGAATGAATGAAAGAGCACTCAACCCAAATCATTTATGCAATTTTCTCCAGATCTTTATCTCAACCAGAGAAATATTGAGAGAAATTTACATTTATCCTATTCTAATTGTCGGGCAAAAGATGTAATACCCAAATTTCTTTGGAAAATCAATAATTTTAGGCTCAATCAATATGACTGTGGATCGTCTCTTTCACGAATATCGAATCGAGAAAATTGTCGCTCATGAGATCGCACATCAATGGTTGGATTTGAATGTAAAAAAAAAATGATGAAATCCTTTAGGTTTGGTGATTTGGTGTCAGTGAAGAGTTGGGATGAATTGTGGCTTTCTGAAGGGATTACATGTCATGTTGTGGAAGAACTTCTAGCCAAAACACATCCACTTTTATCCCAATTTGACTCGAATTCCCGACTGGCTGATATGACACGACTACAGGTTAGTTATTAGTCAAAAACAGAATAAACAGCTTGTAAATGGACTTACAAGGGACTTCTTTTATTACTTGCGACCTTTTTCCGAGAAAATCATGGGTTGGCGCTTTAAAGTGTGGTAAAACTAACATACCCCTCCAATTTGCGCAAAATTTAATTTTTTTCATTTTTGTTCATTTCATTTTACTCTTTTTACGTTTTTTTCGACGTTTCAACGTTTTTTCAACTAAAAGTCAGAAAAACAAAATCTCCGCCATAGAAAATGATAAAAACCACTTAACTTAACATTAGTTGGCATCAAGTTCGTGAAGCAGATCGTCGGGAAGCAAGCAAGTGGGTCTAAAAAACCCTACAAACAAAGCTTTCGTCACAGAAAGTGCTGTTAAAAACGTAACTTAGCTTTATCCTCTTTGTTTCCTGCAAAAACAAACGAATCAGAAAAACGCAAAAAGAATAAAATGAAATGAACAAGAAGGAAAAAAATGCGAAAATTGGAGGGATACGGTAGTTTTACCACGCTTTAATGCGCCAACCCGGGATTCTCTCGGAAAAAGGTTGCAAGTCTTTGACTAGATTTGCTATTGATCAAATTACTATCAAATAACTGGTAAACTGAATATTCTAGCGTCCAAATCATTCAAATTTCTCTCACTTTCATATAGGAAAACTTTATATTACTGTATGTATAAAAACAAAGCCATACTGTGCGACTCAAGCATATACTTGTAAATATAATACAGTAGACAATCCTTATGTACTTCAAGATTTCTCAATTCCCATTACAGAGCCTCGGCAGTGCCCCATCGCTCGTCCGTCAATTAAGCACTGAACACGATGTCGAGCGCTCCTTTCACTCATCCCATCTCTACACGAAAGGCTCGGTTCTTCTCCGAATGATCACCCATCTCGTTTCTGATTTCGATTTTCGAAATGCACTCAAAAAGTTCTTTCTCTTGGAATCACTTTTTCGTAATCTCTTTTCTAGATACATTGATCGTTTCGGACATTCGAGCGCCGATCGAGCCGATCTTTTCTCGGTTTTACCATCGGGTGCCACTCATGGAGCTGAGCCACTCGAACTGAGGGATGTTCTTGAACCATGGCTGGTTAATCCGGGGATTCCTGAAGTGATTGTGAGGTGAGGGTTGTGGTTAACACGAAAGTTCAAGTCTTACAATTCAGTCGATCCTACGATAGTTCGATGATCTATTTATGGCAAAGGAAAGCCTCCGTTCATCGATACGCCGTTTTTCTGAATGATGCTTCTGGATACGATGTTTGTTTAGGAATTGGAATTCATTTAGACTAAAAATATTCAGGAGGCTTTTGAGGCACAGCGGAGAGAGTCCAGGGATGTTGGGAGGTGAGTGAAGGAGATTTGCTTTGAAGGGTTTACTTTGGAAAGCTTTTCAAAGCTGACCACTCCTTGCCCTTTACGGACGAACTGTCAATCATTACCTTCAGAAATTCTTTTAGACAAGGTGATGAAGCTCATCATCAACCAAAACCGTGGAATGAAATGATGGGAAAGAAAAGAACAAGAAAACCGCGACCCCATTCAAGAAGGAAAAATAAGGTGAGAAAGGGAGGGGTTTGATGAGAAAAGATTTTAGGGAAAAGATGGCAAAAATAAAGATGGCACAATGAATGGACAGAGGCCGCCAAGAGAAGTTCGGAAAGGAAAAGAGAAAGGAAAGAAAGAGATTTCAGATTGGAGACGATATCTGGATTATTCCGTTTAGTTACATGTTTGGAACGATGAAGAGCATTGAGGGACAGGTTGGTGGAGAAGGGGATTCAGGGGAAGACAAAACAAGACAACACTTGAAAGTTGACTCCTAAGGTGGTACCGATGATCAAAGCGATCACTATAACTAGTTCTGAATTAAGTTTAGCCTATAAGTTAGATCTTTAAATGCTTCTGTTCAAATTCTCCTTTTCACAAAATTGCAGGTTGTCCGTGAACTTTGGTTGATGAATCGCACGATCGGTTGGTCAGATGTCGAGCTGTCGCCAAACGAGGTGCTGATCGTGAATCCCGATTGGAAGTTTCCCTATCGAGTGAACTACGATCGACAGAATTGGAAAATGATTGCCAGATTGGTAAGTGAATATCTCTTTTCATCTGTGAACATCATTTGGAAACGCCGATCTTTTTATGGGTTGGGGCTAAGTCGGCGTTCGAACCCGCCCGCCATCTCTCGCTTACCGCGCGAACTCTCTACCAATGAGCTACATCAAAACGTACCCCATTGCCAGAATAGATTATCCCTTGCTCATGAATCCTTTCAGTTACACCGTTCATCGGACACTCTCCCCGTGGCCACTCGAATGCAACTTCTCACCGATGCCGAGGTGTACTTGGCGCATTCGGAAGTCCCACATCTTTACATTTACATATTGGGGTAATTAGTAGTAAATAGCTAGAGTACGGTAGCTTTCCCCCATCTTATTAAATGACTGTACTTTAGCTATTTGAGCGAGGAAAAAGATCTCGGAGTTGCTTTGCTGGGATTGGATGCAGTGTATCGATTGGCTGACTCTTTCAAAGGTTTACCAAATTCATCGAAATTCCAATATTTTTCCTCTTTAAGGTAGCTCAATCTCTCCATCTCTCCTCTCATATTTTGCGCCATTTGTGAGCCAATTGGATCGTTTGCTGAAAGAATCTCAATCGGAGCCCGAATTGGCCGCCCTGTGGCTTGTGGAACCAACAAGGTTTTTGAAAATCGACGTTATTAACCTCAAGAACATTTTCAGATTATCAAAACTCTATCAATTGAGATGTGCGACGAATACGAGTAGCTGTGATCACGAGAAACAGGTTTGCGAGAGGGGAAAGGATTGCAAGAATCTCTCTCAGACAGCTCAATGGGTTGCAAGTGGGGGAGCAGCGGCGGAAGATGTTCATCGACAAGCAACCGCTTTATGTCATTCATTGGCCGGTAAACCGACACAAGAAGAGGTTTCTTATGATTAGGAATAACTTTATACTATGTCTTATTCAAGTTCAAAACAAGTAACCCTTTTCCCATTGCAGCTTTCCCTTGTTTGGTCTCAATTATCGAGTGAGGGATGGTCGGTGGGAGTTCAATTGGCTGCTTGTGCGAATGATTCAAAGCTCACCGCGGAAGCAGCTGCAAAAGTGGTGGCGACAAGGAATGCGGTTGGTTCTTGGTTTGAACTATGTTAAATCTTGTGATTGAAGTTGATATATAAGCTGGAAATATGAAGTTTTTTTGACATTTTAACAACGAAAAATTTATTTAAGCACTCAAAACAAATACACCACAAGCATTAATAACTTCTTTCCAACGTTGCCCCAAATCACGAATACCGTCCTCGTAAAATTAAAGATTTTTAGAGGCAAAATAGTTGGCAACCCAATTTTCGATGTCCTGCCTTTGTTTGAACTGCTGTCCAGAAACTGCTTGTTTCATTGACCGAAAGAGATGGTAATCCGATGGGGCTAGATCAGGGCTGTATGGTGGGTGTGGAAGAAGTTTCCAGCTCAACTTGTCGATTTGTTCGTGGACGATCTTTGAAATGTGAGGCCAGCATTGTCGTGAAGAAATCTGACCTTCGATGGATCGATCCTCTTTTCCCCAATCGGTCGACTCGACCCATTTGTTCTGCATAAAGTCTTCCGTCAACAGTGTCTCCTTTATCTAATATTTCCAAATGAGCCAACCCTTAGCATTCCACCACACACAAAGCATAACTTTTCCGGAGGCTGGATAGAATGAGAGGTCCGCTTCGAACTCAGCCACTGTCCAAGAGTTGAATATTTTCATACGAAAGCCAAGTCTCACAGATGTCAAAAATACCCAAAAGTCACGAGGCTAGCTTTACGTAGAAGAACAGAGCCAAGGGACTCGGGGGTTTTGTGGGCATGGGGGCCGGGGGAGCCAATTCCCGCTCCGAACTGATTTCCCAAGAACGGTGAGAGGGGCCGCGCAATTTTCTACACTTTTGCGATGGACCAAGCGCCTCGTTCAGTAACAGCTGATGTCCAAAGTAATCGGCGGCTTTCCATGTGGTGCGTCTTCCAATGACTCGTTTCGGGTTTGACCGTAAAATACAAATGCAAAACAGACAAATGTTTGTGGATTCCGTAGCTTCTTGTTTAATTTTAATTAAAGAAAAGGGGGGCCTTGTTTTTAAAATTTTTTTTTTTTTTTTTTTGGGGGGGGGAAAAAAAAAAAAATTTTAAAAAAAAAAAAAATTTATAAAAAAAAAAAAGGAGATTTAAAATTTAAATATAGAAAAAAAAAAAAGGGGGGGGGGTTTTTTTAGGAAGGGGGGGGAAAAATTTTTAAAAAAAAAAAATAAAAAATATATAACGCTATTCCAGGCTGTTTATGCATCGGCTCTCCAATCGGATTTCAGTCTTAATTACAATCGCCTCTTTCGAACAATGTTTTGGCAGAAAATGAGTGAGTTATCGCTAAAATTTTAATAATATTAATCAATAGCCTCTTAAAAAAGATTTATCGTTAAAGTTTAGGCGAGTTGTCGACATTGGAAAGGGTTGTTCTCTTCTCTGCAAATCTCACCGAACCTCGTCCCGCATCAACAGTACTTTTGCATTCAGTGAGAACACATGAAGAGCTTAGACAGGTAAAAAAGGTGAGCTAAGCTGACCAAGCTGACTAAGCTGACTAAGCTGACTTTCGTCATTGATTTCAAATTTCAAATCGTTCCAGGTCCGATCCTTGATCCCTGAATGGGGCCATGCAATGAATATCCACGTAGAATGGGTCGAGCGTCTTCTCCTTTGGCATTCCTCCGTCTCTCGATCACTTTCCGATTTCTTTCGATCCGATCGACCAACATTTTGATGTTGGTCAATCGGAATGAACCATCTTTTCCAATTTTATAGTAATTGTGAACCTTTTTATGAAATTAACATTTACAATGCTGGCAAAAGATTCACAAGAACCCATTTTACCCATGTGCAATCAACGTTTCCAGATCTCAATCTCATTTCAGATATCTTTTTGCTTGTCAAGATCAGATTTTTCCCCAAATTTCTTTTTTTTTTTTGGTAGTCTTGTGGCCTTATTTTCCTTGTGGTTCCCCAATTTTTGCTTTCTTTTATCCTCTATCCTTTTCATTTTCCCTTCATTTCAAATATTCTGTGATATTGATTGTAAATAGTGAGTAATAGTAATAATAATAATAATAAACGATTCTTTGTACAAACAAATGAATGCAGGAATCCATTTCAATGATTTCAATGATGTTCCTCAAAAGTGAATGTCGGATTGTCGTGGGATTTCTCGTATCTATCAAACGAGGATTCTTTTAATTCCTCGAAATTCGGTCGATCGCCTGGCTCTTTACGCCAACAAGATCGCATACGGTTGTAGCTGAAAAAAACAATTTTAAAGGTTTTAAAGATTTTAAAGCTTTAGAACTGAATTTCAATAAATCCCTGAACTCACACATGATTTGAGGCAAGTGCCGGCTGTGCAGGCATCTTCCCCGCCGCAACAGCCATATGCACAGCTTCATCGTTTGGTAAATCGACGAATGGAGCATTTCCTAGAGAGAAAACCTCCCAAAGCAGCACGCCGAATGACCAACTGAAATCAGGATTTTAGAAAAGAAACCCTTTTCTTTCACTAACACATCACTTTTTGCCGTGAAATGCCCCAAATATGCCTCGGGAGCCATCCAACGAGCGGGCAATCGACGAATCAATCCACTGCCCCGACCAAACTTTGGATCACCCGGATCAGAACAAAAATTGAAACCAGAGATCTAGATTAGATGAAAACACTATTGCAGTTACAATAGTGTCTATTGTAGAGCACCTATTGACAATCAAACGGAAAATGAAACGTTCTAAACTGTAGTCCTTCACCCACTTTTGCTCTCAACTCTGTGGTGAGTAAAATGTTGCGAGCTGCGAGATCTCGATGAATGAGATGACGCTGGTGGATGTAAGCCTGAAAATATTAATGATGTCATTGCCAATCAAAAGCTAATCAAAAGCCAATCAAAAGCTAATCAAAAACCGCACCATTCCATCACAAATCTGCCATATTATTTGATAAAGTTGCTTGTGTGGAATTCGATCGTGTTCGTGAGCGTATTCATGCATTCTAAATTGTTTACATAAGGAAAATTCAATCTCTTACCTTTCATTGATCTGTCTGAGGTATTTCCCGAAATTTGTATGTGTTAATTCTAGCAGAGAACAAACAAGATTATCGATTGATGACCAGCCTGGAAATCCTTTTAATGATAAAGATTTTCAAATGAATAGAGAAATAAACAAACCAAGAAATAGAGCTACATGTGCGTGACATCTCAATCGCCTCATTGAAGCAACTTCACGGAACAATTGCTCCTCTTCAGCCTCGTCGAATCGTCGGGGAACCTGGAAATACCTAAGGGGTTTTTGAGGTCGACGAATCGACTAGAGCTATTCTTTTTATTAAGTCGACCAATTAGAACTTGGATCTAGTGGTATGGCTTTTAGATAAAGCCAAAAACTTCTTACCATCACTACCACTACCACACCCAAAATATTCCCCAAATTTTTACCCGAACAGCCACTGCGCAATCTTGAAATTGTCTCATCTCGACTCGATCAATCCACTGCATAATCGGCGCTTTCCCTTTCAACCTTCCTAAATACAATTCTGATTGTTATTCGATCATTCCCTCACCCAAATACACATCCGAATGTGTCCCTTCACCCAATACACATTCTCGATCAATATGCACTCGATCGGCCTTGATTTCCCAGGGAAGCCTAGCCATTTTCACGTTCTCCTTGGCCACCCTAAAATCAATTTGATATATCTTATTAGATCTCACCAGCTGATTATATCTCACGCTCACTTCGTTCGCGTTTTCCGCTGCGGAGGCGGGGAACCCGTTCGGGCCCTTTACGTCCCTTTAGAATCGGTTCGGCGAACGCGCATAGTTTAAAGAGTCCATGTACAATAGAAAAAGAGAAGACAAAGAGAAAAGGCACGTAAAAAGAAACAAAGAATATAATTGTTTCAGTCGAGTCGAGCGCACAAGACGACTTTTTTTAGCACAAAACTTTCTTTTCAAATGACTTTTCAAATGACTTCAAATGAATTCAATTCAAATTCTTTTCAATAACTAAAACTACTGTCAACCATGTTAAGCCGCGCACGATGAGCACAAAATGTATCGGTAGATTAAAAATATCGGTTGATTCCGTAGATTCAAAATCTGATTTCTGTGAAATGTAGAAAGCATCTCAGCTAAGCGAAAAACAAAACAAAAAATTCTGAGCATTGGAAAAAAGTTATTAGAACTGCAAGTTTGAAAATCAAGTGATAACAAAAATACCGTAACTCGAACAGTTACGTAACTTTAAATGTAAATTTGTAAATTTGGAATTGCCAAAAAAAAATGAACCTAAAAGTCAGATTCCCCATAGTCGAAAACCTAGGGAGCAAAATATCAAAATAAAAAAAGCTGAATACTTTGCCTTTTAACCGATAAAGCAAACGTAATGACGGAGTGTCGCGTTTGCGCACAGACAGACAGACAGACAGACAGACAGACAGACAGACAGACAGACAGACAGACAGACGTCTTTTCTGCTTTATGTACGGTAGATACTTGTATTGCAATGGTTGTGCTGCGATTTCATTCATCATTTCCAATTGTTCTTGGTAAAGTCTTCGCGATTTTTGATATATCATATAGCCGACAATAATCGCTGAAGAACCAGCACAAATCGTCATCCAGATCTAAACAAAAATAAACTATCAAAGTTAAACTAATTACTGCTGCCTATCGTAATCCTCAATTTTCTAGTCGACTTTTTTTGATAATGATTACGGCAAAATACACAAATACTCAACTGATTACTGCTTTCTATTTGATACTAACTTTAGCCAATTGAAATCAAATAAACCCCTTTCTATTATAAACCCTTTCTATTAGACACTCAAATCCCTCACCATATCATCGACAGCCAAATAGAAATGCTTGGTTTTATGGTAAGGCTTTGAGGCCAAGAGTTTAGCTAAAAATTTCAATTTTAAAATTTAAAGCCAAATTTTGTCACTCTGTGAAACGACGTCTCGACAAACGGTACTTTCATTGTAGATCTGAGTGGATAGCCAAGTGTAGGGAAGGACCAAATGATCTGGGATTCTTACTCATTAAGCCTAATCGGAATCAAACCCAGATCCGAGCTGAGTTTATCAAGTATTTTGCTTGTCACCTCGTTGTAAACAGTTAACGGATCATCGTCAGCCCAAATATGAAATGGTGCCTGAAAACGTTTTACAACAATACAACAAAACGTTTTAAAGCTTTTTCTTTTGTTCAAGAATTTGAGTTGTAATTAAGAAAACAGATATTAAAGCTACCGTAAATACTGTAATAGTACAGTCGCGTACAGTCGTCGTACCTCCCTCGTACAGTTACGTAGTCGCAAATTTTTTTAGTATTTCATTTTTTTTTCAAAGCGCCCGTACTTTCAAAAAATGTGTCTTTGGTATCAAAAAATAGCCCTGAATTTTAGCTATTTTTTGATACCTAAGCGCGCATCGTAGCATAAACCAGTGTCGAGAAAAACTCGTTCAAAGCTAGACTACGCAACACTCCGCACCGTCATTATGGGGGTGGGGTACTATTACAGTATTTACGGTATAGAAAAGTTATGAAATTGAAAGCTTTGCTAGAGCTCCTTTTCCCATTAACTAACCGAAACATTAAGTCTTTGATCCTCCAATTGATCACTTAGCTCCAGCCTCTTTCCAAGCAATAAAACAGAAAATGTATAGTTTGCTGGAGTGGCTCCGGATGGGTAAAGTGAAGAAATGAAATCTTCTATCACTTCGCGTTGAGCATTTGTCGAATTGCTGATATCTGAAAAGAGATGGATTACTGTAGCTGATTATGATGAGAATATGATACTATAAAGATAAAGATATTCAGTCTATCCTAAGATAAAGATATTCAGTCTATCCTATATAATTAAACGATTGAATTTTTAAGGCATATCCTTATATCAGTCACACTTACCACTTGTTTTTCTGAAAAAGCTGATACATTTCGAGCCAAAGTCTGCCGTTTCCGCCTCTAACCATGGGAGATCGATCTCTAAAATCATTTTTCATTCATAATTTCCAATCAAAAAACCCCGTGTCGCATTAGCGGTAACGTAAGTGATCGAAGCGAATTTGTCATTCATTCGACCCTGCAAAGGATGACACAAAGCACCGCTTACCTAAAATAAGAGAAACGAACTGAGGGATCTAAGAATTACTTCAACTGCTTCAACTAAGCAGCTTTAACTAAGCAGCTTTAACTAAGCAGCTTTAACTAAACAGCTTCAACTAAACAGCTTCAACTTCAACTGCTTCACGTCCACACCAAACTCCTTATTCCAAACTCACTTCTTACAGCTTCTACAACACTTACCATATTGAGAAAGACTTTCTCAGCACTTTGCATATAAAGATGATCAACGACATAGATCATATTCATGGCGGGAATGAGTGATTGTTGATCGGTTGGAAAGTCTTAAATAAATCATTTTTTTTTCAATCATTCCATTAAAACAACCAAAAGAGACATCTTTAACGAAAGCATTGTAAATATTCTTTAGATCATCAATCGTCGAATAAACGTCAAATTGAGCGAAATGTCGGATATCATCCAAATTCATATCATGGGATAAACCCAAAATTAATGTGTTTGGCTAAAGTGAAATTAACACAAAAAACAAGGCTCAGAGCAAACAGTTTGAATGAAATCGTTGAGAAGAAAAGTCGCATTCACATTCACGTAATCACAAATGATCACAATTTGTTTCTTCTTGGCCACACTTGAGGAGACGGTGTTCTCAGCGATCACCTGCAATCGATCATGTCGAATTTTCGACATCATCGATTTGATTTTTAGGACAAATTCAAGTGATATTATTGTCTTTTGATATAGTTTTAAAGAGGATCTTTTGGCTTTTCAAATAATGCCAAATAGATGTTGATTTGACTTAAAAAAAACTCGAGATTAACGACCGCGCATCTTTTGCGAAACGACCGATTTGAATGAGGGATTAAAATGAATAACGAAAGCCCATAAATTTACGCATGAGGCCTTAAAAGAGTCTTAAATCTGAATCCGGCCTTAAATTTAGGCCAACAAACTTCATATAGTTTATTTTCACAGTTTTAATTATTTTATTTTTTTTTACGCTTATCGCTTTTTATCGCTTTTTAATGGCCATTTTATTTATCAAAAGAATTCTAAAGGAACATATAGAATACACAAAGGAATGGCGTTTTTCTAATGTAACCAATAATTTTTGAAGGCAAACAATTGAACAATTGAAGGCAAACAATTCTAGAGGAACATAGAGAATACATTTATCGAGAAGTTAACTATTAGAAATTTCTAGAGAAAAACTAAGAGAGTTTTCTACTAGTTAACTATTAGAAATTTCTAGTAGTTAACTAGTAGTTAACTAGTAGAAAACTCTCTTAGTTTTTCTCTAGAAATTTCTAATAGTTAACTTCTCGATAAATGTATTCTATATGTTCCTTTCAGAATTGTTTTGAGCCTTCAAAAATTATTGATTACATTAGAAAAGCACCATTTTTTAATGGCCGGTTTAATTACCCAAGTCCCGAGCCCATATCCGGGGCAGTGTGCCAGACGCCGTTTTTCCCTACGAGCGACACGAATAGAACGCACATTGAATTTCCTTTATAAAACTTTTTTTAGAAAAATCAAAAATAGAAAAAAAACAATTTTTCGAATTTTTTTTTGAATTCTAGCACTTCATCTTTGTAGCTACTCCATTAAAGTATCCCAAACTATTAGAAAATATTTTTTGCAAAGCGTTTTCGCTCGGGGGGAGTCTTAATTAGAAGAGTTTTATTGGAGTTGAGGCCTCCCGCGCCTTAGACCACTCGGTCATGGAATCCGAGTTAGCACCCGGTTTTTCCGCTTTTTACAAAAAATCACACAACTTCCTAATAAAACTAATGCCGGATTCAAAAAGAGGACCTAGAATTACATGTCCTGACAAATTTTCAATTCATTTGGTCCAGGCATTCACAAGAAACAGCCGTGACTCGGCATCGAGTCACGTGGTTGGAACGGGTTGCCAAGCGTGACTCGGCATTCAATCACGCGGTCAAAAACTCGGCATTCAATCATTCAATCATTCAATCATTCAATCAAAACTATCGCAATGCGAACTGACCGGTCCCTGAATATTGTACTTGACCGAGTCGGCGATCTCCGTTCCATATTGGATATCGTCTTTCGATTTCGTCAACGATTGACTGTAATATGAAGTGAGTAAATCGGGTTTGTCGATCCATTGCTGTAATTGATTCTGATAAAAGTCATCAAATGATTTCGCCCTCACATCGATTATCTTTAGTAAATTATCCGTTTCCACCGGTGCCGCTGGAGTGCTCCCAAAAATGAAGTGATATTTCGTCGTCTCGTTTAGAGTTAACTGCAATTTGTTGTAGATTTTTTTTGCTAATATAATTTGGATATTTTGATTTTATTGTGCCTGTAAATTTGCCTGTAAATTTGATCGCTTTTTTGGCCGCTAAATAAATCAAAGAAGGCAAATATTGAAGGAAACAAGCTGATAAGTTTACACAAAAAAAAAGAAGAAACCTCTGTGTAGAATTTGAGAATTGCGATAAAACTCGATTCATCAATTGCTGGAGTGATTGTCACCAAAATATATGTTGAAGTACCCAACGTTGGACAAGCTGATGAAAGGACGGGGTTGAGGGAATTGCTCTAAAATTTGCTAAGATTTTGCATCTTTATATAGCTAATATAAAAGAATGACATTTTTGAGTCACATTCAATTCAATTTCGAAAGCTTGTAGGTTGCAAGAAAGGCTGAACTAAGCTAGGCCAGAATCTGAGCCTGATCTAGTCCGATTTTGGAACTTGAAACTCTAACAATATGACTAACAGCTTACCGTATTTTCTCTAATAGTAGTGGTGCACATGAGCCTTGCCTAAATTGCTCGAGATCTCGAGAACCGCTTATCAGAACCTATCGATGTGGGGTCGGAAAATTTAGCTGACGATGAGATCTTGTGGGGGATTTGAGTGTTGAGCTTCTGTGAAAACTTTGAAAGCCGTAAAATAGTCACCAACTCGGCTCGCTTTGGTGCATTACTATTAGAGAAAATACGGTATATCATTTTATAAAAAGATTTAAATCTAACGAAAGAAAGATCTAAGCCTACTTTGATAATGAAAAGTTGACATTATCAATCTAATAAATGAATTTACGGTGAATGAGATTTTAAAACCATTTTAAAACAAAACCAATAGTTAAAACAAAACCAACCAATAAGCTAGACTTGCTTAACGATAAATTAACGGTAAATTAATATAATTTAAATTAAATTAATTTCAGGAATCATGATAGTTACCTTTCTGACATCATAAGCCACTTAAAGGGAGTTTCGTGTTATATTTTCAATCGTTTATTAGGAGAAATAGGACAAAATTAGCCATCAAAAATGACAAAAATCCATCATTGTTACTGTTAAACAAGTCTACTCGTGGATAAATCGATTCCAAAAAAAACCCTACTCAATTTTGGAAACTTTCGAATAATCTAGATCTTGTTTAAATCGCATAATTGGGGAGTGCGACAAATGCGACCTTTTTTTTGCGCACCCGGACATTTGCGCACCTTTTTTTCCGCACCTTGCCCATTAGCGCACCTTTTTTCGCGTTTTAAAAAAGCTCTAAAAAGCTAATATTAACCAATTTCTATTCCAAAAGTTGTTTTTATAGGTAATTTTAGGGCGTAGAATCGAAATTTTGACATATCAGAGCTTGTGGAAACAAACGGACGGAGTTATACAAAGAGAAAAATTCACAATTTTCTGTAATTTGATCTAGCCGTTCTGTCTTTCAAATCTTTCCCCATAATTGATCAAATTTATGTTCGAAACTTACCAATCTGGCTTCAGTTGCAACAAAAACAATAAAAAGAAGTGAAGAGAAGAGATTCCTCATTTGACAACCATTGAAAAGGAATTGCATGGAATTTTTCCAAGTAAAAGATAGAAAAGGAGATTCATGAGATCACCCCCATCCCTTGGTTCCTTCATTTCCTTATCTCCTTTCCCCGCTTGTCTGTGCATTTCCCTCATTTTTCAGCGCCATTTTATAAATAGCCGCAATAAAATAGTTTATTTTCACACAATTCAGAAATATTTTCTGATAGTTGATGCAATAATTGGCGAATGATCAATGTCAAGCATGTTATCATGAGAGAATCCAATCGGAAGAGACTCTGTGATGAGATTTTTGTTTGAAATCCGACTCCTCCATCCTAAATCCGATCCGTTCACTGAAAGCAATACCATCTTCAGGGAATTTGTTGCGATTGGAGCCGTCCATTCACTCGCCATCACAAGGAATTCCCAAGAAGAGCGGATCATTCTCTCGAGAAGAATCTAGAGTTGACTAGAGTGAATCTAGAGAAACTAGAGTCGAGAGTAGAGTATCAGTTTGCATGTTTAGTCTTCTTATCTTGTCTTCTTGTCAATCAACTTTTCTATAGAATAGAATAACTTTTCAAGCTAATAAAAGCTGTTTTAACCTGATCCTGAAACGGAGAACTCGTCCACTTCTCCAAGATCTCTTTCATTTGTTGTGCGTGTTGCTCAAAAGTCTGCAAAGTTCCATCAATCGATCCATCCACATTGATTAGAAGTGCATTGGGATAAGACAAATGTTTGACAGCATACTAAATTTTAACAGTTTGGCAGCATACTGACAGTATACAACATAGAATATGCTTGTAAAGCTATTGCTAACAATAGCTTTACAGGCACGCTTACAGAATAAACTGTCAAAGTGACACTTTGCTGCGTAGCATGGCGTACACTTCGGTATTTAGCAGTCAGCTAGCAAGATTTTCGGTATTAATACGCCATCATTTGACGTTTACAAACTTTGATACGGTTTCAATACGGTTCCTATTTTGATCTGATACGGTTCCAATAAGGTTCCAATACGGTTCTTATTTTGATCTAATACGGTTCCAATACGGTTCCAATACGGTTCCTTTTTTGATCTAATACGGCTCCAATACGGTTCCAATACGGTTCCTTTTTTGATCTATCAAAGTTTACAACAAGATATTTGGCTTTAGCTAGCTAGAAATCTAATTAATCTTTCCCACTTGATAAGCCAACTTTGCTCCAAACGATGACCCAATCAGAACGATTTTTCCAATCAATTTCTTGTCTAATTCTTGAGAATACTTTTCCACCAACTCTTCAATCGATTCAGCAAAAGGTTCAATATCTAAAGAAAGTACAAATCAATATAAATCGTTTTCTAAAATGTATCAAGTCCTTATTCTTCTCCTCACCTTCCATTGGCTCCTCAAATGTGTGCGGATGTTGAAGAATATAAATATTATAATTGAAATTCTTCATTTCATTGATCAAATATTGATATGGAATAAATCCTCCACCCAATAATGGATGAAAGAAAACGATTGTTCCTTTTGGATTTTCAACTTGATAAACAAATTCAACAATTTCAATCGTTTTTAACTGATTTTCCTTGTGTTTTACAATCATTTCGACCATGTTTTCCACTGTTGAAAAGCGAATCAACAATGACAATGGGATTTTTACTCGAATTTTATCGAAAATCTCATTCTGAACCTCGATTAGCTTTATCGAACTGCCACCGGATTGGAAAAATGAAATCCCACCCGGCTTTGCACCGACTTTTCTCCAGATTTCTTCAATCGTTGATCGTATCGAGTTTTCCGTATTAATTATGCTCATTTTCTCTTCATTTTCTGTATTAATTATGCTCATTTTCTCTTCATAATCTTTCTCGACTAAATGCCTATCATTCAACAATAAAACCATTGTTGCAATATCTCGAAACTTTGGTTTCTTATAGATTTCTTCCGGCGAAATCTTTAAACCAAATCGCTCATTCAACTTCTCACAAAATACAGCAACATTTAACGAATTTCCACCAATATAAAAGAAATCATGATGATTTTTGATCCCCTTTTTTCCCAAGGATTTTTCAACAATTTGAATGATTTTAGAAGTGATTTCTTCTCTTTTATTTTCTATATTTTTATCAAAATCATTAATATTTTCAATATTTTCAATATTTTCAATATTTTGAATAACTTCTTTATCCAATAACGATCTCCCAATTTCTTTCAACTTATTCAAATCCACTTTGCAATTCGATGTCAATGGCATTTCTTGTAGATAGAAAATCTCATTTGGAATCATATGACGCGGGATTGAGGAGGAGAGCTTTGACATTAAATCTGAAATTATCCTTTCTTGTTCTTTAGTTGATCTTATAAATGAACAAATCCTTACCTTCAATTTCTTTCCCTGAATAGAAAGCGATTAATGTCTGATCGTTGAAAAGTAGACATCTTGCATGTTTCACTCCATTTATTCCCACCAGCGATGCCTCGATTTCTCCCAATTCCACGCGATGACCGTTCAGTTTTATCTAGATAGATTTTAAAACCAATTTTACTCAATTAACACTTTCAATTCGAAAAGTTAGTCTATGATTAAACTAAGCTGATTAAGAAGATTGTTTCTAGCTGAATGGGGATTGTGCATCTTTCCACTCACTTGTGCATCTTTCCTCCCCAGGAAAACGATCCGTCCATCCGGCAACAACTCGACAAGATCTCCCGAATCGTAGAACCTCTCCCGAATCGTAGAATGAAGATCTCCCGAATCGTAGAATCTCTCCCGCTGATGGAAAACAAAAGATTCTTGAATTGTTCTATTCAAATACCCTCTCATCAATCCATTTCCACAAATCAAAAGCTCTTTACTTTTGCCGTTCTCTTGACGATTTCTCAAAATGAATCCCGCATTTTGAATGATTTCCCCTAAATTATTGGCATGATCTCCCCATTTCATGTGTTTATAAAAAGCAAAACACGTCGTTTCAGTAGGCCCATAATTCTGAATGATATTCACGCCGATTTGCAGTCCTTTCTCGAAAAGACTTTTTGCCAATTTCTCAGCACCAACTATCCAATATCTTAAACGTTTTAGTTCAAAAAGTTCACTTTCTGAGAACATTTGTACAAGTCCTGGGAACAATAAAGCATAGGTTATTCTATGTTTTTTTAGATTTTTCACGAAATTCTTTGGTGTAAACGGTTGTTGTTCGAATATCAACAATCCACCATTCACAAAAGCCATCGAGTACTCCAAAACACTATTATCATAAACGAAATTGGTGAATTGAAAGGTGCAATCGTTTGAAGTGATAAAGAAATGACGAGTTGATTGAAGGGACATGTTGATGATTGATTCGTTTATGTTTACTGATCCTTTTGGAATCCCTGTTGTGCCTGATGTATGAATGATATAAGAGACATCTTGTGCGTGTTCGCTTGACCAAGTCTTCTTCTCTAGAAAGAGTCCTTCATCAATTGCATCATCATCATCTTCTTCTTTCTAAACTTAGCAAGCAATTTGCTGATTGTAATATTTTTTGAATTCTCTCTTTTGGATTTATGAAATCAATTGGCACATAACAGGCACCGGTTTTCTGAATTGCCCAACAATGAAGCAAAGCTCGCCGCGATTTTAAACGAATCACAGAAATCGGTGAATCTGGCCGAATAAAAATCCCAGCTTTTCGAAAATATTCTCTTTTTATTTGAATTGAAAAGCTTTTCAAGACATTCTTCATCTTTAAATAGCTATATTTCCCGAAATTCTCCTCTATTAGACACAAATTGTTGGGTGTTTTCTTTGCTTGTTCCTCGAATACTCGTGTAATTGTTGTCCTTGGATATTCAGCAAATTTTGCTTTTACATAAACATCTCTGATTCCATCTCTGATTCCATCTCTGATTCCAATCCTTTTCTTCAATCTCTTCACCTCGATTTCTATCCCTTTCCCTATCATTTCCTCATCAATCCCTTCAATTCTTGACGAAATCTCGAACATCACTTTCCCGTTTGTGAAATCGATAGACACATCGATTGGAGCAATATTTTTGTGCACAATCATCTCATTTCTTTCATCCATTCCTTCTAAATACAAATTCTCGGCAGACTCGAGTTCATAGCGACAATTCACAAAGACGTCATAGATCTTCTCGATCATTCCAATCTCTTGATTAATCTCTTGTTGTAAATGAATAAATGATGGATTCATTGCAAGCAGTCGGCTCACTTTTTCCTGCAATTCCTGCAGATTTTCTTTGTTTAAGCGAAAATCTCCATTAACTATGAGATAATTCAGAAAATAGCCGATAATTTCTTTATATTCACTTGGTTTGTTTGCGGAAACGATTCCGAAAGAGACATTAGTGTGGGAAAGTTTTCGGAGAACAGTTTGAAGAAGTGAAAGGAGGAGAATGAATGGAGTGACAGAAAAGGATGAAGAGATTGATAAAAGCTCTTCTTGTGTAATGCAATCAAATCTGAAATTCACTGGTTCCCTCTTCGTTCTGTCTTTGAAGTTTGATTGTCGTATTCCTTCAATCACTTCTTTTTTATATTCTTCATTAATTGTTGTTGTCTTTTCTTGTTCCAAAGCATAATGAATATAGGTTTTCGAGAATTTCAGCGAAGTGATTGGACGGTTGGATTCGATTTGTGACAAGTAATCTCTGAAAACGTTTTTGACACTTAGATTTTGAACTTAAGCTAATAAGTAGTGAAGTTTTAAGTACTATAAGTAATCATACAGAGATAAAGCTGCTTAACTTGTACTATAAGTACTTAAAAGTAGTACTATACTGACTGACTTAAACTTAAAAGTAGTACTATACTGACTGACTTAAACTTAAAAGTAGTACTATACTGACTGACTTAAACTTAAAAGTAGTACTATACTGACTGACTTAAACTTAAAAGTAGTACTATACTGACTGACTTAAACTTAAAAGTAGTACTATACTGACTGACTTAAACTTAAAAGTAGTACTATACTGAGTAGTACTATACTGAACTGACTATTGTACTATACAATAGTCAATTCAAACATTAGTTTAAAAGTTACAAGTTAAGCAGCTCTGTACTCGACTCACCGAAAATCTCTCGCAAAGAGAAGTGTGCCGGATGCATCGATGACAATATGATGAATGAATAAAAGGACGATCAATGATTGATCGGATTCAAGAATGATTCCCCTAATCGGCCCATCTTTCACTAAAGAATACCCCTTTCGATGTCTTCTAATCATTCGATTTCTCATTTCTTTTTCTTCAATTTCTTCTTTTCCACAATGAATAAAGCCTTCAGTGATTGAAAGAATCTCTTGCTCAGCTCTTTTATTTACAAATTTAAAATTCGTACGGAATATTTGTTGCTTTTGAATCAAATAGCAAAGAGCTTTGTGAGCATTTTTCACAAAATTTTCTTTTAACGGTTTTTTGAATCGATTTATGTATGGATTTACGTAGAAATTGTCGGGATCGTTAAGCGAAAGAAAAAGCATTTGTTCTTGTTGAATTGAAAGGGGGAAACCGCTAGAATATTTGCTCAAATCAGCATCAACATCAATCAAATTCGAATCCCAATTCTTTGCACAAATATTTCTCGGCAAAAGCTCAAAAGGTAAGATTTTCAATAGCTTTTCTTCGATAGCCTCGACGTCTTTGTCAACGATCAAATCATAGCTTTCATCTGAAATCTTCTCAATCAACCCATTTATCCCATTTTCTCTCAACACTTCTCTGATCGATTTCAAATTGTGAATGTTCCCATTGATTGTCAAAATCTCAGCACTTTCCCGAAAACTCTCTTCAAAGCTCTCTGATTTCTCCAATCTTTCAAAAATCTCTCTCACTTCTCTTTCACTAAAAACATTCATCCAATAATGCACCTCCACTTCAACGACTTCTTCAAAAACATTCACGAAAAGAGTAATTGGGAACTTGCTTGGCACAAATGAAGTGAAATCGATTTCTAGATTCAAATTGAAATTTCTAGATTCAAATTGATGATACTCATCGAAAACGATCATTGCATCAATTGATCGATCAACCAAAATCACTTTCTCTTCAAAGTTTTCCCCAATTTCCTCTATCAATCTCGTTTTCCATTGTTTAGAATTGAACAAAACGTCTACAATAGCCGTTTTTATCCCATAACCAACAGTGTTCATCGATTTCTCTCTTCTTAAATTCACTGGATACGAAATGGTGATCGGATGATCGAAACTGGCCGCCGAATGTCGTAATACTTTCAAAAATCTCATCAAAAACCCTACAAATTCTGTGGTTTTTTCTTGAATTGCGAATTTTCTCAAAAATTCTCTTTTTAACTTTTTCTTTACTACTTTTGTGACAGGATTTACACAAAAACGAGCTGAATTTCCTAATTTATTGTTGAAATTTTGCAATCTTTGATCAAAAATCGTTTTCTCATCAATCTCATCATAGAATTCTCTTAAAATCATCGAATTCTCAATCACAAAAGTGTTATTTTGTATTGCTTCGTAGTCTTTAACAATCACTGTAATCGATTGCCCATCAACAACCAAATGTGACATCAAAATTGTCAACTCTCCTTAACTTTTTATCCCAGAAAATTCGAAGTAAAAGCTCATTTTCATACGTGAGAATGTCATCTTTTCTATCAATTTGCGGCAAAAGAAAAGCCTCAGTCCCGGAAAAGATCTCCATCTTTACTTTTTCTTCTTCTTCAATCGAAAAGAATCCTCTCAATGCTCGGTGTTTCATCAGAATTTTCCGAAAACTTTTCATCGATTTCTCGAGCGAAATCTTTGTCCTGAATGTAAGCGGACAATTGTATGCGCGTTTCATTGTCTCATTTTGAGTTCTCAACAACATTTTCACCAATCTAGCCATATTCTCCGGAACTTTTCGTAAACCTTCGACATCTCGAGGCACAAATCTTTCATTTTTTCGAGTCTCAACTTGAACGCTTTCCTTTTCGAAATCGTCAATGAATTCACTCAAATCCCTTGGTGTTGAGGTTTTGTAAATCTGACGGAAAGGGATTTTCAGTGAGAATTCCTTATTCAATCTATTTATCATTTGAATTGCCATCATTGAATTTCCACCTAAAACAAAGAAATTCGAATCAACAGAATTGATTTGATTCGAGAAAATCTCTGCCCAGATTTTCATTACTTTTTCAAGATTTGGTGAAGTGAAATGATTTTTTTGAATAATGGTTATTGAATAATGAATTTCTAGAAGTTTCCTTTGATCGATTTTCCCATTTATTGTCCTTGGGAAATTTTTCAAATGATGAAAATAATTTGGGAGAAGAAAATAGGGAATCCACTGAGATAACTGAAAAAACAAATGAAAGAAAATGTCAGAAAATGAAAGAAAATGAAGAGATTTGTACCTTTTTCTGAAGAAGTTGTCTATCAATCGATTGATTTGCCGTGTAGAAAGCGAGAATTTCTTTCACCTCCACAATCACCACCACTTCATCAATTCCCTCAATTTTCCCGATTGCTCGCTCAATTTCTGCTAACTCCACTCGGACTCCATTGATCTGAAAAATTTGACGACAAGCTTTAGAGGCTTTAGAGTCGATTTTCCCCGAATCAAGTAAACAAAGCAAGCCTCACCTTGCACTGTAGATCTCGTCTTCCCACAAAATGCAGCCCTCCATTCGGATCCATCCATCCCATGTCACCAGTTCTAAAATTCTACACCATAAAAGCTTGCCCCTTTCACAAACCGATAAACATTTCTGCCAAAAGCTTTCGTTTCCCTTCCTTCAATATACCCTCTAGAAACTTGATGAGATCTAACGACGAATTCTCGAATCTCGAATCGATTCATTCCATTCATTCCATTCATTCCATTCACTCGCACTTCACTCGTCACCCTTTTCGTGTACTCGAGCTGAGAATTCCCCAAATACCCATATCTGTGATTGGGCTTCATTCGCAAAAACGTTTGATAGCAAGTCGCTTCAGCCGGTCCATACAATTGAATCACTTGATTATCACCAATTTTCTTCAAAAGTCCTTCCGTGAAAGCTTCTCCGCCGATATTTAAAAGTCCAATCTTTAAGCACAAATCTTTATCGTTAAAAAGCGAACTTGCAATCGTCGGTGTACAGTGGATTGAGTCAATGAAATGATATTCTCCAATCAACTCATCAATGTGTGACTCTTTCCACCGAACACAAATCGTTCCGCCATTCATTGGTGCTGTCAAAATGTGAGCGATACCCCCGTCAAATGATGGTGTTGAGAAGATTAAAGTTTTCTGGGAATTTTTGACGAGATTGATTTTTGTGAAGTTTCTCATCATTCTTTGAACATTTCCCTCACTAACCGCAATTCCTTTTGGATCACCCGTTGTTCCAGAGGTATAGATCACGTAAAACAAATCGGATTTTGTGGATTTCGCAAAATGTGCCGAATTTTTTTCGTTTCTTAACTTGAACTCAAGCAAATGATCCCTTTCATTCGCCTCAATCAAAAGAAACGGTTTGCATTGCTCGGAAATCTCTCTCATTTTCTTGCTTGGCGTATCCGGATGAATGCTTAGAAAGGCAAAAGCAAGAAATTGAGCGACAAAGAGTAATTGATATGATGCAATCGATTCATCTAATTGATAAACTAAAAGATCATCATTTCGCCCGGTTCTCCCATTTCTTTTCAATCCATCTTGTGATAATTTTCTTTCAAAACAACCTAGTTCTCTAATCATTTCTTTATAAAATAATTTCTCTTTTTTACATTGTAAAAATAGATTTCTTGGTGTTTTGAGAGATTGATTAAGTAAAATTTTCGAGTACGGTTGACTCGGCACTTCGGGCGTTTTTAAAAAAAGACATTTGACGCTACAGTACCCCGGAAAAGACGTCTGTACTCTGCCAAAAAACTCCTCAAAAGGTATTCAGCTTGTTCATTGAGTATTCGATTCGCATCAAATAATAGATTGACGATGAGTTCCCCTTTTGCATTCTCGTCGAATATCCAGCTGAGCTCGAAAGGATTCTCTGTAGCCTCCTCGAAATCCATCTCAACTTTCATCCCACCAACCTCAACCTCAACTTTTTCCAATCCTTGTCGAATATTGATTACTTGAGTAAATAGTGGATGTTTTTCATTTGTCCTCTCGATTTTCAAACTCTCCAATATTTCACTCAATGTTGTTTCTTGATGTTTGCTCTTGAGAATGTGATCAATTTGAGTGAAAGAGTTTTTAATGAAATTTTGATTTTCGTGAGATGTTGTAAATCTCATTGGTACAATGTTCACAAAATATCCAACTTTATCGAAATTTTCCGGTGTTCGATTCGCAAGAACGGCTCCAATACAGATGTCCGTTGTCGAGGTCGCTTTTTGGAGCGCTGCAACGATTGCTGTTGTTATTGAATGAAAACGAGAATCATTTCCGGATTTAAAAAAGTTTTTTGGCATTTTCTTTTGAATGCTTTTCAGGGAAGCTTTTTTCTTTACTCTTTAACTTTTCAACCCTCAATAGAGTCATTTCTTCCCGGTTTTTCAGGTATTCTGTCCAGAAATTTAAATCGATTTTTTTGTTTCAGCAATTTGAGAATTTCCATCTCTGCGCTTTTCGAATTTCTCGATTTTCAACTCATTTCTCTCATAATTTTCATAGAATTTCATGAAATTCTCTCCCAATATTTGAAGACTTCTCCCGTCAACGATCAGGTGATTTAAACGGATTTCTAGGAGAATTTTCGACGGTGAAAAGTTGATTTTCAAAGAGAAAACCTCAAAATTCATTGAATTTGTGAATTCTTGAAGAAAAAGATTCTTTTGATCTTTTCCTTTTTCATTTCCATCTTTTCCATTTTCTATTTCCATTCCATTAAAATGAACATAACATTCGGTGAGTGAAAGAGTTCGATAAACTGCATTTTCCCCACAAATCTCAATATTTAGAGAAAATTTGCCAATTAAGCGATTCAGTGAATATTTCAGACTTGAGAAATTTTCCTTTTCAATCTTTGAAATCGAAATTTTCATTAAAACGGCCAATTGATCGGTGTCAGGGTTGAGCTTTTGAAGAGTCCATAGCTGGATTTGATGCTTTCCAAGGGGAAACCATTCTTGGATCTCAGACCCAGCTGTTTGCTTGCTCAGAATTGCTGTTTTCAAGCTATCCAACCTTTCAGCTGCTGTCAATTCGTCATTTTCTTCTTTTAAAGCAACTTTTTCCATCAATTTATCAATACTTGCCTCAAAAAAGCCTTCTTCAAGCACTCCTCCAACTACTCCATCAATTCCACCATCAACTCCATCAATTCCCCCCTCCTCAACCACCAATTCATTGGGTTCTCTCAAAATCTCTTCCTTTAGATATTTCCCTAATCTCATTGCTGTTGTATTCTCAAAAACAGCTCTTAATGGCACCTCTTTCCCCAATATTTTGCCCAATTCTCTCACAACGAACATAGCTCTAATCGAATCTCCGCCCATCTCAAAGAACTCTCCACTCTCCTTCAACCCATCATTTCCCAAAACTTTCCGAAACACACCGATCACCGTACTTTCCAGTGAAACTTTAGCTTTCAACTCAACTTTTTCCTTTTCTTTTTCCTTTTCTTCAACATTCTCTTCAACATTTCCTTTCATTTCCACATGAATTGTGATTCTCGGCGCTGGCAACTTTGTCTTGTCGACTTTTCCATTTTGATTCAATGGAAAGACATCGATTTGTATAATAAATCTCGGGATCTCATGTGGAGCCATTCTCTCTTTTAATTCTTTTCTTAATTCCTCTGTTTGATCATCTTTCGGTCGATTGTTGAATCGGACATATCCGATGAGAAAAGCCGCATAGTCGTCTCGACTCTCGATCACATAGCTGAAAATGGATAATCTGTTAAAAAAAACGTAAAATCTATGACTCGATTGATTGTTATGTCCCTAATATATTATTACCATTTCAAAGGGAATCGAGTTAGGGTCGAAAACCAAATTGTAAGAATATAAGAGGTGTAAGAATATAATTTTGGATGAAATTTTATGTAGAAATGAATAAAGTGTATGACATAGACGGTACAATATTGATAAACCCATTTACTATAGTCATTTCCACATAAAAACTTCATCAAAACCTTTATGTTATCCCATAAACGAACCATGAATGAACATTCGGACGACTCGAGATTTCTTCTTGAATCTGAAATGTGAATGATTCTTTCAGATTTCAAAGTTTCTATTGGATTCAAGCTTTCAAGCTTTCAATTTTTCAATAAAGCTTTCAATCAAATACCTTTTTTTGGTTTCTTATCTCAATATCTTTTGATTATAACAATTTCCAAAACCAGCCCACCTCATTTAGTCTGACCAACTTCCCTCCAATCTTCGTTTGCGTGTCCCGTCTTCCATGAAATTGATAGCATTTTTTGTGATGAAGGGAAACGAGATCCCCAGTCAAATAACTTCGAATCGATTTCCCGGTTAGATGATCTTCTTGGGTTGATAGTTGAGAGGGAGAATATCTGAAAAAGTAATTGATGTTGTAGTAATTGATGTTGTAGTAATTGTTGTAGTAATTGATGAATTGTATTTCAATGAAACCTAGTCGAGTTTCGTTCAGGAAGTGAGTGATATCCTCGACTGATTCCGGCTCCAAATTGAACACATTCCGAGATGAGGCGACCATCGGTCAGATGATTTTCCTGGAGATTGAGGAGAACTCTTTTTGGGTCTTCAGTCTTTTTGAGAACTAACAACCCTAATAATCAGATCCCCATTACTGTAACTTATGCAAATCGTATTTTTGGTGTAAAGTACTGTAGTTTTTACCTAGGTTTCCTATAAACTAACCGAATTGATAGACGCCATATAGAGATTTGGATACGGTATCCCGACGAGTCCCCTATCACCACCAAATTTCACCTCATACTTCGTCGAGTAAACCGTTTGCTCAGACGTTCCTTAAAAGTACTAGAATAGAAAGGAAAACCGAATATTTGTAACTAAAGAACTTAAAGGTTTATTTAATGGGTTCTTCTTAAAGCATACTAAGATGTAAGACAAGAGACTATGCAGTTACCAGCCTTCCTTAGAGATTTCCACCCTTCAATTTCTATTCATTACCATATTTCTCATAAATAATAGCATTCGAACGTATCATTTTCTGTTTAACTCCATGCTGAATTTGCTCTCCACCAAAGAAAATCCTTTCCAACAATCCAATCTACAGTAAGACAAGAGACTATGCAGTTATCAGCTTAGCTCAGAGATTTCCACCCTTCAATTTCTAATGATTACCATATTTCTCATAAATAATAGCATTCGAATGTATCATTTTCTGTTTAACTCCATGCTGAATTTGCTCTCCACCAAAGAAGATCCTTTCCAACGATCCAATCTAGAGAAATCAAAAGTGATAACCCAGGTTTTCGTTTTCAAACTTTTCCGATTTCCGAATCAGAAAGAGTGCTGAGAAAAGCGGGCATTATATAGGAATGAGAGACATTTGAGGAAAGCATTTCTTCTAGAATTTGTATTTTTAAATCTTCCATCAATATTTTTCAACCAAGTGCCGGCACTCCAGTAGAAGCAATTCGAATATTTGATCCATGTGAAAGAGACATTGTCAAATCACCAAAGAAAATGTCAAACGCATAGTTGGCAGCCTAGAATAGAATGTGGATAGTTTTGCTAAAGAAAACGAGATCAATAAAAGGTCTAAAAACTAAATCAAACAAAATGGTTGACGAAATGCATGATTGGTCAAATGATTACGGTAATTTTGACTTAGTTTCTATTTGATTAGGCTTTACTGTAACCAGTTGAGTTCTATTTGATTCTATTTGATTAGGCTTTACAACCAGTTACTCAACTGGTTACAACCATTTGAGTAAGCCTAAGCAAATAGATTGCTTACTACTTTTATAGCTAACCTGATATGTGACCGATTGATGCGATATGAAAAATGATCGTGCGTATGCAAGCGGAAGATTGTTATGACCACGGAATGGAGTCACCACACATTTCGGGGCTCCCGTCGTCCCGCTCGTGCAAGTGATATACATGACATCTTCCGGTGAATTGCATACCCAACTTTTTCTAGAGAAATCTTTGAAAATTGAGCACTAGCTGATAATTGAGCATTAGCTAATAAAGCTTACCGCAATCTTTCATCAATTCTCAAGCAAAGTTTGCTCAAATCAATCGTCATTGGTGAGTTTTCTCTCAAATGTTCTGAATTCTGAAAAAGAAAAAGAGAAAAAGTCAATCTTTTGTTTGAGTAAACCTCGGTTAGAAATAGAATATTCCCAAAAAGAGCTGTGTTCGCTTTTTGTTTCAACAATGGCCAATCCATGTTGATGTTGAATGGGTAGAGGCGAATCTGGGATCAGCTTGATATCACCTGGACTTTCGACCATGTAAACGTTTGCTTTTTTTTGACTGAATTTGGTTAGTCTAATCTATTTCTATTGGCTTAATGTTTACAGTATTGTTTGCTTGGGTGGGATCAGCTTGATATCACCTGTACTTTCGACCATGTAAACGTTTGCTTTTTTGGCTGAATTTGGCTAGTCTAATCTATTAGGTTGGTGCAAAAGAAATTTCGGTCGATATAAAATGTTCTTATTTTTTTAATCTGAAGAGCTTATTTGATGTTCTTTTGTGCATTTGTACTCTTGGATATTTACTTTATTTTCGCATTTTTTCAAAGTCAGAGCTTTCACTTTTTAATTGATTTTTGCTTTAGATCATGGTGGATCAAAAGTATGTTCTGCGCACGTGTGACTCTATGACTCTATGACTTCTCTATGACTTCAAAATGGGCAAAAACGCTGCTGATTCACATCGTGATTCCGCCTTTGGAGAACAGGTTATCACCGAAAGATCATGCCAGCTCTGGTTTGCCCAATTCCGAGATGGTAATGAATCCCTTGAAGACGAATCGCATGGACATCGTGCCACAGCCATCGACAACAATGAATTGAAGCTGATCCAATGCAAACAACACGAGAACTTGCCAAACATCTCCAATTCAACAATTGTACGCCATTTGGAAATAATTGGAAAGACAAATCGTAATGGACAATGGGTTCCACATCAATTGAGTGTTGAGAATCTGGGAGCACGCGTTCCGATCAGCCATATCTTGCTCCAGAAGTCGAAAAGAAGCCATTTTTTTGAGAATATCTTGATGATGAATGAGAAGTGGATTCACTTTGATAATACTTCTCGAAAAAGACAATGGCTGAGCAAAGGTCAAGCGCCAATTCCAACTCCAAAGCCGGATTATCATGGGCGCAAAGTGATGTTGTCTTGCTGGTGGAATATCAATGGACTTGTTCATTTTGAATTATTAGAGCCCGGAAAAACAGTCGATTCATCTTATTTTATTCAACAACTCAAGAAGGTTGACGAAATTTTGCGTGAAAAAGGCCTAAATCCCTCAACTATCAACTTTCTCCGTGATAATGCTCCAGCTCACACGGCAAAAACCTCTTGTAAGGAACTAGAGAAGCTAGGATGGAAGGTCTTACCACATGCGCCGTATAGTCCAGACTTAGCACCCTCCGATTTTCACCTTTTCAGATCGATGCAACATTCCCTTGAGAATTGCCAGTTTAAGAATGCAAAAGAAGTCGAAAATTGGGTGACCAACTACTTTGCATCACAGAATCAAGCGTTCTTTGAGAAGGGGATCCGCAATCTGTAGCAACGTTGGAGGGATGTCATAGATAATAATGGTGCTTATTGTTTTAAATAAATTGTTATCAAAAAAAATTTTGGATGACTTTAATGTTTGTAAAAAAACGAAATTTCATTTGCACCAACCTAGTATTTCTATTGCCATAATTTTTACAGTATTGTTTGCTTTAACTAAACATGACAAAAGATTCAATATTCAATATCTACTTTCCAAATCGCGATCATCAACAGCAATCGTCGATGTGATTGCGAGCAAAAGACGGCGATAGGCGTGTCACTTTTTGGGGAAACTCCAAGCGATTGCCAAATTCTCTGCGCTATTCTCTGCGAGATTTGAGTGGATAATCTGAAAAAAAAAGCATGTAACTTTCTAGACTTCAACCAACTTGTCCAATTTCTCATAAGTGATCGTTTCTTTTGCGTCAATGATCTTGGATTCACAACCGGTGGAGCGGGTTTGACGCTTAAAGATTTCTAGCCACGAGAATTTTTCTGGATGATCTCGGAGGCAAGCTCTAAGGCCACTAAAAGAAGATGATTTATCCAGTTTCAAGCTTTATCTTTAGGGAAAACTGTTTTATCCTTGAATTGATGTTATACCGTTGATGTTGTTGAGTGATCGATCGGGGGAAAGGACTCAACGATGAAAGTTTCCTTTCCATCGCTTTGCCCATTTTTATTATCATTGTCCCCACTCGATCCAGATACCTAAATATTTTTGTTTTAAATTTAATTCGTTTTTCCCCCACCATTTCATCACTTTTACGGAGAATTTTTTTGGATCAAACTCGACTTTAATACTGTATTTTGAGTCATTTCTTTGCCAGAACCAGACCTGAAAAATTTGTTAATGATAATTTACTTTTTATTATGTATTACTTGATTATTATGTATTATTTATTATCTATTATGTTTTTATTATGTTTTTATTCTATACTTATACAATACTTGATCATATTTTGGTCTCCTTGGCGGTGAGGGAAGAAGTTCAACCTTTGATTTGTCTCTGTTATTCATCGATGTGGCCAAAATATCCTAAAGTCTTATCAAATCACCGTAGATTTACCTAGCTAGTAAAAGTTAGTGTAAATTTTAAAAAAAGCTTCTGTATTTCGAAATCTAAAAATCTATTGGGTTGGTGAATTGAAAACTGCGGGCTATTGTCATATGTGACAGTTTGAGCGCTTTCTTCAAAAGAAACCCATTTTGGTGTGAATGGAAAAGTTGTAGAGAATCAAAAATGAAGCTTATATCCAAATTTTCAGGACGATTCAAAAACTGCTTTTCAAGAAATGCCAAATTTAAGAATTTTCACAAAACTTGCACTTTAAGCGAAACTACTAAGTGTATCTTTTTGGAAATTTGGCTATAAGCCTAATTTTTGATTCTCTACAACTTTTCCATTGACACCAAGATGGGTTTCTTTTGAAGAAAGTGCTCAAACTGGGATATTGGAGATCTGCAGTCCTCCATTTTTGAGTCTCACACTTGTCTCACACACAAATCAAAATTCTACTACGAAAGAGGAATCAATGTTGCAAAACTGACTCGCTCTAAAATAAATAGCCTTGTTTGGGAACTTTTGGCGCATTCCCCATACAGTCCGGACCTTGCCCCTTTTAATTACTATTTATTCCGGATCATGAGTAATGAGCTTGCGGGAGAACACTTCGATTCGGAAGAAGCAGTCGAAAATTGGCTTTGAAAGTTTTTCGATTCAAAACCAAAATCCTACGAAGAAAAAGGAATCCGCAAATTGCCTGTAAAATGGGCAGAAGTCGTCAATAATAATGGAAATTATTTCGAATGAATTCATGGTTTTATGTTGAATAAATTTTAGTTCAAAGTCCCGCAGTTTTCAACTCACCAACCTAATATTACAGTATTTACGGTAGCTGCTTTTTAAACATAAACTCCGTAGAAATATATTTGCAGAGCGCTGTCAATGAAAAGAAAACCACGCGCACATAATTATCAGCCACCCTGTAAATTCTAGATTACGGTGATGTGGCTTGTGCTTTCTTTACCGGTTGCATTCTCACCGTCATCTATTAATATATTGGTAAGTGTTAAAATATTAAATTGATCACAGACATAAGATATTTAAAATCCGTTTTAATCTTATTCTGCAGAAAAATCCTACAACCAAAATCCTACGAAGAAAGAGGAATCCGCAAATTGCCTATAAAATGGACAGAAGTCGTCAATAATAATGGAAATTATTTGGAATGAATTTATGGTTTTATGTTGAATAAATTTTATTGGGTTGTCCAGTTATGAATGCGCGTTTTTACTATTTTGTAATTTTCTCAAGATATCGAACAGATGTATACGAGTGTTATATATCATTCGAAAGCTGAAGATCTCTTCTACATTTTGATATAAAAAGCTTTAGAATTTGTTCAGCTTTTCGGCAAATTGACTGCACAGAAGAAGAGGTGGCCAAAAAATGGAAGGGTGCCTTTGGATCAAGTTTTGGCTCCGCTCAAATTGAGTCAACCGTTTGATTTTTGGCCAATAGATATATCAATACAACTAACAATTTCAGAGCATCTTTACTTTTCTTTTCTTTTCTGAGCGGTTATTTTACACCATAAAACTTGAGGAATAGCTAAGCTGAAATGGGTTTTTTCGAAAACGACCTCTCCCTTTGTGCAGTCAATTTGCCGAAAAGCTGAACAAATTCGAAAGCTTTTTATATCAAAATGTAGAGGAGATCTTCAGCTTTCGAATGATATATAACACTCATATACATCTGTTCGATATCTTGAGAAATTTACAAAATAGTAAAAACGCGCATTCATAACTGGACAACCCAATAGTTCAAAGTCCCGCAGTTTTCAATTCACCAACCTAATAGTTACTTTTCTATTCTCTATTCTATTCTCTCTCCCCTACTCTCTCTTTTTCGATAAACAATCAGACGACAGAAATCCTCAAATCCACCATAATCCCCTCATTTTTCTAACTCACCTGAATTATCATAATACTAAACAATTGTCTTTCTTGTGATCCACTCATCCCTTTTCTCATACATTTCACAATTTCTCCATACGGAATATTGTGATCAATGCACTCGGTGAACATTTTATCCATTGATGTCAAATATTTTTGAATTGAGACATTTCCTGAAATGTTTTTTTATCTTTAAAAATCAACAAATTAACTTAAACCATTATATTTGAGTCTAATCGGTAACATATTGACAAAACATCCGACAGTTTTTGAATGCTCAATTGAACGACTTTGCTCAGCCACGCCGATTGTCATCTCGGTCCAATCGTGTAACTCAAATCTCGTTCGTTTCTTTTTAAACATCAATATCTTTTATTTAGTATTTATTATAGTAAAATGAAAAAAAAAGAATTTTTAACTCTATGTATTTAACATTTACCGTATTTTCTCTAATAGTAGTGGTGCAATGAGCCTTGCCTAAATTGCTTGAAATCTCGAAAAGCCCTTATCAGAACCTATCGATATGGGATCGAAAAATATAGCTGACGATGAGATCTTGTGAAGTTGACGATGAGATCTTGTGGGGGGTTTAAGTGTTGAGCTTCTGTGAAAACTTTGAGCCGTAAGCTGTAAAGCCGTAAAATAGTCACCAACTCGGCTCGCTTGGGGTGCACTACTATTAGAGAAAATATTAGGTTGAGGAAAAAGTAATGTCGGTTTTGAATAGAGAAAATACGGTATCTAATAGTAGAAACTTGGCCAATTTCAGATCCGATTTCAGTTAAGTGTTTTAAGATAAAGCATCTCTCTTTTTTTCTTTTCTCAACCCTTTTTTATGTCTGTCACAAGTAAATATCTTTATAAAAAGTATAATAAAATGAATTCAAATCACACCTTACAAAATGTGGCCATATGTGCACCGACAAAGCACTTGTACATCGAGATCCCACTCTCGTTCGAAAGAAATTGCATCGCTTTGTTGATTGACTCAGAAATATCCCTAAAATTATCATTTATCTGTTTAAATTCAATCTCACAAAACAAACCAAGTTAAATATTTTGCATAAAACGCTTTTGGTGATCCTTGAAGTGCTGGAAGGGAATTGTGAATGTGATCACTGAGATGATCTCTCCAGAATGATCGATCTTTCTCTAGGATCATTTCCTGAGAAGTTTCCAACGCAAAATTGACAAATTGTGGCCTAAATGGTTTCATTTTTATTTGACTTTTATTTTATTTTCGAGTTTTACCGATTTTTATTTGTGATCGATTGTTTCCCGTTGACCAAAGAGTCCAATCGTTGACTGAGTAGTTTCAGCGAAATCCCATCCACCGAAATGTGATGGAAAACGAGTAAAACTCTGAAATTCTTGAGAGTTTTTCTCATTCATGATTAATTGTACCTCACAAATTTCGTTTTCTCAATAAAAAATCGAATCGGTAGGTCGTCTGTTGGATCGATTTTCGGTTCTAAATCGATTCACATTTACATATTTTATTTAGTCAATCATTTACACTGTACATTTACAGGGTGAGCGCACAATTCAAACCAGCACTCAGTTCAAATTCACATTTTAAACTTTGATTCCTAATCGAAATTCATTGTTTTCTAGTAAAAATTAGCTAGATTTTGGAAATAATACACTACTGGACAATGAAATATCATATTTGAAAAACGATCGTCACTTTCGCGCGTCTGTAACTCCCTTGTCTTTGCCGTATTTCTAAATATTAATATGACCATTGTGTAGCCCTTGAAAAGAGCTTTCAGAAAATGTATAACACTAATAGTTTAAACTCAAAGAAAATGGAGTTACAGACGCGCGAAAGTGACGATCGTTTTTCAAATATCATATTTCATCGTCCAGTACTGTAAGTAAAAAGGAGTAAACGAAGCTGGTTTTCTTTGATTTCAAGGCATTGAAACTAGTTACAAAAACCAGAAAATCGCGATTCCGCCGCAGAAAAAGCGTGTCGCAACTTTGCAGCGCTTTAACAAAAGTTTAGAAACTTTTCTGATCAAATCCACAAAAAACAAATTGTGGGAGAAATATTCAATTTGATAATCAAAAAAAAGAATTAGGTCGTTTGATTGACTCTTCGCTAAGCTGGAGAATCTGAACTGAGTGCGGGTAATTGTGCGTGTCACCCTGTATATGTATAAAGTCATGGAAAGCTGTACACCATGGAAAGCTGTCACCCTTTACATACCATCAATCAAGAATTTCTCGTTTTGCAGAAAAACCTCAGTTCCGGAAAGAATCATTTGACGATTGTCGATGAAAATCGTTCTGAAGCCGTTTAAACATTGATTTTCTATCATTTTCTTTTCAAACTCAAATGCTAACTTGATGCAATGAATTTGGATTTGTTTAAGTTTACATCTAAATGAAGCTGTGCCACTTTTCCCCCAACCTCAACACCGTTTCCTCAATCAACAAGCGTCGTATAGCTGAAAGCATCCCTTTCTCATCGAAATCTTTCAAATCAATCGAAAAATGGAAATATTCATTGAACTAAAGTTTACAAGAGTTTATTAAAATGGGGGGTGGGACAAATGCGACCTTTTTTTGCGCACCTGGACATTTGCGCACCTTTTTTTTGCTGGAAAAGGCCTTAGGAAAGGTCGTAGAGCTTCAAAAATGTTTTCATAGAAGGGAATCGTATACGTAGATTCCGAATTTCGACAAATCAGACCTCGCTGACACGTCAAATTTGGGCTAAAAGGCAAAAACTACGCAACTTAACGCTTTTCCGCAGTTTTTGCCTTTTAGCCCAAATTTGACGTGTCAGCGAGGTCTGATTTGTCGAAATTCTGAATCTACGCATACGATTCCCTTCTATGAAAACATTTTTGAAGCTCTACGACCTTTCCTAAGGCCTTTTCCAGCCAAAAAAAAAGGTGCGCAAATGTCCAGGTGCGCAAAAAAAAGGTCGCATTTGTCCCACCCCCTTAAAATGTCAATTTTGAAATGAAACCTACAAACCGATATTTCCATGACCAACCTGACTTGCCTCCTCCGGCTTCAACTGTCCCAAGAAAAGGATTTGTTGCTGTTGAACGGTGATCGGCAATGTTCCCATTGCCAATAAAGAATGCCAAACGGGATCCCCTTTCATTTCAATTTTCTTCTGCTCATTCTCTATTTTCATTTCCTCTAAATAGACGCCAAATTTTTGAATCGAATTGTACTTGAGAGTTGATCCGAAAACGATTCGCGGGAACTTTTCCCTCAATTTGATTTCAATCTCAGCCATTTGAATTGAATCGATGCCAAGCTTTGAGAAAGTTTCCTGTAAAACTCTCGGATTTTCGATAGCATTTGGAATTTCGATGCCAAGGTTCGAAATAGTTTTCACAATTAGAGATTCGAATGTGTTCGGTGGCTCTCTTGGAATCATTTTCACTTCATCAACGATCTCTTTTCCTTCAATCTTCTCTTTGTTCTTAAATTTATCAAAACGAATGCCGATCCATTGACCCAAAATTGAATCCACGAATTCTGAGTAGAGTTCGATGTTGCACGAGTTGGCACTAGTTGTTTTCACGATAAAATAAAAAGAACCAATGAGATAGACGGGAAACTCGATCATTTCGATTTCATCAATTCTGAGTGACAAGTCAGAAGTCGAATAGATTAAATCAACAAGGAAAAGGATTAGAGATTGAATCTAAAATGTTTACTTTGTAGCAAAAACTTCTATTGATACCTGTTGATCATTGACTTTATGATTCTCATCAACCATCACTCGAATTGCCACGTATTCTTCACATTTCTTCACAATCACCTCAATTTCCTTGCTTTGTAGCAAAGTTGAGATTCTCTTTTGCAAAGCTTGATCCTGTTTTCCATTATGCCAGTTAACTAAAGCTTGGATATTTTTTTGCAAAGAAATTTTATTCATAAACTATTGAAGGTAAAGTTAAAAGCAAACCATGGCTCCTCCACGAAATAGCTCTCTTTACTTCTCGAATTCTGCAACTCACTCGAAGACCTTCCTCACCGCGTACACTAACGAATGATCGTTCACCATTCGAACCAACACTTATCTCTTCGTTTTTCTCTTTCACCTCATCACCGATATCTAATTATAAGAATCTAATTCTTCATGAATCTAATCTAATGATATCTAGTCTAATGATATCTAGTCTAATGATATCCAATTCTTCATAAAATCTAGATTATTCCAATCAAACTGATACCATATTGAACTTGTAGATATTGTAGAGCAGGGAAAACGGATAGCTTCCCAAAATGTGTTCTTGCCGTTGACACTAAGCGACTAATTGCTTTAGTTAAATAATAAAGCTCCGGATCAATATCTTTTGTTCGCATCACAGTTTTCGAAATTCAAAATAGAGAGACAAAATCTTTTAGTGTATGACAAGTGGTGGCCAAAATTGAGGCTAATTTTCCTGCAAAATTTCTTTCTTATGATAAACGATCTACTCTCGATGTCTTTTAGCAATTTTTATATACATAAATAGCGAAAAAATAGTGCAGCTCGTTAAGGGTACATAAGATCTCCACGCATTTAATTCTTTGTTTATTTTATCCACATTTTTAGCCTCTTAATGTGTTGATTGATAAAATCCGCTTTGCCAAAATGCGTTTGGTATGAATGCACTTCTGGAAAAAATAGGCTGTGGTTTATGCCTCGTTGCCCGAACCTTCTTCCTCGTCTTGGTTGATGTAGAAGTTTCGAAGCTCATAGGTGTCTTTGGATGAAGCGACGATTCGAAGCCAGTCACGTAGGGAGTTCTTCTTCAAGTATCTAAATGAAAAGAATTAAGATGGCATGGTAAAAGAGCTTATCAACTTTTTTTTGTTAATATCAAATGTTAAACACCAACTATCAACATCAAAAAACTGGATTTTTAAAAATTAGTTCATCGTCACCCTAACAATCGGTGGTCTTGACTAAAAGATCGAGTCGTACAACATGATTGTCTCGGAAGACAGCAACAACTGCAGGTTAGCATCATGTACTTTTTTAAGCTTTAGTCTTTTATGCGTACAAATGGATTGCAGGGCGATGAGTTTGAAAATGAAATTTTAAAAAAGTAAAATTTCCATTTTCCCCTCGATGATCCATTCATTCGCCAGTTTTGCAATGTCGACGATCTCGGCAAACCGCGAGTCGGCTTCGCTCCATCAAAGCAATAAACAAGTGAATGAATTTGAATTTGAATGAATTGCTTTGTGAATGAATTGAATAAAGTAAAAGTTGGTTTTTGATGAAATAAATATTGAATAGTGAATACAGATGATTCGCCAGTTCTGCAATGTCTAACAGATAATTGTAGACCCAACAGATGATTTTTCTCGAGTGCTTCATAATGGAAATCAAAAATTTATTATCGCAACTAGGATTCTACAAAAAAAAGCAAGAAAATTCATTGATTTCATGTATCCGACGAGGTCTCCACCGAGGTGATGAACGAAAAGCATTCACTGAAAAAAGATGTTTTCAAAATGGTTTATAATGCAAAAGAAATTATATTGTTGATGCCTTAAACCATTCATAATAAGGTTTAAAAAATTGTTGAAATCTTTTTAGTTTAGTTTAAGAATCTCTCGAATACTGAAAGTTGTTGATGAGAAAATGACTGGAAAAAGAAAATGACAAACTTTGTATAGTGTTGCCCGTAGAAGAAAACGTTGTTTTCCATGTTTAGTTTAAAAGAAATTATATTGTCGATGCCTTAAACAATTCATAATAAGGTTTTAAAAATTGTTGTAATTTTTTTTTGTTTCTGACTCTATATAGCAAAATTTTTCGACTCCCTTGATACATTCGAGAAACCCAAACCCCGGGCTGATGACCAGGGAATTCTCGTTTCATTTTCTTCGCATTGACCAGATTTTGATCTTCTTTATCCAAAATCCTGAAATTTCAAAACATTGTAAATGCTTTTCAAAGAATAAGCTTTTTTTATTTTTTATTTTATTTCGTTTTCTTTGGTTTCCCACTCGAAAATGCAAACCTTGGAAACCCAACGATAGCCATGGAAGTCAGCCGAGGTGACTACAAGGAGCAGCGCTAGCAGTTCAACAAGCAAAATCGATCGCATTCCTGGTGATTCGAATGAATTCAGTATTTAGACTGAGAACTGAGAATAAGAACTCATCGGGTTTATATAGCTTTGTGGTCACTTGTAAACAAGTGTTCGAATTTGAGGCGAAATCTCCTGTTCATTTAAACAAGAGAAAAGGGATAGCAGGCATTCGGAAGACGCAAAGTGATAAGAGCAGAGATAGTGATGTATTACACAACTTTTCACACCTTTCAAATATTCTGATTGATTTGCAAATTGATTGTTTCTTTCTTTTCTTTCTTTTCTTTCAGTCCTCGATTTCATAATTTTCGGTTTGTTTAGATTAAAGTTGATTTAAGTCTTCGGATTCTTTGCAAATTCATTATTATTTCTTATTTTTCCACCTAGATTTGTAGCTTTTACAAAATACAAAAAAAAACTTTTACAAAATAACTCATTTTGAAAGGCAAGATGAAAGCATTCTAAAGATTTCAGTCACTCATCGAAACCTGTGCTTATATCTTCTTTTAGTTGCAAAAAAATTATCTGCCTTTTGAAACTGTTCCTTTTGAGTAACGAAAAATAACGCTTATCGAGGAAACTGTTTCGAAATCATTTCAATAAAATCTCGTGAGCTTTAAGAGCTTTTTTGTCGACTTTTTGGTCTATCCAAGAGTTTATTTCGTGAAATTTTCTATTATCTTTTTAGCTTTTTGCGATGTATTGGTTCTTCAATTTTTCCCTTGAGAAAATGATCTTTCAGAGTTGTTACGATGCCGAGTGTTCATTCGAAACCATCGAAACTAGAAGAAGTAAAATTTTTGTAAAAAAGTTTAAAAATACATTTACTTGAAATTAACAACTTTAAGTTGCCTTTTTATTTCTAATAATTTACAAGCACATTACTTCAGATCAAAAGACAAAAGACGCGTTTTGTGCGTTTTATGACACAATGTTTAAACAAAACTCCTCCCCAGCCCGGGACAAATGTGCCGGAAACAATTGGTACCTGAAACGGATTTTGTCGTGGTTACCCATAAAATTTTAGATAGCGTCAAGAAAAATCAAACCAAGAAATCAAGAAACCAAGAATCAAAAAGAAAAGGTCACTTACAAAAAATCAAACCTACAAATCAGGTAGTGTTAGGTGTACTGTTCAATTCATTCATTTCCTTGAAATTCAGATGCATACGACTGCCGAGTTGCAAATGGAAAACAACGTTTCTTCTACGGGCAACACTCTATACAAAGTTTGTACCTCTCCAGTCATTTTCTCATCAACATCTTTCAGTATTCGAGAGATGAACTTCTTAAACTAAAAGAAACGCAAGAGAAGACGCCAATAGCCGATGAAACTGAAGCCATCTTATCTGATAAGAGATTACAGTAGGTTGAGAATTTTATGTATAGAAAGTGAATCGCTTTTAGTCGCATACAACTAGAATTCGATGCCAGCCGCAATAGCTTCGTAATTGCGAATCAGATCAAAATGGAAGGTTGGTCATTATGACTTGTATACAGTAAAATCTCGTTAATCAAGCCCTCAAGTAGTTTTAGAAAACCTTTTTTGTTATGGAGGCTAAAATTGTACTAATTTTACTCATTGGGATACAAAAAAGTCTGTTTTTTAACGAGGTTTTTTGCTATCGAGGTATTTTGAAAATCTTACTGATTTAGTGGTGGAAACCAAGGATCATTACGTGTATTGTGAGATGGTTCTCTTGGAAGCAAGAAAAAACTTGGAAGTAAAAATCGTGAAGTTCGAGCACAATACGGTTCACTTTCACGGCCTTGAAGAGAGGAAAATAACCACTCGCCAAGGAGAAAAATGTCTTGTAGGTTCTAATCAAAGTTTTCGAGACGTTTTTTTGGGATTAGAAAAGTTATTTATGGGTTATTTTTATTGTAAAAAGCCTTGGAGTAAATTGGAGTAATGACTCGAATGAGTGACCAGAAACTGATGTTTCATAGCAAATAAAGGGAAGGCATAAAGATGTGCAGGGTTTAGCCATTAATTTGCATTTAAAAACAGAACCACTAACAGATGCATGAGTACACTATTGCATACTTGCTTGTAAATCTATTGGCACTTTCAATGGGGGAAAAATGATGTTCATTTATAAATTTAAAAGAACTAAGATATTTCTCACTGCAAGAATGGTCACTATAAAGTTCATGCCCAAAAGAATTAAAATGAAATTTATAGTACATCATCAGGCCCGATGAAGGGGAAACATCAAAGCGCTTTTGTATCGCGTTTACACCGTCTGAAGAATGGTTCAAGGTTGAAAGCAAAGGAAACTTTCGATATCATTTGAAAAAGTTTAGAGATACAATCCGCTTTTCTTTGAGATTCAATTTGAAATCTCTTTCGATTCAGCTTTAACTCCTTTCAAGAGAAATCTTTTAAAGAGCCAAACTTCAATCAGTCAACCGAATTTTTGGATGCGATTTGACTGTGATTTAACGCAACCGTAAGCCACTGATCAATTGAAAATATTTCGATAATTTACAGAAACAACTGGACGATCAGCTTCACAAAAAAGCCAGATTTTATTGGAGGCTTCGATTTGCAAACTCACTTTAAAGCCGCCCCCGATTTTGAGATTTATCAAGACAAAAATAAACGCATATATCTAACAGGTAATAACTTTTTAATAATAAAAATAAAATTTTTACACAAATCGATATTTTGTCCATATGGGATTAGAGCGTCCTTATGGGATTAGAGCCAGCCAGAAATTTGTGTCCGGTGGTTTTGGTGGCTATGAAGTTCTAACTCGTCTAGCCAGCAACGAATTTTTCATTACAACCCACCGACGAGCTATGAAAATGTTTCAATAATTGATCTCTTTCCAGGAATACAATTTGATCAAACACTTCTCATTTTCGATGTGATTATCAACTACGATATAGAGACAAAGCTGATAGTGAAATGGTGGCGTCCACAACGTGGCGGATTACGAGTGGTTTCGATCACGGCTGATCAGGATGGTCGATTGATTGCAAATGAGGAAGATATGGCCTTCAACATTGATCCAACCACGGTATTAAAACTGACTATTAAAACACCGTGCAAACTTTAGAGCCATTTGTCGATCGAAAAGACCAAGAAGCTTGCGGTCACGCTTCGAAACCTTCGAGCTGAGAAGTTGCTCCCGGAACTGGTAAGTGGCATTGTGTAGTTGGGAATCGATAGCTGAATTCAATTCACACACAACTTATCAATCGTATAAAATACAATGTTTTTTTTTCAAAAGGTGTTTAGTCAAAAATGAACAGACTTTTAAAAAAATCATGACTCTTGTAAAGAATCTGGCTATTTCAAAAGAATCCGAATATCAAAAACGAAGTAGCAGATACACTAACTTTCTTCAGAAATGACATTTTCTGTTACTTTTTGTACCATTTGGTAGAAGATAATACAAACTTTTGAATTCTTTTGAATTCTTTCAAGATTCTTTACAAGAGTCAAAAACTCTCTCAACTTTAGCGTGACGACAAAAAACATGTGATTTTCGAGTTCGAACTGAACATCGGTGGCAAACAGGAAACTTTTTGGCTTCGTTTTTATTACAACGGGTATTTTCACTTGCCATCAGGGTTGCTAACAAAGCAAAGATTCAGGCTTCTGAACCCAATATTCACCAAGAAAACGCCAAGCGATCATGAGCACTACTAGACCAAGACAATGGCACGTTGTGGCTAAACTCAAGACAAAAAACTTGTGTTTCTTTGCTTTTCAAATTACATAAATACAACCGAATAATCTCAAAGCGAAAAGATTTTTTAACTTTCAGAACATGGTGCAAGCTAAAAATTAATCAAAAAGAATTGGTTGAATAACAAAAAAAAACTTTTTCTTATTTATGCAATGTGTTTCGGTATATCATCATCGCAAAGAAGGCCCCAAAGCCATCTTTGTGGGATTCTGCTTCCTTTTTTTGATCTGTGCAGGCCTTTGTCAGTACAGTTTGACTCCCCATACACACTGACATCAACATCGTAATAGTGGGTATGATCTTCGATTCCAATATTGGTCAGTGTAGAGCTGATGCCGGCTGAGCAAGTGCTAAACTTGTCCATTTTGATTTGATGCTGAGAAATTTTACCAATATCTCTAGAAAATTCGAATTATTTAATAAACTTACGGATCTTCAGGTCCAATGCACGTTATGTATGGATTATTTACGCCCATGTCTTCTTGTGGGAAAAAGATCTAGAACACAAATTTTTTTTTTGATAATCGCTAAACTCAAACTTCAGTGCTATGATGCTGATAGCCATCGCTTTTGCAGGGTCGACGAGCAATGAGATCACGGTAGTGAGTGATTCGTAGCACATATGGTGCCTAATGTTGTTTTGAGAAAAAACCAATCATGAGTATCTCACATATTTCGAGAGTGTATCCGCAAATGTCGCATCTCCAACTCGAGGCTCCCCAAAAGTCACAAGCTAAACTTGGCTTGGCCTTGGCCTGCTAAGCTTGGCCTGGTAAGCTTGGCCTGCTAAGCTTGGCCCAAACCTGGAATAACGTTTATGATTTAGACAAACTTTGATTCGTTTCAAATCGTAGCCCAAACCGCTGCGCACAATGTAGGCAACGTTAAGTGTTGCCAACGCGCCGCCTAATGAGTGACCAGTGAACTGAAATCTTTTGAAAATTTACTCTTTTGGCTGTGGCTGTTTTGATTGTGAGAGAACTTTTTAGTCCCTTGACCAACAGATTTTCATTTCATTTCAGAAGCTATTTAATAGTTTAATAGGTCTAACAGTTCTTTGTCAACTCACCAAAATCTCATATCCTTGCTGGGTGTAGTATTGTTCCAGTTTCTCCCCAAGTCCTCCATCCCAAAGACGATGAAATGAATCAGCGAAGTAGTAGTTGACCTTTCCATAAAAGTATGAATCGGAAACCTGGGAGATTGCATTAAGCAATTTGGTGTTAACAAAGAAGTACAAACCATGGCCATATCTTGCTCATCCCGGTACTCATCCCACAGCTGTCCTTTAGTGTCGGTTCCTCTAGAACCACATTTATCAAAAATTGAATCGTTTATTTATGATTCATTCTCTAATTTATTGTTTAAAAGAAACTTTAGCGTTAGAACTATAGTAAAACTTGGATAACAATAATTTCAAGGGATTTTAGAAAACCTACCGTAAATACTCGTACAATCGCGTAGTCGCAAAAGTTTTTTAGTATTTCATTTTTTTCAAGGCGCCCGTACTTTCAAAAAATGCGTCTTTGGTATCAAAAAATAGCTGAAATTCAGGGCTATTTTTTGATACCTAAGCGCGCATTGTAGCATAAACGAGTGTCGAGAAAAACTCGTTCAAAGCTAGACTACGCAACACTCCGCACCGTCATTATGGGGGTGGGGGGTACTATTACAGTATTTACGGTATTTGTTATTGAGGTTATAATTGCACAAATAAAAGTCTATTTATTAACGTGGTTTGTTTACTATTGAGGTTTTTGTTTTACTGTATAATAAGAATAATTTTATGCAATGTACCTAAAAGCAATGACGATTTGCTTGAGCACCGTGTGAATGGAGAGATAGGCAAAACAATGCGTGTTGTTCATGCACGGCACACTGATTATTCCAGGGGTCTAAAAACGCTTTTTTTTGAAACTTGAAATTGCTTGAAAACAAACAAAATGTTGCCCAATTTCATCTTTCCACAAATTGTCAAAACATTTTTGCGGTGAATCGCCATAGGCGGCGGCAGCGAAAGGGAAGATACGACTCCTCACCAGAGTGTCATTGTAAAAACTTTGACTCTGAAAATTAGGCTTAATGATGAACTTGCCTTGTGTACTGATCAATTTATTTACTACCAGGCTGTTCTCAAGAACTTCCCCTCCACTCCTCTTTCACAAGGAGAAGATTTGCATCTGAAAGCCTTTCCGCCGGATCTTTCCGAGAAAAAGTAAGCTCTGCGGGAAAACTATTGACCTTTTATCGGAAAGATCAAAGATGCCTGGTCTGGGCTTTAGTCAGTCTCCCAAATATGATCAAAATGTAGCATAGTGTAGTTTAACATCAAAAACGTTGTCAATAAAAATACTTTCTCGTCTTTCCCACCCCCCGATTACCCCTAGTTGCACTCCTTTCCTACCGAAAAACTCAACTGATGAGTTTCAAACTTTTCAAACAAACAGACAACTTTTCAAAAACTATTATCTAATAGATCTTTTCCTAAAATCACTTACAGCAATCACAAGCACTTACAATCACAACTGCTACCAACACCAATGAAATTGTTAATGAGGCTTGAAAATTCATCAACCTAAAAAGCTATAGTATTTCTAAATTTGTTGTCAAATGTTAAAAGTGACAGGCTGAAGTTTTTCGTAACGCTTAGTTTCAATATTTTTCCACATCACACCTTATCATAAACTGAATTGTCTCTAGAAATTTTTCTGGTTCAATCCGATTAGAAATTGTTTTGAAAAAGAAAAGTTCGTAGAATGAGATCATTTTTTTAAAAAACAAATCGACTTTGAAATCAAGAGTTCCCTGTGTATCCAATATTGATGTTTTCTGATGTTCAAGTGGGAAATGTCTTTCACATTCTATTATTGGGTTGGGGAGAATGAGTCGGCGCCAAACTTGAAAGACACTTTTTGCACACATAAAGCCTTCTTTAAATATACGTTTGGTCTCATCAAAAGGATCCACTATTTCTCTACAAAATGACTTTTCAGCGATTCCACAAAGCTTTTCTTTCGTGGCGCTTATGGACTCCCAAACACAGCTAGTTAAAATGGCAAAGAGTCCGACTTATCGTTTGAACAGTTTCTTTCACATAAACCTTCTTTGGTCTTTATATAAAAAAGATAGAGCACATTCAATTACATAAGTTGCCAAATTTGCAGGAAGATCCCAGCAATTGTTTTTTCTAGATGACAGTTTGTAGTTTTTGTGGAAAAATGACCTTTTCTTGAGCTGAGACGATGTTTGAGTTTTTTTTAAATGTCATTTTGTAGAGAATTAGTTAACTTTTCTACTGATGTCAAACACGTATCATTTGACGAAGTCTGCTAGAAGTTTTAGAAATTTTTTTGATCTTCGGCGCCGACTCATTCTCCCCAACCCAATACTTTAAAATCCGTCATTACTAATACATCTTCTCACCAAATACAAAGTTGAATTTGTAAAGTGAAGCAGCTTTTGTAAAGAAACATTGAGCTCATTTGGGGGCAGAACACTTGAGGAATGAGCTATCGAGCATTGCTTTTGGATTTTATCGTTGACTACTTTGATATTCTACAAGTTATATTAATAACTTTACTAACGGGTAAGAGAAGTTGAATTGCATCTACAGAGACTTTATTTTAAACTTTGACTGAATACCATAAACACATAATTTTAAGCATTAATAGTTTTTTAAGTCAACCTTCTATTGATTGACTCGATTTCAGCGCTGAACACTGGATCTTAACGGGATCCACTTTCTATGCGTAATCGTCATCTCTCTCAACTCAAATCAATTTGGACAACAACCAACAACTAATCTTTTTTGCTCGTGACTTGAATAAGTTGCAACCAGTGAGCCGACGTTAGTGTCTCCAAACAAACTCCAAAGTTCACCACAATTCGCCACAATTGCTTCTCAAACAAATTCACTTGACTGCTCTCGTCCGCTGGACTAAAGAATTGAAGAAACATTTTAGCAGACCATTTCGTAAAGAATGTATGCAATATGAAGTATTTAACGCATTGATCCACATTTTATCCACATTAAAGGTACGCATACATGATCGTCGTCAATACGAAGATGTAGTAGAGAGACTGATGTAGTAGAGAGATGTAGTAGAGAGACTAAAAGTGGACAAGGGATTCTGTGGAATTAAAGGGAAAATAGCAAAAACTTTACGGGTATTCAGGTAAGTTATTAAACATTTTTGTCTTCGAAAAACTGTCAAGAAGCTCGTTGCCAAAAGTGCTCAAATGTGAAGCAAAATTAACGTGGTTTCCCGTCCGAACAGTCATCGTTAGCCAAGTCAGGTTGAAACATCAAACCGGTAAACGAGCTTGAACAGCAATCGGCTTGAACAGCAATCGAAAACATTTCCAAAAACATAGGCTTCATATGGTAGGAGATGGATGGATTCGTTTAGAAACATGAAAGTATCCATGAGTTGCGTGGAGATCTGAACATCGTTTCATTATGCTCTTAAAAGAACCCTTATAAAAAGTTGGCTACCAAATTTGTCAATAGAAGATTTCGATAGGATTTTGTCGCTGCTGACTGCACTCTGCACATTATGTAAGAAGTGAAAATGAAGAAACTTGTTGATAGAATAAAAACACATTTAAATAAATATCCAAATGTGGCCAGGTCAGCATCAGTTGGACAGAACATTTTTTGGGTGTTAGAAAAGAAAAAGTCTGATGTTTGTTTTGTTTGTTCTTTTGTTTGTCTGATGTTTGTATGTCCCCGGAACCGAATAAAGGAGATTCAAAAGAACAGCATCGGCTTTTTTTTCGCCTGATAAACCCTTTTGGGATTGGGGGAAATGTAATTATGAGTTTCATCGATCTCACGACTTTTGCTAAATTGTTCTAAGTTGCGTTCAAGAATCAGAAAAACGAAACAAGACAGCGATCGGATGCCCAAAAACACGATTTATGAAATGCTTTTTTCCAAAAACAGGCTCCATATGGTAGGAGATGGATTTAAAGATTTCCAGTCACCCTTTGGCTATTTGGGAAAACTCGTGATATGACTAAAACTTTATCGTTAATAACTAAAAACTAACGGAAATCTCCTTTCAATTTCACCCCGAATATTTGTTCACATTGTTTGTGAAATTTACAAAAAAGCATCTTTTTTTCAGTTAAATTTACACTATTTATAAAATGCAACATGGCACTTTATAAAGTATCAAATTGGAAAAATGTCTACAAAAAATAGATTTGGAGCATGTCATGTTGGGGGATTTCTTTCAAAAACACTTTTTCTGGGCTAGTTTTATGCGTAGATTCCGAAAAACACAACGAGAACTTGGGAAAATGCGTTTTAAGCCGAGTTTCGGGGCTCCAAAGTGCGCGCTTATACAGTGTGATGATAGGGATACACATAGGGAAGAGGTCTAAAAATGGGCTCTCAAAACATTTTTTGAAGCCAAAAACACTTCTTCGGGCATAATGTAACCTACTGATTATGTTTCTGATCAAATTGTAGCAAAATTAAAAAAAAATATTTTTCAAATTTCGACCATGTGGTCCCATGTTTTAAACATGAGACAAATATCTCAAAAAATATTTTTTCGATTTTTTTTGCCTCTACCAGTCGATTTAAGTTTAAAAATAAAAATTTAGTGGCTGAAAATGGTTTTGGCCCTAGTTTTGACTTTGAAAAGTGCCCCAATAGTCGATAGCTTGGACTCCATATAGTGAAGTACACTATGGAAGCGCGCACTTTGGAGCCCCGGAACTCGGCTTAAAACGCATTTTCCCAAGTTCTCGTCGTGTTTTTCGGAATCTACACATAAAAATACCCCAGAAAAAGTGTTTTTGAAAGAAAAAAAAAGCCCCCTCCCCCAACATGACATGCTCCATAAATTTTGGTAAATTTGGTATTTTGCCTCTCATAGCGCATAACCCAGCCAACCCATTTGGACATCTCTTACAGAAAAACATGAAATTTTGATATTTGAACATCGCAAATTTACATTTTGAAAAATTGAAATATAGTATTTTTTCGTTTTTTTGTGTTGTTTGGAATGGGACGATATTGCAATAATAATGGTAATTAATCACATTTTAACTTAAATACATTCAAACCTTCATAGTGAAAAAATCTCGATAAAAAAGCGAAATTTTTATATCCCTTTTTTTTATAATTTTTTTATGTAGCAATTTAGTGTTTTTTTTTGAATATCGATAGTGAAAAAACCTCGATAACAAAAAAGTTCTTCAGGATCCTTTCAGTTCTTCACTACTATAGCCATTTTTAGCTAGGTGAAGAGATATTTCTCCTCGGATTCAATCAAGCCGGTGACCATTGTGGACAATCGAGCGCTTTTGGAGAAAACTAAATTGGGGACTTTTTCTGGGATGGGGAAACACGAGAGTTAGAAAAAGCTGGTTGAATAGTGAACAAAACGGCTGTGCAACAGTGCAAAACGACCCCCAAATAAGCTAAAGAAATTTCAGCCGATAGTTCACCAAAATGCCTTCAAGATCCCATTGACATCCTCCAGAAAAGAGTGCGACAAAAACTTTGCAATCAGATTATCAGAACATGATCATTTGTGCTCATCGACCGCATCCCACCGGGGAATCCTATCGAAATGCCGACTTTCAAAATGTCGATTTCCAAATCGTTAAAAAGTGCTTGTAAATTATTTTTCTCGGCCGCCCCTTGACCTGTTTGACCTATTGAAAATACGTGAAGTTTGGCAAAAGTTATGGCCAAAAAACTGAGAAAGTCGGCATTCTGATAGAGGATCGTCAACGCGGCTCCGGTTGAGTTTGTTGAGTGATGATTTTGATGATTTACAACTTGTGATGGCCCGTTACACAGCACATCCACGCAAAAATGTGATCGCTGCTGAAATTTCTCATGGTACGCACCGTTTCGCGCAGAAAAACGAGCTGAGCTGAGTAAAATATTAAAACCAGTCCTGTGGAACTTTTTACAAAAACCGAGAGTTAGCGGTTTTTGGGCCATTTAAGCGTAGAAAAGCGGATATACTGCTTACGGGAGTGCGCATTGGCAGCAAAAAGGACTTTGGCAATCTTTCTGCAGTTGTATCGGCAAGCCGTGCGAAAATTCCAGCTTAAGATTAAGAAATCATCCATATTTTTTAGCCTCTTAATGTATTGCGGTGTTGATTGATAAAATCAGCTTTGCCAAAATGCGTTTGGTATGAATGCACTTTTGGTAAAAACAATTTATAACAAACAAGAAAAATAAGTTGTAGTTTATGCCTCGTTGTCCGAACCTTCTTCCTCGTCTTGGTTGATGTGGAAGTATCGAAGCTCGTAGGTGTCTTTGGATGAAGCGACGATTCGGAGCCAGTCACGTAGGGAGTTCTTCTTCAAGTATTTCTTGGCGAGGTACTTCAAGTATCTAAATGAAAAGAGTGAAGATGGCATAATAAAAGATCTTATCAACTCGCAAATAACACACCTAGATAGAATCGAGAATTAATAAAGAGCGCAGCCTTATTTTAAGAACTTTAAATTTCAACGCTTCTAACCAAACCAATCCCCAGAGATTTATAGACTAAAAGGGTTAAGTCTTTGAAAAGTACAGCTCAACTACCGTTCCGGATTTATTAAATTGTCAATAATAGTCGAAAATTGAACCTCTTCGAGAATGGTCCTTCCGAGTTGACAACAATACGAGACTTGACAGTGTCGATCTTCACTCCGTGGCTCTCAAGTTGTCCAGTCTTGCCATCGACTTTGATCTTCTCCTTGAGGAAGTTCTCCTAAATGATCAGGTCTTATTAGGGAAGAAAAACCCTAAGCCTGACCAAAGCTCAGGGACGAGAACCCTGAACTAAAAACTCACAAAATCGTCGACTTTCAAAATCCCATCTTCGACAGGGTTCTTGCACTCGATGTTGAACTTGAGCGTTTGCTTCTTCTTGCGACCGGCCTTGCTAGTCTTCTTGGCAGCTGGCTTGGCGACCATTCTTCAAAGTACCCTGAAAGAAAACAAATTAGTTGATTGAAAACAAAATTGAAAAAAATCCGAAAAATGCGCAAGGGTAATATAAAAGAAAATCGGGGAGGATCACTTTAGGACGAGTGAAAATTAAAAATTTGTGGGCGAAAGGGGAAAAAGTTGCGGTGTGAAACTGTCGCATCCGACTGATGTACGGTAGAAAGGGCATTATTTAAAAGTTCTGTAAAGGTAAAATTCGAAACGAGGGATGATGTTGAACACAAAAAATTGTTCTCACAAAATTTCTCGCGGCTTCAAATACAAAGTATTTTATGTACTTGTTGCTTAACTACCTGAATCTAAGTGTTAAAACTCCCGTTGACGTATATTTGAGATAGCGCAGGCAATGACCCATTGTTTAGCTCTTGATATCTTTTTGTTTTTATTCTCAACATATTTTATTTTAATATAACTTGTTTTCTAGATGAGTGAGAAAGACGACATCGGCGGCGAACCGACAGCACCGTCGTCTGCACCTCAAGAGATTGCTTCGCCATACTCACCGACGATTGGAGGCCTTCTCCAATCGTGCGGCCCTCCTCCTAGCAAGATGTTTATCATTGGTAAATAGATTTTACTTTTTCTACTGCTTACGAATGTAGACTCATCTGCATACTTAGGTAATCTACTCTCGGATCAATATACTTCGTTTTAGATACCGATGACGACGAAATGGAAGCAGACTCTGCGCAAATTGAACCACAGAATGATTTTTCTGATTGTGTAATTTTAAATTTCTTGATTCCTTTTTATTTTTGCTTTTAGGACGCCAGATCACATGAGGATTTTGACGAAGAAGCATGCGACAAGTAAAAGTTGCAGTTTTTGAATAGTTTTTATTCTAATTTAGTTGCAAAAATATGGAGCTGACAGCAAGAAAGGCTTACGAATCGTTGACTTCTTACAAGAAACAAATCGATAAATTCACTTCGTTTGAGAAGGTTTTTAAACAAGCTTTTTATTTAGACTTCTTTTCAGGAAAATCAACAACTCCGGAACATCTATAGTGAGAATGCGACATACTTGGAGGAATTGCTTAAGACGCAAAAGGTGAGCAACTTATTTTGGGTTTAACGATCCTGTTTTTAGGAGCTTGAATCAAAAAATACTCAAATGGAAGCAGAATTGCAATATGAGAAGAGACAAGCCGAATCGCATGAGGCTCAGATTAAGAAAGCGTATTCAATGCTTCAAGAGAACCAGGTTTGTTGTAGATTAGTTTTATCCATGGCCTTAATTTAGGCTCATCTAGCTGCCGCCAACGAATGGCGAGTCAAATATGATGCGTCACAGGAAACCTTAAAACAAGTTCACGAAATGAGAAAGACGTACGACGAAAAAATGTCTGACACTCTCAAAGTGGCTCAGGTAACTTATATTTTCTCTACAAAATTAACCCCTTTCAATTAGGCTTTGCAAACACAACTTGGAAGAGCTGAGAGGAAAGTTGAAAAACTTACGGATGAGACGAATGGCGTGCGAGCTCGTTTGAAATATATTTCGGATTACATGCCTCTACTTTTATCTGCTGTTGATCTACTTTGTGAGTTTGTGTGTCATTTTTCGGACTGATCTTTTTTTGTTTAGTAACAAGGTTTCCCCAGGAGCCTGAAATTCGACAAAGATACACAAGGCTTACTGAGCCTGACGTTCGTGTGGTTCTCATGGGAAAGCGGATCACCAGCAAAATTTTGGGTAAATTTTGACAATTGCATCTTAAAACATTAGTACTGTATTAGAACATGCAATTGCTCAAGGATCTACAACTTGGATACAAGATGTGGATAATCCGGAATCGGCTGAAATTGAGGTAATATTTGCCAGGAGTCTACAACAAATACAAGTTTAAATTTTTAGGACAGTCTGGATCAGGATTTGAGATTGAGCGAATCAGAGGATGACGCGCTTGAGACTTCATTTGACACGAAAAGTGGCTTCTCACAAAAGTTGCCCGCGAGAGCGTCACAACCAGCTCGAACACTGCAAGGCACAAAGGTAGCTTTAATTCTTAAAGGTAAAACTTTCAATTAATTTTTAGATTGAACGAAAGTCTCCCAAGAAGCTTTTCTCAAGTAAGTGTGGTGTGAAGTGTTGTATTAAAAGGTTTTCAGATGCAGGCATTATATTGCCAAATATAATGTCACAAATACTAGCACTGTCAAGCTTTCAGAGAGCAATGATGCGATTGAATCAGAGGATGACGCGCCTGAGACTTCATTTAACACGAAAAGTGGCTTCTCACAGAAGTGGCCCGCGAGAGCGTCACAACCAGCTCGAACACTGCAAGGCACAAAGGTAGCTTTAATTCTTAAAGGTAAAACTTTCAATTAATTTTTAGATTGAACGAAAGTCTCCCAAGAAGCTTTTCTCAAGTAAGTGTGGTGTGAAGTTTTGTATTAAAAGGTATGTCACAAATACTAGCACTGTCAAGCTTTCAGAGAGCAATGATGCGATTGAATCAGAGGATGACGCGCTTGAGACTTCATTTGACACGAAAAGTGGCTTCTCACAGAAGTGGCCCGCGAGAGCGTCACAACCAGCTCGAACACTGCAAGGCACAAAGGTAGCTTTAATTCTTAAAGGTAAAACTTTCAATTAATTTTTAGATTGAACGAAAGTCTCCCAAGAAGCTTTTCTCAAGTAAGTGTGGTGTGAAGTTTTGTATTAAAAGGTATGTCACAAATACTAGCACTGTCAAGCTTTCAGAGAGCAATGATGCGATTGAATCAGCGGATGACGCGCCTGAGACTTCATTTAACACGAAAAGTGGCTTCTCACAGAAGTGGCCCGCGAGAGCGTCACAACCAGCTCGAACACTGCAAGGCACAAAGGTAGCTTTAATTCTTAAAGGTAAAACTTTCAATTAATTTTTAGATTGAACGAAAGTCTCCCAAGAAGCTTTTCTCAAGTAAGTGTGGTGTGAAGTTTTGTATTAAAAGGTTTTCAGATGCAGACATTATATTGCCAAATACAGCGCGGTGCAAAACCATACGCCACCCCCTAAATTTCAATCTTCTGCGGCTCCCGTGCCAGTGACAAAAAAACTGAAAACGTAGTTGGATTCAGGACCAAAAATAGCCCTTAAACCCCAAAAATCGTCGACATAGCATGAATAGGGAGAATGTAACAGCCAAAAAACGAAAATTCACCCGGTGTAAAACCATACGCCACCCCCCAAATTTTGGTGTCGTTGTTGCATTTTTGTTCAATTTTTATGATAACAAGGTTTATTTGTAACAATAACAGTTTAATATTTTGTTGTCTGTCCTTGAAGACTGATCACGTCAAATATTCGACTCAGCATGCTGTTAACTAGCTTCTTGGAATGGCATTCCACTCGCGGGTAATGACATCTTTGAGCGCTTGAACATTTGCGTACTGTGTGGAATTGCCATAAACTCGACGAGCAAGCATTCCCCACAGATTCTCAATGGGGTTGAGATCGGGGGAGCACGCAGGCCAATCCAGAAGAGGCACTTCTTTTGACTGAAGCCATGACTTGGTTGCTTGGCTGACGTGAATGCTGGCGTTGTCTTTCTGTAGGGTGAATTGGTGTTGTGGAAGACTTTGCAAATATGGAAGAAGGATGACCTCGAGCACATCGATGTAATCTTGTGAGTTCATCTTGGATGTGCCAAAGACGAGGCGCCCCAACACATCACCGAACCCCCGCCGAAGTTTCGCTTTGAGAACAGTTATGGATTCTTGCGCAAGTCACGCCAATAAGAGTATCCACCATCAGGTCCATCCAGGTTGAGTTTTTTCTCGTCTGTGTAGATGATCTGAAACCAATAAACTTTGTTTTCTAAGTTTAAATACCTGATTCCAGTTAGTTGCCATGTTTGCGCGAGCAAAGAGCAACCTGTTCTGATTGTGGATGGCAGTTAAGTGAGGTGCTGGCTTCATCACCTGACGTGTGAGATGTGGAGAAGAGTTGATGGTTCTCAGAACAGTCCACTTTGACGCTGGAAGTTGCAAATCACGCTTGATTTCATTTGCCGATCTCGTAGAGTTTGAGGCTTTGTTTCTGATATGGCGTTCGGCCCGTTCGGAGAGCTTCTTGTGACTACCATGCGCATTTGAAGTACCATATTTGAGTGGAGCTTTGAGGTAACCGTTGATACAGGCTCTTGAGCGATTGGTTCGACGACTCATCTCGGAAATTGACAATCCAAGTTGCTGATGAGGTCGAGTTGAGCTTGCTCCTCGTCAGAGAGTTGAGTTGCTTTCGGCATTGTTTTTTTTAACTTGAAGTAATTCAAAGTAAGCTCTTTAGGCCTCCTTATAAGGAATCTGGAGTGAAAGGGTGGGACTTATGTTTGTCAGAGGCAGATTTAGCTTTTAAACTAGAAAAAAAAGTATGAAATGGCACCAAAATCTGGGGGGTGCCGTATGGTTTTGCACCGGGTGAATTTTCGTTTTTTGGCTGTTATATTTCCCCTATTCATGCTATGTCGACAATTTTTGGGGTTTAAGGGTTATTTTTGGTCCTGAATCTAACTAGGTTTTCAGTTTTTTTGTCACTGGCACGGGAGCCGCAGAAAATTGAAATTTAGGGGGTGGCGTATGGTTTTGCACCGCGCTGTATAATTTCACAAATACTAGCACTGTCAAGCTTTCAGAGAGCAATGATGCGATTGAATCAGAGGATGACGCGCCTGAGACTTCATTTAACACGAAAAGTGGCTTCTCACAGAAGTTGCCCGCGAGAGCGTTACAACCAGGGCGAACACTGGAAGGCACAAAGGTAGCTTTAATTCTTAAAGGTAAAACTTTCAATTAATTTTTAGATTGAACGAAAGTCTCCCAAGAAGCTTTTCTCAAGTAAGTGTGGTGTGAAGTTTTGTATTAAAAAGTTTTCAGATGCGGACATTATATTACCAAATACTAGCACTGTCAAGCTTTCAGTGAGCAATGATGCGGTTGAGACAGATGAAACACCTAGGTATATTAATGGATGTTCTCAAAATATTTTCTTTTACAGCACAATTCATGAAAGAAAGACGGAGATTGTTCGGAGACAAACAGGACTACCAGAAGCTGTTAAGAACAACTTAATCATTCGCCCACGATCTATAATGACGCTTCATTCTCCCACGACTTCAAGGGCAATAAAAAGAAACACGACATTCTTGAAAGCTCAACCATTGGGTACTCCTATTCCCAGTAAGCCGAAATCCGAGGTTATTTATGAACTGTTTCTGTGAAACGTTGTAATTTAGACTACTCGAACAAGTGTCGCGGGCTTGGAATCAAGTGCATCAAGTGATGATGATGAATTGTTTGATACGATCTCTCCAAGTAAAATATCTACAAATGAAAGTAAATTTTTCGACGATAGCTAGAGTTATAATTTATTTAGATTTAGTATTTATTTGGTATTTAGATGTGAAAAATATCAGCTCACTCGAGCACGCAGAAGGTGACCCGACTGACGTACATGGAGTTACTAGGTATATTAAATATATTAGGTTAGAAAGAAAGTTCTCGGAAAAAGTTTGCCTGGAATTTCTTTAGAAACGAATCCACCAATTCAAGAACATTTTGTTCTATTATTTACAAGTCGACTCCATGAAATTACTCGTAAAAAAATGAGTGCAGCTTTCCCCTAAAATTTAGATATTTTGAAAATTATTTTCAGGCTTATTTAGCTCACTTTTTGCACCAGAAAAACGATTCCTTATGAGGTAAAGCTAGCATAAATGAGCAATACGCTCTATAATCTCTAATATTGACCAAAAAGTTTTTGCAGTGAAGCTGTATTTCAAAAAATAATTTTTTGGTGTCATCTTCTCGGCACTGAGTGGTTGCTAAAATAGGTCATTCTGAAAAGTTAAAGCATTAGATAAAGTTTGCCTTAATCACAAATTTTTCCTATTTTAAGTACTTCATTTTAGGTTTTGAATGGGACCCATTGCCTATCCATTAACCCATTAAAAACTTGTCTAAAGGCTGGTCACTCAAAAAGTGACCAAGTCACTTCAGCTGAAGAAATCTCTTATTTTTTTTATCAAAAACTTTTTGAAATATAGTCAAGTTGATCAAAAAATCTGGGAAGAATTCATGGCTTGGCTTTTGAGAAATCACCGTGCAAACTTTTTCCGTGGACTTTCTTTCCAACCTAATAATTGTTGCTTTTATTCAATTGTTTTGTAGCACAATTCATGGAAGAAAAACGAGGACTGTTCGTGAACAACAACAAAAGATGGGCAACATTTCCGATCGAATTGCTAAACTCAAAGAAGATCCAACTTTTGCAAAAGCGACCGTTGAAACAAAGGAAATGCCAAAAGATGATAAGAACAACTTCACCATCCTTCCACGAATTCGGCGATCCGCAACCATGGCCATGAATGCACCAAAGTCAAGAGAAGGGGCATCTGTCTCATTTGAATCTCCGCCGTTGGATACACAGATCGTCAATAAGCCTGAAAATGAGGTTGTGTTCAATAAATTTTATTAACTATCAGTTTTTTAGGGAGCCACAGGATCGTTCGAAGGAATGGCTTCTCAAGTCAATGATGTTTCCCAGCAGGTGATTTCGTTTAAACATTTTGAGTGACCAATTTTTGTAAAAACTCATGTTTTTAGGACAATCTGGATCAGGATTTACGATTGAGTGAATCAGAAGATGAAGATATACCTGATATGCCATCTGGCACGAAAAGAGTGTCCTTCTTTGTGAAACCGGTACGCAAAATAGTGATAATAGCTCTATTTTTTGTCAAAATTCGACTTCATTTTTAGGTTGAACAAAGATCTCCGGAGAAACTATCTGCACCACAAGGTATAGTTTTATTAAAACCATTGTTGAAAGTGTCTTTAGATATAAATACGCCAAAAAGCCCAAGTGAAGCTTTGTCTACAGAAGAAAGTAATTCAACTAAAACGCCTGAAACAATCAAGTATGTGACAACACCTGTTATTTAAGATAGACCTTTAAGGACGACGCGTGAACGGAAAGCTAGGACGCCTAGTGGCCAACCACAAATCACGAGAAATGTTTCAAAACGAGTTGTCAAACCCGAAGAGGATGCAAAAGCGACTAATCAAACGAAAGAAGTCCCAAAGGATGTTAAGCAAAACGTTGTCACTACTTCCCGACCAACTAGGGCTCTTCGAGCTACAACTATTGCGACTACAACTAAAACACCAAGATTGGTGAGAAAAAGAAACGCCGCATGTATAGATGCTCAGCCCTTGGATGCTCCTATCACCAATAAACCGAAATATATGGTTTGGATAATCAAAGCTCTTTTCAAAAAAATTATTCTTTAGAATACGCCTGAAAGCATCGCTTCACAAATTGAGGATATGTTCAAAAAGGTAATCGTAATCTAATAGTAAGCTTTTAGCATAAATCCAAAATTTTAGGTTGCCGATGGAGTGCCATTAAAAAAAGCCTCGGGTGCTTTAGCGGTTGATTTGGATGAAGCTGCGAAAATATTGGATCCGCCTGCAATTGCTACTTTATTCATCCAGGTACTTGAAGTTTGAATTTAACCAGCTCTAGCTGTTAACTATTTAGGTGTTAAATGTTACTGAAGTTGGCAACCTTTGGCTTTCATTGACAAAGTCGCTCAATGCATATCGGAAATCAAACGAGGCTAATGATCTTAATGATGCATTTAGGCACACGACAGCTAAGGTACCATTATAAAGTCCGTTTAAAATTGTACGCGATTTAGGTTGAATTGGAATTTATCCAAGTGATTAATCAAATGGATCTCGACGGAGAGCTTTTTAACGAAACATTCAAGTAGGAAGTTGTAGTTAGTTAAAGAATTTAGTTGTCTTAATTTATAGCCGCGTTTGTACCTTGATTTTTTGCCAAAAGCAACCTACGATAACTCAGTTTTGCCGAAACGTTCGTGTTGCTTTTCTACTGCTTCATTTCAACCAGGTAAATTTATTTTAATATACACCGTAAAAATCACGGTTCAGGTTTTATCGAATGAAGAAAAATTGATTCGGTCTCGCAAATTGGTCGAGTTTATGCTTTATGAACGGTAAACTTTTTTTTTTGCTGTATAAAAAGAATTTTAGATCGGCGGATCTCGCTTTATCATCGCTCTGTTTCCTTTGTTTCAATGAAGGGCACAAATTGCTTGATTGGTTGAGAGGAGATGATATTGATGCCGTTCAACGTCAAATTTGTTCACTTTTGGCCAATCGTTCAAATAAGGTTGTTATTATTGATTTTGGAGTTGTTCAAAAAAAATAAAAATTTAGACGCAAGATTATCTCGATATTTTGTCATTCATGTTCCCGAACGTAATCCTTTCGCCACTGGACACTGAAGTCTTTTTGCAAAGCTGGATAAATGGTCTGAAGGCGCTGGATGAAGAAATTGCCAATAAACCAACGGCATTTAAACTGGTTGACGGAAAGTTTGAGGTTGTTTTTTTGAGATGAAAGCTAATGGATTTGTATTTAGGTTGACAATAATATTCTTAATAAGATCGAGCAACTCATCATCTCTTTACCTTCCAACACACATACACTACAGACTTTGGGAATTCCGGATAAGTAAGACTTTTATGTGTATTAATGTTATCTTAATCGTTTAGTCTTGTCAAAGACTCGTTTGCGATGATTGAGCAGGGGATTGTTGGCGCAAGTAGTTAATTTAAGAAGATGCTTTAACTCTTAAATCATTTAGCAAATTCAACGGATGGCGGTCTCTTCAGCGACTCGACGAAGTACAATGTTGAAGTGGACAGCAAGAAGCTCAATCTCCTCTGTGTGCATCTGCTTTTGGCCATCGACATCATTGGCGAATATGTACGATCGAAGACAACACCGGAAATTCGAAGACTTATGGAAACCTTGAAGCATGTGGATGAAAAGGTATCGTCGTCATCGTTTATAATTCTATTCTCATCATACCGTAATTGTTCTAATAAAAGACGTACTAAAATGATGAAGCCCCGCCCCCTCACCTGAGAGACAAAAAGTTGTACCAAATCGCGAGTTTTCAAGTAAAACCTCTGAAAATTTAGCATAAAGTGCGCATTCCATAGACACATCTCATTTTCATGTGTAAATTTTTTTCATAGTTTCTGAGTTTTCTCAGTGATGAGTGCATGAAATTTAATTCGGTTTATTTCTATAGATGTGCCTATGGAATGTGCATGTTATGGCAAAGTTTCAGAGATTTTATTTTAAAACTCGCGATTTTGTGCAACTTTTTGTCTCTCCGGTGAGTAGGCAGGGCTTTATCATTTTAGTGCGTCTTTTATTAGAATAATTACGGTATCTTTTCCAGGTTCCACTTTTGATGTCGCGCTGTTCGCAGTCAAAAATGTCATCGGAATGCATCGCGTTGACAAAGGACATCTTATTGAACTGGCAACAATCCACCAAGATGCTCACCGAATATCAATATATGGAATGATTTTCTTGCATGCAGGTGTCCATAACTTAATTTTAAGTTGAAGTTTTTAAAATTGCGTTTGTTATTCTTGTTAACTTTTGTTGTTCTTGTTACGCTATTACACTTGTTTGTACGGGTTTTGTACATTGTTTCAAATCTTTTTATTAAATAGACAAAATTTTGAGATCATTATGTAGAAAAAATAAAGCATCAAGCCTAATTGATTTCAAAATAGGCAAAAAAGAAAGAATAATCGTCGTCGTCATCATCATCAATCATCGTGCTTAGTTCGACTTCACTTGACTCTGGCCAAGAATTGTGGCGACATCATGATCAACGACTGTTTGCGCCGCCGTTGCCAAATGAATTAGCGAGATTCCAGCCTGTTAATCATTTCAAGATTTATCCCTTTTTTTTTTCTTTACCTTCACGAATGCAAATGGAAAAGCAAGAACGCAGAAAATGGACATCAAGTGAACTCCCAGAATTGACGGTCCTGGATACCATGCACGTAGATACATTAACATGTAGAACGCCTGAAACATTTATACCTTGACATTAGTTTGCCTCTTTCATTTACCTCATTCGCTCCGCACATGAATCCCAAGAACAAGCGATCGGTGTAATAGAGATGAAGAATCGGATTACTGCTTTGTTTGTGGGAAGCCTTTCTCGTCAAATCCGTTGCGTGTAAATGCAGCCTAAATTTTGACTAAAAAAGTTAAAAACACAAAACAAACCAGTGGCTAGCAATATCGATAACGGCGCTCATTTGAAACCAAAAAGCCGAACTCGGATAGAAAACGCACAACGACATGTTAATGGCCAATCTTTAAATGATGGGTAAATTAATATTAAAAGAAGTACAAACAAAGCACATCGGTCTGTCAGCTGATCGAGCATTGCGCCGAAACGGGAACCTAAAGTAGAGAATAAAATTGATGAATAAAAGGAAATAATTTTCTAAGGAGTAAAAAACTTACTTTGATTGTACGTTCTAGCTGCCCATCCATCAAAAGCATCGAGTGCCGCCGAAAGGCCATAAAGAAAAACTGCCTAGAAATTAGAAATTAGAAATTAGATGAAAAGTAAAGCAAATCAACCTGTAATGGCGCATGATTCATCACCCAAAACGCCCATATCGCGAGAACGATTCGCGCATATCCGATGAGATTTGGGTAAAACAAAAAGACGTTCGTGTCGGGCATCCTGAAATCGAAAGAAATATTATAAAGATGACAAAAAAAAACAAAAATAAAGATAAGAGGTTGTAAAATTGTTTCTGACTGAGAAAAATACTTCTAGCGTCAATTCCAATATTACGCAAGGGAAATAGAGCTTGCCGAAAAAACAAAAAAAAATCGATGTTTTTAGTAACTTTGTAATCGCATTTCAAAACACCACACGCCCACACCAACTTCTCCATTCTAAATAAGCGGGTCGAGTCATAAGAAAAAATAAAACGCAGAAAAAAAACGTTTCACTCACTGGGAATCAATAGAGAAACGGAGAAAAGGGGAAAAGGGCAGCTCGGTGAAAAGAGAAAAAAAGGAGAAGGGGAGAAGGGGAATCGGGCGAATAATTCCATGGTCGTCACCCGGAGATTGCCGCGGTAAAAGCAGTGAAAAAAGAAAAAGGACCAATGAGAAATTGAAAGATTTCTGCGGATTCTCTTTTTGTGTTCACATCTTTTTCCACTTGCTTTCTTCCCATTGCTTTTTAGGGGGTTTTGGGGACTTATGCTGATTAGTTTGTTTGTTTATTCAATCATTTCAGTGCAGCTTGTTGATTTTTATAGATTCTTTGTTTCAAAAAAACAACACAAATTGTGTAAGCATTCTTTATTCACAAATATGTACACCTGAATAAATCGAGTCAAAAAAATGAGGTGGAAAATCACTAAAATCTTCGCGAATCACTAGTTAGAGACTAAAATCTATCGAGAAACGACAAAAAAAACATGAAAATGACCTGGAAGAGAATGGAAAGATTGCAAAAATTTGTGTGAATTGAAAAAAATAAAATAATCCTTGATGTTCAATGTGAATTGGTTCCCGTAACGAGGCACTAGGTAAAAAGGTAGAGAGAAGGCAAAAAAGAGAACTGGGTTTCTTGTGGATGAAAAGTTGGGTACGTGGAAGAATCACCGGGAAAGGGGGGAGGGGAAAGGCCGTGAATTGTTGGAGTAAAGTTAATGCTTGATGGCAGCGAAAGAACCTGGGAGAAGAGAGAGAGTTGGGACTGAATCTGGACCAAAATTTGAAAGTTTCTGTTTCAGCATCCAGATTCACAAGTACCAAAGACACATTTCTGAGAAATCTGGAATGCATAAGTATTTGCAAAGATGAATCGAGAATTTTCATCTATGCACTGGATCACAACTCCATTTGATCGGCCTCGTCCTCAGAAAAGTCGGAAATCGTCGAATCCGAGTCATCCTAAAGAACAATGGGTTTTCTTATCAATGTTTACAAGTTTATCTAGGCTCAGATGCAAAGGTAGCTAAATGGCAACTGATTTAGTCAGATCTGATACTTTTGTTTTCAGCTCTACCTGATAGCCGTGTGTCCGTCCCGAGCCATCTATCGGACCGCGAAGTGAGTCCTCTGAGGCGAAACGTTCAACATATTCTGAAAATGACTTTTGTTGGTCAGTTGGTGAAATTGGTTCCGGATTGATTCCGGATATAATTTAAATATAAGCAAATATTACTGTACTTTACCTGGGATATAATAGAATACTACTGTACCTTATGCATAGTATAATAGTATGGGAAAACTACTGTACTCTATTTTGTACTAGACTTGGGGAAATTCCAACCCGAATCTAATTTCACCTTCGTTTTCTCAGCCGTCTCTTGGCCGATTGTTCTGAAATTTTGTTTATAAATAGAAATTCTCATTCTCTGCTTGTAGATAAAATTACAGAGCAATCGGCCAAGAGACGGCTGAGAAAATGAAGGTGGAATTTTCCCATGTCTACCTCGTACCCCGTTTTGTACTCTACTCTCACCGGTGCATTTCCGTCGAAATTCTTCTGGCTTGTGAAGGTAGAGAGCGGCCGCGTCTCCATTGAGAGGATCGGTTGGATTTGGATAAGTGAGCAGTTGAGGGAGAAATGATTCGAAGATATTTGTCAAATCGTAAAGAGCCGTCCAAGCCTGGAAGCACAGAAAATCACATTGAGTAAATGACGAAAATTGGAATCACCTGATTGATGACATCGAGACACACCGTCCCCGAAGCCTCGTCAATATTCGGATGAAAAATTTTGTTGAGGAAACCGATCGATGGGGATTTAAAGGGGTATTTCTCGGGCAATTCCACCCGCACACGCCACACTCCCTTTTCGTAAGCGGCTAAAGAATTTTAGAAATTAGAAAAAATCCATTCATTGATTAAGAAAATAATAATAATAACTGAAAACTAGAAATAAAATTCCAGTTTTTCAATGAACTTACTCCCTTTTGGCCCGTAGAACTTGACGCTGAACTCGTTGAGACCGCTCATGATCGACACCTCGTGTTTGGACTCAATTCTGGAATTGTCAGAAGTTTTACCATAGATATAGAAATACTGACAATCTGATGAGATCGGTGTCCATCCGGCGTTTGCCCGCACTCGGCGATGACATTTTCAAAGGAAGAGGAATCAATCAATTTATGGATAGTTGCTAAACTTGTAATAATGAAAAGGGTTGAGAAAAAAAGCTAAAAGAAAAGATGTTTGTAAAATGTGACTAGCATAGCCATACACACACACAAATTCGAGATCACATGAGATGGGGGAAAGGGAGGTATTGAAAGGGAAAGGGGGAAAGGGGGAAGAGAGGGGAAGAGAGGGGAAGAGAGGGGAAGAGAGGGGAAGAGAGGGGAAGAGAGGGGAAGAGAGGGGAAGAGAGGGGAAGAGAGGGGAAGAGAGGGGAAGAGAGGGGAAGAGAGGGGAAGAGAGGGAAAAGGATTTCAAGAAAACATTTAGAAAAGGGGTAAGGGGTGAAAGGAAAATGAGAGACAACTGAGATATAAAGGAAAAAGAGGAACTCAATCGAAAATCTATTGGAGAAGAGGATAGCAGAGAAAATAGAGAGAAATTGACGGATATAGACAGAAGATATGCGGAGATGACCCTAAATCGAGTGTAGAATGATATCTTTCTTCTTGGATACCAAATTGGTTACACACCAGTCTTTTTATAGATTTGGAACAATGCTGGAAGAGAACCTGAGCTTATCGGTATCTTTGATAAGAAGGAGACAATACTGTAGCTAGGAATGGGCCCGCTATGGGCTCCTCTAACAATGAGCTACACCGACACGTATCACAACGTCAAGCGCTAAAATTTGAATATTTTAAGAGCTGTTTACACCAAGTAAAAAAAATAAGGTCATGCTTTAAAGATTTGTGGAAAATATAGAATAATTCTAAAATGAAAATAATGATAAAGTTTTTGTAAAAGAGGCAGCTGATTGTCATGTGTCTGAAGGGAGAAAAGTGAGGGAGTGAGACAAAAGTGGAGACGATTGATCGCCAGTGGTTGAATGTCTGCTCTTTCTATCTCTACGTCTTTTTGTGTGGCTCTGTCGATGGAAGTTCTCTTCTCTACACAGATGGATGGAGAGGCTGACGAGAGGATGACTCTCCCTCTCTGCTTCTCCCCCATCCCTCACTTTTCTTTCTTTTTCAAAACCTCTTCCTTCTTCTTCTAGAACTACGTGTTTTCTGGAAAAATTAAGTAAAACCAAGAATTTTGCCTATAGAGTAAAGCCAGTTATCAGCTTGTTTGCTTGCTTTTAAAATTGGCTTGCTTGTAAAGTTTTGGTTACTGTATCCATTGATGAAAAGAGCAGCAAGCAAAGCTTGAGAAAATGAAACTCTTTGATGGACATTGTTTGGGTGACTTCAATCAGCTCAGTGAGCTGATTGAAGACTAAAGTTGAGTAAAGAAGAGTAGACTAAAGAGAAACAGTGTTTAAAGTCAACAACAACTCACAAAAACTTTGCGTTGAAAGCTAATAAAAAGTGAAAGTTGGCAAAAAGTAGAAGATTGAATAAAAACAGAAATACGATTGCGATAATTTTCGAGAATTAACATTATTTAGAAAACGGATGCTCAGTGAACACACTTAAATCATGATACTGAAGTTGTACTGTGAAATGATACTCAACTTGTACTGTGAAATGATACTCAACTTGTACTCTTTTCATTCGAACTCATTCCACCACAGAAGTAGTGTTATTGTTGCAAATTCCCAAATTATAAAATCTTTATTAACTGCCGCAAAAAAAACATACGTGTATTGAGTGTGAGATTCAATGGATTTGTTGTGAGAGAATGCTTTTGGGAAATTCTTGGTTTCTATTTGCTTTTGGAGTTAAGAGGCAATGGGAAATAACTCTAGAATATCGCAGGCACAAACACAATTATCAAAATGTGAGTAATCTTGGAAAAAAAATTGTTTTGACAATATAATGACAAAGGAAAAGTAAGACTAGAAAAGGGAAATTATTTTTGGAACGAGATTTGGTGGGGTTTGTTGACAAGGGTAAGCTTTCAAGCTTTTTAAAAATATGAGTTTCCCTATTACGGCTTTTGTGAAAGACTAACTAGAGGGAACTTTAGAATTTGAATTTTCAAATTTGATTTCAAAATTGATTTCAAAATTTGAATCAAAATTTCAAATCAGAACTTTTGTTTCCAAGCTGAGAAATATTTGTTGCTGAAATTGGAAGACAATACAATGTGTTTTCCTCATTCTTTTTGTGCTTTTTTCCGCCTTCTCACTTTCTCGTCAGTCTTTTTCGATTGAATCATTGATTCTTTTACTGTTTCATTTTTAATTGTCTTCAATTTTTCTTCTTTTACGAGTTTCCCATTTTTTGCTTTTGACTTTTTCGATCTATCATCTTCCTCTTCGGAACTGAAAATGGTTTAATTGAAAAGGGATAGTTGAGACTTGCAATACTTGAGACTTGCAATACTTAAGACTTATAATACTTGAGACTTATAATACTTGAGACTTACAATACTTGAGACTTACAATACTTGTATAGTAGTGTACAATGTTACAGTATTCTCACAGTAGGCTTATTGCTAAAATTCTCAACTAAACAAGGCTTAATTGGCACATGGATGACTGGCAACTTTTTGCCAAATTTGCCAATCTGCCAATCTGCCAATCTTCTAATCTTCCAATCTTCTTTTTAAAACCAGTACCGGTAAGTCTAGTAGCAGTAGTAAACGTAAAAGAAACCTGGCTTATTTCGTTGACAACTAAAACAACCAATCCTAGGAAAATCGAAACTCTCAAAAAGCACTGTTCTACCAGGCTAATGTCTTGAAGTCCTTTGATATTTCTTCCGAAAACTCACCGTTCTTGTGATGATTGTTCAGAATGAAGTTCTTCGGAAGAAGTGCCACTTCCCTCTTCCTCTTCTTCATCTTCATCCTCATCAATTTCTTCATCTTCTTCTTCTGATTCCTCAATTTTCTTCACCTTTTTCCTTGTTGCATCTTTTTCCCGTGCCCGATCGTACTCCTTGGAAAGAGCCTAAATTTTATTTTATCTTTCATCTTTATACTTTCAAAACCTTGAACTCAGTAAGTGCCCTCTCTAAATCATCAATATATCCATCTTGTGTATTCGGGGTTTTTGATGTTGACGGACTCGGGTCCTCCATTTTCTCATCTTCTTCAATTTGTTCTTCTTTTTCATTTTGTGCAGCTGCTGCCATTCCTTCGCCTTGTACTCTCTCCAATTGCTCCAATATCTTTGCCATCGCTTCCTCGGTTTGACGGAGACGCTCTTGCAAACCGCGAATCTTCTTTTTGTCTAAAGCTTTACTATGAATCTGACAGGTAGCATATTAGTTTTTACTCTCAATGTCGATTGATTGCTATTAGTACCTTTTACACCTGCAAGACTCTCCACAAATTCAGCATCTTCCTCCTCTTCTGAAGATCCCGATGCAAAACGACGACGGCTCTTCTTTTTCTTCTTTGACTTAAAACGAAGCTTTTATATCGTACTTATTGCTATAGAAAATCACACTCAGCTGGCCTAGTATCAGAACTAACATTTTAAATCTAGATCTAAATCTAGATCAGCTTCTAGATCTAAATCTAGATCAGCTTCTAGATCTAAATCTAGATCAGCTTCTAGATCTAAATCTAGATCAGCTTCTAGATCTATGAACTTAGTACATTCTGTCCATTTCTCTGTACGATGTCCTTATTTTTGAAAAACAATGAGACAAACAAAGGAAATTATCGATTAAAAAGCCTCAGAATTTCCTACAAAGTTCTCACCTTGAACAATGTGTAGAGCAAGAAAACGACAACTCCAACTGTGTAGAAGGGAAGGAGCCATGAGTACATTCCCCTTCCACCACCACCTGGAAATAGTCCATTGAATTTTTGGAGAAGCTTATCAAGCTGTGTACTTGATCAAGATCAAGTTGCAAATACCGTACTCTGATGTGTGTTTTCAGCTTGTGAAGCGGCCATTCTCATTGCGGGATGAACACCGGGTGGACCACCGCCACTCCTTGCACCCATTCCTGCACCTGGATGCATTGGGGGTCTAAAGTTTTCTTTGAACTTTTGATCGTAAAGATATTAAAACTAGAATCAATATTAATAAGAACTAAAATGGCAGAGTGTCAATAATGGAAATGGGTTCTCCTAGCATTCCCCCTCCATCAATTGGCGATAAGTGGGTACCTGTGTGGGGCAGTTTTGGGAGAGTCAGGTTTCGAGAAAAACCCCATGATGAGTGGATGGAGAACCGTCGGATACAACATAGCGAAACAGATCACAACCACGGCCACCACCTGTAAGAAAAGAATTGCTAGGAAATTTTGGAAATCAGTGATCCAATTCCTATTGCTTTTCACATTCACTTACAGTACTCAATCAAAGTTTTCAAAATTTCTTTTTGCTTTCCTAAACCCACCATCCCTAGCTTCCAATTCGTCAGCGGACCTTCATCTTCATCGTCTGAACTTCGTCGCTTTCTTCGTTTCCTTTTCTCTGATGGCATCTTTTTTTGTGTAAACGCTGAAAGTTCAATCTATCAAATAGTCAAAAAAGGTTGATGAAAATGAAAATATTTCATATTTTCTTTCGCTGCTTGACGAATTTGGATAAACGATCGTTGAGTAAACACAGTTTTGGAGCAAAAAGGGTACTTCAAATTTCAAAAGGCATTTCCCTTGCACTCCAAGAGAAAAGTCACCGTTAGAATGAGAAAATTATATACATTTATAGAAAATTAAAATGGGTGATTAATGGTTAAATTAAAATGGTGAATTTAGCCATGATTAATGGTTTTCCTAGGCTGATTAATGGCTAACCTATTTTAGATCTAATCTGTTGTGAAGAATGCCTAAGACTAGGTTTTGTTTCAAAGTAGTACTATCAAAGATGGCATTCTTTTAAGCCAGCTCTTGGTTGTCGCTATTGATTCTTTTATTGAATTGGAAGTCTCTTAATATCTAGCATAACTTGTCTTTGAATCTTTTTGAACTCTTTGAATTCTAGAATCTAGAAGTTCATACTCGAGAAGTTCTGAGTTCAACATCTTTACAAATTTTATGTATCACTTCGAAAGAGCGGAGAAAATGAGAGAAAATCGGGCAACAAAAAAAAAGGGCTGAGTGGACAAATTAGGAAAGCGGGGATAGACAACTACAAACTTTACGAGACGTGAAAATGGGAGAAATTTGGATGGGATGGGGAAGAGAGAGAAAGCTCATCGTTCGGAAAGCAGCTGAGATAGGAAAAGGGGGAATGAAGGACTTTCCCCCCAACACACACCGCACATCGCCTAGACATCGATCGCCCCGAAAAGGCCCACTCTGTTCTCTTTCTTTTGCTCATTCCTTTTCCCTTTTTCCCCTTTTCCTTTTCACTTTCATCTCGTTCTCTTTGCATTGCCGACTTTCTCGCGTTCTTTGTGGAAATGTCCGAATTGTGTGGAATTTAATATTCGTGCGATATACTGAAATCCATTTCAAGAAACAAGAAACAACTTCAAGTTTAGTGAAAAAAATAATTCCAATTAAATTTAAAAAAGTTTCTCTTTTCTATTTGACAACCGTGCTACCGTACCCTAGACAGTTTGCTTGAAAACCCGACGTTTTTAATCTTATAAATAGTCGTTGATTGACCAAAAAGCCATTTTTACTCATTCACCACTTAACTGCGCTCTGTTAAAGCCATCATTTTGCAACTAGTTCTTATCGTTAAACGTTTTAAAGGCCAATGATTTTCGTAAGGACAACATTTTGCTATCAACTTTCTCCTTCACCATGTAAAAATCGTCGACATGCGTAAAGCCATGAGTTGTGCAAAAATTTTTGTTAAACACTTTAAAAACCAATGCTTTTTCGCAAAACTTCTATGTTGAACTTTTTATTAAGCGCTTTGAGTACAAAATGGTTGGCGTGCTCGCGTCGCGGCTACTATACCCCGCAGCGAGACACAATTCGTTCTTGGTCAAGAATTTTCCTGATCTACGGGGTTCTTGAGCCGACAGACACAATTTGACCATTATATCAGCTTACGTAACGATTGATTGAACTGTCATACTCGATATGTTTTGCTTTCGTAATTGCTGTCTCGTTTTCGATTTGAGTTCGATAATTTTTCTTAATTTCAGGATCACATTTCTTCAATATGGCTCTTAAGCGAATCCAGAAGGTTTGCGATTGATTTTTTGAAGTTTAATGATTTTTTTTAGGAATTGCAAGACCTTGGACGCGATCCTCCTGCTCAATGCAGCGCGGGTCCAGTAGGCGACGATCTCTTCCACTGGCAAGCAACGATCATGGGTCCACCAGAGTCTCCATATCAAGGCGGTGTCTTCTTCTTGACTATTCACTTTCCAACGGATTATCCATTCAAGCCACCAAAGGTTAGTGGCTTTTTTGATGATATTAATGGCGGACTGGTGATTTGATTATTAATTTGTATCTAACTTTGGGTATTAGAACAGAAACACTGTTTGATGACTAATCCGGCTTTTTTAATCGATAACTCCAAAATGGCACAATGAAAAGCTAGCGAGCTTTTGGTGAAAGAGGGTTGACATTGTTGTCGATTGATTGAGTAAGTAGGGAATAAAAAGTTATTATAAAACTTAGCCTAAACATTGAAAAAGTTTTTTTATTAGGAATGACATAGCATAAATAAAGATTTTTTTGAGAAAGAGGCATGATTTTGAATTTAAAACGTTCTAATGATTCTTTTTAGGTTGCATTCACGACACGGATCTATCATCCCAACATCAACTCAAATGGAAGCATCTGTCTGGATATCTTGAGGTCGCAGTGGTCTCCTGCGTTGACTATTTCAAAAGGTAATTTTAGTTGTGTAATCCAAGTAATCATCGTTTTTTTCAGTCTTGCTATCAATCTGCTCACTACTTTGTGATCCAAATCCAGACGATCCATTGGTGCCCGAAATCGCTCGCATCTACAAGACGGACCGTGATCGATACAACCAGCTCGCCCGCGAATGGAGTCAGAAGTACTTTAAACTTTTCGCGGCTGGTTAAAGTCTGAACTTTTTAGGTACGCCATGTAGACGTCTTTCGATGCTCGTCAGACCCCGTGAACGTTGTATCATATTTAATTTAACTTGAAAATTATGTGCATTCTCTCTTTGGACGTGTTCTGAAACTTTTCGTGGATAAATCGTTCTTTCATTGCAATTGTTACCCAAAAATTTGCGAATAAATTTTAGTCCGTTTTAAAAGTCGTTTGAAAAGCAAGTGTATTGGCTCTCCAAACAAGATTCTTTCGCAGTTGGTCCTGGGATCTTGGAATTAGCAGCTGATGATGCAAAGGTGTGATATTTTTTAAGAACTTGAATTTTTTAGTCTTTGGCCAAAATCTGATTGTAAGTTCGACAGCTAAAACAATAAAATTCTAAAATACAGTCAACCTTGGCAGAGCATGTGGAAATTGCACGTTCATTTTTGCCTGCGGCGCTATTGATCATGTCTGCGTTACATGCACATCAGCCGAATTTTACAGGCGGGCTTAAGAATGTTTAATTGCGTTCATAGTTTTTGATTGCCATCCTTATCCTTTAAAATCTTGCACGAAAGCAAAAGTAGACGATTGATCTATATTTACATTTTTTGCCTATGTAGTCTAAAAGTGATCACAAGTAATGCACTAACTTTTCAAAAAGATTTCAGACCCGTTTTGTGGAATGAACGTCGCATTTGTGCCCCTAACCACGCTAGCCGATATCTCATTCTGGAGTTCGATAAACAGCAAAAAGCTGCACGAGTGGAAATTGGACGAGTCACCAATTGAATGCTTTGCCGAGTATTCGATTCGTGAGTTTCGGTAGGGGATTTCAGATAACGAAAGTTTTTAGAGGATTTCACCGGGAGCCCGTCTCGACTCTCGTTTTGTCACGATTCTTTTGAAAACGCTTCATCTTCGCGTTTTCACGGCTTTGCCCTCGCATACAACACGATTGAGGGATTTCAAAATGTAGATCGACGAAAGATTATTGAGGAGTCAGCGCTTTCGGTGGGATGATAATTAAATAACCAAAATCAAAACGTTTTTAGATATTCCACAACATCAAGAATGGAGTCTGGTTGGAAAGGCCCGAGATTTTGAACACTTTCGTTCTCACCATACACGCGGTACAATCAATTTCTATAGCTCAATAACATTCATATCTTAGAATTTGAAAAAGTTTGTCTACACCTATTGGAACTGTGTGCCAGCGTTGTGCTCTCCCGAGAATATCACCTATGTGCAAGAGCCGATTGAGGTACCAAAATGAATTCAACAAAAAATGAAAAATATTTAGCTCGATACCGGAGCAACCCAGCAACTACTACAATATTATCGAAGCCATGGATATCCATCGATTTTCATCCATCACAAAAATCTTTGTCTACCCCTATCGCATTTAATGCAAATGACAACGGTGGATGCGGCGGCGGCTTATGTAAGAAATTAACTATGATACACTAGATATGAAAAAAGGGCCACTTATAATACAACTAGTGGCACCAAGGTGCAAGATAGGTACTGAAGTTAAAGAAGTTCTTTGTGATCTGGAAATCTCTTGAGCATCCGAATATTTGAAAATTTTCCCAAACTTTTAGCTGGTTGTGGCTGATGGATCTACGGAGACTCGGGTGCCCGGTTGGACGATTCGAAACGCTTTGGCTGCACTCTCGCTTTCTCGACCCGACATCAACGAGTATCGCTTGATCAGTCTCCGAGCTTCCCTCCCCTCATTACATTATGTTATTACGGTTTTGTATCCAATACCAATTTTTGATTCAAAACCGATTCCAGGGTACAATCACCGATCCCTCAAAATTCCCCAAAACGGTTGGCTGGGAGAGGAGTATTCGAGGGAAATTGGAACCGATCACTGTCGACATGAAATCACATTTCGATCCGCACAGCCTAATGGAACAAAGTGTTGATCTCAATCTTTCGCTTATCAAATGGAGACTTGTACCAGAGATGAAATTGGAAAGATTCAAAGGTTTACAAAAAAGACAACTAGATTCACTCTATTCACTCTATTTAGCGTTACGGACATTGATCTTTGGCGCGGGGACACTTGGATGCAATTTGGCTCGATCAATGCTTGGATGGGGAGTGAGACATTTCACGTTTATTGACAACTCGAATGTATCCTACAGTAATCCGGTCAGGTAAATATATGGTGAATGATCTAAATGAGTGAAACACTTCAGGCAATCACTTTCCGAGTTCGAAGACGCTCGCTTGGGAAAATCGAAAGCCGATTGTGCGGCCAGTGCGTTGAAGAGAATTTTGCCAACCGTTTATGCGCAATCCGTTCAAATGACTGTCCCAATGCCCGGGCATTCTGTCGGAGCACAAGGTTGGGGAAATTTTTAACGAAAATCATTGACGGATTCGATAAGAGATTTTTGAAAAATCATAAACTTTTTAGGAGAACAAGAGCTGGAAATCGTTGTCAATCAATTGGAGGAGCTTGTCCTGCAACATGATGTCCTATTCCTCGCCTTGGACAGTCGAGAAGCTCGCTGGTTGCCAACTGTTCTTGCGAATATCCACAATAAGGTATCTAGATAAATCCACGAGAATAAAAAAGAATATCTCTAGATGGCCTACAGTGTGGCTCTCGGTTTTGATACATATGTGATTATTCGGCATGGAGTTGGGGAGAGTGATGTGGCTTCAACTTCGGAAAGCAGTGTTCGCGGAATTGTCTCCTATTCGAATCTTGCTTGCTACTTTTGCTCGGATGTCACAGCGCCCGGGAATTCGACCACTGATAGGTAGTCCAACCCAACAGTTATATCAAGAAAAATTGGATTGAGCTTAAACAGTGGGATAAAATTGTTCACTTATGTCACTACAGGGTGCGTCATAATTACCCGGAATCGCTTCTAAAAGTCCAACTCAAACGAAAATCAAACCAATCTCTCTGATTTTGTCATAAGAAAACTTTGACTAAGTCTCCTGTGCAGTAGCAGTGCCCAATATTAAGTCGCACACACAATTTTTATATAGGCTTTCAAAGTTGAGAGTCGCGCTTTTGTTGGCATGCACCCTGTAGTTAAGACAACAAAAGTTTAGCTTATAAATTTGCTCGAGATCTTTTTGACTATTAACAAATTCCTAGACCGAAATAGCATTCATATGATCAACATCTAGAACCCTCGATCAACAGTGTACCGTTGCACGCGCGGGTATTTCGATGATTGCTTCCGGATTGGCAACAGAACTGCTTGCTGCCGTTCTCCAACATGAGAACCCCGTTGAGGTATTGGAAGAAATTTTGATTTTGATCTTAAACCCCCAATTCAGGCTCCAGCTATAATGGGCGATCTCTCAGCGGAAGATTGCGGAGGACTTCTTGGACATGCTCCACACCAAATCAGAGGTAAAACTGAAAGATCAGCAGCTCTTCAAAAGAGTTTAGGTTTCATTCATCGATTCCAACAAATGACTCCATGCGTTCGCCGGTTCGACCGATGCATTGCTTGCGGGAAAGCGGTGAAAGAGGCCTTTGAGGCGGAGAAATGGCGTTTCGTGAGAGATGTGATGAATAGGTGAGAAAGCGTTGAAGATTCAACATTTGATTGTACACTTGATAGACAAGTAAAGTTTGTGCAATCAAATTGCGATTCAAATTCTTATAATCTCAATTCCCATTTAGCCCTAGCCGATTGGAGGAGATCACCGGTTTGGATCAACTGCAGGCAAGCGTCGATCAGGTATGGCTTCAATTAGTGCAAATGAATATACTAATGCAAGAAGTCATTGAATATTATGATGTAGATTAGGATAAACTAGACTTATCAGACTTTATTGGGTTTGAGTGACTACAAAGGAGCTCTCATGTCAAGAATTTCCAGGTGGATATCGACTTCGCTAGTGAGGATGATGGGTCTTCGGTTGTCAGCTTTACTTGAACAATGCGGCTTTATTGCCCAAAACCTCTATATAAATTTGTAACCTTGTCCACAGCAGACAAAGTATTATTTTCTAAAAGTTTTACCACATTCCACACCATTTTTGCCCTTAAATTCGTGCCTTTCTTTTATAAATATTCTCTCGCTATACATTTTGCTTGATCGTCACTTGAAATTTCTTCTTTTCTAGGTATTCAATCACTTAAATACCTCGCTTTTCTTTGTGATAAACAAGCATAAATGAAATGAATATTGGAAAAGATTTCTCTAGAAAAGAAACATGTTTAACCAAAGGATTCTATCAATGTTTTTTTGTGTGTTGTGTTTTAAAAAGAATTTGTTTCAGAATGGCCTCATCATCGAAATCATTTTCAATAAATACAGCGACAAAACTACGGATAAGAGCGAAAATCATTGGGAATAAAGATGAAGAAATGTTTGAGGTAAGTATTGCAAAGAAATTAATCGAATTATTGGCTGCCTTTTGCTAGCTCCGAATCTATCTTTAGAAATTTGTTTATGAGATTGAATTGATTTTGGCTTTGATTTTCACAGGAATTTGATAATCTAGCTCGGTTTTTGCATCAATCAAAAGCCTACCTTCAAAAGAATATAAAAAGTTGAAGAGAATTTTATCTCTAAATAAAGTTATGAACCTTTAAAGCTTCAAAGATTATCCAAAAGTGGCCTTTAAGTTACAAGAGCTTTTCTGGCTATTATAGATTTGTTAACGATGAGAAGAGTTTATGAATAACAATTAAAAATTAAAAAAAAGATAAGTTTACCATCAAGTTATTGTGAAGCGAGCTTTATGGCTACTTTGAGCTATCTAGTACAATTAAGTTCATTTCTAGATCTCTAGACTATTTAGACTCTACGTCATTATAATAAATTCTTTCCAGGTACTTCCATCAACAAGAGTTGATCGCTTGAAGTCAGAAATCTCGGATCGAGTCTCTTTGCCGGTCGAATCGATTAGATTGATTGCTGGTGGGAAACCGTTAACTGGTAAGATTTTAAAGAAAATCAACTTTTCAAAAGCACTCTTTCAGATGAAACAAAAACACTACGGGAATATGGATTTGATGATGAGGTCAAGATTATCATCATGTTCCCGGAAAGGGTCGGTTTGAAAGAAAAGGGTTTTTTAAAGCTATGCTAAACTTTCAGGTAGATCCAAATGGAAGCTTTGAGATTCGACTAGCCGCAGCTTACGGAAATGGACGAAATGGAACACTCGCTATTTTACGGTTCAGAAAAGTCAGTCTAGTTTCTTTAAAAAGATTATATAGGGTTTTGGATATTGTAGGATACGATTTTATGTTGTCAATTTGATGTAGATCATCAAAATTGACAAAAACAAAAGAAAAGAAAACCCTGACACTAAATTGTGAGAGCTGTGAGAGCTATTGACAAGCCTTTTCAGGGTATATCCAATTATTCTCGTGGAATGAATCTCGATCAACTTGAGCGTTTCGCAAAAGAAGTCATTAGTAAACGCGAAAATCAATGAGATTTTACAATGAGAGCCTTTAAAATTACCTCTATTTTTCGCAATTTTTTTTTTCTTCACTTTGTGATCACAGTGTCTTCCTCTTTTTTCATTTCAATTTGTTGGTCATTATTGTTGATTTGTCTGTACATTAAATATCTAACGAATAACAAAATAGAATCGGTCATCAAACAAAAAAAATATATTTTCATCAAAAAAAAAAGCACTTACGATTTGCAGAAACGAAATTATTTCGAGAGAAGTGCAGCTAAATAAGCGATGAGATTGTGAAGGGGAATTGGGTTGATTTTGAGAGATTTCTGGTATTCATTTGCGTGCATTTGAGAAAGCTGTGCTAATATTGAAGAGATTTGAAAAGAGAAAGAGATTCCCGAAATACACTTCAATTACCGTAGGTGACGTTAGGGAAATGTGAAACAAAAATACGCTTCTGAAGAGATGTGACCGAAGATACTTGCACCAGGAGTGTGCCAGTTTGAATAATGAGCATCAGTACGTGTAAATGCATAAATGAACAGCTTCAATCGATTCGCCGACCCTGAAAACCCCTGGGTACAAATTTGCAGCTTCAAATCACTTCTGCGTGTCATTTTCAAAGCTAGGAATTTTCTGTACAAAGTGACCGCCAGGTGTTCTTTATGAGGCAGCGTAATCACTCGCGACCTGGCAAACCCCTCCGGCAAATCCCACACAATGCTTGGCTTTTGAGATCCCTGAAGGATCGGTCAGCTGGTTTTTTAAAAAGCAAAACTCACGACACAGTACGACACGACACAGGAGCAGAACCCGGACCGTGTGGACCGTAGACAAGCGCGCCCCCGACTGCGCCAGGGCCACAGAAGAGCCCAGAGACCAGAGAGCCAGAAAAACTCACCCCATCCCCCCAGCCCCACGTGGGCAACCGCTTCAATTTCAGTTCCATTTCATACTTTCATCGATCATTCCCCCAAAAAGCACAAAACCTTCGAATCGGAATTCATCCGCCTCTTCCATTTCTTTCCCTGCAAACTTCCCCCATCTGTCCAAATATTCTGAACTCTCATTTCTTCAATTTCTTCCATTCTTCTTCCCCTTTTCACCCCTGTTACCCCTTCCCCTTTTATTTTCCCCGAAGCTTATCCTTTTTCATTGTCGTCATTCCCAAGAATTGCCCCCTTTATCAAAATTTCAGCCTTATCTCGAAACTTTTTCCCATGCTCGCTCGCAAAAACCTCAAAGTCCGCTCCACATATAGGTGACCACTGTTCCGGCAAAGATTTTTCACGTATCCTTATTTTCTAAACAAAAAATGGGTACTTTTGACTACTTTGTCAGCCAGCCAGTGTGCTTTATAGCATTGTTCGCTTATTCTTTCAGCATTCTTTAGAAAATCTAGGTCAGCACAGTACAGCATTTAAATGCTAATTCCCGAAGTACCAAAAATAGTCACAAGTACCCAATCAAGTGTTTATTTTAGTACTCTTGCACATTCAATCAGTTCAAAATCACTTTGTTAACGAACTTTTGAGTCTCTAGTGTAATGAATTTATTTAAAGAAGTTGTTGCTGTCGATTTTATTTCCCCAAATAAAAAATTGCCTCAACAGCGTCGATTTTTCCTATCGTGATTTGTTGAAAAAGGAGACAAACTGAAGAAGAAGTGAAGAAAGGGGAAACGAACCGGTCTCTTTCTGAAAAAGAAAAAGATTCTTTTGTATTGAGTGCTTGAAAATGTTCTTCTCTTGCTTTGATCACATCTCTGGCAATGGCAGCTCTGACCGGGGGAAGGGGAGAAGGGGTACACGGTTGCCCTCGGCTTCACAGCTCCCCCAAATGTTCGCCATGACATAGATAACCGACAACTCTTCTCTCCTCTTCCTTCTCTTCTCTTCCTTCTCCTCACATTCCAATTGGTTGGTGCTCTTCGATTTTTCTTTGCCTTTGCACGAAGAGAGAAAAGAAAAGTGACAACACTGACATTGTGAGGGAAATTTGAGGGTGATTGTTCTTGACAAATATGTACACAGTTCTTTTCAGTCAATTCCGACTCTTGACAGAAAACTTTGGATCATTGTCGGTAACGGTTTGAGAGATTCAATCTTTTGAGATGAATTATCATGAAAAAATTCATTCCTTAGATCATCTAGATAATCTTATTCGAGTTTTTAAGTTCTGAATTCATCCTTAAAGCTCAATTTTTCTTGAGCAAAAGGTACTGTAAAGTATACAGTATCCTGTCTATAGTACTCACTAACAGAAACGAGGACTGAATATCTTTTAAATCATCAAATTTCTCTATCACCAAACTCATTTGTCCTCTCCTTTTTTTTTCCTCCAAATTTCACTTCCCCATTTTTTTTCTTTTCATTTCTCTGCCATTTGAAATAAAAAAAATGACCTTGAAAAGAAAACTTTTCAATGAAATAAAAAACAAAAAGCTGAATAATAAAAACATTTGGGGAATCGATTTTTGAATTGATTATATTAATTGAATGATTTGAGAGATGATTGATCATGAGAGCATGATCAATCCCCCAAAAAAGATTTCTTCTCAATGTAGTAAAAGAGATAATAAGATCTAGTAAAAGAGTTTTCTAATGAAAGAGATAATAAGGTCTTTTTCCATTTTTCCAAGATTCCCTTTAAAATTTCTTCAATTTGTTCAATCTCTTCAATTTGTTCAATTTCTTCTCAATCTTTCTCATTGTCAGCTTACCTCAAAAACTTTCCCCTCTTTTCACTTATATTAAAGTGTTTTCTTTTTAATCGTTTCGATTTTCTTCTTCTTTTTTTTCTTCTTTTTTTCTTTTTTGTTTCCTTTTCTTTTTCATTCAGCTTTCCCCTTGTCAATTTCAATGCTAGAAGTTTTTTTTTTGTGTTTGCGATACTGTAAAAGAGAAGAAAGAGGAGTGAGAAATGAGGAATGGATCGAAAATCAAGGCTGTTTATCTTATTGATTCAATTTACGGAATGAGAAATAGATTTTAAATAATCTATAGCATTGAAAGATATTTTAGCTAAAGATCAACTTCATTCAGTGTCTCGTTAAAGTAAACTGGAGTCAAGTGAATAGCTAAAATCTAAAAGATACCTATTTTACCTCGAAACTGTAAGTTAACAAACGAAACAACTTCAAAAGTTAAAGTGATCCCTTTTCAAATCAAAGAGTTTTCAAATCAAAGAGTTTCCATTCAGTAATCGTCCCATAATGACTTAACTTTTGAAGTTGTTTCGTTTGTTTCGTGTTCTGCATAAAGTCGTGTTCTCTCAGGATCTTCTCCGGTTATTAAAAAGCGACAAAATAAATGATTAAATTTATTTTGGCGTCCGTTCCGCATTAGCTGCTGAATCAGTTTGGAGCGTTGTCGAGTAGTTGAAACTTGCATTAGCTGCTGAATCAGTTTGGAGTGTTGTCGAGTAGTTGAAACTTGCATTAGCTGCTGAATCAGTTTGGAGCGTTGTCGAGTAGTTGAAGCTTGCATTAGCTGCTGAATCAGTTTGGAGCGTTGTCGAGTATTTGAAGCTTGCAATTTTCTCCCCTTCAATGAAATCGAAGAATGAATTCAAAGCGAAATCATGTTTATTTTGATGAGAATAAACCCCTGAACGAAAACAAACTCTTTCAAAATATTCATTTCATTTCTCAACTTTTTGTAAACTTTTTAATAAAACTGATTTGGTCTTGGATAACTTTATTGGATTGGATAACTCTTGGATAACTATATTTTATAACTAAAAACCCAAGGTATACGAATATTCAAGAATCCCTTTCCCTTCTCTCAAATTTACACCACTTTTCGAAAAAAGAGAATTGATACGGGTTACATTCAAAGAATTCAAAGATAAGAGCCGACCTTTATACGAACATTTTGTGTATCAAGAATGAAATGCTGACGTTAGAATGAAATCAGAAAAAAAAGATTGATGAAATTCCTTTTTTTTGTTGTTGTGTGAAGTGTTATTTTTTCATATTCCCGAGTGTTTTTCCAAGCCCCATTTTCTTCTTTCATTTAAACCTCCGCCATTTCATTTTATTGGAAATTTTTGTGAACTTTAAATAGATCAAATGATTTGTTTTGAGGGAATGTCAAAATGGAAATTGGGATTTCGTTTGAAATTTTTGAAATGAGAATTGTGCTTTCGATGGTTTTGGCTTGAAATTTCAGCTTTATTGTTGGATTTGGCTTGGAATTTCAGCGTTACTCAAGAGTAATCCAAGGATTTGGCTTGGAATTTCAGCTTTACTGTTGGATTTGGCTTGGAATTTCAACTTTACTGTTGGATTTGGATTAAAATCTTGACCTTGGCTTGACTTGGCCTGGAATATTGGCCTTTTTTCTCAATCTTGATATGTTCCAGTATGCACTTAGTGTCTCTACAGACAAATTTTTGATGAAACACTTTGTTAACTTTAAAGTGAAAGGGAAACTGTAAGTACGAGTAGTCTATTTGTAAGTATAAATGTAAACTTATACGCTTAATACTACTATGTAGTTTTTTTGATTAAACACTCATTTATTAGGGCCTACTAAAAGTCTACTAAATGTACATAATAGCTAAAGTGTTGATTTCCTTGAGCATTAAAGTTGCCCAGCTTTTGAAAGATTGATTGATTTACTCATTGATTTACATCTTGTTTCAATTGCACTCAGCTTTTGATAACTACCGTAAATCCTGCTCATTGATTTACTTCTTGTTTCAATTGCACTCAGCTTTTGATAACTACCGTAAATCCTCTATTAGAGTGGCACCTTTTAATGCTAATTTTGATAGCTTACAGATCCAAATTTTTCCAAAAAAATTTCCTCCGAAAGTGCTTAAAATCCTTCATATGGATCCCAATCATAATTTTAAAGTCATGGCAGTAAAATTCAAATCGATCCTGGAAAAAAATTTTGAGTGAACATTTTTTGAGAAATCATAAGGAGGGGGGCTCAGGGATTTTCGAGGGTCAGATCCGGGGTTAGAGCCATGGACATAAATTTTTGTTTTAAATGTGTTTTTCGTATGTTTTGGACC